GACGCTTTTTAAGAAGGGGACAAAGTGAAGTGGAGGCCATGAAGAGGTGGGTTTGTCACCTTCTCGCTTCGGAGCGCCAACCAAGGAACTGCAGAGCCGGTGAAAGTGGATTTTTGCTCTGCTCTGAAGACTGTGTGGAAGATGATTTCGAGACCCATGCTGGAAGCTTCACCTTGGTGCCTCTCACGAAGGACTCGCCGTGGTGTTGGGGAGCTTTCGTTTGCAGCACGCTGCTCAGATGGAGAAGCGAGGCCACCACACAAGACCACATTCGACTGGCCAACACATCACTGCATGCGGGGGGGAGAATGAAGGTCTTCATCTTGAATTGGGACTTTTCGTGGCGCCATTCAAATCATCTGCAAAGTAACATGTGTTTCAACCATCAGCTTCACGGCTTCTTCTTCAGGCTCCCGCGCAAGGCGGAAGACGAGATGAGAAAGGTGCTTTCGCGTCAGCCGGAGGCAGTGCAATACCGGCGACACGGTGGAAGGCGACATACGCAAGCGCAGAGGCCGTCTTCCGCGTTGCAAAAATAAGTATAATCAATAAATGAGTCCGTAGACTCGTTTCAGAGATTAAACTGAAAAGAACAGATACTACACTTGATCTAAGCCAAAAGGCAACTGCGAAAATGTCAGTAGGTGCGTTTCTTTTCTTCGGATGTGAATACCCACAGAGAGCTGAGGAAAAGGAAGCAGGTTTAGGCAAGGAGGCCGAACACTTGATGAGCTTGCCTGAATGCGCTAGGACGTTAGTCAGCGTTTGCACGCTTTACATTAGGCCGGCATCTGATGTGTCCCAGCGATTCGCCTATCAGTTCTATAAGCCAAGCTTCGAAACTCGAAGAACTTTAATATCTTCAGAACTCCATTTCAGTGAGCTAGCATGCGAATGACAGAAATCGCTGGACTCGTAAACTACCGGACTTCGAACTCACTCGCAAATCGCCGAAATCTGGTAGATTCATCACGTCTCTAAAGATCTTTACTTTAGCCATCCTACCTCCAGGTATAGCCTGCACATGTTTATATGGCAGCATAGCCTAAAGGATTACGCCTATCCATGACCTCCCTAAGCTGACAGAAGACCTATCTGTTTTTCTGAGTCCGGCAATTTCTGTCATGCAGGTGAGGGCGCATTCATTGTAACAGCCAAACAGATATAGAATGAGACTCTATAATTCGGAACTACGAAGCATACGGCGGGTTTTGACCATGCATTCCATCCGTATCTCCAGACGACCAAGTTCAAGCTGCACTTCTGCCACTGAAATGGCTCTTGAAATTACATCTGGATGACTTTGAGAACATCGCCTATACTGGAGATATCTACTTGACTTAAGTACTAGTCCTTCTAAGAAGGCCAAAAACATTGATCGTCAAACATGAGACTGGACACAGCCCTAGGCATTTGTAACACAGGGTTTTTGCTAGATGATTACCCTCCCTTGAACCTCGCATCGCTCGTGGAGCTTCGGAGTCCAAACTCAAACCCAGCCCACGATCCACCCGCCAAGGCATCTCCAAGAACCACAATCCGTATGTCAGAGCCGCAATTGTCGAACTAATAACACTCGACCTACGAAATATAAACTCTACGCCCCCCAACCCACCCAGGCCACCGATTCAAACCTCCCCGCGAGCGCCGTCTTCCAAATACAATTCACAAAGCGCAGACATGGCACTCCCCCCCACCGACCGCGCCTACAACCCCTCCGACCCCCTCGCAACCTACGTATCGGCCTCGTGCCTCGACTTCCTTCTCATCGAGCTCGTGCCCCTGGCACAGCGCATGGCGACCGAGATCGCCGAGCGGGAGGAAGAGTGGACGCGGGGCAGCCTCACAGCTTCAAGCTCGCAATCGCAACGACAAGGAGGTGGTGGGGAGAGCATACGAGGGAGTGGGGCTGATGGGGGCAGTAGTGGAGGGGTAAGAGCAGGAGGGCTAGACGAAGAAGAGCTGCGCGAGGCCATGTTCTACCGGCTCGAGATGCTAGGCTATAGAGTCGGGCTGGGGGTTGTCGAACGGTAGGTAGGTTCTTCACCCCGCCCAGCACTCACGCCGTCCCTGTATACCTCGACCCACATCATTCTCTCTCCCACTTCGCCCGAAGATGGGGGTTCGCAATCGCAAAAAACCACTCAGATTGCTAACCAACGCCCGCGCGCGCGTCATCAAACAGCTTCTCCCGCGACAAACCCCGCTTCAACGACACCCTCGACGTGATCAAATTCCTCTGCAAAGACCTCTGGACCCTCGTCTTCCGCAAGCAGATCGACAACCTCAAAACCAACCACCGCGGCACCTACGTGCTGACCGACAACACCTTTGCGCCGCTGCGGCGCATGAGCGTCGAGAAGGGAGTTGATGGGACGCTTGCGAGGGCGCAGCCGGTATGGAATCCCTCCTTTCACCACACGTAGGTGGCGGAGAGAGTATTGAATGGGATGGGATGGGATGGGATGGGATGGGCGAAAGCTAGGCAGAAGGGAACTGGGCTAACGATTGTGCGGGTCAGCAGTTCCTCTTCTTCCCTGCGGGCGTGATACGCGGTGCGCTAGCCAGCTTGGGCGTCAATGCTACGGTGCAGGCGGAGACGAGTGCGCTGCCGGGCGCAACTTTTCAGATACGGACGGTGGGAGCGAAGCCTTGAGGGGATGGTGAGGGCCACCCACAAAGTTGACGAAGTGGTTTTAGATTAGCGTTGCTGGTTGCATAGCGAGGGCGTTCGGGGCGGGATCAGAGGCATGGCATCTTTCATAGACTTGCGGCTCCGGGCATTTGCATGGCGAGTGCGCCGACCACCTCGGAGAAAGCATTCATTGGTGGCAGGGGAATCACGGTACGGACGATTGCAATGGGACTTTTGGCGGAGATCATGACAATAGCTTTGTGTTTTAACGAAGTGCTACATAGCTATGTCTTGATCGCTCCTCAGCTTGTCTTGCGCCTCCAACACCACGAGTGCTCGATCGCTCCAGCATCCGCATCATTGTCGTAGGTCGTCATAGTCTATCTGTAGTCAGTGCATGTTAGCATTGTCGGCCACCCTACCCCGTATGTGCTGAGACAGACGCATGGTCAAGGGACGAGTGGCAACGGCAAGCACTCCGATCGACACCACTTATGGTGGATGGAAACAGGGGTTCGGAGACTAGTATGATGGAGTTATGAAACACACGAACGATATCTTGACTTACTTTGCTGCCGAGCTCTTGACGAACTCAATGCCCTTCTCGATGTTGCCCTTGAGACCCTTGTAGCATGCCTCGAGGAGCTTCTTCTCGTAGTCGTTGGCCGAGGACACGACGTTGTGGGCCTTCTTGGCACCCTCGGGCTGTTGATTTCACGGTCAGCGTGTTGCCAGAAAATTAGGTTGAGCTACCCGGTAACAACTTACGCCAAGCTCCACAGGTACGGAGAAGTAGTCGCAGCCGGTTTCCTTCGCGATCTCGTCACCACCCTCAACGCCGGGCAGGTAGACGTAGGTCGGCTCAACGATGCCGCTCTCGCCGTTGACGGCCTTGATGATCTTCTCGGCGAAGCGGTAGCCGGCGAAGGCCATGGAGAGAGTGGCAGATCCTGCACCATCCTTGGCCTTGACGACCTCGTCACCGCCGAACTGTACGCCTGCGGTTTTCGTCAGTTACATTTTATATCACTTCATGGTCCGATATCCACTTACGGTAAATTAGATCATCAAGCTTATCTTCTGGGATATCTGCCTTCGGCTCGCTCTGGCTGAACAGCGGCACAATCGTCTCGCCGGAGTGACCACCGATGACCGGGATCTTGCACTTGGAGGGATCCTTCGCGCCGGTGATGGCAGCGACGAAGGTCTCGGCGCGGACAACGTCGAGCGTGGTGACGCCAAAAAGCTTCTTGGGGTCGAAGACGCCCGCGCCCTTGAGGACCTCAGCGGCGATTGGGACTGTGGAGTTGACTGGGTTGGAGATGATGAGGAAGTAAGCCTTTGGGCAGTACTCGGCTGCGCCCTTGATCAGGTCGCGGACGATGCCGGCGTTGATCTTGAAGAGGTCATCACGGGTCATGCCCGGCTTGCCTAAGCATTGTCAATTGCTGTGCTTCCATCAATGCCGAGCAGAGCTTACGGGGGATGCCAGCCGGAATAACGACGACATCGGCACCGGTGAAGGCATTCTTCATGCCATCGTCCTTAGGCAGGAAGCCCGTGACTTTCTGTTCCCGACTTAGCCTCATGTCTTGTCACAGTACCACGCCTTGTTCTTCGTACCGCTGGCGATGAGATGTGGGAAAGGTCCGTGGCGACACCGGGTGTGTTCACGACATCGTAGAGGCTGAGCTCGTCAATGAGCGGGCAGGTCTTGAGGAGAAGCGACAAGGGCTGAATTGCATTAGCAGCTGATCGTAAGGATGCTCCAAAACTGTATCATACCTGGCCAATGCCACCAGATGCTCCGGCAACGACTGCAATTTCGTTGAGTAACTGTGTTATATATGTAGCTCGGGACTGCCCCACCTGCTTTCATGTTTGCGGTAAATTGACTGTGAGGACTGCAGGCTTAGTTAAGGCTGTCAAATATCTCGAGCACTGCCAGAGGTGTCGACGTACGTCTTGCGGTCGAGGGAGATATGGGCACTGTTGTATTGTTGGAGGAGTTGTGGTGGCTTGCCAGCGAGCAGATGTGACAGGTGGGGTGGAGCAAAGGACCCTCGGGTCCGCGGGGTAGGAAGGAGCTACTTAGGTACCTAGATCACCTGGGCCAACGGGAGGCACCTTTAGTGATACAGAACTTCCTTTGGCTCGCGTCCAGGTAAAGAGTTTGATCTTTGCGTTGCAGCAACTCAGAGACGAGGAACATGGAGGAACGCCTGCATTATATCTGCTGCAGCGCCCACAACGCCTCGGCGTTGGAAGCAATGCTTCGTCGGGACAGACCGGACATGGCATTGCGGAGCAACAATACGGAAGCAGGAACGGCATTACTCCACCGAAGCCGCCCGGGGATGTACAAGCAGAGCGCATATGCTAACGTACTTGAAGCAAGCCGATTTCTTCTACATCTCAGCATCCGATAAACACCATCTTTGCTGCCTTCCAGGTACACCCAAGATCGTCCAGCTCCTACTGATGAAGATAGTAAACCCCGGGAAACCCCTTCTTCGGCACCCACGTACCAGTCAGACCTGGCAACTTGGAATCTATTCGTAGCAACAGAATTAGTACTAAGCGTAACATGGACAGCTGAGTGCCCGACTAGGGCCCGTAATCCTCTCGTTCACCCTCAGCATCTTCATCCCCTTCTGGAGGGCCGTGTGTCCTGTATGGGTTGTTCGGGTCTACTGCTCCCGTGGGATCTGGGCCTCGCGAAAGTCCTTGATACATCTGCTCTCGTCGTTAACTGTAAGGTGTGCTAAACTCTCGAGTCACTTGTACTCACTTGTTGTGACTGCAAGGCGTACGCGCCGTACAAGCCTTGGTCAAAAAGTTGGGGTTGAGGCTGCCCGTATCCGCCAGAAGGGTCGCCCTGAACTGGAGGTGCGAACATCGCAGGTTGCTGCCTGTAGTCTTGCGCTTGCTGCATGTGCTGTCCCATCCTGTAATCTCCCATCTCGTGCGGCGGCGGATGCACACCTGTCTGTTGCACTTGAGCCTGAGGAACAGCTGGTGCGCTTGCTGATGCCTGTGCTGCGCTGCTTCCACCGCCACGCTTGTGTCCTGATGCGTCCTCTCGGGGTACGATGTCGATAAGGAAGTCGAACATGTCAGATTTGGCGAGCGCAGACGCTATATCCGACCTCTGTAGCGTGCGGCGTTTGTTCTCCTCCGCGTGTATCCAGGCCCGCATCGTCAGCTCGGTGATGAAGATATCGCAGCCTTTCGCAAACAGTATCGGCGCCTCTGCGGAGATCATCTTGACTTCCGGATCCGCCTTCATGACTTTCTTTATCCGTGCTAGCGGTAATTGGTGTAGTTTGTAGTCGTGATCGTCCGTCTCGAGCTTCGACACTTGTTGTTGCCAGTAGGTGTTAAGTATATCTCGGTAGGTGCCCGAAAGGCCCTGATTAACCTGGATGCGTGTAAGCTATTTGTAACAGCTACGGTGACATCTCTTCGGTATACGTTTGCCCATGGTCCTGTGAAAATCTCCGGCGCTGGCGCATGTCCATTTGCGGCAATCTAGACCAAAAATCAGCGACGGGCCCGGCGATGGTTGGCCACCAACTGGTATTTCTGGCCGAGGGACGGCATACATTTGCACTCGCTCCTGTGTCATGCGTTAGCCGTGTGCTCGCGCTCAAACGCCAGAGCTCTGGGATGGCCGGGGCGTTGCATGCATCTGAGATGGCCGGACTTTGGATGGCGACATACCGTAGTGTCCACCATTGTGCGCGTCGTACAAGGGATTCCCATTGACACCATCGTAGCGGCGCGGCGCAGGCTGCTGCTGCTGCTGGCGCGATTTCTGCTGGCCTGACGGATCCATCTCTTAGGCAGTTTGCGCGCCTGCTCCTCGCGGACCGCTGACCATTCGCTGGTGGAAGGTGTGAGAAATGCTGCTGCCCTTGAGCGAAATGCGCGCAAATGCAGAGGCGGGACTCCAATGTGATTTCGATGCGCGCAAAGCCGGGTGGAAGATGGTTGGGTGGCTGTCGCAGCGGCCGTCGTCAGAGATGCGGTGTCGGTTCAACGGTGCGACGAGCTTGCTGGAAAAAGTAATAAGCGGGGAATCGCGATCCTGCTGGTATCGAGCAGGCGGACGGCCTCTGTGTAGCAGCTGCACCCATTATTGAACTGTGCGACCAGGATAGCCATCGACGGGCATCTGTTTACCTTTGTTGATGGTCTGGTCGCGGGTAAGCTTTCCAGGTACGAGATGACGCCCTGCGGTCTCGCGCTTCCCAGTGGAGCGTCTGCTGCCAATCGGATTGAAGGAGCACGAACGAACCAGCGACAAGAGAGCAACAGGCAAGGGAGACGGGAGCGCTATGGCTGTGATCTCCTGGAGACGAAGTACTGGCGCCCGAGGCTCAGCGCAGGCAATTGGATAGACGGCCGGTATCGAGGGGACGACTGCACAAATGAAGAGGGCACGTCACGGTTGCACGGGGTGTGTGGGGATCGTCAGGTCAGGTCACTCCCGTCTTTTATATCACTCTCGAGGAACGAGAGCGTCCCGTGGGTGGTGCGAATAGTAAGGCGACAGTGCAAAAGGATGTTAGCAGCGGAGTGTACTCGGTACCTTTACGAGTCCCGTGAGCACTGGAAAGAGGGCTGCTCAGCAAAGTGCTATGTCACCCTTCAGCACTTCCCGGCATCAATCCCCAGAAGCCGACGATTAACAGGGAAAACTCTAGCAGGGTGGTAGCACGTCTGACAGCGGTGGCGCTCGACAGCCTCAACCGGAGAGGAGAATCAAGGTACAATCAGGGTACAATCACGCCACGATTCGCTCGTGAGGCTGATGGAGCTCAATTCCTGTGTGATGGGACACCTGATTGGAGGCCTGAGCGGGTGCGATATGCAGGCTGCGGAAGCGATGAGTTGTTTGGTCCTCATATCAGACGGCATCGTAGGCCTCAATACTGAAACGCGCGTTTACCGTCAAAAGTGAAGCTTCTATGCATTAGAGTAGAGGGATCACGAGTCTGACAGCTATCGCCGAAGCTGCTTGGTGGTGAAGGGGAACCGGCAAGCGATGCGCAGTGCCAAGGCTGCCTCGGACAGTGTTTCTCCGACTCCGGATTTCTTCATCCGTTCTCGAAAACTTCCTTGAGGTATTTCGTAAAGTTACGTCGACCTCTCAACACATCGATGGCCCTTGCAGCTCAGGAAAAGCCGGCCCTTCAGCAGGACTATGGACTGTCCGATGAGGAAGACCTGTCGGAAGAGCAGATCCAGGAGCTCTTGAAACAAGCCGAGGCCAGACTGCGAGAACGGGCTGTTTCGAAATCCCGGCCGCAAAATGCCACTACATCGTTGCCCAAGCTGAGTACCGGCACTCTCGAGGCGCCCTACGTCAAAGTCGAGAAGAACATCGCCCGAGTAGATGGCTCCCGCCTTTTGGATCCCAATTTACGCGCTTTATCGAACCAGGTCCGAAAGGTGGAAGAACCAGTGAGACAGAAGCAGAAGCAGGCAGAGGTAAGCTGCAGTATCTCCTTGCCATTTTTCAAATCTTTCACTATAAATCCCGGAACTTCCCTATCCACTGCCAATGAGGAAAATTTTCCATACATATCTCGAGCAGACACGTGGTTCCGTCTTGGTTACCATCCTGCATCAATGAGAGTCTTTCTATTCATAGTTACTCTGAGGCAACAGCAGACGTGTTTTGCAGTCATAAGGTTCGAGTTGAGGTTGGAACTAGGCCTCGCAGCCTGATATAAAGCCCTGCGCTTTCGGACAGAAGCGGGGTGCTCTACGCGTCCGACGGCTTTGAAGGACTTTGATATTTAGATGCTGCTATGACCTTTGGCTTTTGGCTCGACTCCAAACCTCCATGACTGCAGAATTCGTCTCGCTCCTTTCGCAATGGAACAAGGCCATGTACTTTGCGGCGCGATGAGCTGACACACTGGTCACAGGAGAAAAAGGCGACCGCGGGCCCAGACTGGTTTGGTCTGCCTCGTCTTGACCCGACACCGGAATTGAAGCAAGACATCAAGTTGATCCAAATGCGCTCGGTTCTGGATCCCCACAGACATTACCGCAAAGAAGGCAAAGCACAAATGCCCGAGTATGCACAAGTCGGAACGCTCATTGAGGGACCTACGGAGTTTTACAGTGCGAGAATCCAGAAGAAAGACCGGAAGAAGACCTTTGTTGAGGAAGTGTTGGCCGCGGAATCCGAGAATGGCCGTTTCAAGAGGAAGTACGATGAGGTGCAAACGGCGAAGACTAGCGGGAAGAAGGCCTACTACAAGGCGCTCAAAGCCAAGAGGTCGAAGAAGGGCTGAAACAGCCATCCACTACTCTTCGCCGGAATCCAGAATCATCCATCGTGGACGTTGTCTCCTGCCCAGCCGCCATACGCCGATCAACCATCGATCAATAGCGCCACAGTGCCAAGTCCTCGAAACAAGGGAAAACCAGGTCACGTGATAGTTGCAAGATTTGTTTAAGCTTGCCCATGCGCACATGGCTCACTCTGAGTAAGGTCAGTCCAATTCCATGCGGATGACCGTGCGGTTAGGTCTCCTCGGAACCAGATCGAACCCGCTTCAAAGCCAGTAGGATGAGGGATTGCTCTGCATCAGCAAAAGATGGGCATAAACGACACGGTGCGACAGACACAGCAGCCATATGGCGATAGTCGGGGTGTCTCATCAAACCACACTAGACGTTCTGTACTTCTATTGGGGTATCACATGCTATGTGGAGCAAAGATCGGACATGATCTGTTTCACTAGTGCCTTTTTCCAAGTTAGCGAAAACCTCTCCAGCAATATTCTATCAGACCGCTTTCGACTTACCTGCATGTCCTCCGCCGCAAGTCTCCCCTCCTCCAACACCTCCTCATGGTTAGCCCTTCCCCTGCCAAGATACTCCTCCAGCTCCGCACTGCTCATCCCCTGAATCTCCTCATCATCCCCCCTCGCGCCCGCCTCTAAAACAGCATTGTTCGTCACCAGACTAAACGCCAGTATCCGTATACCCGAGTGCCTCGCAACAATAATCTCCGGTACCGTTGACATGCCCACCAGATCCGCACCAAGTGTCCGCAGCATGCGACACTCAGCCCGGGTCTCATAGCTGGGCCCGGAAACAAAAGCATAGACACCCTCGTGCAGCCGCCGTTTCTGCTTGTCGAGCCCAAGCTTCTTCCATGCGAGATGCGCGCGTCGCCGCAGGTCGAGGTCGTAGGCGTCGGAGAGGGGCGGGAAGCGGACACCGAAGTCGTCGATGTTAGGGCCGAGGAGGGGGTGGTTGCCTACGAGCCCCGCGAGGTTGAGGTGCTTATGCTCAGTCAGACATTTGTAGACCATGGGCAGCAAGGCTTTAGACTGAACATACATCGTTCAGGCACACGATATCTCCGACTGCGTAATCTGGGTTGAGTCCTCCAGCTGCATTTGTGACTATATACGCTGTCAGAGCTAGATCTCTGACTTCTAGAAATACATCTACACGCACCGATCATGGTTTCTACGCCCAGGACCTTGCAGACTCGGGTCGCGAATGTGACAAGCTCCATTGTGTGGCCTTCGTAGAAGCTGTGTTGGATGCGCATCAGCACTCGGGCTACCGTATCTTGTTGTAGAGAGCTACTGACTGCGCTCTGCCAACAAGCAACACGGTGGGCATCTCAGCAGGCCCTATGAGGCCAAAGACGAGCTTGCCCGCATGTCCTTTTACTGTTCCACCTCAAGTCATCAATCTCGCGTCCTCGTACTCCGACAATATCCCACGGTCTTGCACAGCACGCGGCGCATCCCCGCTAGGCAGACCTACCTGTACTCTGTGGGAAGTTTGGTATGTTCGCGTACGCCGTCTCAACTCTCGGCTCTGGGTGTATCGTCTCCGCAAGTCCACCGAGACCGGAGCCGCAGACAATAGCTACGCGTGGGTTGCGGAGCTCTTCTGGGAGATTCGTGCGGAGGTAGAGGGCGGTTTCGGTTGCGCGCTGGAAGACGCCGGGGGATGGTGCTAGGTCGGTCATGCTGAGGTCTTGAGGGAACTCACCTTGGTACTCTGAAGATAGTGGAAGGGAGTTGTGAGCAATTCTGAAAGGCAATTGGGATCGAGAGAGCGTGAAACATGTGTGACTAGAATGATATCACATGCTTGTTGTGCCGGCGCTGGCCGAGGCGGCAGAATCCACAAGGGGGCTGCTTGGCGGTGAGCTTGCCAAATGCCAAGATATTGAGGCTCTACAGCGTATCGAGTTGAGAGGGCAGCGAGTGCTGGCATCATCACATATACAGCTGATGGCAGCACCTTCGTATCTGAGATCGCCTTTTGGGGCCCTCAAGAGGATAAAGGTTAGATGATTCGCCTGCCTAATATAGCCTACACCCACTGACAACCGGTATCGTAGATTTCTCCTCCCACCTCAACATGCCAGCAACGAGCCGGATTCAACACGGTGATAGAAGCATTGAAGGACCAAGAACATGACATTGAGAAGCTACAAGAGTATGGATCCTACTGTTATTCCACACGAGGTTTACGTTAGCTAACCAGCTCCCAGGCTCGCCAAAGAGCGCAACATCAAAATCGACACCGATGCGCCCCCGTAAGCCAACGCCAATCCACACCCCCGTCCACGCATCGTTAACGCCCCATATAGAGCTCTCGATCCCGAAACCCAAGCCCAAGTATCCTCCCTCCGCCTCCCCCGCAGCGTCCAAGCCGTCTACCTCCGCCCCCTCCGCCGCGCGGCCCAACACGGCATTCCCGTCTGCGACCTCCAGCTCCGAACGTACAGCGTGCGCAACATGGAGTTCTTCGCAGACTTTGCCCTGCGCGCCGCCTATTACCTGAACCTCCCCGCCAAAGGCCCTATCCCTTTGCCGCGCATTACAGAGCGCTGGACAGTCCCGCGGAGCAACTTCGTGCACAAGAAGAGCCAAGAGAACTTCGAGCGCATCACGCTGAGGCGGCTGATCCAGATCCAGGACGGGCACCCGGAGACGGTCAGGGTGTGGTTGGGGTATCTGCAGAAGCATGCGTACTACGGGGTTGGCATGAAGGCGAATGTGTTTGAGTTTGAGGGGCTGGATGTTGGGAAGGATATGGAGGCGGAGACGGAGAGGCAGAGGGAGGGCCTCGAGGAGAAGCTGAGTTTGTTTGGGAGGAGGACGGATGGGATGACGGGGGAGAAGATTAGAGAGATTTTGAGCAGTGAGACGTATCAGAGGACAGCGCATGGCGATTCGCCGATGATGAGAAAATGAAGAAGAGGGGGTGTACAGTTATGGTTGTTGCTTGTTCTTTAGGGATGCATGGCATGGAGCACCTGGGGCATTTGTAGTAAGGTAAACCATATCTGTACACTGTATGTAGGGATCTCACGTCTTTCCACCAAGTCAACGTTCGAGCCAAGCAAACCTCAGTTCTATGCGCACCTAACATTCGGACCAATACCGAAAAGTTTTCAATGAACCCATAGCCTCAGGCTGAATGCCCGAACTTTGTTACCGGCCCTCAAAGACAGCTAAGCTATGCAGTCGGGAGAGGAGTAGAGGAGAGGCATGGGAATGGATATCAAAGTCGTTGTACGCAGGTCATGTGATCCCCTACATAGATCTCATCCAGCCAGCATCCGCAGGCGTCCCTGGCAAGTTCGGGACCCTCGGGGCGACAACGTCTTCGTTCAAACCTGGATCGCTGACCGAAAACCGGGGAACCTGCATTGCGCAACTGTGACAAGGAATGGCATTTGAAACGGAATTATCCAGGGTGCTCGCATACACCCAGGGCAAGGGCACGACGGGAAGCTTTCTGCGCCTCGTCGACGCCTGAGCAGACTCGAGCAAAGGCTATCTCTTTGACATCTGCATTCTCGCGTCGTTGATGCGCCTAACGTACGAGTGGCGTGTTCTGCATCCGTGAATAGAGTCATACCCCTCCCGGCTCTGCAGGAACTTCTCCAGAAGATGCAGACGCCCCGTCGTCAAAAGCAATCGAGGGGCTTGGTTTCCCGTGAAGTGGCTCTGAAGACGGGAGAAGAGGGCCGGCACTTGTCAACGCTGAGCTGCGGGGGAGTACTTTTACGCGTGTCCTAAACCCTCGACGTCAACCACAAGAGTGAGGGGAATTCGATAGTTCATGTCGCGTGAGCGTTGGGCGGCTTGGCATGGAGCCAGTGGTTTCAACGACCGAGAAATATTCAGCGGCTGGAGTGATTGCGAAATCTTCCCTGACGAAGATCTGTAAAATCGTCAATTAGGGCTTCTTTTGATTGAGATGACGGACTGCGTGGCGCGCGACGGAGTCCGTCGAGGCCAGTATGTCCGGCTCCAAATGCTTTATGAGCGAAATTGACTGTGATAGAGGACTTCTATCCGGGGTGGCTGATTGAGCGAGACAGTCGATGAAAGCTGAGTGTGTTCACCCACGAACAGAGACGGGTCCAGCCAAGCTTCGTCCTCAAGGAACAACCCCAGCGGACATGCCGATCTCATGCAGCTCTCGGCATGTTAGTTCCCTATCCCCAGTACGATACAAGGGTTCCCCAAGAAAAGGCCGATGGCCCCCCCGACTGCACACAGCCAATAGCAAGAATCATGTGACTCAACACTGTGGGCTGAGTGGTTCGTTTCGAAACGGCAAGCTGGGAGGGCATGCGGCCCTTTTATGGACGACCCTTGTAACTTGTGGAGAGCTTCTACTCATTTTCTTAGTAAGTGTGAAGTCAAGCAGGAGTCGAAGTGTAGGTCATCCGATTGGTTGATAGCCCCTGTTTTGACCCATGCTTAACTTCAAACTTATTAAGAAGATCAGTAGTTGGGCAGAAATATTCGACTTGGATTGAGTTTGAAGCCCGATGGTTGATCCATGCCGTACCAAAAACAATTACCGCCTCAATCTTCACATTGCAGTGTAGGATCCAGTTAGAACGACTGAAGTCCGCAAGCACGATATTTCAGTGGTCGGACTCATGTCCTCGCCTGAGGTGAGTGCCAGAGTGAACTGCATGGAGACGAAGATCTGATCTAGATAATCTTCGAACCCACTCTTTGACCATGCATTTCCTGTCCGTTTCTTCGAGCCCTATCCATACGAGCGCGGCAGATCCATCAAACGCGGGCGCATGATGCATCAATCTCAACAGTCTTAGAACAAGCTACGAAAGGCGCCAGGCGACGGGAACGTTCGTTCTGTCAGGGCGATTGTCGTGTATCGACGCGTGGAAGAGATCACGCCTTGGAGATAACGTCCAAGGCTTACCCGAAATAAACGTGGCCACGCAAAAAACTAGATTCAGACATCGACACTCGACAACGGTATCGTATAGACTTACTATATCAGAATTGATACTGTTCGATCGCTCCTACTCATGGTTACAAGACTAAGCTATTTTGTTTGGATTTGGGTGCGTAATCGTTACTACAAAGGTCAATTACTATGATGCAGGGTGTCTCCGGCCATTTGGCGTGGCCGTCGTTTTTTCGGGTAAACGGCTGGCAACTGCCCGGGACCGAATTCTACGAAGCTCAACGGCCGCAATATCTCGCCCTAAGACGCGCCGGCTTCCCTCAGGCAGCCACAGCTCTGCACCGTAAAGCTTCAAGATATGCGCCGCATGCCGCTACGAAGACGCAGTTCGGTCCTGGAAGCAGCCGTCCAAGCTGTTCACTAACAGCTTGCCGTAAATCTAGGTGCTGTTACCTATCAAATCTTGCAAAGAACCGCTCACGGTGCGCGAGTCGCACGACAGCTGAGTCCGATCCCACGAACGCGCTTCATCAATGGCTCTGGGCCTTCTTCATCGCGTGGCTTCGGCGAGTGAAACGTGCAACGGCGAGGCGCCGCACGGATTCCCAGACGTGAGTTTCAACCCCAGAGGCCAGCCTGGACTCAAAATACCCTGGGTATCCTAGATATGCAACTTTAGCACTATTTTTTGAGCGACTGGATTGGAAGATAATACGACGGGGAAACCACCGAGTGAACCCGTGCGCAAGCAGCCTGTTCCTGACCGCCAAGATATAGTTTGCGGCAACATCCTACCTAGCGCGTCCCGCCAGCTCACTCTAATGTGGCTTACCGCTGCTTGTAAGAGGATTACCTGGGCTTTCATCATTGCACGTCCCCCTAGTTAGGCAGCAGCACAGTAGTACCGGCTCACCAGCAGCCATACCACGTAGCCGTAGGAAGGCCACACCAGGATGGAAGCCCTGAAAGAACATCACACTCGCACTAGCTTCTGACCTGGGAGTCGACATCAATATGTCTAAACGTAATGTTAGGTACCGTCTTAATCGTTTGTCAGAATGTCGCTGGTAAACCGACGCGAGGTACGGAGTATCTGGCAGCTGTTCAACGATCTTGTTCAACATTCCGAACTTCCTTGGCTTCTAGAAGGTTGGAGTCGCTAGAAAAACGCGTTCGAGATCCCTCGGCCATCAGTCGGAATATCGTTTAATTTACGCTTGCCAAGAAAATCTTCTTCAGTGCCTGTGCCTCTGCCCCTGCCCCTGCGCTAGCATTGCCGATGGCTTCATGCACCCGCAGTTCCGCAACGGCTGAACTTCTCGATAGTGGACGAGGCGTACCTAAGCGACACCAGGCAGTCCTTGCGTCTCCTGTGCCGCTCTTCTGTCAGAGCACAACAGATGATCGGAATGCAACACTCCAGGCTACCGGCAGGTGCCCACACGCCAGGCCATCAAGCCGGTCGACCCTCCCCTCGCACAAGGGCGTAGCATGAAGGCCAACTTTTTGGAGAATAATTTATCTGACACGAGGCCGACCTGCGGCTGAGCTTCCGGATTGCTTTAGCCCTACTCCCTATCACGGCTTGTACCAGTGCCGACTAGCGTTGTTCCTTTCATGTGCGGGACCACAATGGCGGAAAAGCAACCTCATGAGCGTACCTCAAGCAGTTAAAGTACGCTGGCACTGCATCCTCTTCCGCTGAGCCCCGGGTCTAGGGATCCGTAACATTGGTGTTTCCAAGCGGTACCAATCCAATGCCGTGTCTTTAGGTTCCCGTTTCTGTGCGCTTACCCAGGTGGCCCCACTTGCATATCATCGAGAGTACAACCCCAGAGCTGGTCTGCAGGAACCGGCTTGTGGTAGCTTGGTACTTGCACGGTAGTTCGTCAAGTACCACAGGCATGCCGCTGCGCGGGATCGCCTTTTTCCCATGTGCCTTTCAATTCCCTTCATCATCCTCCATGTCTTGTGCTCCGCCGCTCCTAGTTTGATTTGTCTGGGCGCCTCAATAGACAGAATCTTGGTTCGACAGAATATATCCAGGGCTGGGCTGAAAGGGCTGGCCGATGTCGTTGTACTTCTAACTTCGACAGCCGTCACGTTGGAAGATCCCTTGAACCCCCACTGCCCTCGTTTACTCTCATATCGTCACTCTCTCACCTTCTCGAGCTCAGCGTTGCTGTGTTGCCCTTCGAAGAGAAGTTCCCTTGTACTGTTTCCAGCCTATAATTGCCGCAGTACGTAATGTCCAGCTTTTTATACCCAGAATTTTATCTTAACGCTCCTGTTTGTACGTTGAGATGAGTTTGGCCGCTCGTTACGGAACATTTAAGTACCAGTCATGATAAGGCTGTTTACTCTATTGGATGCTAGACCACTATCACGTATGGTCAGTGGGGGGTATGCTGACATTTTGTGCTTAGCCAACTTTCAACCTCTGACTGCTCTTCGAAGCCTCCATGGTTCTATCAATCCTCCTCGCCGCGCATCTCTGCAATCGACCGCTTCAGTGTTCGCTAGAGCTCAACACCTGCATTGAGCGTTCAAAATAATCAACGGGCCACCCAGTCTTTATCCATATCTGCCGCTTTGGACTGTTCATGGGGGTGACAACAAAGACAATGCTCTTCCTCAGTAAGGGTCAGGCATCCAGGCGGTCCAGGCGGTCGTCCGTCGAATCTCATTGCGGCGAGGAATCGGGATTGGACTTTTGGCGATCTCCTTCGCTGAGCTCATCGATACAAGAAATACGAGGCGATTTACGGTCCCCGCTCCATTTGCAGAATCGAGAGCAACCTGGAAAAAGAAGCTCCGTCTTCGGCTTCCGTTCCAGGAGCAACACCGCAACCTCAAACACGTCATCAATTCGTTCCCGCCCTTCGACCATGACAGGACCAGAGAATGCATCTAGACAGTCATCACCAGAAAATAGGTCGTCCATAGATAGCCCAGCAGGGTCTAGTCGAACCTTCTTCTCACGTGGAAAGAAACACAGCCGTGAAGGTGCGCCATTTAGATCCAGTTCTGCTCTGGAGCACATCGATGAGCGAGAAATTGGCGGGCGAAGCTCGGTTCTGCTTCGGAGGGAACGACACAAACGAGTTCCAGATGAAGCTTGTAAGCCCTCGTACCTTGCAACATCGCTTTTGCGAGTGCTTACAGTTTGGTGCATCAGTTACCGAGAAAAGACCTACTATCTCGGCTCCGTTCAATTTCCAACATCTTACCCACACGCAACGGCAGCAGTTTCCCGCACTCGAGAGGACAAGTCAAAACGAGTTGATCGCCGAGTTCTGGGCTGTCAGAGCCTCTCAACTCCCACGACGTGAACTCGATGGAATCAAGGCTGAGGACCTGCAGGGTGCTACGTCTGAAGACCCTTTCCATGACTTCTCGGCAGAGACGAGGGAAACAGTGGCCTGCAATAAAGTTGCCCACCAACATGATGCAAGAACACCACCCACGCTAAGCCCTAGTCAGTCGCATGAGTTTACTCAGCGCGACTTACCGTCCCCAACCTCCAGTATGAGGTTACGACACAGCCGCTCGGTAGAGAGCTTCTCTCAGCTAAGAATCAAAGCACGTTCGCCTAGGTCATCAGGCACTCCGCTCTCACCGCATCGTTCGTCCCGACTTGTACTGCCTCCTGTAGATCATGCCACTGGGCAACAGGAGATGACTCTTACGCTTCGCGAATCCGATACACCCCAGAGAACTTCCTCTCGGGGATCAGGAATCTGGCTGAGAGGCTCTCGCCTAGGTTCCCCCCTTAAGTGGCCGTCGAACTTAGAAGATCCAGTGAAGTTGAATTCACTGTCACCTGGCGAACTACACGCTGTGCCTACGCCGGATCAAGCAACATGGCCCGCTGCATCTCCTTCATTCAGTATTTGTCTCGAGCAGGTGCCAGAGGAGCCAGAGACCTATTTTGCTCGCCGAGCATCGACATCGCACCAGGTAAACATGCCTCTGGACGCGCAGCGTCGGTCTCCCCCCAAGACATCAGTGACAAAGCCTCCGCCCAAGCGGTACTCGGCCTTTTACGATCAGCTGAGCTCACCCACACAGCCACGAAGTCGTGCTCATGCACGACCGGGATCACAGATGTCTGATACTTTGGACTCTCCATCTAAGCCACAATTTGTCGAGTGTACAATGCGAAGAGCTCCGTCAGGAAATGGTCATACGCCGTCCTTCAGGGATTTTGAGGATTCTTGGGAGGATCACATTGACTACTGCTACGACAACGAGATGGAGGCCTGCTGCGACGTTGACTGGGATGGCCGCGAGCCAGACAGCGGGTCTTGCCGCACGGCTGCCTTGAGCGACGATTCACGTCCGGCCACTACTGTAGAGGATTCCGAGGTGGATACCTCGATCACGAACGCCCCCAGGTTCAATGTCAACAAGAAGCTTCCTCCCGCACCATGTCCTCTCATGTCGCCTTTTCCTCCGGCTCCGCCGGGCTCGTCCGCTGTCACTGATCTATACCATTATCAGTCCTCTTCCTCATTGTCCCCAGTTGGCGCTAACAATGTTACTCATTATGGCGCTTCCGCGCAGACCATTGGTTCGCCAACAGTCGCCCAATGTTCCGAGCCCGACTGGAGCAGCTTTGCGCCTTCCGTTTATATCCCCCAGCACTTGAAGTATGAGCCACTGAAGGAAGATCTGGATGAAGGACTTCTCGCCGAGTACGAATCTTGCGACTTTCATCATCCCATCTTCAACCTTTCTCATGATGTACGCGTTAACTTCAATCCTGTCAGCAAGCGCAGCTCGCTTGACAGCAGTATCCCTTCCGAAAGCACATCAGGCCCAGGGTCGATCATGTCCTCCACCAGGCGCTCAGCAAGCTCCGCAACCAGCATGCCTGAGCTGGTCTACAGCCGGCGGGCACGTGAAGCTCTTGACCGCGTGGTTGACCACTTGGCCGAGCAGATGGCAACCTTCGCCGACCTCGAAGAAGACGACGAGGACAAGGAAACCTCTAGCAACATCAGGCGCAGCGATCTCACGGAGCCAAGAGGCCACACGTTCTTCTCTGTTGAGGAAGAAAAGGCCGAGGAAGACGCACATTATCCGAACGTGGGCGACATAGCCGAGGAGATCCCAGTGGTGCTTCATCAGCACGAGCGCGAGCGCGCAGCCTCCGAGAGCGTCGCAGAGTCAATCGTAAGGGGTTCGTTAGTGCAGGCGCGCCAGCGAGCAGCAACCCTCACACCGAGCAGCACGGCGCATACACTATCGCTGTTCCCGGCGCCACCGAGGACACGGGTGATGACGCCGTAGGCAGCACGCAGACTCCTACGCGAGTGTGCTGTTTGTACGATTTCATGACATGTGCTGTACTATCTTCATGACTTTCCTTAACTCCAGATGCTTGTCTTGCTGGCAGGTTTCTGTTTGTATAATGATTAATGGACGAGGAGAGATGTTGATCCCTCAAAAAAGTCACATACCCTTTGGTTGTCATCTAAAACCATCGTATCGGCGTTTCGCAGCTCCAAAAGCGTTGCACGTGCGCGCAAAGCGCAGGGCTAGAGTTTACGGTTATTCTTTCTCGACACACAACGTGTCGAACGTGTGCGTTCAAACGGCCTCGCAGATGAGACGAGGGCCTAGCTGTTGCAGACCGCGGTTTGTTTCATGGAATAATAGTAGATACTCGAGCCAACTGACACTGACGTATCCGCTTCTCCATGTTCTGATATTGTCCATACGCCATCTACATCGTGCTTCACCGCACACCCCAAACCCCCAGCACATCCCCCGCCCCGCTCTCCCTTTCCCCCTCCAACCTCTTCGCCCTCCGCACCAACAATCCCACGCAGAGCGGACCGAGGACGGTACACAACACAATCGCCCACGTGACTACAAGAAAGATGTCTGACTCCCCTCCGCTTCCGGAAGACGCGAAGATCCCATTCGTCTCTGCGATCGAGGAGATCAGGAAGCCGATCTCGCCGCGGGCTACCATCGCGCTGCCGAGGATGGCGGCTGGATACAGGGAGCGAGGCTTCGCGGGATTTTCGGAGCGGAAGCGGGCCTGCCGTGTTGGGGGTTCAGGAGCGGGAGGGGAAGTGGCGGCGGATGCGACGGGGATGGACAAGAGCTCTGTTGCTGGCTGCGGCTCCGGCGGGTCGCTGCTTCGCGCAGAGGCCTGCGTAGGCTTCTGCGGCCGAGGAGATGTGGTCTTGCTCAAGTCGCTTCTACGGCCCCAGAAGTGGGCGAGACGTGGGATTTGTACCTTGACGCGCGCGTATTCGAGAATCTTGGAAGGCGGTGCTGAGAGCCGGATAAGCCAGATCCCGCAGACCAGCTTAGCAAAGGCCATCAGGATGGTGTAGATCATGCCGCGCCAGAGTACGGGGCCGGTGAACATGCGGGTGATGGGTATGGAGAAGCCGATTGACGCCTTTCGACGTGCTAGTTATTGTGCTGCTTGACTTGTCAGACGTGGCTTGGACTTACGAAGAACAAGGGTTTGAGGATTCTATTTACGGCTTGTTCGTAGTACACCTCGTAGACTGCTATGCCAGAGTTTCCGTTACTGATATCTCCTATCAATGGCCCCTCTACCAGCCTGTTACTATGCGATATGGCTTCAGCTGAACCGGTAGGAGCCGTAACCTCTGCTTCTACGCTGTTCCGGCTTGGCTGCGTATCTGCGGGCTGTGACTGCTTCGCGGGAGTCAGATCACTTCCACCTGCATCGGGCAAAGAAGGCCTTCTATTTCTGCCCTTTGGGTCTATGCATATATGTGGCACCTCTTCGTCCCACCAGCTGATAGCGGCGCCCGCTAGGTAGGCCGCGAAGAGGTTTGATGTACCAGCATACGATGCTCCCGTAACAAAGCCCAGGAGCAAGGGAGTATGCACGGCGAAGGCAGTCTGTATACGGGACAAGGTCCTGTGCACGAATCCTGACTGATTGCCCTGGCGTTGGCCGTTAAGCCAGACCGTCAGTGGCTTGACGAGGAGTCGGCAGGCAACCGGGACCGCAACAGCAAATGCGAGAGATACCAGGACAGGCCTAACCACCGTCACAGCGCTGATGGCATCTGATGAGCCGCCAAGATTCGAGATCACTTGCACCATCACCAGTCCTACAACATCATCCATCATGGCGGCACTGGTGAGAACAACGCCGAGACGAGTTGTCGTCAGGCCACTAGCACTCAGCACCGTGAACGTCGTGCCTAGACTAGTGGAGCACGGTGCCGCGCCCGCCGCGAACGCCTGTAGTGGAGTTGCCCAGACGAGGCCTTGCAAGCTGAACGAAAGACTTATTGGAACGCTGATGCCGGTGATAGCCACAACGGTTGAGAGGGCAAGGTTTGCTTTGAGGGAGGAGAAATTGGTCGACAAGCCTCCTTCGTATACAAGTAGAATAAGGCCAAGATAGCCTAACTGGACGATTACTTCCTGGGGTTCTAGTCCGAGCCATTGAGCACCCGGCACGCCCCAGGCGACTCCGAGGAAGACCTGGCCGAGCAGCCCGCAGTAGAGGGTTTTATCGAGGACAGAGTTGATGGTATTGAGAAGCAGTAAGAAAGATGACTGAATAAGGATAGTGATGATGCTTGGTTCATGATATGGGAGAGATGTGGAAGATGAGTCCGCCATGTTTGGTAATCTAATGTGGCCTCAAAACGACAACTCAGCAGCATGAGGGCCTTGTGGGATTTATCAGAACCGATTAAACGAAAGGATATCGCCTCTCTCTATGACTGGCAACATCGAATCCAGCGCGATGGTATTTGTAATAGGGGACTACCTCTAGAGACCAGATAATGGAATCAAAAAGATGTAGTACTGTCTTGGAACACTACTGCTACCGAATTCTAATGAGAAGTGCGCGAGCAGTGAATTCTGGCTTGACGTCGCTGGCATCGCTGTCAAAGATCTCCCGCTGTCGGCCAGGATCCCCGTCTGCTGGCGATTTTCAAGGTTGGTGCGGGACGTTGCCGGGCCCTGCTTTCCACCGTTTCCTCGACCCAAACAGCTGCGCAAGCCACACATGCCTTCTTCACTCGCTGTCTTCGCTGTACAGATGGTTTCCCGTAAGCATGGCGCTACTTGAACAGCGATGGGTGACAGTCCAGCAGAAGACGTTCACGAAATGGTCAGCCCCGACTCGTACTGTAGGAAGAGATAGTTTATAAGGACTAACGGGCGCAGGCTAAACAACAAGATCCAAGCCAGAGATGTACAAATCGACGACTTGGTGCATGATCTTTCCGACGGCGTTAGTTTTGACTGCAAACCCCCCCTTGCAAAGCCTTCAATGACTCACTAGCATGCAATAGGTCGTACTCATCCACCTCCTCGAAATTCTCAGCCAGGAATCCCTCGGGCGCTATGCCTCCCGCCCCAAGCTCCGCGTCCAGCGTTTCGAGAATGTGAACAAAGCGCTCGACTTCATCAAAGCGAGGCGAATACAGCTTACGAACATCGGCGCGGAGGATGTGGTGGACGGCAACCGCAAGATCATACTGGGTCTGATATGGACATTGATTCTCAGGTTCACGATCAGCGACATCAATGAGGAGGGGCTGAGCGCCAAAGAGGGCTTGCTGCTGTGGTGCCAGAGGAAGACTGCATGCTATGAGGAGGTCGAGGTGCGGGACTTCTCCACAAGTTGGAATGATGGACTGGCTTTTTGTGCACTGCTTGACATCCACCGACCAGACCTCATTGACTACGATAGCCTGGACAAGAGCGATCACCGCGGCAACATGCAATTGGCCTTTGATATTGCTTCCAAGGAGATCGGCATCCCAGATCTCCTCGACGTTGAAGATGTCTGCGATGTGGCCAAACCGGATGAACGATCACTTATGACATACATTGCGTACTGGTTCCACGCCTTCTCGCAGATGGAGAGGGTCGAGAACGCAGGAAGGAGAGTGGAGAAGTTCGTCCAGAATATGCAAGGCGCCTGGTCGATGCAGAATGATTTCGAGCGACGGATGAGGGATTTACTGCGCCAGATTGCTCAGCAGAGGCAGGAGTGGGAAGAGGCTAGGTTTGAAGGCACATACACGGACGCAAAGAACCAAGCCACAGAGTTCACAGTGTACAAGAGGAGCCAGAAGCGGAAGTGGGTAGCGGAGAGGTCGGATCTCGTTGGGCTGCTCGGGAACATCAAGACAAAGCTCAGCACGTATAGGCTACGACCGTATGAGCCTCCGCCGGAGCTGAGTTTGGAAGCTCTTGACCGGGCATGGATGGGTCTGATGCAAGCAGAACGAGACCGGAGCCAGACTATCAACGAGACCATTAGAGACATCAAGAACGCGCTGCGCCGCTCTTTCGCCGACAAAGCGAACGACTTTGCCCTCGCCCTGAACACCCTAGCGACTTCGATATCTGGCTTGGAAGGCGACGTTGAGGACCAGCTGCGACACAGCCAGAAGATTAGCGAGAACCTCCAGCCTCTGGATCAGTACCTCGGCATCATCTCCGATCTAGATCAGCAATGCGCCGAAGCGAACATAGAAGAGAACGACTTCACCACCTACACGTACGACGAGCTCGAATACGAACTAGGCCTGGTCAAGTCCAGCGTGTCGAAGAAGCTCGCCTTCCTCGAGAACCAGATGGTCGCGAGAAACATGACGAACCTCACCCCGATACAGCTCGAAGAATTCGAATCCGTCTTCAGACACTTCGACAAGGACGTCAGCAATTCGCTGCAAGAGCTCGAGTTCTCAGCGGCATTGGCCAGCCTGGGTCTTGTGTACGACGAAGCGGAAATGCATGAGAAGTTCAGGCAGACCAGCGGGGGGCGGGACCATGTCACCTTTGAGCAGTTCATCAGGTTCATGGTCGATGAGACGGAAGACCAGAACACGGCGGAGCAGGTGTTCGAGAGCTTCAAGGAGGTTGCGGATGGAAAGGTATGGCTGATCTGCCGCTGCCTGCCATGAAGCAAGACTAACAATGCTCAGCCATACGTCACCGAACTCGACCTACGACACTCTCTTGTGCCGGATGAAGTGATTGACGACTTGGTAAAGACTATGCCGGAGCACAAGGGCCCCGATCTTCAGGAGGACAGAGACATGCCGAAGTACGACTACATCACTTACATGGAGAATTTCATGGGGATGACGAACGGGCATGTTAACGGGTTGAAACGCTGACACGGAATGAGTGGTCTGATTGTATTCTGGGCTGCACATGCTTCTGCAATCGGCGTTTGGTGGTGGATCTTGCATTGGAGCGGAGCGTTACTGGGGGAGGGGGGTCGGACATTGATTGTATGTGCATATACGAAGTCTATGAGGCTGATAATACATCATACTGAAACATGATGGTTCTATTGTTGATCAAAGGAGCTTTTGCCGTCTTGCACTTCGAATGCTCGTGGAGTGAAGGTTAGATTTGTTGTTGATTAAAGGGGTTTCGGCCGCCTTGAGTTCCCGAGTACATGTGGATGACCGTCCTGACTGTAGGAAGAATCTCCATCTCTCCATCCCCAGCCCGGCTGCAGCCTGTGAAGGAGCATCGTGGGAAGCAGCATGGCAACTCGATGGCCGTGAAACGTAGCGCAGGCCTGTAACAAGCCACTCCAGCGCCGTCCAGGGTCCGAGGTCGGGGGGGATGATTCCCCTGGATTGCGGCTGCACCCCAAGTCTGGTTCAGCAGCTCACCAGCGCTTGTCACTCGAAGCGCGAGTCGTCTTGCCGGGCGACGCTCTCGGCCCCAATGTGCAGCATTCCACTTTGCGCGCGCGACGAATGAAGGCCGCTCAAGCTCCAACTGCTGTGTGAAAGAAAGCGGGGCTAAGCCTCTTCAGGCCCGGCGGACCGACTGCCTTGAACTGCCAGGGCGGCGCCCTCAACCGCCAGAAACGCCCCCAGACGTGCCCAGCGCCGCACTCAGTACAACGTCCACCACCGCTGTAGGTACCACAGCCTGTGTCCTTGCCTGCTCCACCACTGACTTGACAACCCAAGATCGGCTGCCTCGAGAATCCGTTTGTTCTGTCGCTCCGGATCCCGTCACCCGTTCACCCCCCCACCACCGTCAACAACCCCCCGCAGTACCTTCGCCGTTTCGGAGACCGCCCGGTAGATCTACAGTGCAAGAGTCGGTTTCTGCAGCGGGAACGCTGCAAATTGCTTGTTCTCTCTTTGCTCCCTCGGGAAGCGCGACCGCGTGGTCGGCTTCTGTGGGCAGCTTTGTCTAACCGCCGTCGCTCTCCTCGAAACATAGCAGAAGTAGTACCCGTAGCTCTGGACAGTTAGGCGCGCTGCCTTGAGAAAGAGAAAGGGCCGCTTAAGATGTCGTCTTCGCATCAGCACCCGTAAGTGCCTGTCGTGAGGGGCCTACACATCACCCACACCTCGAATCCTCTCAATGCTGGAAGAGATATCAATGTTGAAACAAGATCTAGCCGTGGCAGGTCCTGGCGATGGGCCTGAGCGTGTACTCGGTGGACTGTGTTATCTTGTGCTTCGATCGGAGTGACACGCTGCGTCCACTTGTGCTGAAGAATGTTGGCTGACTCGAGATGACTACCAGCGTCTACACTCCTAATCAGTTCATGAACCCCGGCCCAGCCCCTCGTCCCCCGACCGACCGCCCCCGCTTCAACCTTACCCCCTCAGCTAGCAGCTTGCCGGGTAGCATGTCCGGATTGAGCTTACAATCACCATCCTCAACCGGTTCCCAAACATCCTTGCTAGTAAATCGCTCAATGACGGAGAAGGTCGGGGGTGGAGCATATTCAGTAGTCAAAGATGGACACGCGAAGGTGAAGGAAGAAGGCCTTTTCAAGGGGCTGGTGTGGTCAGACAGATACCTGGTGCTGCGAGAGTTCCAGCTGGACTTCTTCAAGAGCAACAACACGGCCAAAGTGTCGTATTCGATACAGTTAAGGGACATCACAAGCATCACCCGGTCCGAGGTCTATTCGTATTCGTTTGAGATCACACGGACCATGAGCTCTGGCTCGGGAGCATCTCCACCACGTGATGGCCCTACGAAAGTTCTCATCTGCAAAGTCGACACGGACGACGAGGTGTACTCATGGATAGATTCCATCTACCAGCGATGTCCGAGCATGGGCGGTGTCAGCAATCCGACAAACTTCACGCACAGAGTACACGTTGGCTTCGATCCTACTACTGGCGCCTTCGTTGGACTGCCATCGGAGTGGGAGAAGCTCCTTACAGCATCAGCCATCACCAAGGATGATTATGCCAAGAACCCCAAGGCCGTGCTGGAAGTCCTCGAATTCTACACCGAGAAGCTCGTGAAACGTGCCGAGGACCCTGCAGCTTACCCTAGCCTTACCCCAACTCCATCAATTGAGCCTGCTATGAACAAGCAGCTTGGCTATTCAAACAGCGGCCACTCAATAGCGCCGCCTCGCCCCGCTCCTCCAAACGGATTTAGACGCGAGGACAGTTACAATACGCCGAGGTCGGGAACGTCGACACCGACGACGAGAACCGCAAGCGAGAGGAATGTAGCGGACAGATCCCAAGCGCAGGCGCAAGCCGAGGCTCAGGCGGAAGAGCGGTGGCGGAGGAAGGAGGAAGAACAACGCCAACAACGTGAGCGCGAGCAGCAGCAACGCGAGCAGGAACGGCGCGAGCGTGAAGAACAAGATGCTTACAACGCATCGTTACCGAAGACTCGCACGCCGCTGGCGAAGCAAGAGGTGGGAGGCGGGGGGTACTTTGACGAGCCGAAGGACGCCTCCGCGCGCTACAATGCGGCGCGGCCCGCCCCTTCCGCACCCGGTGGCTTCAAGGATCGCCAACAGTCGCCGGGATCGCAGCGGCAGTTAAATGCTCAGCGAGCTGCACCGTTGCCGCCAGCGGGTCAGAACGGTGCAAGCGCTGGAGCGAGGGCGCCTGCAACGAAGGCCCCGTCCGCTGTCCAGCGACAACCTTCTTCGAGTTCGACCCAACGCTATGCGCCTGGCCAGGCTTCACAGTTGTCGACCCAAGCATCTAACGGTGTGAATGGTCAGACATCCGTGCAAGCTCGACAGCCCGCTCCCACTCACGTGAAGCCGCTCAATGTAGCAACCAAGCAGCCCACAGGAGCCCCGTCGGCAAATGACGAGAGGAAGAAGGCGGAGCAGGCTCTTACGAAGAAAGAAGAGGCCCCTCGCAAGGATGTTCGTATGTCGAGCATGTCGGAGAGTGAGGTTATGGCTAGGCTACGAGAAGTAGTATCGAAAGACAAGCCGCTCGACTCCTACAATAAGCAGAAAAAAATCGGCCAGGGTGCTTCCGGCTCCGTGTATGTTGCCAGAGTACGGGAGAGTGCGCCATCTCCGACCGCCAGGACGCTGTTGCGCGAGAACGGTCCGAGGGCGCAGGTGGCTATCAAGCAGATGGACCTACGGAACCAGCCCAGGAAGGAGCTCATCGTGAACGAGATCATCGTCATGAAAGACAGCAAGCACCCGAACATTGTCAACTTCCTGGATGCGTTCCTTCAAGAAGAGCAGTTCGAGTTGTGGGTGGTCATGGAGTTCATGGAGGGTGGTGCCCTGACGGATGTCATCGACAACAATACTTCGATAAGCGAAGACCAGATTGCGACGATCTGCCTCGAGGTATGTCTGTCCCGTGCAGATAACGCGAATGAGGAGCTAACCAATCTTGGCGTAGACATGCAAAGGCCTTGAGCACCTTCACTCGCAGAACATCATCCACCGCGACATCAAGAGCGACAACGTCCTGCTCGACGGCCGCGGCAACGTCAAGATCAGTACGTTCCTCCTCTTCCCTTAACCACAAACCTCCGTAACAGCTCTCATACTAACTCCTACCAGCCGACTTCGGTTTCTGCGCCAAGCTCACCGAGCAACGCAGCAAGCGCGCCACCATGGTCGGCACGCCCTACTGGATGGCGCCCGAAGTGGTCAAGCAGAAGGAATACGGCTCCAAAGTCGACATCTGGTCGCTAGGCATCATGGCCATCGAGATGATCGAGTCGGAGCCGCCGTACCTGAACGAGGAGCCGCTCAAGGCGCTTTACCTGATCGCCACGAACGGGACACCGCGCCTCAAGAAGCCAGATAAACTCAGCAAGGACCTCAAGGCGTTCTTGAGCGTCTGTCTCTGTGTGGACGTAAAGAGCCGCGCCAGTGCGACAGAGCTGATGGGTCATGAGTTCTTGAAGGGGGGATGTAGCTTGGCCAGCTTGGCGCAGCTGCTGGCGTTCAGGAAGAGCGGGGCGCACTGAGCGGACGGGGGGGAAAGGCAAGCGGATATCCGAATCTCACGACCTCGTCTTCGTAGGATTTGCTCCTTTTTTCGACAACCATCTCGGCCAGACTCCAAGGAAAGTTGCGCCTAACTCGTTCGAAGCAAAGAAGTGTGCCATAGATTCCCCATGCATACCTCGAAAGCGAGCTGGCAGCAAACACCTTTACACAACATACTACCGGCGTACCACAGTGGGCATCATCACGCTTCAGTTTAGGAATTAGCACGGATCAAGCACTCCTCATCACATGCGTGCAAGGGACAACCAGATCGGGCTTCTTGTATCGGACCCGATCGGCACATGTTTGACGGATCTTCTTCCCTCGTCCTCAGTTTCTCATTTTGCGGGTTTCGTGGCGGGCACAATGCATTTGCGGGATACCTCTTTTCCTTAATCTTTGTTTCTTCGTCTGGGAACGAGCGGGGCGGCGGTGGCGGTGGTAGACGAGTACTTCTTGGCTCCCTTGAGTGTTTCCTCTGAAGAACTTTCTCTTTTCGAGCACGTGATGACTCACGTGTCTTTCATTGTGGGCTGGGATTTTGCACGAGAGGCTGGTTGGTGGAGCGCGCAACTGGGCGCGCGTCAGGCTTTGATGCGGGTGGATGGAGCAGGGATCGCAGGGAAAAGGGCGCCCTACTAGGGATAGGGAGAGAAAGACAAGAATGACTTCAAGAACTCTAGGATGTTGAGAAAGGACGCCCGTGCCAAATTACCCGCATTTGCTTTCAGAAAAACAATGCCAGCCCCTAGCCTAGCCTAACCTCCCAGCGCCTGCCCAACAACCTGCCCCACAAACCCAGCATAGCTACTGAAGAAGATCCCCTTCAGCACCGTCTCCCCCTCCTCAACAGCCCAGTGCCCAGCCTCCACAAGCCGCTCCTTCCACCGCTCCCGCTCGCTCTTACTCAGCTCCTCCCAGCGCTTCGCCTGCACATGTTCTCTGAGCAACTGCGCCGTATCCGCATGCACCTCCGTGCTCAGATCCGTAGATCCGGTGGCCGAATCCCCTTCGCGCACGATGATCGCTTTCGTGTCCGCTCCCTCGCCCGGCTGGGCCAGATGCAGAATATCCCTCAGCCGCTGGCTCGTCTTGCGAATCGGCTCCGCGATCGCCTCGGGCACCGCGTCCTGGACTCTGTGCCTAAGATGCGGGGGTACCGCGCCTGGGGGGCTGTAGCTCCCGAGCCGCTGCAGCGCGTCGCGCAGGCGCGGAGGGAGGATGTTGAGGGCGGAGCTGCCGGTGGAGTTGTAGCCCAGCACGCCTTGCAGCAGGAGTAGAGTTACGACGAGCACGAAGCCGATGGTTAGGAGGCTCAGCCCCGTGTGCAGCCTGTCGGAGACGGAGGCCGAGGGGAGGATGTACCGCGTGCCGCGCTTGGAGGGGTGCAGGGGGCGCAGGGTGAAGGTGTCGACGACGACGGTGTTGCCGAGGGAGGTCGTGCAGAGGCGGAGGTGTTGCGGGCCAGGGGGTTTGGCGGAGTTCAGGTCGGCGGGGGTCGGGGGGCCGCCCGGGTTAGAGGAAGGCCAGGGGGAATGGAAGGGGGAGAGCTTGATCTGGGTGATTTGGAGCGGGTGCACGTCTTTGAGGACGGTCACTTTGTGGAAGTGCGAAATGCTGTCTTTGGCGCTTCCGCGGTAGTCGAGCGTATAGACGCACACTGAGATATCTTGGCCGGCCACGGCGACGACGATTTGGCGCTCGCCGGTTGAGGGGTCGGCGTCGAGGAGGGAGACGTCCATGCCGATGGCTGCTTTGACGTGGCTTGGGAGCCGCTTTCGGAGCATTACAGTTCCTGGTCCTCCGCTCTGGTAGAGCCGTAGTATGGAGAGCTCGGCACCTTTGCGGTTCGGCAGGTTCGAGAGCAGGAGGACATGGTTTGGAGTGAGGAAGCGCAACGCACGGAGCTTAGACCTGCCGGGCTTTTCAAATACGTCCGGGAAAGGGACGGTATATATAGTTCGGGGATCTATAGATGGAGTCTTGCGTTCGTGAGAGGCGAAATCGTAAGAGACTGGTAGTGTCCGGACGGCGTCGTCGGTGACGTATCCGACCAGGAAGTAGCCATCGCCCTGCTCTATGAAGTCGATGTCGTTAGCTTCTGCGTTCTCTGGCAACTCTATGTGCTCTATGATGTCTGATGAGGAGGGCGCGGAGCTCGTCGCATCGAAGATCACCACCTCGTTGGGAGCTGAGAACGAGGACGCGGCCGCACCAATGCGCTTGCTTCCGGAGCTGCTCTTCTTTGTCGGAGATAGTCGCAATACTCGCTGATAGGCTTCCTTTCTCGCCGCGGCCTCTTTGGGAGGCTTGAAGAGCGAGGTCTTGCCATGGAAAGTGATTTTGCCCTCGGGTGTCTTTTCTGTCGTCGCTTGTGGTTCCGTCCCTGTGGCCTTCTTCGGTGGGTAGTCCACCATAAAGCTGCGGAAATGCTCATTCCTGCCGGCCAGCCGATCCTTCTCCGATGAATTTATGCCAGCAAATGTGATCAACCCATCTTTTGACGCTAGGTTTGCCAGGCAGGTTACGGAGTCCTCATCCCGTGACAGCTCTATCTCTGCACTTTTCTCGATGGTCGCAGGTGAAGTGATATCCAGCAAAGCCTGCGCAAACATGGGTCAGCCAGTATTCAAGGAGCGCAGACGAGCGTGACGCACAATCTTGTTGCTGACTCCGCTCCTGCCCTCTCCTCCGCCACCTCCCACGACTAGGTAGCCCCTGTTGTACGGGTCGAAGTCCGCGCTCATCGGCGGGAAGTCGAGAGTGATCTTAGTATAGCTTGGTGGTGACATGGCGCGTACTCGTTGTGGCCCTTACAGGACCAGTTTGAGCGCTGTAGCGATACGGGGCGATACTGCAAGAATGGTCCTTCACAGTCTCGGGTTGTGGGCTGCTCGTAGGGTATGGTAGCTTTTTAGTATTCGAAACGGAGTACAGGTTTGCAGTAGGTATTGCAGGGACGCGTCGCGGCTGCGATACAAGCCGGACCGCGTCTGTTCAAGATGCGGTGCTTGATGCAGGTCGCATAGGATACGCAGTAGTATGACAGGTAGAAGTAATGTTGCTGCAGCCCGTTCCGCGCAGGGCAAGATAGGTAGGTAGGTAGGTAGGTAGGTAGGTAGAAACTGTAAGGTTACCAGGAATGGAAGCCTGAAAGCCAGCACGGTGTTGATGACGTCGGTTGAGCAAGAACCTCAACACCACGCCAAGACTCCCAATCTGTAAGTGCAGCATGAAACAGTCGGGCAGGATAGAAGCTCGCAAGCTACCACATCATCTACATGTCCGCTGATGCCATGGCACGGTGAAGTTAAAGCGAAAGCCAACGGATGACACTCAGGTATCTGCTAAGCACCCCTCCTCGGTCGTGCTGTCTCTAGAGCATACTTGTCCACCTTTAAGATGCTCTTCACGAGTTACATGGTTACGTTGACTGTCAGACAGATGGTCAAATCGAACATGCTTGCAAGTCTTCTCTCAGATGTTGCCGTGCAGTCATGCTGTTGAACGGTAAGCGAATCCACACCGCGCCAGACCAGGCTTCACCATCCGCACCTGACAGCGGCGCAGAACAGCTTTATCGCCGCAGGACTTTGTATCTGCACTGAAATGCGGCGGAGCTGCGAAGAAGGCCCGCTCTCCTGCAGCCGTTGTGGCCTTTACCCCCTTTGGATAAAAAACCCCGCGTATCAGCCGGGGGAGCTCTTATCGGCCTTGTCAAGAGCTTCGGCGGACAGCCGCGAACCGAGTACAGCGGGGCAACGGCTTGACATTGAGAAATTGTATATAACCAAATAGGTAGCCTTTCACTGTCCATATCTTCTGTCCTGTTGATCGATCTCTCACCTATATCTTGAGTGTTCTCCGTTTAACCGTCTGCAACTCTCATCCGTGCTGCTCGATTTTTCCTCAACTCCTCAATACCTCTCTTGAGCAGTCGTATCACGAACCTCGGGGACTCTGCAGACGATGGCTCTCGATCGTCTGAAGCAGATGGCCTCTCAGGTCACTGGCCAAGCAAAACCACCTCACCCTTTCGACCCTCTCTCTGAAAGCGAGATCGAGAGAGCTGTGGCTATCATCCGCAAGGAGCACGATGGCCTCTTCTTCAATGCAGTGACGCTGTGGGAGCCGCGGAAAGCAGACATGATGAAGTGGGTCGCAGATCCGGATCACACACAGCGACCGCACCGAATAGCAGATGTTGTAGCCATTGGCAGAGGCAGCAAGGTGTACGATGGCATTGTGGATCTGGAAGAGGGCAAGATCCTAAACTGGGAGTTGACTGAGGGTGTGCAACCCCTGGTACGTTTGAGATTTGTTGTGATATAAGAGGACTCAACTGATGCCTTTCAGATCACCATGGAGGATCTCCAGATCGTAGAGACTGTAGTGCGGAAGGATCCTAAGGTCATCGAGCAGTGTGGATTGATCGGCATCCCGCCTGAGGACATGCACAAGGTCTACTGTGACCGTAAGTTTGCCGCACAGCCCATCACAGCTATAGACTAACACTCGGTATAGCATGGACCATCGGCTACGACGAGCGCTTCGGCAGCAGCGTCCGCCTCCAGCAGGCACTCATGTATTATCGCCCACACGTCGATGACAACCAGTACACATATCCTCTAGATTTTTGCCCCATCTACAACTCCGATACCCAAGAAATTATCCACATCGATGTACCTGCAGTACGGAGACCCGTAAACCAGGCACCCCCTAACAACTACCACGCCGCGGCCATTGAAGCAGAAGGCGGCTACCGAACTGATCTCAAGCCCATCGAGATCACTCAACCCGAAGGCGTCTCATTCACCATGGACGGCCGAATCATCAGCTGGCAGAACTGGAAAGTCCACGTGGGGTTCAACTACCGAGAAGGCATGGTCCTCAGCAACATCACCTTCAACGACAAAGGCAACGAGCGGCCCGTCTTTTGGCGGATGTCCCTCGCGGAGATGGTCGTGCCCTACGGCAACCCCGAGCACCCCCACCACCGCAAACACGCCTTCGACCTGGGCGAGTACGGGGGCGGCTACATGACCAACAGCCTGAGCCTAGGCTGCGACTGCAAAGGCGCGATCCACTACCTCGACGCCGCGTTCGTGAACCGCGCGGGCGCTGCGACGACCATCAAGAACGCCATCTGCATCCACGAAGAAGATGCCGGGATCCTGTTCAAGCACACCGACTTCCGCGACGACTCCGTAACGGTCACACGCGCACGAAAGCTCATCATCAGCCACGTCTTCACCGCGGCAAACTACGAGTACTGCGTCTACTGGGTCTTCCACCAGGACGGTACCATCCAGCTCGAAATCAAGCTGACAGGCATCCTGAACACGTACGCCATGAACCCAGGCGAAGACACCAAGGGGTGGGGCACGGAAGTCTACCCCGGCGTCAACGCGCACAACCACCAGCACCTCTTCTGCCTGCGGCTAGACCCCAACGTCGACGGGCCGAACAACACGGTCTTCCAGGTCGACGCCGTGCGCGGCGCGGGCGAGGTCGGCAGCGCAGAGAACAAATACGGCAACGCGTTCTATGCGCAGAAGACGAAGTTCGAGACGGCGGAGCAGGCGATGAGCGACTACGACGGGAACACGAGCCGCACGTGGGACATGGCGAACACGAACAAGATCAATCCGTACAGCCACAAGCCTGTGAGCTACAAGCTCGTGAGCCGAGATGTTCCGACGCTGCTGCCCAAGGAGAACAGCTTGGTGTGGAAGCGCGCTGGATTCGCCAGGCACGCCGTGCATGTCACGAAGTGTAAGTCTCTCCCCCTCTCATCCCCTTCCCCTTCCCACACTCTCCCCCTCAACCTTTCTCCCTCGTCTAACTATCCCCCCAAGACGACGACGCACAAATCCACCCTGCAGGCCGGCACGTGCCCCAAACCTCCGGCGAGCCCTCCCCCGGCCTCCCCGCCTGGATCGCAGCGAACCCGAGCGCCTCAATCGACAACACGGACATTGTGCTGTGGCACACCTTCGGGCTGACGCACTTCGCGGCGCCCGAGGACTTCCCCGTCATGCCCGCCGAGCCCATGACGGTGCTGCTGAGGCCGAGAAACTTCTTTACCAAGAATCCGTGTTTGGATGTGCCGCCGAGCTTCTGCTCGGTGCCGAGTGGGATTCGCCAGGGGAATTCGCTCGTCGATAAGGTGAGTCGGTTGGCGTTTGGGCAGTCGAAGGGGCAGGAGACGGGGGGGAAGTGCTGTTAGGAGTGGTTCGGAGAAAGGGGAATAGTGTGCTTGACGTGTTTAGTGCCGGCTGGTTTACCATGCAAAAGGCTCCAGTGGGCAACATTACATTTGGAAACAGTTCGATCGGACATGTTGATATCGGATCTTCCGTCCCATCGGAGCCGTTGCAAGGTTGCGCTGCTATGACTTTCGGGTTATGAGCTAGGGCGAGGGCGAACTGCCATTGTTTATCAAGTACTGGAGTATGGGGAACGGATCAAAGGTAGCATGTTCAGAATCAAGAGGACCGACATTTGCCGTAACGTGTGCATCACATGGTGATTTTTGGGACGGTGATACAAGCAATTGTTGGGTCCCAGTACAAGGTCGCTTGAAAGTTGTTCGTTCCATAGAGGGCTTTCTGTGAAGTATGATACAGGCCGCAGATGCATCCATGACTATCCATCCATGACTCCTCTCTCAGTCCTCAGTCGTCCCTACTCAGTCCCATTATCTACTGCTTGGGGTTCTTGGACGGGTTGCTCGGTCCATCAACAAGCTTCTCCACGGTGCCTGCAATGCCGCCCTTGCTCGCGTCGAACTGGCTCCCGATCGCGCCATCCTTGCTGAAGGGGCCGCCAATCGCCTCGCCTGTATCACGGTGTCAATTGATGTCCTCGATGAGATGACCGAGATGGAAAGGCGGGTCAATTGAGGGGAGGGAAGCGTACCAATCTGGCCGATCGAGCCGTCGGGGTTGAACTGCTTGCCGACAGCACCGCCGGAGGAGATGACGCTGGGGTTCTACCGAGAGATTGGAGTGTTAGTAGGGGGAATACGGGACTCCCTGCTCCTGATAGACATTCATAGAATCGGCGTGGCGTGGAAACATACCTGCGGATCCGAGCTCTGCTTCGCGGCACCAGCCTGCTCAGCGGTGTCGTGGATGGGGTTCTTGTCTGCCATTGTGCGTGCTTGGATGATGGTGGTTCTGAAGGTTAAGACCTTGGTGGCAGGGGCGCGGATGATTGCTCGATGCATTGCGAGGAGGATTGGTGCGATATATGCGGTGCTCCGATGTAAGAATGATGTGCTTAAGAAGAGAGGAGAAGGTCACGGGGCGAAGTGGTTCCGCCCAAGCTGAGGGCGCGTCATTGTTGATGCGCAGAGGTGTCGTGATGTCATGACGGGATCTTTGGAGAACCGTGTCCGATGCGGAATCTCCAATGCGTTTCTGGGAGATGTCCATTCGCCAGATCCGCTGAGCCTGGCTGAAGAGGCTGAATACGGATCTCGTAACTGGCTGCGGGTGTTGCGGAAGATCTTGCCTCGGCTGGCTGGCGCTCTGTGAACGTGCACTGCGAGATGATCTTCGTAGCACGTGAGAAGTTAAGAGCTGAATGTTTTGAAGATGCCGTTAAAACTGCGTTTCTTAATCTCGCAATTGATCGTGATACTAATGGGGCAGAACAGCTATCTTAGTCTAATGCTGTAACATGCTTCTAGATTTAAGTGTTCCCATCGTGTCATTGTGTCATACCATGGCCGGCTCTGGGGAGGCCACTACCAACCTTCCCATATGTCTCCTGTAATGCTTCGTCGAGCGCTTGTCTGATACTCTCCTAACCTCGCAACGCGAGCCATGTTGCACGACCTGTAAGGAGCTACCCAAACAGCAACAGAGAGTCTCGGCGGCTCCACAAGCATCGTTGTCCAGGACCGTCCATAGCATAGCCCTCAGGGATCCATCATGCTTCTCCCACGAGGATGTACCAAATCTCCATAGCCACCACGAACAACTGGGCCATGGCCTCTTTCGCCCAACATTTTCTTCCTGAGTACGGGACCATGTGGACCTTGCTGCGGCTCTTCCCGGTGATCCTCTTCACTTTGCTCTGCGTTCTCTGAGGGCTTGCCATCAGTGTTGTCATTAGGCTTCTCATTCGGATTGTCTTTCGCCTTCGGCTTGTTGTTGGCAAAAGCTTGCACCTGACTCCCAATTGCCCTCATGTCATCGCTGTCCTGACCCTCTCCGCCGGCCACATAGTGCCCGACGTTCTTGACAAGTTCTTCTTCGCCTTTACTCGTCCTCTCCCTCACCCAGTCCTCATATTCCTGCCACCACCACTTGTGCGTTTCCCCATCTCTTCCCAAATATCCCGCAACCCCATCCTCCCCAACCCTCTTTGCCCACGGCTTATCCACAATATAATGCAAACAAACCACCTCCTCATCCCTCCACATCTCCGGATGCCAATACCGCATCGTCTTGAGCGCATTGAACTGCCACCCAACACTAACCCACCTCCCCCTAAAAAACTCCGCCAAGAAGTCCTGATCCGGAAACTTAAACTCCCCCAACTTCTCACTCGTGTTGAAGAATTCCATCATCCGTTCCCACAGCCCCTCACTCGGCCTGAACAAAAACATCCCCGAGTTCAGCAGATGGTGGGTCGGCCTGCTCCCTTCCGTCACGGGCGTCGGCTCCGTCAGCGCCTCGGGATGCCTCACGAGGCTGTACGCGCAGTTCTCCTCGTTCCACTCCTCCGGCGCCCACGCGTCATTGTCTTTATTGCACACGCACGCGTGGTTCGCGGCGATCCAGTCGTCGCCTGGCAGCTGGATGTCGAAGATGGCGTCCATGTCCTTGCGCAGGATCATGTCCGCGTCCAGGTAGCAGACCGCGTCGTATTGCCATAGCTCGAAGACGCGCAGTTTGGTCCAGGTGTCGCCGAAGCGCTCGGCGATGAGGTTGATGGGGATGTCGGCGCGCGGGAGGAGGGGGGAGACGCGGCGCAGGATGAGGTTTGTGTGGGACGCTTCGGCTTCGAGGGCGGAAACGGAGGAGGCGTCGAGGCTCGAGGTGTAGAGGACTACGAGGGGGTATTGGGCCTTGTACTTCTTGAGAGTGTAGGCGAGGACGATGACGCCGGCGAGGTAGGAGGAGCGCGTTATGAGGGTTGTGTAGGCGTAGTTGGTTTTTGAGGAAGCCATTGTGGCTGATCTGGGGGTTTGAGGTGTTCGAAGAAGGAGGTTGCACCGGAGACTGCGACTATCTGCGCCATTGCTCGAGCTCGTGGACTGGGGGAACCTCGGTGGGTGTGCACCGCGGTGGTGGTTGCGTCACCACCCTGGCTGAGCCAGAGGTCGCAAACTGCAGGCCGCACGTGACATGTCTTGATGAAGGAGCACTGGAGTGTCTAACCTTACGATGCAAAGCCTTGCGCGAGGATGGACAATAACATTCATTCAGCTGTGTCTATCGAGTGGATCTTGGTATCATAAAACATGTCCAAACGCCCACAGCTGCCCTCACTTCTAACGCCAATGAAATGCCACCAACGCTGATATCCAGGATCAGCCAGCCCACCATCTAACAGCGCGCCGAAGTAAACGGCCCCTATGCTTGACACTCTGAATGTCATACCGCTCAACTGATCCTAGCGACCAGATGCCAAACCTTGTAGCAAACATTGATGACAAGCAAGACTGCGGCCACCGGCACAAACATCTGCAGAAACTCGAGCGGATGTACGGGTTTCACTTCTGTTTCGATATAGCCAGCACCAACCTTAGCCTGGCCGGATGTTGATCCATTCTGAAGAACGTCTCGGCCCTCGTCGGCGGGGAAGCGACCATGCTGTAAGAAGTATTCAATGAGCTCGTCTTTCTCGACCCAGCGTTGATGTACCCATTCTTCGAACGCTTTCGGGTCATCCAAGGGCATGGAAGCTATGGCAAATCGCCGCCAGTGCATGTTGACGGACTTGGGTGGCCGGCCTTGGAAGTAGGTCGAGCGGATGGTGAAGATGTCCTGACCGAACAACCCACGTCTGTTCCTGTGTAAGCGTTTGTTTGCATCAAGGAGATCAGGGATTGGGTACATACGGAACCCCCTCGTAAGAAAGAGTACAGTCATAGACCCAGTCCACTGTGCGGCGCATTTCCTGGAGACAGAACAGCAGGCCAGTGCTTCTGGGAAGCAGCACATGGCGTAGATCAGGTATGTTGTTCTTATCTGCCCACTTCTTGCTCGATGCTCGACCATTCTTGGATAGGTTCGTTCCTTCAGGGAAGATCAGAAGCCACATTGGATCCAGTGGCTGCGAACCGGATAGTGGTCCGTGATGACTGGTGTTGAGCTTCCGCAAGCGGTGCTGGAAGCGCGGCTTATCTTTGGCCCAATTCCGCGACAAGAAGACGAAGCTGAAGAATTGCATGCCCCACCCGAGGATAGGTATCCATTTAAGCGACTCTTTGAGGATTATGTAAACGTGGCCATGCATTCGATCGGTGTATGCGATCCACCACAGGTAGAGCCAGTCAGTGTATATCTGCCTGGCGTCAGCCTACATACATCATCAGTAGTATGGTCAATATACCTGATGGTTCGAGATCAAGATCAGCCGCTCTGGAAAGTCGCATTCTAGCCTCCCGTCCGCCGTTTGGCGTAGCTGCCCTCGAACGGTCTCGTCTCCGCTGATCCGTACGAGGGTCGGACTCCACCACTGCGTCATCGTTGTAATGAGAAGGCCAAAATGTTGCTTTGTGAACGCCATCCAAGCATAGTACCAATCTTTCTGGAGCAGGTACAGGGGCGTACCGAGGAGTTGACCTAGAAACATACTGTATGTAGTTGCATCAGCGAAGCCGGTTCTTAGAATGTTCGGATGTCTCACAGCACAAACCATATACAACTAACTAAGAAGTATAGGCCAAATAGAACCATGCGCACAGCTTGTTTGGGAAACCCATGTTTTATTCGGCCACCTGGATGCTTCGCGTCCGTCATCTTCTCTGCATGTGCTGGTTCTCCGTTCACAAGTGTTTCGCCGGTGAGACCTTCTCTTGCTAGATGCCCGCTGGCATGGTCTTGGCCCGTAGGCTTTCCGTTCGCGAGCTCTCCATTCATAGGCGTTCCATTCGCCAGGTGTCCATTTGCAGGTTTCTGTTGCGCCACTATCCGAGCTTGCCGTTGTCTCAAGGTTTCCTGGGCCATTTGCCTGTGGAATAGTACACAACGGACGGGGAACGCTGTAACGAGGATGCAGCAGAAGATAGTTTGCGCGGCCGGAGGGAAGTCAGCCCGTATACGAGGTCACGGAGACCGGCGCTGTGGTGATAGAGACTCTGGATAGGTCGTGGAAGTAGACGGCTCTAGTATGGGAGGTACAGAACATCTATCCGCACGCTCCGGAACCATGCTGTATCTTTCGCTCGAAGCCAAGCCGGGTGCCCTCCGAAACGGAAGTGGTGAACGACAAAGCAGTGAGCAAAGATAGACGAATGCGGGGTCACGTGGGGCAGAATGCTGCCGGGAATGTCAATGAGCGCTTGATGGAGCTTTGACCACTGCGATTCAAAGAAGTTCGAATTGATGCTTGCGGGCGGGTGTTAGAGCGCCATGATCATGGCGCGATGATAGTAACCAGACCTCTTGCAAGAGCTATACCAGCTTGGAAAAGACGCTTTACCTCCAGTGCCGTCAGAAGGGAGATCCGCGACATTGCGGAGCTTCCAGATCGAACATGTCCAAACTACCAGGGTAAGCCGGTATCAAGAAATGCACCTCAGAACACCAGCGCTGGTGTTGCATTACATGCTGACACTCTATACAGAGACCCGTAATAATGATCTCGTCTGCCTGCAGTGGCCCTCACCGCCGCGCAACATACTCCTGACGAAGAAGAACAACACCCCCAAGATCACCGAGTCCCTAATTGAGTACGCTCAGCACATCCGATCGTCCTACCCCGGAGTCCATTTGCTGTTCGAGCGACATGTAGCCGAAGAGGTCCATGGGAGGCTCGCATGCGCCGTCTATACCACCCCAGCGGGAGTTTCAGCCGCAGCCCTTCAGCACAAGACCGACATGATCTGCACCCTAGGCGGGGACGGTACAATCCTTCATGCCTCGTCTCTGTTCGCAAACACCCAGCGCGTGCCTCCGATCCTCTCATTCAGCATGGGCACACTGGGTTTCTTAGGTGAATGGAAGTTTAAGGAGTACAAGCGGGCGTTTCGCGAGGTCTACATGTCAGGGGCCAGCGCAGGATACGGCAGTAACCTCTTCACGAAGCCAGAGGGACAACACCAACAGGATGACTCCCACTCGCCGATACCATCATCCTACAACGCTGCCCATGCCGCCGCCGTGCAGCCGACAGGCTGGTCCTCCATCCGCGGCAAATCCATGGGCTCCAACCGCGGCGCACGTGTCCTCCTCCGTAACAGACTGCGAGTCAGTGTTTTCGACGCGGACGGCAACCGCATCGGCGGTAACAGCCAAGACCCTTCAGGCTCAGATAGCGATGTCTATGCCATGAATGAGGTGATTGTGCACCGCGGCGGTGATCCTCATCTCGCAATCGTCGAAGTCTTCGTCGGCGGCCGATTTCTCACCGAAGCAGTTGCCGATGGCATGATCATCTCAACACCTACGGGTAGCACTGCATACAGTCTCAGCAGTGGCGGCAGCATTGTGCATCCGCTTGTGAAATCGCTGCTGCTGACGCCAGTTTGTCCAAGGAGTCTGAGTTTCAGGCCGTTGGTTTTGCCAGCGAATACTCCGATCACGCTGAGGCTAAGTGAGAAGAACAGGGGCAGAGAGGTTGAAGTCAGCATTGATGGCGTTCGGAGATCTAAGGGGGTGGGTGTAGGCATGGAGGTCAGAGTCTTTGGCGAAAGGATGAAAGACAAGCATGGAAACTGGTGTGGTGGAGTACCGTCGGTCGTCAGAGGTGCTTGCGGTGCTGAAGCAACTGGCGAGGACCATTGGGTGGGCGGATTGAATGGACTGTTGAAGTTTAACTATCCATTCGGAGAAGAGGTCTCCTAGGTTCAGGAACTGAGCGTTGCAATACTGATACGCACCAAGGTAAATATAGCATGGAAGATGTGATCCCAGCTAGGCTGGTTCAACACTTCCCTCTATCATCAAGGATCTATACTACACTAGTGTCAGTCCTCTTCGAGAGTCGTTCGCACGACTCTCGAAGAATTCGAAAATCTTTCTACGACCTTTGTCGTGTTCTCCCAGATAAATGACTACCTCGAGAATATGCGTGACATCATTGCTACTTAACCGTTACGTTCATGGATGTCTTCCTGGTTGATACAGATGGCATCAATCCACACCCTCCTAGGCTCGTTCGGCCGCCGAAGTCTTCACAGCGCGCCGACGCAGTTATCAGTGATCAGGAGGCCGCGGCCTTTGGCATCGCACTGGATCCATTTGGGATTTTTTGTATTCCCTCACGGGTAGGAGAGGGCTTCATATTTGACGAGTGGATAATCCAGCCGGATATGCATAATCGTACAGCAGATGTCTGCACCATATCTACCGAGGAGCATTTGTATCATCCGTACCTCATCCGGGTGGATGAAAGGACTGTACTCAAAACGTTCTTTCGTCGGGCCTCGAGAACTGAAACGTGCTTTTAGCTTATCAGCTAGCTGTAAGGCTGGAGCAGCGCTCGCCATCCTCTTTGTCAAAGTTTCGTAAGACGGTTGGAACCTACAGGACCGATTTGACAGCAAAGGTCGCTTCGTAGAGTATAAGTCTATACTCAGATATGAAGGAAAGACAACCTCTGAGCACAAAAGATTCTCTCGTCGGGTAGGCTTCAGCCGCACGGATAACCCCGACCCGGCATGCTTCTTGGCTCTCCTTCTCAGTGGGAGAAAATCTACTTACTACGCTAGGTACTACATTATCTCTTACCACTAGCAACAATCGACGTTCAACGGACCGGAGAGAGCGTCTTTGATCCACAAATTAAACTCGCAGAAGCCTTCGCTATATCAGCATATCTTCACACACTTGCTTGAAGGCCGACAACAATTTTACCACACATCGATGGGCAATGGGCCCTCCCTCAAAACCTTCGCCTGACGCCGACACGGCCTCAATCGGCTTAACCTAAGATGTCAAACCACTAGGCGGCCGCGGTGACATACTGTAATGCCATTTTGGATCATGTTGCCTATCCTTCACCGATCGAATCTGAGCAGCTCAGCTCAGCTCAAGAAATCGCCAAGGTAGCAACAGAATGCGGGGAACGGCTCAGCTGTAGCAAAGCCTCATGCATCTCGACTTGCTGATTCGACTTGCTCAGGAGGCGTCCAGAGCTGAAGACGCCACAGCATGAACGCTGACGGCCTTGAAGACTGAAAACGGATTTACCAGCGACTGTCTGCCCGCCATGTGATGTCAAGTCCTATGTAGCGATCCCACTCTTCAACGATTCCAGTTGCCATAGACGTAAGCTGTCAGCCCGTCAGCTTCTTTGTTCACCTATAGTAGCCGGTTGATCAACCGCATCTCCGCACGCCTGTAAGATAACCGATGTCATCCCTTTTCCCAGCTGAAGTGCCATATGCGGGTGGTTAGAGTATTCATAAGCATTCCCCATCTCAAGGTCGATCTGTCAAAGCCTCTCAGAGTCTCAAATCTAATACCGTTCCGGCGCCCCCTTATATACCAGAACTCGTCTACCATGCTTCTCGCAACTTTTCTCTGTACATTACTCGCTATTGTCCAGCCCATCTTAGGCTGGGGAGAAGTGGGCCATCGTACAGTTGGTTACCTCGCCCGAAAATACCTTACAGAAGATGCTACTCATTTCGTAGATACCTTGCTTGCGAATGATCGAGGCTTAGACATTTCCGACGCTACTTTATGGGCCGATGGTCGTGTCAAGACTGAACGCCCGTTCACAAGACAATGGCACTGGATCGGTTAGTCCAACCATAGTACATTCTTGGCAGCAACAACATAACCTAAGATACACTATAGACGCACAGGACAATCCTCCCCATTCTTGTGGCGTCAACTACACACGTGACTGTACAGATCATGGAGTCCCTGGCTGTATAGTGTCTGCTATCTCGAATCTGGTTGGTGCCTCTACCTGCACAGACAATTATCCTGGGTGCACCAGGCCAGGATTCTTCGGTGCTGATACGGGTACAACATAGACGGGTGTCATCACCAACTCCTCAAGCGAGTTCAACACCAGGAAGGAAGCCCTGATGTTCCTGCTCCACTTCATCGGCGACATTCACCAACCGCTGCACACTGAGAACGCCTCGCGAGGCGGCAACGACATCGATGTCTGCTTCAATAACAGAAGCAGGAACCTCCATGCTGTTTGGGACACCGACATCGTACTGAAGTACCGCGGTCTTCCCCGCAATTCAAGCAACGACGATGAGAAAGCGGCAGCGAGAGAATGGGCAGACGAACTGCATAGCAACATTCAAGCCAGGGGTATCGCGGTGGAACAGGAGTGTAACGACATCAGCGACCCGCAGACTTGTGCGCTGGGGTGGGCGATGGAGGCGAACAAATGGATTTGTAGGCATGTGTTGAAGAATGGGGTGCCGTGGCTTGAGGACCAGAGGAACGATCTTGCACGTGGTTACTATAATGGCGCGGTTCCTATCGTGGACGAGCTTGTTGGGAAAGCGGGAGTGAGGCTTGCAGCGTGGCTGAATGCTATTGCTGCTGCGCAGCCGTCCCGCGGGAACTTTCTGGTGCAGAAGGCTGACGGGAACGAAGAGCCTGTTGAGAGCGAGGAGCTATGAGTGAGGATGGACTCGATCTTTCCTTGAGAATATCACGTAAGAAAGGTAAATTGACTCAGTACTTCGAGTTGCGACATCAAATCAAGTATGGAAGAGGGCCATGGTAATATGTTCAGCTTTGTCTTCTCCCGCATACATAGCCTTTCCTCTCCACATATATACACAGGTATCGGTCCTCTTATCCCTGGATCAAAGTGACTGGCCCTTTGTAGACTCTACGTCCTTCGATGTAGTAAAACACCAACGAAACAACGAAGACGCCCGCAAAGAGAACAGGTGCCCAGTTGAAACTCTGGGGGGTGACCTCACGAGCAACTGGCCATGCAATCCAGAACAACAAGTAAACAGTGTAGACGAAGGCAACGGCATTGATGTATTTGCCAGCGGCACCGAGACTCCACTGAGCGGGCGGAAGATTGTTCCCACCCCGGGTTCGCTGGAACAGCACGCAGCCGATGGACGTGCTGTATGTTGACATGAGCGCAATGAGCTGTAAAGATATGATAGCGTTAAAGGCGACCGTTGAACCGATGTTGATGAGTGAGAGAAGCATGGTAGTGGCACAGGTAAGTATGACTGAATTTCGAGGAATCTGAGACCCTGGGTGGACCTGGACACAAGTCACCTTTCAGTAATGAGCAACTGAGAGCGGATGGAAGTCTATCGTACCTTGGACAACCACCTACTAAATGGAAGCCCGTCATCGCGAGCGAAGGCAAACGTCTGCCGAGAAGCCGAAGCATTGCAACCAGTGCATCCCGCGGTTGCAATGATGAGTATCATCGTCACAAGGGGAATCGTTCCGTTGTAGGTGGCTTGTTGAAAGACATAGAGAAACGGGAAACCAGTCGGACTGCCCAAAGCGTCCTCGATGCTTGGAATGCTGTACAAGTAGGCGAAAACAACTACAAGACCCACGCATGCGTTTGCGGTATAACTCCACATCATAGCCCGCGGGACAGATAACGATGCTCTCTTAACCTCTTCGGACATGTGAGCGGCCGCATCAAAAGCTGTTCCACTGTTTAGCAGGATTTCCAGCCGAGTACCGGATAGGCTTACAGATAAGACAGTATACACTACTAATCTGGCCCACCATAACACTCAAACCGAGTGGTGTCCAGCCTCCGGTACTTGAGAACTGGGTGAAGACCACAGCCGCGTCTGGGTGTGGTGCCAAAGCAATGAGCACCCCAACGATCGGTATCCAACCCAGGCCGAAAAGGACCGCCATGAACTTTTGTATCTGCGGAAGCTGTCCCGCAAACGTGATGTTGATTATGCCAACAAGCACCGTCACGGCGATCACGAAGAGCGTCCCTTGCCAACCCGCGGGCGTGAAACTTGGCCTGTATGCCACTATTACGCCCTGGATGAGAGTTCCAACAACGAATGTCGCTCCTGCGGCGGTCGCTTGCCAGGATAAGGTCGACATCCATCCAGCCATGTAGCTCAAGAACCGCTGATACTGCGGCGGGGAGAACTCGGAAACCCAGTGATATTGTCCTCCGCTCGTGGGAGCCATGGATGCCATCTCTGCCAGCGACGCAACCACCAAGGACATCCCAAGGGCCGTCCATACGTAGGACCAGAATATGCCTGCATGTCCACCATTCAAGAGTCCTTGGGTGTTCGCGACCAAGAATACTTGCCAAGTCGCCTGCACGATGCAGGTGAAGGCTATCATGGAGGATTGGCGGAAGATTCTCTTGAGATCTGATTTCTTGCCCATTCGAAGCATATCCTCTTGGTCGGGGTCATGATTGGTGACTTGGACATCGACATCTCCGCTTTGCTTGATGGAATCATGGTAGTGATGCTTCAGCTCTAGATTGTTATTGTTCATGCTGCGCCTGGAGGTATGAGATGAAGACATGACTGCCGAAGTGCGTGGAAGAGCATGTAGAGTGTTGGAAAGGCCACACTCCTTTTGAGGAGCAGATGGAGATAAACTTGAACTAAGAGCGTGGTTTTTGACTTAGAATACAGCTAACTAGGCATCCAGCTAACGTGTAGCAAGGTCTTTTTAGAAGCGTGCTCGCAGCTCTCCCTGCTCCAATCCTTTTGCCACAGCGGCTTGGCCACTTAAACTTACTGCTTCTGAGTGATCCTAGTCAAAGTAGCTCTACTACTCGCCGGACATCCAATTGACGGCGGGAGGAGGGCCGCCAGCACTCCCATGCAAGGACCCTCGGCCGGGGGTGCGGGCCAAATTGAAACGACACGGGAATTGGTGCCCGCAACGGCAACTGGCCCGTGTGGGCTTCATGGAGGGAAGATGGGCCAGATCAACTCTTACTTTTAACAGTTAAAGCTCTTGCTCCTTCGAAGGCCTCCACCTGCAGCCTCCCGGTGATCGACAGGGCAGTCTATCCACAGCCTCAGAATTCGAGCTCCATATGCCATGTAGGTGCAGACCACGCGCCAAAGCCTCGAACCAACGAACTCGCCCTTGGACGGTTGAGTGAGAATTAGCGGCGTTGTTTCAGTAAAAGGAGTTGACGTATTCCCACAAGTCGAACCACGGACTTTCCATACGGAAACGCAATCTGAGCATGGTCTTGAGCCAGGAAAATAGTCCGTTGCTCTTGCCTCGAAAGCTGTAATACAGCATGCCAAAACTCATTCCTAAACCCCTTTCTCGCCGAGGAATGCAAAGATGGTAAAAGTACAACGAACATCCAACTACCAAAACGCCCGAGTGATGGACCTGACCCTGATGATAGGCTTCCTTTTTCCCTCAGAAGAAGACAAGAAAAGGTCGAGACCCGCATCACCCACGCAGCAGCCGTCTTGAAGCTCTTTACCTTTCGCACTGTATATTCCCCATGCTCCTCCAATCCCACCTTACTCTCAAAACCGCTCACCATCTCACTTCCCATAACTGAAATTCCCGAACATCCCTCCCGGCGTCAAACTCCCCATACCGTGCCCCCCCTGACTCCCCGGCTGCGGCGTCCCCGCCAGCCCCGCCGTCCCCGTCGTCGGCGTACTCGGGCCGCCCTCCCTCCCATGAAACTGGAACGCGGCTCCCAACGCCCCACCACCGCCACCGGTCCCATTAACCGCCTGTCCCCCACCAGCAGCATGGCCCTGGTTCGCCGCTAAGATCGCCGCCTGCGTCGCCGCGCTCGCCGGAGCCCCGACGCCCGTAAGGCCCCACATCTGCCCGTTCAGGTCCTCCGGGACGTTTCCATCGAAGAACTTGGCGCGCATGAGCCAGAAGACCGTTCCCGTGAGCCAGGCGTCGGAGCCGGCTTGGTGCTGGGTCCCTACACGCGCGCAGCCGAGGTGGTCGGCGAGGTCCTGCAGCGCGGATTTGGTGCCGAGTTCGTTCAGGACCGCTTTCGCGGCGTCCGAGGTTAGTGCGTTGCGCTGGTGCAGCTTCTGCGCATGCCGGAGGAGGTATTTGACGTCGAGGAGCTGCGGGAAAAATGTGCTGACCAGGGCGCGGTAGTCGTCTTCGTCGTTGGGGAGGGGCTGGCACCACATTAGTTTTACGAGGTAGGCGAAGTCGTAGCCGGAGTGGAAGGATATCCAGTGCACGTCGTCGCTGAGCACGAGGCCGGAAGTTAGGAGCAGGGAGCCGAATTCGAGCGGGTCGATGCCGGATTCGGCGTGTTTTGTAAAGTCGGAGCCGGATTTTTGGAGTAGTTGGATGGATTCTTCGTTGTACATGTCTGATTCCAGCGAGAATTGGAAGTTGAAGGTCCAGGTCGTGGGGCATGCTATTAGATTATTGGTGTAGGCGCCTGAGGCTTGGAGGGTTGAGGGGTCGGCGCGCACCGGGGGTGTCTGGCCAGTGGCTGAGAAGAGGGTTATGCCGAGTTGAATGATCTTGAGCAGGTCGACGTTGCAGCGGACGGTCTGGTAGTGATAGGACGCTTTTGAGTTGAACTCGCCCATGGGGCGGGCGACTACACCGGGGAACTCGGTATCCTTGGATTCTTGTTAGTCCTGTTGTCCTAAGTCCGCCTATGCCTAGACATTTCTCGACTACATACCATGCTGATGTACGGGTACTTCTCCACCAAGCTCCGCAGCATCTGCATCTCCTGCGCAAGATTGTTCCTCCACACTTCTCGTATCCTGGTGCCCATGCCCTTTGCGCCTGCTGCTGGGGTCGGTCCATCATGTGCTTGTTGTTGTATCGCTGGCGCATGGGCAAATCGCATCTGGGCCTCTTGGCTTGCTAGGCCCGTACCTCCTCCGCCTGCCAGTCCTCCGCCTCCGCCAAAGTGAGCTTGTAACCCTCCATTGCCTGCTCCTGGACCGAACACATTGGCGCCCGCAAAGCCTGGGTGGCCGCCGAGGTTCTGTGCACGTAGACTGGGATTCGCTTGCGGTATGTGAGAGGGCTGCTGTATCGCATGCGGATTATAATGTGCGAAAGGGTTCGAAGGATTGCTCTGGTGATATCGGCCTGCTGTGGGTGGCATATCTGCTCGGGTGGTCAAGGGGAGTACTTGTAGACGGATGGATGTAAGTCGGCGGGTTTGCGCATGGAGCTTGCGGTTGTCGTCGGCGGAGCTCTGTGTAAGAATTGGGTTGCAGTGAATCTTCGCCTCTGAGTTCTTGTATGGATATGTTGTTCGGGCAGTGGGACGTGAGTGTTTGTGGTTCAGTCGTGTTTTATGCGGTTCAGATGTCGCGACGTCCTGGTTCACCGAGTGCTTTCCGCCAAGCCGCCTCGAGCTTCACTCCCACGTCCAGCATCGTCAACTCTGCCTCCATACTCTCGTGCCCCACACATTGCGAAATCAAGAACACTGTAGGCGAAAGCTCCCCCCAGATACAACATCTACTGCTACAGCAGCCACTGACCTCCCACTCGCGCAGCAAACCCGCAATGGCACCCCGCGGCAACCTCACCGGCTTCGACCCGCAAAAGCTCGCCGCGTCCTCAGGCGCACCACCTCGAGATCCATGGGCTCGATAGTACGTTCCTCATCCATCTACAGCCACCATTGATGCCCTCCCCACCTTCCGAGCTCCCGTCATAAGTTCTAAGGTAAACGGAACTCGCATTACTGACCAGGCCTGTCCCCGCAGCGAAGCATGGCGCTACACCGGCCCATTCAGCCGCTGGAACCGCTTTAAGGGCGCCTTCCCCGGCCTCGGCATCGCGACAGTCGCATTCGCAGGGTATCTCGTATATGAGAGGATCTTCTTGAAAGACGAGCATGGGCATGGGGACGGTGGGGATCATCATGGTATCGCTACGTGAGAGGAGCTGGGCGCGGGGAAGTGTACGGGGGGAAAGTGCGAGTGGTGTCTATGTTCTGGCGTCTCGGATGGGGATGGGCAGTGCTTCATCTTGAGGATGGCTTGAGCTGCTTGTACATATAGAAGAGCTTATGATCACAAGATGAGTGCCATTGGATGTGCCAGTGCATGGCTGGCGAGACTGCGCGTGGGTGTGTCTGGTTCAACCCATGCCCCAGAATGGAATGATCAATGAAGCTTCGCGTCCGGTGTAGTACTGAAGGAGACGAGCTTCGAAGATTGGATCCTGAGTAGAAGAGTTGTTGCGAGGCTTGATCAAGGATGTAGAAGATATACATGTTTCTACCAGAGCCGCCTGCACCTTCCAACCGGGGTATCTCAATTCTAATCTGCCTCAAACGCCAAACCTGTATCCCAGACCCTCGGCAAATAGAACTTCGTGTTCTCATACACCAAAAACGTAACACACGTCGATGGCAACACCCTGACAATGTTGGGTCCCAGCCTGTCAATGCGTCAGCACACAACCTAAGCACTCCATTCCCTCCTGGCCACCGAAAGCTGTTAGGAAAGACCTACCCCTTGTAAAACCCACCCAACCCCTCCTTCCTCCAAACCTGCACGACCACATCCCTCGCGCTCTTATACGCCTTATCCGCATTATACGTCTGCAGCCTCGCGCGGACGACCTGATACGGATACGTAACGCTCCCCGCAAAGACCTTACTCCCCGCACTCAGCACCAAATAATCCCAGTTGCTCAGCTCGCCCACCTGTCCCGCGCCCCCACCCGCACCGGCTAGCTGCCTTGCCCGCCGTCGCTTCAGCTGCTCGTACGCCATGAACTGTACCGCGCCGTGGCTGACCCCGAAGAGGCTGGGTATTAGGCCGCGATAGAAGCCGGCGAGCCCCTCGGAGGCGAGGATCTCGCGCACGCCGTGCGAGATACTGTGGTAGGCGCCGGGTGCAGAGCGCGAGGAGGATAGCATGCGGGTCTTGATAACCCAGATCGGGTTCGTGAGGACTGCGGTCAGAATGCCGGAGAGGCCGGAGGCGAGGAAGTAGTCCAGGGAGGTGAGGTGCACGTTGTGGCCGCGCCAGGACTGAAAGATGTCTTTAAGATTGCGGTACCTGGGCTTGGGGTTAGAGGAGTTCGTTTTGAGGTGTGGTGGGCAAAGATAGTAGGGTTGAGGGTACTATGCTGGGCTTACCAGAGGAAGTACAACCCCCAGCTCACGGAGTTACCGATCATGTTGGGCATCAAACCGCGATAGAGAGCAGCGTAGCTGCCTTCGTCGCGCACGATATTGCGCATGAGGTGGAAGGAGTTCCCCCATTGTGGGCGGTGGGTATGGTCCACTGAGGCTCTCGGTCAACGCATGTTATTCACAGGCGCATGTGCACATACACTGGAGACGCGTCTTCAACACATCGAAAGGGTGCACAGCCAAGGTCGCGATGACCCCGGCGGAGAAGCCTGCTACGGTTTCGACGAAGGAGGGAGAGAGCCCATTGCTTTGCGTCTTAGTTTCGATGGGCGGATACACCCTCGTCATGATAAAGAAGAGAAATTCAACGGAGGGTCTGCATGCTGGACCAGGAACCACACGGCCTATAGCAGCGACCTGGGGTATGTGAGTCTAGGGTGGTGGGCAGTGACTTGCTCGGTATGCAGTTGGCCATGTCGTTGGAGTTTGGAGGGGAACGCCATTGCGTAGGGCCTCGGCTTGTAGAGATGCGGGTCACGTGCCGATAGCTACTCGTCCTCAAACTTCAAGCGCGATCCGAAAAGTCCGTTGCCGCATTGAGAGGTACTCATAGCTCTAGCAGTGGATAACCCTCAAGCGCAGTCCCCAGACCAAAGACACCTTAGGTGATCGATGCATTGAGGAGCTGAACTGCTGAGCATCTTCTTATCTCTTTTGTATTAAATCAGTCTAGCTGCTCTACGGCTGACAAGATCATGAGTCCAGTTTCATCATGAATCCGGTAAAAACTAAGCTACAGCGAGGATGCGGCAGCGAACTTTTCGATTCGCCGTTGCTCCGTAGCAGCATGATCTTGGGACATTAATCATTCTGTTCAGAAACACCGATGAAAATCGACTATCGATAACTGTAGCCATCATTGAACCACAACCGCAACCCTTCATCAGCCACAAGTGGTAGCAGCAGGTGCACTGAAAAGATTAGAGCAAATTAGATTGCAGCACGCCCCAGGGTCAGCGAGGTCCAAAGCCGCTCCCGAGGGAGCGCAGGCTCGCGCCGCTGTCGTCGTTACCGTTATCGTCGTCATTTGAGTTGTCGTGGTTGAATCAATTCGAAGCTTGAGATCGCGATCAGCCAGGGAAGTGGACAGAGACTGCAACGAAGAGAGGATATATATACCAGAGTCGGAGCAATAGTTGTAACAGTCTTAAGCTTTCGGCTTGAGGTTTAGGCATGAACATGCTGACAAGACCGCAGGCGTGGCGTAAGCTGCAAGCCAAACTGGGAGCTTCGCACCGCGTTCGTCTAGGCGGCGATCAAGCGCTCGCTTCGTTGCTCCTGCGACTTGACTCTCGGTGGTGGCTACTGTCTCTGTGGTCACGACAGTACTTGTGGCAGTGGTTATACTGAGAATGGTCAGGTAACCTCATCATGGCCTTGTATTTATGAATATACTGACGTCTCAGAGGGGAAAAGCGTTGTAGTAGAGGTGGATGTCCCGATGCGTAGGAATGAGCTACAGAAACTTGTTGCCGGCCCCGAGAAGGCTTTCATGACGGCAAGAGCGCTAACTATCCAGCAAGGCGTCCTTTCTTCAAGGTCTCGGTCCATCAGATCCATGGAGTCCTCGTACGACATAAATATTCCATCTTCAGACTCTACGAACGCCGGCTATGCGAGAGCATGATGTTTTGAGGCCAGAGAGAGGCAGAGCAGTGCCAGAGCATAAGATTGAACCCGGAAATGCATGATTTTATAAGGCCGAAGAACAAAGCAAGCAACCTGAAGAATATAAATTAGAGCAAGTAAGAGGGTTTGAGATTGGGAGGATTGAGAACAGAGGAACCGGTTGCCCAGAGCAGCTGAGGCTCCAGTGTCATCTCGGTTGATAATTTGCAAGGGTAATGTACCGCTTCGTGACATGACATGACGCTGAAAGGTCTCACCTACGCCGAAGCAACCTCACTAAGCTAAAGTTCTAGTTGGAGAACATCTTCTCCTGAGAACGAAACTTGGTACCAGCGTACGCCGGACCTCTTTTGGCCCAACTGTGGGGTCGCTCACCCTTCTGTCGTATCTAGTCTTCGCGCTGTTATGATAGTGAAGTCCCTAACGAGGTCGAACCGCTTGGCATTCGGACAAATACGAAGGAGGGGGTATTTATTGGGGAAGCGGCCGCTTGACGGCGCCCATGAGTCCCCTCAAGACAATACTATAGTGCACACGGAGGTGGACTGACTCGTTAGATATATCTTCAGTCAATACAAAGACCAGGATAAAGTATATAAACCGTTTGTCAATGTTTGTTGATGGTATCAGAGGGTGTCAAGCGGCTGCCGCTTCCCCAATAAATACACCCTCCTTCGTACGGTGTGAATGATGTAACCGGACTGTTTAAAGATCGACCAATCCGGACTGGTACACAGCAGACAGGTGATCCGCTACCATTCCGCAGACATGTAGTTAACCGGGAGCGCGCGTGCTGACAGACGCGCTGTATGTTGGGAAGATCTGCTCGATACAGTATAGTGGACAAGATTGGTCTGAAACCCAAATCACAAAAACGATGGTGAGGCCTTGCATTCAAATGGCCGCTCCAATGTTCTCGAGTATATGCGTCCGTTGTGTGGTAATGACAGCCGTGGCTGTAATTGGAAATGGTCGATGCCATAAAGAAGATTCGGAACCTGCCGCGCCAATCGGAACAAACAACCTGCTACGAGACATACGAAGGACGGATTTATATTGAGGAAGCGGACGTTTGGCCGCGTGCGATCACGAGGGATTGAAAGACAGTATTCCGGCGCTTATGCGAAGAGAATTGAGCCTTGAGAGGCCTCTGTGGTCAGTAAAAGTCTGAATTTCCATCGGATCACTCACTTGATGATTCTTTGCTGATGAGAGGAAGTGTGGCCAAGCGTCCGCTTCCTCAATATAAACCCCATCCTTCGTAGCTATGAGGATTCACAAGTAAACGGAGGCTCCAAAGGCTTCGTACAGTGACCGGTATTTATGTGCCCTACAAAAGACCTTCCCGCATTCGCTCACATTATCTGCAACTCTGGGCCTGGAGGCCTTCCAACGACAGCGGACGCAATAGAGACTTGTGGGTTTCCAGCCCAAACACTATCCAAACAAGCTCGCTGAAACGCAGCAAAGAGAACACGTTGATCACATGATACAGCCTCTCCACTGTGCATCACTTGCCTGCTCCGTTGCCACCGCTGAAACTATAGTTTCCTCTCCTGTACTCGTCATACCCGCCTGGACTCACGGTCCTAGGCGGGCTCTGTTTCCTGTAACCCTCATACCCGTCACCGTACTCTTCGTCTCTGCCATAATCGCCTACGCTTCCCGTCCGGTCCTCGCCCCAGCTCAGCGGCCGTCCGGGATGTTGTCCCTCATAAGTTTCGGTGGAGTGGAGGAGGGCGTACTCGTCGTCTTCCCGACTGCCGCTGCGCTGGGGTTGTGTCCCCTCATCGACATCGTGCTCAGGATCGTCGACATTGGCGGACCACGCGTCTTTGTTGCCCGCCTCCAGTGTTTGGGGGTTGTTGGTTGCGCCGCCGTGCGCGTGGACGGGGAGGGTGCCGTCTTTGCGGAACTTGATGAGGTAGTAGGCTGAGATGGCCGAGGTGAGGAGGAAGAGGAGGCTGTGACGAGACTTAATTAGCCTGTTGCCTGGCAGCAAAAGGGTACTGGATAGAAACCTACAAGATAACTACGCCGAAGCCTACCGTTGCTCGGCTGAGCTTGCATTTGCCTTCTGTGCCATAGGCGAAGGTGGTACAGTTGCCGGAGTCTTTGTCAATGTTCCTATCCTTTGCGCCTTGCCGGATGCCGGCGGCGTTCCAGGTTGCGACGCTGATGAAGGCTGCGAACCAGAAGATCTGTGCGGGTCAGTCTCCAGCCGTATTTATGCTATATGGGAGCCTAGGAGAGGAATAGCCATACTGTATATAGGATGTCGACCGCTGCGAATGCATAGGCGTTTGCGAATCTGACGGCTCGGGTCCAGAGCGGCACCATTACTTGATAGATGAGCGCTGGGATGGTGAAGAAGCACTGCAAGTTGCGTGTGTTAGTCTTTCTCGCCGTGCTTCTCTGCGTTCACTACTTGCAAGCTCTTACCATCGCGAAGTAATATTTCGACGGGCTGCCCGTACTGCCATCTTTCGTGAAAACGGCCAGCATTATGCAGCCCGCGATGAAGACCATCAGAGCTTGGAGGCCATGTGCAACAGCCTTACAGCGCTGTATGTAGCTCTGCTCGATCCTCATCTCGGCCTTCGGAGCGTGGAATGTGTCGGTTTCTAGGAGCTGGCGGAGAGTAAACACAGCGTCGGAGCTGATCTTCGGCTGGGGAGCGAGCGATGGGATGGATTTTTGAATGTGATAGGATTCGACCGGAGAGATGGATGCTTTTGATAAGGAACTGAACACGAGGTTTGCTGTCAGCCTCACGACTGAGCCTCTCCTGCTGCGCTGTGGGCTGCGCCAAAGACTCGTGCTTTCAGCCTTACCAGCTAAGAATAGATTAGAACCACGCCGCAGATCCCGCTTGAAGCGAGAGCTCTAAATCTACCCACTGACTGCCTTAGTTGTTAGGCATAATTTTTTTTGCTGTAAAAGAGCCAGCTCTCATATCAGTCCACCACTGCTGCTACGCATCAGCAAGACACCGCCGTTTGGTCTCAAGGTGTCGCGTGCGGAAAGCCAAAACATGATTTAGCCGCAGACATGACTACGTTGTGTAGCGCCTGCCAAAACATCGATGCCTTACTCCTCTTCCAGGCCCTGTGTACACGGTTGAAAGACGCTTTGGCTTCGACACTCACCTGTTCTACCGTCTTCACGGTTCAATCGATGAGTTGAAGGCTGCCGCTGCCGGACAGTGCCACTTATGTTTCCTGGTTTTTGAGAGTATCAAGGCGTGGGGCAACAGGCATGGACGCTATTGAGAGGGGATTCCGCTTTCTGTGACGTCTGGAGACACCTCTGGCGACCCGGACCTTATCCCTCTGCAGAGACTGAAGGACCGAGTTGGCAGCTTCTTCCAAAGCATTCCCCAATTCCACAGAGCCGCGACCCTGCAGGACGCGCTTGCGACTCGTGTGGACTCTACAGCGGGAATCGTGCTCGAAGTAGTGTTCTGGCATACGAACAGTTCGGATCCACAAACAGAACTTATCAATATCAATGTCCACTTGAATGACGATGAAGATACCAAGCAAATTATAGGAGCCCTTTCTCTCATTTCCAGTCTTCCACGTTAGTCCAATCATATCTGATTCTTTGTCTGAGTGTATTGCCCCAAACCCTCATGCAGCTCGAGATAGAAACGTAGCTGATCAACGCGACCGTATGAAGATGAAATCGCGCAGATTGCGACGGGGCGTGTCGTCTTTGACGATGACGCAACAGGTAGTCCCTATGCCTCACTTCTGGGGCGTCTCTCGCTCAGAAATTGTGTCGAGAACAATGAGTTATGTCGCAAGCGGAGATCGGAGCATTGCAGCGCCTTACCGACTCGTGTGATCGATGTGGGACCGAACGACGCTCAGTCACAGCCGTTCTTGTACGTCTCAAAGAACGAAGAAGCTCCATATGTATGTCTGAGCCACTGCTGGGGTACAGGTCATTGATTCAAGACCGAGCTGGCTTCACTGAAAGAGCGCCAGCAACAGATCAACCTTGAGGGGCTGACAAAGTCTTTCCAAGATGCCGTTGCCATTACCCGCAATCTCGATATAAGGTACCTCTGGATCGATAGCATTTGTATAATCCAAGATTCCCCTGAGGACTGGCAGAAAGAAGCAGCAGACATGGACAGGGTCTTCGGCGACGCCACGGTGACCGTCTTCGCAGTGGGCGCTGAAGACGATGATGGAGGCAGTTTCCTGCCCCGGTCCGGTGCCGCTATCGCTATGTGCAGGACGCCTGTGTTTGATGAGTTAGTGAGCAAAATCCGGGACACAGCAGTACAATCTTCCTTTATTCAGCGGAGGCTGTTTCATCCTCAGTACGCGCTACCTCGGCAGCAACACGTCTTCAATTTGATCAGGTAGCTCGACGGGCGTGCGGAATACGACTTCCCGCTTGATCTGAGGGCTTGGACGCTGCATGAGCCCGTCTTCTCATTCAGATCTCTGAACTACAGCGGCTTCGAACTCGAGTGGACTTGTCCAACGCTGGTAGGATGTGAGTGTACGCCGGAAAGCGTTACGTGTGATGAGCGATGGTCACTCGAAGAGACGGCGGACCCGAACAAGCCCCTGACCAAGGAAGAAATGGAGTTCGACCTTTACAGATCATGGCATCGTACCGTGGAAGCCTACACGATACGCCGACTGACATACGGAAAAGACAAATTGCCCGCATTGTCCGGCTTGGTCGGGCAGTTTCAGGTACTTACCTAGCCGGTATCTGGCAGAATGATCTCCGCGGTGGGCTGACCTGGTACCTGCCGTCCTTCCCACCTTCCCCACGAGCTCTTTCGTGGTCGTGGGCCAGCGTCGACGGCGTAATCCATTATCTGTGAGAACGGGCATGGCGTTTCGGCAAATTAATATACGAGGACAAGGATGACCTCTTCGTCGAACTCCAGTGCGAGGCACTGGATTGTAAGGTGCAGCTGCAGGGGCTTAATCCATTTGGAGAAGTCAACGCTGGTACGCTTACACTGCGCGGACGTCTGAAGCATGTCCTGGTGAGAGAGTGGCAAAAAGACTGCGAAGAGGGAGCCTTCCTACCTAGAGGGACACCGTCCCTCTTCGATGATCAAACGTTAAATAAGATCGGATGGTCTCAGCCGGACGACTGCCGATGGACTGGGAGGGAGCTCTGATGCATCCCACTCGTAGGCAAACCGAAACGCCGAGTAATGCAATGTCTCGCACTGATACCTACGGGGTCTGAGGGTCCAATGAACCACCGTGTTAAGGCGAAGGAGTTCACACGGGTTGGCATGCTGTGGACGTGGTCCGAGGACAACGGTTCCGGCCCAGACATCCCGCCTTTCAGTCCGGTGCACTGGTTGGCGGATGCGGCGATATCGACTATTACCGTTGTGTGAACACGACAGGCAAAAAGGCTTCATTCTCATCCTCACCGCGAAGCCGTGGACATCTGTGGGTTGTATCGCATTGTCGCAACATCCTATATGAAGACTTCGCCTGCGGGATAGACTTGGCTACTAAACACCATCTCCTTCTCATATTGACTCTGGTGAGCAAGGCCAAACCTTGGCGACCTTTATTGAGTGATCTGCCTCTTCATCAGCTTTACAGAGCCGTGCCCCACCCAATGTCCGCTTAACACCCGACGCCGTAATCATGCTGCGGTATACACGCGAGCCTCTAGATAGTGATGAGTACTAGGACGCCGTTCTCGGCTCGACTGTGCCTCAGTCCACGACGATCTCTGCCCTGCTGTTTGTTGCCACGAACCCGATTCCCAGCTACCCATCACCTACTGCCGCGCCCTCCTCTCTACTGCAGCCTCAACCTCCCTCATCAATCCCACAAGATCCTGCTCCCCGGCTTCAAACTCCAACGCCTGCCCGACCCACTCCCTCGCCTCCTCCAACCTCCCCATCTCAAACAGACACCTGCCCCTCCTCCACCACCCCTTCGCATTTCCCACCCTCTTCATCTCAACACTGGACTCCGCATCCACCGCACCCTCCGCCCAGTGCTGCAACGCCATATGCGCCTGCGCGCGGTTCGCATACAGCCCACTAACCTCCTCCCGCACCAACCCGCTCGGCTCCCAGCCAGGCCGCCCCAGCGCCATGTCGATGCCGAGGCTATACATGCGGATCGCGTCGCCGTGCGCGCCTTTGCGGAAGGATGCGTTGCCTGTTTCGCGCAGCTTGCCGATTTGGGCGGAGCGCTTGGGGTTTACGGGGACCGGGGGTGGGGGGACACCGTTGGGGGTGTCGAGGGAGAGGAGGGAGCGGTGGAGGAGGTTTAGGGCTGTGAGCTCGGTGGTGAGAGCCGCGGAGGTGCTGCTGCTACTGCTGCTGACGGCTTTGGTAGTGGGGTCGAGGTGGAGAGGGAGAAGGGTGAATATGTCCGCTTCGGCGGCCATGGTTGTGGCCGGTAGGTCGCTCTGGTATTCTCGGGCGTATAAAAGTAGGGTGATGTGTCTATTCGTAGTTTCGCTTCGTTTTTATGTGTTCTATTGGTATATTCGAAGAAGACAGATCAGCATTGGCACATGCATAGCATACTTAGTCACCTGATCAAAAGTGCGGCTGACTAAGTACGACGCTAGACCCTTTGAGGATTTCCTTTCAGTCAATCCATCCGGTTTTGCTCTATGGAGTACTGGCATGATTTCGGGAGCAGCTTTGCCTTGGCTATAATCGATGTGATCGAGTATGCTCGCAGTAAGGACAAATTACAGCTGAAACCTCGTCCGCACTTTCTCATCCCCGGCTTTCCATTCCCACTCCTGGCCGCTGCTCCGCTGGATCCCCCTATCCACCCTTCTCAACTTGAGAGTGAACCTAGGCCCAAGTTCCTGCAAGCCTGTTCTGATATCCTCTACATCCTTCATCGGCTTGCCGTCCGTGTCTACAACACTCTTTTCAGTCGCCCGCTTATCTCTGAAGATGTATCGATGCCGCCGTACAAAGATGTAGTCGCGCTGATTATGGAGCGTTACTACTGTTCTACCTTCCAGTTCCGGCCGAGGAGGGAACATGGTACGGAACAGATGGGCTGTGAGCAGACCCAAAGGAGTTCGGAAGTTATTTAGGATGAGCTCCGGAAAATGGTTTGTTGGGTTGCCGTGGCCAGGCAGCTTAGCTCCTTCGATCCAGTTCTTGATACTGAAATGAAAAGTTGGTCCCTCGGGTAGATGTACTACTGTGAGACCGGACGGGCGTTTAAGGTCTTCGTTGAGGACTACTAGGGTGCTGAAGCCACGATTCGAGGCGAACTTTGATATTTCGCGGACCGAGTATTTGTGACCGTACCGGTGAACGCTGCGGCGCACGTAGCTGCTGTTCGGGAAGAGTGTCGTGAGGATAGAAGCTTGCGCATGAAGTGTGCTGTTGATGGAGGTAGTGATGAGGACTTTAGGCTCTGCGTGCGGAGTGAAGAGGGTTGGGAACTTAGTCGCAAGGTTTTCGGGTGTTAGGTCGAGCCTTGTACTAGCGGTTGATCCTGACGGACTAGCTGCTCTTCTTGGTTGCTGCGGTTTAGGTGGTTCTTTCTGCTTGCTTGATGAAAGCTCGATTTCGGACCCATCCGAAGCATCCTCATCCTCGTCAAGCATGCTATCGACATCATCGTCGTCGGCGTGGTCTTCCTCGTCTGATCTCTCCTCCTCTCCAGACGCTCCCGACTCGGCGCCGTCCTGTTCTTCAGCGGTCTTCTGGCGCTTCAGCCGCGCGACATCGACACTCAGACCTAACGCATCCTCCTCATCTGCATTGACCTCATCCCAAACCCGCTTCTTATCAAGGGTGATCGGCACATTGCGAGCCTGCCGTTCTTCCCGCAATCTTGGGTTTCTATCTTCCTCTCGTCTCCGCCGAAAGCGCTCGTCCCGCCTGATGGCATCTCTGGCCTTCTTTTGCTTGACATGGAAAGATCGCCGCTTCTCCTTGTTGGCTGTCCGGAACGGAAGGGCAGCCTTCGAAGAAATTTGCGTTCTTGACGGAGCCATATTGCACAGGCACTGCTGCCCTTAGCTGCAAGCTAATGGATCTACACAGATATCTCAAGTTCTAATTCTTAGAAAATTGAGATTGACGTGCGTAGTTGTTTGGTTGGGGGTGCCGACTGCTGCAGTGGTGTTAGCACATAAGCCGTTTACTAATACCGTCAAAATCTTGCAGAGATATAGTATCCCGTGTATGGTCCCTAGCGTCAGACGGCCATATATTCTTATGCAGGCTTTGGTACATGAGAGAACCATCCCACAGCGATATACGAGGTTTAAGCGGAGGGGAATATAGAAGTTGAACTACTTTACATGACAAAGTTGACTGAGAATCTTACACACAGAGCTGAGACAAACAGGCTTCCTACTTACAGTTCTTATTGCTTGTTGCAACGTGATGCGCCTCCAGGGTCTGCTAAGAAGTTTTGAAGCTATTCGGGGGTTGAGATTTGCCCGACACTGCCGATGTTTTCCCGATCGAGCATCAGTCAATTGTCCCCAGGAACAGTCACAGAGATTGACACTTTCCCATATAAAGTACATGCGTCAGCTGCTTCTGCTAAGACGCTATCCTAAAAGTCTTACCCAAGGGTACATACATTTGCCAGGTTCTCCTCGCTCACTAAAGGTCCTCGCCAGACCTCCCACGCTCGCGATACCACCGTATGCGCCGCAAGCTCGCAATTTCAGTACAAGCCCAATAGCGCTCCGTTACCAAGTTAAGAAGAAGGAAGCCAGCGCCGCCATGGCTACCACAACTCGTACTGGTCAGCCCTTTGACCGTGCTGCCCTTGAGAGCCTCATGAGGAGGAGGATGTTCTATACCCCTTCTGTAAGTTAGGTTACATAGAATTGTATAACGTTTCTGACTGAAAGGACAGTTCGAAATATACGGAGGTGTGAGCGGATTATACGATTACGGCCCCCCCGGCTGCGCCCTACAGGCCAATATAATAGACATATGGCGGAAGCACTTCGTGCTAGAGGAGGACATGATGGAGGTCGACTGCACCATGCTCACCCCACACGAGGTGCTGAAGACTTCCGGCCACGTTGATAAATTCGCAGACTGGATGTGCAAGGATCCGAAGACCGGAGAGATTTTCCGCGCAGATCATCTAGTGGAAGAGGTGCTCGAGTCGAGATTGAAGGGTGATAAAGAGGCTCGTGGTCAAAAGGTGGACGTGGACGAAGAAGACCCGAAGAAAAAGAAGAAGAAGGTCAAGGAGATCAAGGCTGTCAAGTTGGATGATTCGATGGTTCAGGAATACGAAGAGATTCTGGCAAAAATTGACAACTACAACGGCGAGGAGTAAGAGCCGCAGGATTTGTTGCTTTAGGGCCTTTACTAATTTACGCAGGCTCGGGTTACTCATGACAAAGTACGATATCAAAAACCCAGCGACCGGCGGCGCCCTCTTACCTCCGGTCGCCTTCAATCTCATGTTTCAAACATCGATCGGACCCAGCAGTAACCTTCCAGGCTATCTACGACCAGAGACTGCGCAGGGCCAATTCTTGAATTTCCAGAAGATGCTTGAGTTCAACCAACAGTCCATGCCATTCGCCAGCGCCAGCATCGGCAAAAGCTTCCGCAATGAGATATCACCTAGATCCGGCCTGCTTCGGGTTAGAGAATTCACGATGGCTGAGATAGAGCACTACGTCGACCCTGAGGGGGGCAAGAAACACCCTCGCTTTGAAGAGATCAAAGACGTGACTCTCAGTCTGCTCAACAGGGAAACTCAGCTTGCTGGTAAGACGGACGTCGAGGCGGTACCCATTGGCAAAGCCGTAGAAACTAAGCTTGTGGATAACGAGACCCTGGGATACTTCTTGGTCCGCATCCAGCAGTTCCTCATCAAGCTTGGAGTAGACGAGAAGAAGCTGCGTTTCCGGCAACATATGGCAAACGAGATGGCTCACTACGCCGCTGACTGCTGGGACGCTGAACTGTTAACCTCATATGGTTGGATAGAGTGCGTCGGCTGTGCAGACCGGAGCGCTTATGATCTCACGGTGCATGCGAAGAAGACTGGCGCTCCTCTTTGCGTCCGCGAGACGCGAAAAGAGCCTCTTCGCATCGAAGAGTGGCAGATCGATCTCGACAAGAAGAAGTTTGGCCCAAAGTTCAAGAAGGATGGCAAGACCGTCGAGGCAGCTATCGACGCACTAACGCAAGACATGCGCGAGAAACTGTCTCTGGACTTGAAGAACGATGGCAAGATCAGCGTGGATGTGGAGGGCGTTGCTAATGGCAAGGTCGAGCTAGAAAAAGACATCATCAACATTGAGAAGCGAACAAGAGTTGAGAACGTGCGGGAGTACACCCCTAACGTGATTGAGCCTTCATTCGGCATTGGTCGGATATTATACAGCCTGATAGAGCACAGCTACTGGACTCGGGAGGGCGACGAGGCCCGCGGTGTAAGTTGATCCCCCGAATGCATTGTTTACGCCCACGTTAACACCTTCCAAAGGTCATCTCATTCCCGCCTATGATCGCGCCAACAAAAGTGCTCCTTGTTCCTCTTTCTGGCGTCTCGGATTTCAAGCCTCTCATCAAGCGCATAAGCCACCGCTTACGCGCACTCGGTATCTCCAATCGGGTCGACGACTCATCAGCAAGCATCGGCAAGCGATACGCGCGCAACGACGAGCTCGGCACGGCATTCGGCATCACTGTGGACTTTCAGTCCGTGAAGGACAACACGTTTACGCTTAGGGACCGTGACAGCACCAAGCAGGTCCGCGCCAGCGAAGATGAAATCTGCGCCGCGGTGCAAAGTCTTGTCGACGGTAATGAGACGTGGGCTGATGTCGCTGGCCGACTGCCCAAGTTTGAGCAGCAGGAGCTAGAGTAAGACGCTCAAGTCTCCTTGGCTGAATATATGCCGCTGTGTACGATATCAGTGGCATTGTCCAACGGTGCTGTTCAACTCGGGGTTATGGAAATCTTCGAGATAAACGATCCCAGAACGGAGAGGTGGAGGCATTGGCCTCGGTAAATAGACGCTGTAAACATCTATAGACAGCAGACAAGCAGCTAGTCATCGCACATTGCACGATGAAAGCTGTTGAAGATGAAGCTTGATTATGACAAGCTGCTTCGCCAAATGTGATAAGAATGCCAAGCGCGGCAGGGCGGCAGGCGGTTGAGGCGCAACACGAACCGTCCTTGACCTCTGTTCCTGATCTGCACTTCTGTGTTCACTCTCATGACATTCGGCCGTAAGTCGAGCGTTGACATCCGTTTTGGCGTGGTCGAACATCATGAGCATCAACCCACAATCGACGTGCTGAGGGGACTATCCCATGTCCCGCTCCCCTGCCACGGGGAGCCAAGCTTCGTCTGCCGTGTCGAATCCACCAAGATCATTCGGCAAACCCGTCTCCATACCTCCTGCCACGACCTTCTCGATCTACGTCTGACACGACTGTACATACTGCAATAGCATTGATACTCTCACCACTTCATTCCTAATCGCTACTTCTACTGCCATCGTGTGGAGGCCGGCGATCCCGACACCTAGACCATCTAGAAGCCGCTCCTTGCTGCCCATCCACGACGGCTCAGCCTCGACCTTGAAGATCGCCTCGTCCCAGGTCTCCACAGCGAGCCGGGCCGTTTCCTTACTTCCCCTCAGTGGGTCCTGTACCGCTGTCAACCACCTTTAGTGGGAACTTCACTGAACGGCGTCGCTGGCGCTAAGTGGCGGCCCTGGGTGGTCTCCTCTCATCTGCCGGTTCCCTCTTAAGGACTGGTTGGCTGTCGCGACGCTCCGTGTCCCACAATGGCCAACTGGTGATGTTTGCTTGCTTGTTTCGTTGGTATCTGTGGTCGCCGTTCGCACGTTTTGGTCGTTCGGTCAATTGATTGACTCCACAGCCTTTACGCCCCTTGTTGTCCGTTAGGCAACTTCCTGTCTCTACTGTATTCGAACCGTTGATTTTATAGCTCCTGCGAAAGGGCTTTCTTTGGTGCCTTTTTCGCTCGAATCACAGTTGTGCATGCAATGGAAGAGGCACAAGCAGCAGCACTTGGGATTGGGGAAGCGGGCCAGCGCCCTTTATCAGCCGGCAGTAGTGGTGACTCTTCTGACGCGGAGTCCGCCCCTTCAATGTGAGTAGTATAGCCCAATTTCTATCCCTAAAATGCAATGTTTTCCGCTAGACAAAGCAATCCTAAGTCTTCCACCAAAGTCTTCGGCACATGAACAGCATGGGGGCGGGAAGCCTGTGATTGATTTTACCAATCGCTGGGAGGGCCAGGACAGAGCTTCCCCCTACGAACGAAAAAGCCCGAATGCCAGTATGGCACCGTGTAGGGGCCTCCACCTTATCTAGCAGAGATATATGTTATCATATAGAAGATGTGTACCAAGCATTGGCGTGCTTATGGATTCAACGTTCGCCACTCATATCTTCCAGCTACAGCCCATTACGCTATGGGGCTGCTGTCAAAAAACTTGATCTGACATTCTCCAGCATATCCAAGCGCTCTCTGCACTCCGAAGACTTAACGACCGTCATCGAGAACGGCCGCACATATCCCAACGCGGTATACTTTATGCCCTGCGATGCCGCGGAGCAAACACGGCTCTCTATCATCCACCAAGTCTTTCTAACCGCACTGTCTGGTTCTCTCACGACCGTGCCCATCCATGCCGGCATGCTCTGGATCCTGGATGTCGGCGCGGGACCTGGGGACTGGGCTAATGGGATCGCGGACCGTTATCCAAAGGCCAAAGTCGTAGCCGTCGATGCCGCTGTCTGGGAGACGGACGAGACGGAGCCGGAGAGGAAGAACGTGTTCTGGGAAATTGACGATCTAGATGTGGGCGAGGTGCCGGGGGCGAGAGAGGCCGAGGCGACGGCGCTCGAGAGTCAGATGCAGTCCATGAGCATACGACTGGAGTCGCTACGCGGTCGGGCTGATAGCAAAGCGGAGGATCTAGCGGACACGGGACAAGACCAGGCGGTAAAGTTGAGCCCGCAGTCCTCGCCGCCCCTCTCAGAACCCCGAGGCTGGTGCTTTACGACCCTCTTCGACTTCATCCATATCCGCGGCATGAAAGGCGCTTTCACCTCTTGGCCCGCTATCTACGCCGAAGTCTTCAAATCACTGAATCCTGGCGGCTACGTCGAGGTTGTGGATTTTGAAACCCCACTGCAGTCTATAAATCCCGACTCTGAGCTGCGCCGCCTCATCTCCGCAACGTGGGAAGCTGCACAGAAATCCGGGTGTGCGCTGGGTACGGCGCATCTAGACCCGGCGGCGTTCGAAGCGGCAGGGCTAATGCACGTCAAGACCACGACCGTGGACGTGCCGGTGGGAATGTGGCACGAGGACGAGGAGCAGAGGGCGTTGGGAAAAAAGTGGCTGGTTTGCTGTATTGAGGGCATGGAGGCGATGTGTTTACGGCTGCTAACCAAGGAGATGGAGTGGAGTGTTGAGCGGGTTAAAGAAGCATGTAGAAAGGTTGCGGATGAGTTTCTTAGCGGGATGCATGATGGATTGACGACACCATTCAGGTTCGTGGTGGCGAGGAAGACGAGGAACGGCGCCGAGGGATGATACCACGTATGATTATGTTTAAGAAGTCTATGTCAGGGCTGGAATATACTTCCGCCTGTTTCGTTCCAGCATTCAATATCGAAACTCCCCGAGCATCCGAAACCATATCCGGCCCGTCCAGGGAGCCGGCGCTGTCGCCACCCCTAGTTACAAAGGCACCCTTATATTAATCCGTCCAGCCGTGTAATCTTCCTCGAATGGCACAAGACCATAGCGTGCTCAAACTTAAGCTTGCCAACCTCACTTCGCCGCGAATCGACTCCTCGCCCTAAGCCAATCCCCATAGAAGTACAGCAAATACACTCCGCCCACACACACGACCGTAAACGCAGCCAGCAAACTCACACCGGGCCCGACTCCCAGATCTCCAAACAGCGGCGTCGAGAAGTGAATAGCCGCCGCCGCCAGCACACTCCTCGTGAAATCATTCCCGGCAAACAAGCTCGCCGCATACTGCGGGTACGTAAGCGGCAAATACAAGAAGATGCACTGCAGGACCAGAAAAACCCCGACCGTGAAGATCGCCACGCCGACGCACGACACGATCCAGTGTATGTCCGGGTCGCTCGTCCACGCATAGATGAACAAGCCCACGGGACACAATACACTGGCGTACAGCGCGGGAATGAGCCGTCTCTCCGGTGCGCCCAGCCCGGACCGGCGGATCTCGGGCTCGACGATCCAGTACACATAGCTCCAGTACATGGCTATGGATACAAAAACCCCGACGGTGATGGCCAGGAAGGTCAGCCCCATCTGCCCAAGATTGAAGCCGTACATGCCGATATAGACGAGCGGGAAGACCTCGAAGAAGGAGTAGAAGATGCCGTACACCAACGCGGTATAGAGGGCCGTGAAAGCGACGGCGGGGTCCAGCAGCATCATTTGGATTGGGCGCCATAGGGTCTCGATCGCGAGGTCTTTAACGCTCAACGAGGCTTGCGCGATTTCAGACTGGCTCTTCAGCTGGTTGTTGCCGCTCGCTTTGCGGAGGCGTTGAGCGCGCCGGAGCAGGATCGTCGGGGTCGAGGTTTCGGGCAGGAACAGGAACAGCAGCACCCACACCGGCCCAGCGAGCCAGAGTATCTCCCACAGCGACCATCGCCAGTTCATGGCCGCGACGCTGAAGCCCGAGATGATGGGGCCGAGCGCAGGACCGCAGGTTGCGGCCAGCGCCCACAGGGAGAGCACGTAGGGCAGCTTGATCAGGCTGTACATGTCCTGCAGGCTTGCGCCTCCAGTAGCCAGACACGGGCTCCCGAAGAAGCCTTGCAGGAAGCGCAGCACGATTAGTCCAGCGAAGTTGTCGACTAGGGCCGTTGGGACGCAGAGGATCACAAAGATGGCGAATGTGACCACGTAGGGGATGTTGCGGCCGATGCGGGGGACTTCGGAGAGGGGAGAGAATATTAGGGGACCGATGCCGTAGCTGGGATGGAGTTAGAGGGTGTTGTGGGTTTGTTAGGGGAGGACGGAGATGACTCACCCTAGGACGTACATCGACAGCCCGAGATAGGCCGCCGAGTAAGAGACACCGAAAGCGTGGACGACACCTTCAACTGACGGGGCGTAGATTGCGGAGCCCATGTAGACAGCGAGGGTGTAAATGTAGATCTGGAAGGCGGCAAAGGCTTTCTTTCCCGATGACCAGTTCTGAGGGTCTTCCGGGTCATCTAGTGGTCGGGGTCAGCTTCGACCGGAGAGGTGAATGGGTTTCATGCTGGATTACCAACCTGTAGTGTACCAGTCAACCAAAATAGTCCCGTCGTCCAGCTTCGCCGGTTCGACGGGCTTGCTGGGTCCCCTTGTCACACTCGCAATGGTAAACTGCCTCTCGAGATCCTCGCGTGTCACAGAGGCTTGTAGAGCCTCCCGTGTCGCTACTCGCTCGAGTCCTGGACGAGCAGAGGCTGTCGTCCGGGGTCTGTTTAGGTTAGATGCGGAAGAGGAAGCAGTGCTCGCTGTGACAGTTCTCTCAAGCGTTTTCCGCTTTTCTAATATAGCGTCATCAGATTCGGGCTTGCTAGGGAGGACATCCCCGTGGAGAGTGTCGACGACCGGAAGGGATGGCTCCGCTTTCTCCGGTGTTGGTGTGGCCTGGCTTGAACTGTAGCATGTGGGGCAGTGAAAGTCCGGCTTCTCTTCTGGATATTGGAGGATCTTATTTCCAGTCGCCCATCTGAGGATAGCTCCGATGGGAGCGTCTCGTATCAGGTCTGACATTGTGACCTGGCTTTCACTTGGTTCAGACTCGAAAGCAAGATGGTATAGATAGTTGGTATGACTTGTTGACTCTTCAGAATTTTGAGTGATCGGCCCTGTCACTGGGCAATGGACAACGATGCTGGACAACTGATAGATTTGAGATGGACTGAAGGAAAGCAGAAAAGGGAGCCACCATATATCTACTCCCGCACCGGAATCCGATCATCCCATACCTAAACTCCGCGCAATGACTCTTCGATACACAGTAAGCAGTTCAAGGTAGGAACGCGACATGATGCAATCGACAGGTGACAAACACGAAGAAACTCAGGGAAGCAGTTGAAGCGGTCTGATATTAAGCCGTCAAGTGAAAAGATTGCAGTTGGGTGCAGGATTAGAAAGCAAGATGCCTTGGCCAAGAGCACGATGCTAGTAGATACTCGTACACATGAGTGGGCGGAGATTAGGTGTGTATGTTGAGTAAGCTCCAAGGTTTCGGTGGCTTGCTTACAAAAACCCCTGCTCGTCTGTGCACATGGTGTTCCAGCCCTGCCGCGCATCCTCAAGTCCCAGGATCCAAGATGTCGGTGTACATGGACTACACTCAGCAGAGCATGCATCGGAGCTGAGCGCTGCTGCAAATGTACAAGCAGCCAAATGCTCGAGTCCCACTTCCGCGTAAGATAGGATTAAATGCCTGCCATCTGAAGACTCTTGCATCTCGCAATATCTCCTACAAGCGATGTAAGCTTTGACATGTGAGATACCACAGCTCACAACTCGGGTCCAAGAACCACCCACACTCTCAGGCACCCAGGCCTAAGCCGTTCTTCGGCACTGTTTACGTGCTCACCTCTCCTGCGCAGAACCATCCACCCAACAACCATTACAGGGAACCTACACCAACCGTTGCCCCTGGAGCGGCAGCTACCCATCATACATCCTTCCCATCCTCCTTCGCCAGCGCCTTTCCCCACGCACTCTCAAACCCGCTCTCCGCCCCCACCAAACTAGCCTCACCGCCCGCCACGTCCCCTCCCACCGCCGTGTCCGCCGTGCCCGGCCTGGTCGACTCCGCCGTCTCCACCGTCTCCGCCGTCTCCGCCCCCACCCCCGACCCCATGGCATTCACCTCCCCCGCCTCCGGCGCCTCAAACTCAAAGTTGCTGCTATACACCACCGCAGCGAACGCCTCCAGCTCCCGCACATTCTCCATCGCCGCGAGGTACTCGTTCTGCTCCCCGCTGCCAATGACATGCGCCTGGCGACAAAACACGGCAAGCGTGTTCGCCACTTTCGCCTTTGCTTCATTGGCACCGGTGATCTCGACGACGCGCGCTGTGGAGGCAGACACGGGCGGGATCTTGAAGGCCGTGGTGGCCATCTTTGTGTCGATGAGGAGGGAGAAGGCGGCGTCAAGGAGGTGGGTCAGGACGTGTGTGAAGGAGGGGGAGTCGATCAGGTCGGAGGTTTCGTCGAGGAGGCGGCGGAGGGAGGGGGTTGGGGTTGGGGTGGTGGAGGGGGAGGCCATGCCGGATTCGGTGAGGACGTAGTCTTCTTGGTCGGCGGGGGGGAGGAGGTAAGTGAGCCATTTGTTGGTTCTGGGTGGGAGGGGTGTTAGTAGGGGAGGTTGGGGGAGGGTGGTGGGGTAGGTTACCTCCTGTCTTCCTCTGTGCTGCCCTCGACTCTTTTGCGGACTTCTAGGGTCAACTCCGAGAGCCGCTCCAGTGTAATGTCTTCACGCGGGTTGAGCGAGCCGAAGACTTCTTCCACCGCCGCGGTGACCTTCGCCATGATGTCCTTGCAGCCGCGGTGCAGTAACCACCAGCTGAAAGAGAGGTACTTTCGGTTCGTCTCAAAGTCGTTGCCGTACGCGTTCTCGAAGTTGTCATCGTCACGATTCTCTAGACTAATCCTCGAGCTCTGGGATGGAGGCGACGCGAGCGACACGACGCTTGCCAGGTAGTTTCGGCGGCCGAGCAGGTTGAGTTGTATCCGCGTGAGGAGTGTGAGGAGGGAAAGGGTGTATATTAGTGTAAATGCTCTCGTTATCGCTGTGCTAGTCAGCCGTCGTGTTCGATGGCCAGTGCCCGTAGTAACCCACAAGTTATCTTCATCTCGTTCCACAGCTGTGCCTTGCTCTTTTTCGGCCGCGGCTGCGACGCCAGGGAGCTGCTATCGCCATCACCACCGCTCTTGTCCGCGACTTGACTGGCGTGTACGTAGCTCTCACTCTGGAAGCTCTTCAAACTCTTGCCATCATCGTCCGCAACACTTGTTGGCGCCGACGGGAAGTCTGATGCCGCTTCCGAAGCTCCCACACTCCTGGCTAATCGCTCCGCCTTCTGTTTCTGTAGCTCGTTGAGTGTCTGCTCCACAGGCAGCTCTTGGATGATGTTCTCGGTCGCCGTGGGCAGGATAGCGAGGACAGTAAAGGTGCAATCCTCTTGGTTTTGCTCGAATCGCCTTCGGAGACTATCGTCGATCGCATTAGCTTGCGCGCCCTGGGACGAGGCATTGGGTGTGACTGTGTACTTCTCCCTAGCTATGCGCTCATCGCTCATACGCTGCCGCGCCTCGGACACCTTGGCCAAGACATACTGTCCGGCGAGATACCCAGCTCCAACCACGCCCGCGCCGATAACGAAGTTGGTTCGATTGCGTCTGAACCAGCGGCGGGTGGCGGCTATCATGATGAGGGCTAGAAGTCTGCTAGACTACATGTCAAGCCTTGTGACGGTGCAAGGGCTAGTATCGTGACAGCAGACTGTGGTTGTCTGCTCTGGAGGGTCTCGCTCTCTCGTGGCTGGGCGTCATGCAAGCTTTCACGGGCACGACGGGCTGTCACCGTCACCGTCACCGAGGCTCAACCAGCGCGGCCCAGCACGGCCCAGCGCGGCATCGGGGCCATTGCAAGCACCAAGCACCCCTCGCACCGGCGTTTCTGGGCATCACGAGCGGCTCAGGCAATGCACACCCCACCAAGAACCCCGGGGCCCCTCGTCCACTCACCCGCTGCTGACCACTTTTTGACCCTCTCCACGTCCCATGATACCCACAGTCGACCGTCGAGAGCGCAGACACCGGCGCCTTCGTCTTCTTGCTGCCTAAGCACAAGTCGCAGTCATTCACAACGTCCAGCGCCTCGCTTCACACATACATATACACATATACACAAACCCGCGCAGCCCCCCACCCGACCCAGCCGCAGATGCCAGCATGGAACAACGGCGGCCACCAGAATATACGCTCGAGGTATTCGCGGATCCTACCTGCGTGAAGGACATTATTAAAGGCACGTGTTCTGACCTGGAGAGAAGCGACCCTCGTCTCGTCTGATGTTGCGCTGCCGCCTCCCGTCTGTCCACTCCACCCCGCTAACACTCCCTCCCAGCAATCCTCCACACAATCTTCTTCCACCGCTACTTTACCCCCATATCGCCCCTCACGCGCGACCTCCTCGACCTGACCCTCCCCGCCATCGACGACGTCGACCTCGAGACGCTGATCGACCAGCGCGCAACGGCCCTCGTCCGCGCAATCGACACGTCCTCCTACGTCCCCTCCTCGCATAACCGCACCGGTTCGTATGGGCGAAGCCAGTCTGGCCGAGGGCAGCTGGCGGTGCAGTTCTTCGAGAAGACGCGCCGCCGCAAGAGCTATTTTGGGTTTGGGAAGCAGGACGAGGAGGTGTGCTGGGAGACGTGGATATTGGATGTTACGCTTGCGACGCCGAGGACGGATTCGGGTGAGTGTGCCTTTCGGGAACAACGGCAGGAGTGTAGCAGCAAGGAGCTTCACTCTAGAAGCCTTCTTCCTGGAAGGACTAGCACGTTTTACGGAGTTGATGCTGACGCCGCTGATGACACCAGATGTCTACAAAGTCCGCCGCGCAATGGAGAACTCCCTCCGTAAGAGCGCCCTCAAGGTCGTCAACATTGTCAACCGCGAAAAGGATCACATCCCGCCCATCCTAACGACGGACTCCAATTTCCCCGTGCAGATCCTAGTAAATCCAAAGGCACAGGAGGGATGGGGTCAGCGCATGGGGATCGGTATCTTCTAATGCTGCAGACGTCATGTAGGGAAGCGTCGACGGTATTGAGCGAAACAAGGGTCTAAAGAGCGGCAACATTAGACGGCGGAAACGGCGTTGGTGGGTGGAGTTACGGCGAGGTTGGCGAGCTTTCCCCTTGTCAAGGGCAATCTGGCTTTGGAATGTTTTTCGATACTTGAGATACCCATAACATGTTTGATCTTCTTGCAAACTCCTTAGGGGAAACGTACAAGCACCAACTCGCTTTTGTGCTATTAGCAACCATGGCCGACCCCTGATCAGTCCCTATCTACGACTTTCATGCCTCGTGAATTTCCAGGCATGACTGAACAAGATGCTGTCGGCGAGAGAGTACCCGATTTGCTAGATTACGAAGAAAGGATGATCACAACTTCCCTTCTTCGCTGATTTGGCGATTTGTATGCACTCAGTCTCTCCTCACTTCCCCAAATCCGGCCACTCCCCGCTCTCTATCTACAGTCCAAGGTACTAGGCCGTCACCATCGCCATCATAGCCGAAGCTGTCAGACTGTCTTTAGCTCCACTTCGACCATGGACCGGCAACCCGAGCTTCAGCGGTCATGTCAATGAGGAACCAGAAAGTCACTTCTGAGGATACGGAAGATTAGAAGGAATACGTGCCGAGAGCATCTCAAACAAGATGAGGCGAGAAAAGTGACATCTCCGAATCTGAACCGTACTCGAACTATATCTGCAGGCCAATCCTACAAAGCCCATTCGTTCCGATCGTCCGACGGCAGTACGAACGGCTCATCGATCTGCTTCACAGCCATATCACTACAAAGCACGCAGGCCCCCGCCACCAACTCATCCAACTCTCTGACCACCTGTTCCCTCTTCGCTCCCAACCTGCCCGTCCCATCAACCTCATCCTGCAACTCCCTAATCCTCCTGCTCTTCGCGACGCCCGCCTGCTCCACCACCCTCTTGGCAAGACAATCGCCATGAAAAGCATGCTGGCACGGAAACACGAAGAACATCCTCGCGAGCAGCGGGAGCCGACAGACAAAGCACTTCTCCCCCGGTTCCACAATCGCATACCTCTGATCCAGGCTCTTGATATCCAGCTTGATATGCTTGGCCGTCTCAGCACTCTCGTCCATCTCGCGCTTCAGCGCATCGATATGTCTGCTGTACTCCTCGAGCGCGGCGCAGATCTCCTCCTTGAAATCGTCAATGACGACAAAGTCCGGGAAGAAGGGGATCAGGTCCTCGATGCGCAGTAGGTCGCACCGCTTCAGGAACTCGATCGCGCCTTTGATGCCTTCGGCCTGCCCAATCACTTTCTTCGCGATCGCGAGCCACAGCTTCTTGCGCCGCGCCTGGTCTCCGCTCTCCATGCGATCCGCGACCGACGCCGCGAGCTCGACGTCGTCGTATTTGAGCGCTAGATCTACCGCCTGCGCGTCCTGCCCCATGGCGCTGTAGGTGTGCACGGCGCTCACGACGCGCTTGTGCTGGATGCAGAGGCGCAGCGCGAAGTCGGCGTCGTAGTTCTGCTCGTGCGCGTAGGACTGCGCGCGGAGGTAAGCCAGCAGCGCCGACTCGTCGCGCGTCGGCGCCGAGGCGTACATCGAGATGAGCGTGTTGTGGACGGCGGCGTCGGTCGAGTTGTGCTGGTTGATCTCGAACTGCAGGTAGCGGATTGCCTGGTTCTGCGGGAGCGGCGCTTTGGTGATGCGGTTGTAGTTCAGGAAGGCGGGAATCAGGCGGCGTGCGTCGAGGTTGGTTTGTCGCATCATTATGTCGACGAACTCGGTGGGTGCGTGGGCCATTAGGACGCTGGAGTACTTGTAGAAGATCTCGGGGTCGGTCTGCTTCTTAAGTACGGCGAGGGAGTCGGACCATCGCTCGCGTTGTACCCAGTAGGCTAGGACGTAGTTGTAGTCGTTGATGACTGTCGCAAAATACAGCAGCTCCTCTTCGCGACCGTGACTGCTGATGATCTCGTATGTGGTTTTGCGGTCCAGGTCTGATTTGTATTTGGTGACAAAACCCTGGTACTCTTTCCGAACGACGGAGAGCTGACTCTCTGTATCGGCGGCGTTCATGGTTTCAGAGAGCTCGGCCTTGGTTGTAATGGTGTCGTCGAGAACGTTTAGCTTCGCCATGTATATCTCCACGAGCCAAGACGCCAGCAGTGTACGTTGCATGACTGATGACTTCTTTAGTGTTGTAAGCTTCGTCAACAGATACTTCCGTAAGGCATCTGGCTCCACCTTATCGATGAAAGTCAGAGCAACCTGCTCAAAGGGCTTCGTGCTTCGGCCATAGACTGCTGCAGCCTCCATGAATTGACCTTTACTGACAAGATAGTCTCCAGACGCAGTAGCGACGGCGTCCTTCTGAGCAGACGTTTTGGCGTACTGTGATGCGCGGTCGAACTGTTGAGCTTGAAGCATGATCCTCCACACGTCTCTATCTTCATCGATAACGTTAATCTCGAAGATCTCTTGCGCGGTAAACAGCCAGTATGTATTCTTCATCTGATCCGCCACTAGACCAAGCGCAACTTGACCAGGTTCGAGGACCGTCTGATCATGCACTATCTTATCGTTCAGTCTGTTGGTGGCTACAATCCTGCCTTCCACTAGCTGTAGTACATGGAACTGGCTGAGGATCATGGCGGTAGCGGGGTCCTGAACTGTTCGGGCTCGGCCGCCCGTTGTCTGCGAAGGCGGGATATGCGATTTCGGCAGCGTCTTCGACTCCGAGTACGTCCTTCTGCCGAGGTCTGCGATGTCGCCAGATGTGATCAATTTTCCATGGAAGACGCCTTGAGGTGAGAGCCATCCATATGCCCTCTCAGAGCCTGTGCCATCGGGCATAGCAGCATCCTGCGGGTCAGGCGAGACGGCAAGCGTAGATGTAGCTGAGCCAGGCATCCTTGGCACTTCGTATACGGTCGGAGTCTCCCGTTCGAACAGTTGCGCGAATATCGAGCCCCTACCTTCGTACTTATGCCCGCCGACTTTGCCCACGAAGTGTGAGAGCTTCGAAGATGTAGCCACGAGGATCCTGCGGAAGTCTGGCCGCCCAGGCAAGACATCCACATACAAGCCAGTGATGGGTCCATCGGTTTTGTAGACGCCTTGTAGATACTTCTCCTCCCGCCGGAGGAAGTCCGTCGACTGTTCGATAAACGCTTCGTACACATTGCCATCGGCAGCGCCTATGAGAATTTCCCGGGTAGACGAAGTCGGTAACGACGGATTCCAGGCTATGCTCTCTATAACGACACCTTTGAGTCTGGACAGAGCCTTGGGTTGGCGCGATTGAGTGGATAGGTAGAAGTTCTCCCCCTGGATTGTGGATATGATCAGGTGGGAGGCCGAGGGATCGAGGAACATGCGCCGGATGACACCAATCTCTGTGAGTTTCTTGGGGAGGTCGATATCTGTAGACAAAGACTACTTAGTGCCACATCGACTACGGCAGTATACTCGTCGTAGGAATTACCGTCAACATCGGCAGGGCTATTCAAGTCGATCCTGAGGATGCGGTTGTTCGATAGGGCCAAGACGAGCACATTGTTCGCGACCTGGGCAGCGACAAAGTCTGCCGCTATGGAGAACTGAAGAGAGACTCTCTCAACGTTGAATATAGGCAAGGAATCGTCCCCAAGGTCCTGAAGGTTGGTGGGAGCGGCATAGCCGCTTGAAGGTGTGAAGGTCATAGTGCCTCTGCGTTTCACCCAATTCCGGGATGTATGAGCGGCCAAATTACCGATGACATTGCTTCATGGATCGCGTGGTTTGAGGAGCTGGTGTATGGGTATTGAGTACCACTGCCTAGCAGCTCTGCTGATGGAGGTGCTGTCTCGAAGTCGCGGCGATGCTCTTGCGGCCAACATCGGCGTTTGAAACCTCCGACGTCATCCAAACTGCGGAAGCGTTGCAGCTGGGTTTGAGGAAGATAGACGATAGGCATATGTAAAGACCATGGATCTCAGCCTCGTTGGAGGCCATGGGGCTCGTTCACGAAGGTTTACGTTGATCTCTATGTTCGTTATGTCCGGTAGTCACCGTTGATGGTAACGTACTCATGACTAAAGTCACAGGTCCAATAAACCGCTTCCTCGCCCTTCGTCTCACTTAACCGGACCAGGATCTCCAGATCCTCCGCCTCAAGTATCTGTGCAGCCCGAGCCTCATCCACCGCTTCCGGCTCCCCTCTCACCAACAGCTTCAGCTCCGCGCTCCCGTCGGTAGGTATGAACGAGACGCTCGTCTGCTCCGGCACAACACTTAAGACGCCTTCTGCGTATCCCGTGGCGCATAAGATGCGACCCCAGTTGGCGTCCTTGCCGTAGAGTGCGGTCTTGACCAGAGGCGAGCGCGCAATGGTCGATGCGACACGCTTGGCGTCCGCATAAGACGCCGCGTTCGTCACGCGGATGGTCACGAACTTCGTTGCGCCTTCGCCATCGCGGACGACGAGTTGAGCGAGATCTGCGGCGAAAGATGTGAGGGTCTGCCGCATCTCCGCGTATCCCGCGCTGGCAGCTGAGGTGATTTCGGCGCCGCCTGCAGCGCCGTTCGCCAGTAAGGCAACCGTATCGTTCGTCGACGTGTCGCCGTCTATCGATATGCTGTTGAATGACTTGTCTATCGCTGCACTCAAAAGGGACTGGAGAGGCTCCGGCGCAATAGGCGCATCGGTGCAGATGATGCCAAGGAGGGTAGCCATGTTTGGATGTATCATGCCAGCACCCTTGGTCATGCCGGCAAGAGTGTATGTGGTACCCGGTGCGGATGGTAGGGTGAATTTACGGGACAGGAGCTTTGGGAAGGTGTCGGTTGTGCAGATGGCGCGAGCTGCACGTAACCAGTGGGAATGAGAGTTGCCAAGATCATCGTATGCGGAAGGAATTTTGTGCAAGATCTTTCGCAAAGGAAGGCTAAACCAAGCGGCGCGTTAGCTAGAAGTAAGGGTATTGCCAGGGGCAAGCAGTACCGCTGTCCTATGACCCCCGTACTCATGACGATCGTACGAGAGCCTTTCCCGTCATCTGATGGACTCTCCTCCCGAAAGCACTTGTCGGTCTCTTCACCCATTTTCCACGCATCCTCGATGCCGCCTTTGCCTGTCACAGCATTGGCGCAACCAGAGTTCACGACCACCGCTCGTATCCCACTTCCTCCCCTCCGCCTCAGCATATCCTTTGACTGCGTTACTGGCGCTGCCTGGAACTTGTTCTGGGTGAAGACTGCCGCGCCCGAGCATGGCGTTTCCGAAGCTAGCAGAGCCAGATCGTCGAAACGCGTATTTGAGGGTTTGACGCCCACATGGGCGCTCGAGGCTAAGAAGCCTTTGGGGTATGTGCCTGACGTGGGTACATATCTCTGCTTTGCGGGAGGTATCGCGCCTTCGCCAGGCGCAGAGTACCGGCGGATCTGGCGATTGACGTGGACAACCAAGCGTTTGGCGGCAGGAGGGATGGAGGCCATGGCGACTGACCCTGAGTATATATTAGTCTCAATTGTTCGCATTTAACCGTTGGAAAGCTCTCATTGTAGACCCATGCAAGCTGTCTATGACTCTGCAGAACGTCCTGCATCTGAGGGATAGATAGAGCACCTCTCACTCACCGATTGTGACAATCTGGGTCCTAGATACAGTCACTGGCCTTCCACCCCGGTCAAGAGCCGGGTCTCACGATCAACTGCACGGGAACCTTCGTCTTTGACGTTCTCACCGCACATCAGACATTCTGAATCCTTATCCTTATCGGAGTTGGTGCCTGAGGCAGAACAGCGAAGCCCTTTCTGATTGGCATTACAACCTCCCCTTCTCCTTGCTAGTCATGGTCAGAGAATAACGGCCGTCTACAGAGCTACCAAAGTCAAATTCAGTCTGTGATACAGTTGGAATAGAAAATCAACCGGATATCTCCGACTCCTGCAGAACCAAAAAAGGACTGGCCATGATGTTATGCGCGTCTAAACTTTACTCATGCCCCTACTCATGCTTTCTCTTCTAGCATTCGAGCTCCGTCTCGCATTTCCTGCCGCCGCTCTCATGAGCTCCTTCTCCTCGTGTGCGCTCGAATCATGAAAGACTTCATCCATCTCCTCCAGCGTCTTCCCCATGGTCTCCGGCACTAAGAAGTACGCCCACGTGCCGGACAAAAAGCACATGATCGCGAAGAAGAAATACGTGCCCCAGCCGGCATCTTCAATCATGATCGGCACAATGACCCCCACGATGAAGTTGCAGAGCCAAACCGTCGCTGTGGAGAGCGCAACGCCCTTCGCTCGCGAGCTATTCGGAAAGACCTCGGGCGGCAGCGCCCAGCCGAGTGGCGAGTAGCTGACGCCATAGATGAGGATGTAGATGAATGCCATGGCCGTGGTCGCCCAGCCCGCTGCGGTGTTCTCCCAGTCAGGCCCGTATATGCCTACCAGCGCCGCCATAATGACGTATGGAAACCCCATGCCAAAGCCGCCCCAGACGGCCAAGGGGCGCCGCCCCACAGCATCGATGATGAAGAAGCAGATGATCACAGCGATCAACTGGACGATATTCAGGATGCCGGAAAGGATCAGCGACATCTCGTCGCTCTGGCCGATGGACCGGAAGAGGATAGGCGCGTAGTAGATGAATCCATTGATGCCCGAGAACTGCTGAAAGAAGGCCACACCCATACCGACCGCCGTGCGGCGCCAGCTCCTCTTTCTGAAGAGATCGAGCCAGGTCATCACCTCGAGCTTGAAGCCTCGCACCCCAGGATGCCGTTTCTCGAGAACGATCTTTTGGAACTCGACTTCCGCGAGGATGCCACGCCATTCTATCTGCACGCGCTCATCGTCGTCTGGCAGGCGCCGCAGTTTCGAGAGAGATTGAAGGGTGTCTTCATCGCGGCCGACGAGAGCGAGCCAGCGGGGAGAAAAGGGGAAGAAATGGATACCGAAACCTAGGACGGTCGCGCACACCATCTGCAGACCAAACGGGAGACGGAAAGCAATCTCACCCTCCAAGTACTGGGTGCCATATGTGATCCAGTAAGCGGTCACAACGCCAGTCACAATGGAGATAGATTCAAGGACAAGGAGTGCTCCTCGAAGCTGGGGAGGCGCGATTTCTGAGATATACAGAGGCGCACCCTATGCCAACATGAGACGACTGCGCGTTCTCGACTGCTACGAGCTTGCTTACCAGGGCCAGTGTTCCAACACCAACACCGCCAATAGTTCGGCCGGCGACCAGCGCGCCATAGTTAGGCGCAGCCGTCTGGATGATAGCGCCGATGTTGAATATTACAACAACGACGCTGAGCGCCCATTTCCTCGATATCTTATCCGCCAGCCACGGCATGAAAAAGCAGCCAAGAAAGGCACCAAACTCAAGCATGGCGGTCATGAAACCGGTATAGAAGCCGCCATTGGCCGTTTCAGGAATCGCTTCATGGAATTGCGGCATCACATTGATGATAGAGATAACTCCTTGATCGTAGCCAAATGAATAACCGCCGAGAGAAGCAAGGAAGGCAGCTCCAAAGACGAAAGGAGAGCTTACAAGGCCCTTCATGCCGCCAGGGCCATAAGAGACTGCTTCAGCGAGGCGGTCAGGTAGCTCTTCTGTAGGTACAGGCTCAACCGCAGCCCCGGAGTCAGCCGAGTTCTCGAAATGCTGGGCTCGAGAAGCGGCAAGCGCATCCTCGAAGTCCTCCTTCTCGCCATTGCGGGCGGATACTGGCTTCGACATGGTGGATGTCTCAAACGAGCGGTAGTGCTCAGGCCGAAGCTGATTGTTTTGACGAGGAGGAGAAGGGGAGCAGAGCTTCATATTATATCGTCACTACTCCGCAGTTGATCCATCCCGGCGGTACGCTGCCCGCATCGCAATTCGCACGATGCCAGGCAAGGAATTGACGTACGCCAGGTGTCCAGTGACGAGCATCACCAGCTTCCCTAGTCCAAAGTTCCAAGACCCTTGCAGGTGGTCACGTTGTGAGGGAAATTAATGCTACTCGCAGAACATTACAACCACCACATATGTCTCTAAACTTGCCACCAAATCAAAGCTTTAGATGACTATCTACGTAGGAAAGATTACCCTGTATAGGTACAACTTAAATAGAGCATTCAAGTATCAATTCGTACGTGTTTTATGGCGGCGTAGTAAAGAGCATGTGGTGAGGGAGGTGGCAGAAAGGCGGAGTTTGACGGGGATCTTGGCAGCAGCATTTTTCCCCCTCACGACGTGCCGTCTTGAAGGCCGGGTGGTGTGAGGCGCGGCGGCAACTCGAGAAGTCACGCGAGGTCCAAGCGCGCTCCACGCTCTTCGCTCTTCGCTCTTCGCTCTTCACCGCACGTGCACCGGCACACCATCCTCGGTCACACCAAGGTCAATCTCAAATCCCCCAACCACGCGTGCAGAAAGCCTCGTTCGCGCAACCAGAATCTTGTTGATGTTTTCTGTCCGTGCGCGCCTTCTGGAGCGGTCGTCACGGACTCTCTCCGGACTTCAACCGGACTCTCTCCGGACTCCCTCCGAATGCAACATCAAAATGCAAGATTCTCATTAGCAGATGGCCTTAAGATGATGCAAGTTGATGACCGGCAACCGTGCACGGCTTCTGACAGCGCCGAACAGCGCGCCTCGGCGGAGACCTTCTCGAAGCAGCACCACGACAGCTTCGATTGGTAGTCTGCATTAGTCTGGGGGGTTGGCTTTTTCAGCGGCCCAAGAAAACTCGTTAGACCTTGCCCTGGCAGATCCAATGAGTGCAGATACACCAACCATTGACTGATCCGATGCTTCGAGGCCCGTGTCAAATCCCATCGGGGCGTGATGCTGTACCAGGATAGTGCGGCGGCGACTGGCACAAGTCCGGCAGCTCTGAGCGCGTGAAGCCCTCCTTGGGCCCATGATATCCCGGTAGCGCGGTCAGCAGCGCTCTTGGCCTTGAGGAAATTGGGACGCTCGTTCCCAGCCGGACCAACACACCTTCCCGTCTGAGTGGGTTTTGTTACACCGAAAACGAACGCTGGACGGCGGAGATTCGATAGGCTCTCCCAGAACGTAAGCTTGGACGCTTATGAAACCGTATAATTTCGGCCGATGGCGCTTAGAGCCGGATTTTTGAAACCTCGATGGGCGCCTAAACATGCAAGTAAGCAATAGCTCCCCGGTCAAGCATTGGAGGCTGGATCATGTGCTGTTGCCCCGAGAGCCCGAAGGGGGACCCCGCACGAACTACCCCAGGGAGTATTAAATGCTTCAGCCCGCTCAACTTCTCAACCTTCCAAGCTTGTGAATTTCTCCCTCGTGGTCTCGCGTGCCAGCCAAGTACACATCTTGTTCACATCGCCTCTTCTCCAGCATCCCACTTCCTGTCATGGCTAAGGAGGAGGTTGCTGCACCGCTGTCTGCCAGCGACGGGCTGGCTACCACCCACGATGTCACCCGCATCGAGGCGCCTGTCACCTGGAAGGCCTACCTGATCTGCGCCTTCGCGTCCTTCGGCGGTATCCTCTTTGGTTATGACTCTGGTTACATCAACGGTGTCACTGGCTCCAGAGTTTTCATCGAACTCATCGAAGGTCCTGGTGAGGAAGCACTTACCGGATCACACAGCTCTCTCATCGTCTCGATCCTGTCCGTCGGTACCTTCTTTGGTGCGCTCATCGCTGGTGACTGTGCCGACATAGTCGGTCGTCGCGCTACCATCATCGCTGGCTGCGTCATCTACATTGTCGGTGTTATCCTTCAAACCGCCCTCAATGGACTTGGCCTTATTGTTGCCGGCCGCCTTATCGCTGGTATTGGTGTCGGTTTCGAGTCCGCCATTGTCATCTTGTACATGTCAGAAATCGTGAGTTGAAGCATATCCAAACATCATCTCGTCCTCAAACTGACAGCTTGAATCAAGTGTCCGAAGAAAGTCCGTGGCTCTCTCGTTGCTGGCTACCAATTCTGCATCACCATCGGCATCTTGATCGCTTCCTGCGTAAACTATGCGACCAGGACTCGACCTGACGCTAGCTCCTACCGCATTCCCATCGCCATTCAATTCGTATGGGGCTTCATCCTTGGAGCTGGCCTTATCTTCCTGCCTGACTCTCCTCGTTACTATGTGAAGCGCGGAATGGTCGAAAAGGCTCGCAACTCTCTCGTCCGCCTGCGAGGCGAACCGCCAGAGTCCGTCTATATCGAGGGCGAGCTCGCCGAGATCGTCGCCAACGAGGAGTACGAGCGCTCCCTCATCCCTGCTACCGGCTGGTTCGGCAGCTGGGCCAACTGCTTCAAAGGCTCTCTTTGGCACCAAGGTTCCAACCTGCGCAAGACTATCCTCGGTACCTCCCTTCAGATGATGCAGCAATGGACTGGTGTCAACTTTATCTTCTACTACTCTACTCCATTCCTGCAGTCCACGGGCGCCATCGAGAACACTTTCTTGATCTCCCTCATCTTCACGCTCGTCAACGTCTGCTCGACTCCGATTTCATTCTGGACCGTCGAGAGGTTTGGACGCCGCCCTCTTCTGATTTTTGGTGCCCTTGGCATGTTGATCTGCCAGTTCTTGGTCGCAATCATTGGTGTGACCGTGGGTTTCAACAAGACTTTTGTTAACGCTGAAGGCCTCACACGTGCCCAAAACATTCCTGCTGTCAACGCCCAGATTGCATTCATTGCCATCTTCATCTTCTTCTTCGCCTCCACCTGGGGTCCTGGTGCATGGGTAAGCAGACAACCTGATGACTCTATGCTGCCGATGCTAACAAGGAACAGATTGTCATTGGAGAAGTCTTCCCGCTTCCTATCCGTTCTCGTGGTGTCGCCTTGTCCACTGCCTCGAACTGGCTGTGGAACACTGTACGTTCTCCTTTCTCCCTAATATCACACCACCTTGCTAATAGCGCCTAGATCATTGCCGTCATCACGCCGTACTTGACCAGCCCTGACGAGGCATACATGCGTTCTTCGGTCTTCTTCCTCTGGGGCGGCCTCTGCACGTGTGCGTTCGTCTACGCATATTTCCTCGTGCCCGAGACCAAGGTACGTTCCTCCTTCCCTCAGACCACGCATCTGGAACAGTTACTGACCAGCCTCCTAGGGTCTGTCCCTCGAGCAAGTCGACAAGATGATGGAGGAGACCACCCCTCGCACGTCGGCCAAGTGGCGTCCTCACCAAACTTTTGCCTCGGAGAGGGGTATGTCGACGGGTGGCAAGATGGGTGCGGGGGTTATCGCCGACGTGGAGAGGAAGGGAAGCATGTTCTAAGGGCATGTTTGCTTTCGTTGGGTCGGCACCGCTGTAAGGGGGCGGTAATAGCCTATGGGGAGTTCTATCCAAACCTATACAAGGTGGTCAAATCAGTGTAGGACATCTATAGGCGGCGTCGGGCGTCTCGTCTTTCAGCATCATAGGAGAGCAGGCATGGAGGTTAGCAAGAGCGCTGACTCCAACTCGAACGGGCAACAATAGCAACGCTGTCTGGCAGGGCATATGTGGACTATAGTGAGCATATGTAGTGCGACCAAGTCAACAAAGCAACGCTGTGTAACCCCTTGATCCCGTCCTATGCAAATGCAGCAAGCCGCAAGTAACCTTCCAGCTGACCAAAAGCAGCCGAATACGCATGTTAAGCCCTGACGCCAAGAGCGCGAGAGAAGCTCCACGTGGTGTGTAGGCCCGTGTGTGCTGAAAATAGCACTCAGATACGCGGAGTGGCCAAAATCGCTCCAAGCAACATGCAACTTCACCCTCCTCCGATTCTAAATTTCAGCTCCCTTGATGCACACCCCTCACCCGGTTCAGGTCCAACCCACTCAAGTGATAATATCCTCATCCAGCACCGTACCAGCTCCATTCGCGTCCGGACCAGCCTCAGGCTCGACATCCATCTGCACCCCCAGCGCCGCGACCTTCGCCTCCATCGCGGCCTCCCCAACGATACTCTCCTCAACCGCCGCCTTCCTCCTGAACACGCGGGCCCACCTCCCCCCCCACGCCTTGATGAGCTTGCCCTCCTCCTCCCCAAACCCCTTCTCGCCGTCTCGCTCAATAAACCCATCCGCGGCACCAGACGCGATCCCCGTAACTGCATCATCGATGAACCTAAACAGCTCCCGCATCGACTCGCGTTCTTTCAGGAGATGCTGGTCGATAAGCTCAATCTGCTCGGCGCTAAGCCCGCGCTCCAGCCTCGCGTCCGCAATCTGCCGCATGCGATTCGTCACCTTCCCGACCGTGCCCGCCACCATCTCGTACACCCAGCTCTGGGTGAGCGCCTCGCCGGCGCCCAGATGGTCGCCCAGGGCCCACTGGACGACGTTCATCGGCGAGACAATGGAGTAGTTGAGCAGCTTGTCGACGATGTTGACCGCGATGCCCGGCTGGTCTTTCCAGTAGTCGACGACCGAGGCGATGACCTGGCGGCGGGCAGCGTCGGAGGCTTTGCCGATGTCGAGGAGGCGCTCTTTGCAGCGCTCGATGCACGAGAGGACGTGCGAGAGGGACTTAGAGCCGATGAAGCAGATAGCTGTTACGTAGGCGTCGGTCGAGGGAATCAGAACGTCGCTGATGCCGTGCTCGGCGGCTTGGTCGTGGATGCGGTCGATCACTTCTTGGATCTGCTCTTCGGGGGCTTTTTTGCGGATTAGGGTAAGCAGCTCGCGGCCTTCGGGCGCGTAGGGTGTTTCTTAACGCGTCGGTATTAGCATGTGGCTGTAGTTAGCAAGCAGGAGATGCGCTGAAAACTTACGGTCGGAACTGTACTTGAAGTCCGGAGTGTCTTTCTCCTTGCCTTCGGGGATGAGGTGATGATAAGGCTGAGGCAGCGTCTCACGGATACGTTTGGCAAAGCTGAGACGGATTTCTTTATCCAGGGCGCCGATAATGAAGGCCTTCTTAGGATGTAGGTCAGAGCGATCAATGTCCTCCAGCCACTCGGTCCACTTCCACCTGAACTCGAAGTTGCTTAGGTGATGCGCGAACCAGTCCATGAAGCGGTACCCCAGCTCCATGTCCATGAGGTCCAGATGGCGGAAGAGGAAGCGAATAGCACGTCCAAGGCTGGGTGCAATGGCTGCGGGGGCGATCTTACAAGACTCCGTGATGACCGAGTGATAGTAGACTAGCTTGTGCTCCGGCGTTGGAAGAGTGAAGATCTGCGAAAAGACAGCATCGACGGCCATATCCTCCGGCTTCCATGTCGACTTGTCGCCTGCAATGTCTTTGAGCTTGTCGAACGGGGTAGCGCGCTTGACGAACGTATCGGGTGCCCAGTAGCAGTCCATGTCGATGAGAAACTTGGCGGTTGCATTGCGATTGAAGTCTAGGATATTGATTGTGTCGACCAAAACGTCTCGTAGCAAACTCGACGCAATATCTGTCGTCTTCGGCACAGTCTGAGAGCAGTTAGCCATGGTTCATGCATGTGTTTTCATGGTCGGCTTGCCTCCACGTCCTGATCGGCGTACAGAGAGAAATACGCGTCGGGAAAGAGAGGCTTCGGTCCAGGGTTGATTGGTGACGATACAGTAATGCTGGGGAAAGCATGCTTCGCCGATGTAAGAGCAGCCTCGTCGCTAGTCTCTTCCTCCTTCGGCTTCGGCGCAAACAGTCTAGGAATGCAAGCAAGCTCCCAGCCCTTTTCTGACTCGCTTTGTAGCTGCTTCTGCAGCATGCCAATAATGCTCTGGTATCCGAATGGCCTGTCATCGCTGTCGCCAGGGTAAATTTCCACCAGTGGCGCTAGGGCGTGCTCGTTCGATGCAACGGCCTCCGTCTTTGCCAGAAGCTCTACAGCTCGTGGGCCGAAGCCGACCGCTGGCGATGCGATGATGTACGGCATGGTAAAGAGTATGATCTTGACGAGCTCGAGGCCGATAGTCTGTTCTATCAGTTAGCACTGCTGCTCCGTGGCTCAGTCGAGAACGCTTACGTCTTCCTGGGACGCTACTTGCAGGTCCACGGCTCGATCAAAGAGCTCATCCAGCAGCGGAAAGACGCCGTCTCCCTCGAAAAGCACTTGTAGACAGCCGAAGAACCGAAGGATAAGTTTGACGTCTCTCCAGTTGCCGCTGTCAAGAGAACTCTGAAGCTTCGAAGCTACCCGCGTGAAGATCTCTGCTGCGGCTTCGGGCTTTGTTTCGTTGGTATAGAGCACGACTGCAGCTGCGAAGGGGATCTTGAAGGGTTGCTCGGTCAAACTGGCACCCCGTTAGTAAATATGGATTGGCAGTTTGCCCTTTGAGGACAACTGACATCTGCACCATGAGGTCGAGGAAGGTCGCCTTGTCGTCTCCCTCCTCATAGTATTCCGCGAATAGTTTTGCAATTTCTTGTGCCTCGTCCTGTGGCTGTTTCATGGGCTGTTTGCCAAAGAATCAGCGCTGTCCGCACCAGTATACTGTGAAGCCCGCGACAAGCGCACTCACCGACTCAGCAATAGTCAGAAGCTGTCTCCGAAGCTTCGCAGAAATCGGCTCCTCATAGCGGCGTCGCTGCGGTCGGCGATCGGAGTCGTCCTCCTCTGATTACTCTGATCAGCTTCGTGTCCCTGAACTTGGGAGTAGTTGGGTCGCGGGCATTACGAACCTCTAAATCTGCGCTTGCGATTATTGTTGTTGTAGCCCCTACCACCTCCGCGGCGGTCGTCGTCAGCCATTATGTCGGAATTGTTCTCAGCAGTTGCGTAGCTTGGGCGATAATAGTCTCCGGCGCGTCGCGATGAGCTTGCAAGAGGATCATCCAGACGAGACGCTCCGAAGGTTGCTCTACGCAAGATCGGCGTCTTGAAGTTCCGTGGAGCTTTGGGCACACGCGGCTCCGCGTCCACTGAATGGATGCGCTTCACGTGATCATAATCTTGGATGCTCAGTTTAGACTTGAATAGATTGGTGATATGGGCCGCTGTTGGATCGTAGTAGACGATGCCGTCCATCATCTTGTCGGACTTGGATAGGCCTGGTGCTGTTGCTGCAAGAAGGAAGGGAGGCCGGTGAGGACATCGAAGGTCCTTATGAAGACGTCAAGAACAGTGGAACAGCCGTCAGTGATGTTCAGTGGTCATGTGGGTAATCAAAAGCCAGATGCGCTTCACTCCTAGTACGGATTGCTGCTGGGAGAGGTGATGAGAGAAGAGCAAATTTCATGGCTGATGCTGGCAAGCACGTTGCAACTAGAGCACCTGCACTTCAGGCTGGAAGTCTCAGAGGACCATGTGTGTGAAGAGCAGAAGCAGCCTATGAATTTGACCGTCTGATCGCGGTGTTCAGTACAGAAGTTTGCTTGGGACATTCTGAGTCTTCCTAGTGGAAGCGTAAGACTGTCGCACAGAGGAGGTGGAACGGCAACTGGCACAGACGAAAGGAGACGAAAAGTGAGGGAAGTGTCTACTGTCATCATCAGACCATCGCTGCATTGGCTATCGAAACTAACTCCGTCTTCCATTCGACAGGCGTTCGTCATGCGACCCATCCAGGCTCGCCCCTAAACATCAGGAAGTAAAAGCATAGCCCGCCGTGAAGTCTTTTCCGCAAACAACTACGCGCACATGCATGCAAAGCAAGCTCCGCCAGCAGTCTTCTTCTTCTCTCGCGCCGAAAAAAGAAACCTCGTCGTTTTTTGAACCTCATGTGCATACGCGCGCTTCCCGTCCCCAGACGTACGAAGGAGAAAAAGCCAAACACATCTACGAGGGGGCGGTTCATCAAGGCGAAGCGCGTGGGAGGTTCCAGTCAGAAGAACGCCTCGTAACAATCAAAAACAATGGCCTTTTGCATCGTTTCCTTTTTGGCAGTCCGAGGACCCGAAACGAACCTCACAGGTGGATGCCTTGCAATCACAGACGCCGGTCGATAGTTGAGCCGGTCCGCCCCTATGCGGGGAAGAACGCCGTTCTGCTCTATTGAAAACATGACTTCGCGACGAAACCGATTCGCTCAACTGGGCGTTAGTCCAGTCTGGCAATCATTTCGTCTTTCGAGAGAGGCTTGAAATTAGGAGAGTCGATGTCTAGGCCTTGCGAAGCCAAGCGCGCGCGCACGTGAGGGGGCACGAGCTGCCGGTTGAGGTGTGGTGCAATGGAGAGCTCTGTAAAGGGTTAGTCGAGGTGACTACATCACGTGACGCCAGGCCATCCATACCGTGGTGCGAGAAGTCGAAAAGATTCGGGAGATCCTTGGCACCGCCATTCGCGTGTCGAGAGTCTGGAAGCTTGGTGTTTGGGTCTCTGAGCTCGTCAAAGAAAGGATGCACCATGGCGTCAATTGCTGAAAGGCGCTGGGTAGGCGTGTATTCGAGGAGGCGCGAAATGAGATCAATGGCGTTGGGATCAGCCTTTCTGAACACCTGTAACTACGCTTAGCGCAGGACACACTAAGTGGTATGTACGGTTGTTTACCTTGTTGAAGGGGTGCGGCTTGATCTGTGGGAACTTGTGCTCCATGTAGTTCGGGTTCATGGTTCGGATCTGGTCGCGAGTGGGCGTCCCCAGCACTTTGATGATCTCAACCAATTGGTCGATGCCTGATTCGCCGGGGAATAATGGCTGCCCGAGCATCAGCTCTGCCATTACGCAGCCAGTGGACCACACATCTGCGCAGAGATTAGCTAATTGTACAAGTTTGCCAATCAGCAAGCTACGTACCAATCTTGGTTGTGTAGTTCGTCGCGCCGAAGATGAGCTCGGGCGCCCGGTAATACCGCGAGCAGATGTACGAAACGTTCGGCTCGTTCTCCACCAAAATCTTGGCACTCCCAAAGTCGCATAGCTTCAGGACGCCGGTGTTCGGGTCTAGCAAGAGATTCTGCGGCTTGATGTCTCGGTGGCAGATGCCCTGCGAGTGGATGTAGGCTAGGGAGCGGAAGAGCTGGTAGATGTAGAGCTTGATTTCGAGTGTCGGCATGACTGTCTTGAGCTTGTTGAAGTATCTTGAGGCGCGGTAGACTGTTTCAGGAACGAACTCAAGCACCAGGTTAAGATACACCTCGTCTTTCTACAGCCAAGTCAGCCATGGTGGAGATGGTCAGGGTGGGCGTTTGGGCGTACCCGTTCGCCGTTGTTGTAGAAGAAGGCCTTGAGCTCCACAATATTTGGATGCCTGACGATGCGCATTATCTGGAGCTCTCGGTTCTGTCATAGGGTCAGCATTGAGTTGGGGGCGCGCGCACGTTATCTGCAATCTACCTTGAACCGCTTGTCTTGCAGGACCCTCTTTATGGCGGCATCCTCGCCGCTGGGTGAGAGCTTGGTCTGGAAGACCACACCGAAGGACCCATTACCGACGATTTTGCATTGCGTGTATGCCAAATCCTTGTACTCGCCTGTTAGGCCGTCCTGCACCTTTTCCCGGATTACCTCTGCCGTCCTGTTAGCGCTGCCATTGCGGACCATCGCCCAATTGTCTATCCTTACCACCCATGCGCAGGCTCGAGAACGCCGACGGCCGATTCGATGACATCGTGTTGAGGATGGTGAGAGGTCGACTTCAGAGCTGCAGTTTGCTACCGCGAGTACGGCAGGCTGTAGTTGAGGAGGTGCTGGGTCGACCGGGGTTGCTTAGCGATGAAGTCCGTTTTGGGCGATCGACGATGTGCAGCCAGTCTCGCGAAGCCGTGTGAGCGTGCAGGTTGGGAATACGGAGGCGGCGGTGTCGTTGCTGTCGGGCAGGAGGAGTTGGTGGTGGTTGCGCGGAGGGGGTGGTATGACGGATCAAGTGATGGGTAATTGGAGGTAAGTTTAAGGCTGTGAGGTGCGGTCGCTAAGAAGAACGCAGCAAGTGTCAAACAACCAAGGATGTATTGCAGAATCGCACGGAGCCGCCAACACAATAGATAGAGCTCGTGCCGCAGTTGAATACTCGTCTGATGGCTTGTAGAGGAATGACGAGCGGCGCCGATGATGCGTAAGGTATGCGGGTGTGAGAGAGGTCCCCGCCTAGCCGACGCTCGATTGGACTAAACTCTTAGGGTGCGCCTGACCAGGTGGAATAAGGCGAGGTACTAGGTGACTTCAAAGTTGGGTACCTGGGTCTGAAGCTGCTGCACACCCGGCCGCTGCTCTGGTGCCTATTCTCCTGTGGCTGTCGCTATCGCTGTCGCTATGTCGGAGGAGTTGTATTGACGCTTGCCGCAGCGGTTACCGGGTAGGAGGAGCGAGGTGGTGAATTGGGGGCGCGTGTGGGTTGAAACAAGCAGCGCGCAGCCAGAACGGGGCTTTGATCACTTGCTGGGGCGCGGCGATGGAAGCTGTGCCTTCTAATCCGGGAGCGTCATTCGCTGGCGAACAACTCTGGGCTGCGTCCCACGGCGGGCGAAATTAACGGACCTCTTTTGGCAGCACGTGAACAGACAGAGCGACGACCCTTGCGCTCGCGTCTGCGATGATTGCCTCCGGCAGTAGCGTCAGTGGCTGCTGCGGCCGTTCAAGGGCCAAGCTCTGGGTGCGAACGAGGGGGACTAGGTGGGTGATTGGTAAACGGTGGAGGGGAGGGCTGAGGGAGCCAGATCTGGGATCTGATATTGGGCCGGTGGGCTGGGAGAGTTTGCAATAACAGTCGGTACTCATAGGAAGGAGGGATGCAGCGGATGGAGGAAGTAGCTACGGTATCTGTACTTACTTGACTGTGAACGCAGCCTACAGCGCACTCACAGACAGCCTTGTGATTCTTCGCTCCCGGGGTCAGATCATGCCCCCGGCAGCCCCCCGAGCCCCCCGAGTGCACCCAAGATCGCATGAGGTTCGGCTTCGGCGGGGTCGACGATGCGCATGACCTGCTGCTCAAACCCGCCCCACGAGAGCCTCCCCGTGTCTGTCCCTGAAGACGCCAGCGTTCTCACGCGCCGATTCGAGAGCCGCCAGCTGCTGACCCTGCCGTGGGCGCCAGTGCGGTGTGCGAGACACTCGACACGGATAATATTAGAATCTGGAACCCATCGTTGCGGCACGAACAGCTGCTCCTCAAACGGAGAGACAGCTGCTCGGTACCGCGCTGTACCTGGGGCTACTCGACAGCCGCCTCGCCGTCCATCCAATCAGGCGGAGATGCCATGCTGCCCGTTTTGAGCGAGCTGCAGGTGTCGACAAGGACCGGCTGGTCCGGATGACGGCATGGATGCACTTTCCACAGTCGCCTCAAGCGCTGCGAAATGCTCGACTAATTCGGTCACCACCTTGGATAACGTGAGATGCAAAACATGGCGGGCTGGCTGTCATTCGACTGTGCCGGGCCAACACCATGGCTGTCATGGAAGCTCACGTCGAATCAGAGCGTGAAGACGGTGATTTCGTTCAAAACACCCTAGTGGCCGTGGGTAAGCAGATCCACAGCCTGACACACCGAGTCGCACGAGGCGATGTCTACGGCACGTGCATGATCCTTTATGCGGATCTTATGCGGATTGTTGTCGAGGTTGTCAGCCGCATGGACTGCTAACTATGAAAACCACTGGTTATGGGGTCGAGGGACCCGGGTCACAACGAGAGGATAGTGTCATGGAGGGTGTTGTGCAACTATTCTATGCGAGTCTTTGGGGCTTGTGCGGAGCATAGCTCTTAACCGGCAGCCTCCTTTAGGTAGATCTGTACTTGGAAGGATTTCAGTTTCAGCCTTTGGTTATTTTAGACCTTTCGCCATGGAAATTTCACTATAAGGTTAGGATACGGTGAGTGCGGCTGGGGGAACTCCCTTTAAGGAAGGCACCTGTGTACGTAATCCACGTGTCTGTACAGAGCCCTATTAGGACTGAAGGATAATAAACAAGAGTATACACATGCACTCGTTATGGGATTCATAAGTGACAAGGATTACTGGTTGACGATATTACTATTTCCGACGATTGCTGTGCCCAGCCGCTCGGACGGCCTCTACGCTATCATCATTTCCACAACTCCATCAGGCCCCGCAGAGTCATCAGAGCCATATTCAGCCCCTTCATACCTCCTCAACGGACTCCTCCTCCTGAGCCCATTAGCACCCGCCTCTGGCCTTGGGTTTAGCCTTGCCACCACACCCTCCACCTCATCGCCGTTCCAGCTAGGCTGCATATCTCTTGTCCCCCTGGGCGTCGCCGGTCCGCTCTGTATCTCTCTCAGCCCGTCCGGCGGCAGCACCTCCGCGCCCTCCTCCGGATCCGACGTCACGGTCGGCGGCTCGAACTCCGTATTCGGACTCCTCTGCCCATCCGCCGAGCCTTCGGAGAGGTGGCCGCTGGACTCCGAGCGAAAAATGCGGAAACGTCTACGCGCCACCCCGCCGCCATTGTAGCGGGGCGAAGGGCTCCCCGATGGCGGACTCGGGGACCGTAGACGCAGTGCGCTGCTCTGTGGCTTGTGGTGCATCATCTGCTGCACGAGCGGAAATTCGAGACTGCTGGTCCCGGAGCGCACGAAGAGCACGAGGCCAAGGCAGAGCAGGATGAGCGTGGTTTGGACGACGCTCATGCGCTTCTGGTAGACGAGCTCGTCAGCTAGAAGGGTCAGGCGGGAGGAGATGGCGAGCATTTCGCGCTGGTGTTGCTCGCGGTGGTTCGAGAGCTCGATAACGGTGGATTGCCAGAGCTGGTCGTATTGCTGTCTGAAGCCCTTGAGCTCCGCAATAACGGAGCTATTGAGGTGGTTGAGGAAGGTCTCGGTTTTGGCTAGCTGGCGCTTTTCGACTTTCGTGAAGGCATCGCGGAGGATGCGGGATTGCTCCTCGATGTATTGGAGTGAGAGGGTTGAGTTCGCTTCGAGCATTTGCAGTCGCTTGTGGATGGACTTGAAGAAGCTCTCTTGAGTCGTCGGATTGGCTGGCTGAGGTTTCGTGGAGGATGGCGCAGGTCTACTGCCGTTTGACTGCGGGGAGGAAATCTTGCTCGTGCTGGTGGTGGGCGCAGCCGCCGGTGATGACTTAGAGACGAGATGTCTTGACTGTGTGCCGTTTGATGTAGCGAGGGGCGCTGACGTGGAAGGTGCATTTGTGGAGGGACTTTGTGGCTCAAGGCTGCTGCTGGACAGCTGAGAGTCATTGTTCGAACCCACACTGGAAGGACTGGCCGTGAAATTTGAAGCGGTACTACGAGCCTGTGATGTTGGGTCCAGTGGGTTGTCAGGCTCTCTTGTCTTCAATCCAATGGCTGAAGTGCTGTTCGAAGAAACAGACCTATTTGAGACCACGGACGGCGCACTGAGCTCCGTAGGGGTGGCAGCCAAGGTGATGTTCTGATCGTTTGCATCAGGGGATGCTGATAACGCCGTGTCCGCGCTTGTGGCTGCTGTCTGTAGTCCCTGCGACGTTTGACTAGCAACAATAGTCTCATTGCCGGTTGTCGCCATGGGCTCTTGAAGTGCTGAAGTTCTGTTGCTTGGCTCCTCTTCAATCGCTTGGTGGCTTTCCTGCACTGCAGGAGAAGCCTCAGCGGCTTTCGCTGTTGTTGACTCTGACACTAGAACAGGTTCCTCCGAGGCCTTGACTGGTTGCTGCTTTTCGCTGGTAATCCTGAGCCCCGTCTTGTCGCCTACGTTAGGGATATCTGGTACAGTAGAAGGAGCTTGCACAACCTCCCCTTCAGGCTCATCGATATCCCCATCTTCCTGGTCATCTTCGCCCCTCGCGACCTCTTCTTGATGCCTGAACTCCTCCATCATGGTCGTTCCATGCACTCTCAAGAGACTCAAAGGGCAATAATACTCGTTTCCATAGTGAGTCAGGAACTCGACCCTGAGATAGCGTGCCCAAATTAGGGGATTCTCCACCAAGAAAGCCTGCATATCCCGACTATTTCTGGCCTCGAACACGCCTAGCTCTTTCCATCTGTCCGTCTTCACCGGATAGCGGTCCGAGACCGAGATGCGGAAAGTACGGAACATGGAGCTGAAGAACTCAAAGTTGGCCAGCACGACTGTGTCGACCAAGATGTCATCGCACAGCTCCACGATGATGAACTTGTTAGGGGCGGCGCATTCGTTGAGCATGTAGCTGTCCTTGTTCTCCACGAGCACAGATGATGAGCTCTTGCATTGAGGGTTCGTCTTTAGCACCGTTGCCGCGCAGTCAAAGGACGCGTAATTGAAGCGCTCCTTGCACGTCTTGCCGGCATCTTTACTCCTCGCGCGGGAGCTCGCCGCCAGGGTCTCCGCAGTCTCCGCCCCTTTCTCCGAAGCTGAACTCTTCTCTGACGCCAAACTGGGTGTTGACTCCTCCACTTTTCCAGCACTGCCGAAGTCGCCAAAATCGAGCTCTATCTCTGTATCTTCACCTAGCGAGTCGAGCGCGTTGTTGATGTTGACAGGCCTTCGCCGCCCTTCTGAGCTGGCGCTGCGTCCTTGCCCAACATTTTCTGGTGACTGCCCGGCTTTCGCTAGGTTCTGCTTCTTCCAGTCTTCGAACGAGAGGAAATTGGCGTTGTCGAGGGGCGATTCAGTATCGGCTTCCGGCTCGGGCGATACCGTACTACTTGCAGCGGTAGATGTGGATGTCGAGGTCTTGCTGATTGTCGGCTCGGATGAGGTAGAAGATGGTTCACCAGTCACAGTAGCTGTACCAGTCTTTGCGTTCTCCGATAACGCATGCTGTCCCTCAATCCCTCTGGTGCTCGCCTGAGCAGCCGGTCCTCCGTGCGATGATGCCTCACCCGTACGATATGTTCCATCAGCGGCCAGGGCAGTTTCTGCATCTCGTAAGCTGGAGCTCGATTCTACAGCGGTCCAGCTCGATTTTGCGCATTGCTGCGGTAGGGTTTGCGTAATATAATTTATCATCCTAGACTGGCAGGTAGATGTGGAAAGAGCATCTGCGGCAGATACTGCTGGAGAGGCTATCGAAGTCTGTAAGCTGGAGGTCGAACGGGTTGGCTTATTCGCGCCGTGGGCAAAGCCGGAGGCGTATAACAGGGCTGTCGAGATGAGCGTGACATAGCGGACACTCTTTGGCATTTGAGCACATGGGACCGCTGAGAAGCAACGTAGTCTGCATGCATGCACGCGAACGAGGTGTGGGTGTGGCAGGTTCTCTGTCGGCGCGGTGAGCAATGGAGGTTGTCTGGACCCCGGTCCTTTGTTCACGGCTCTTCCAGTTTCCACCTGCCCTTCCAAACTCGTATGGTGGCCTCTGGGAGGACTAAGTCGATCGTAGAAGGCGATAATCCATCGAATCATCACAGAAGCTAGCATTCAAGTTCGAAGATTATGTAAACACGTATTATTCAACGCTCGTTCTATCAGCGAGCGAGCGGTATCAACAGCATCAGCACCAGGACAGCGAGAGGCCGAAACCATCATGGGCATATGCAAAGCAAAGGTCAAAGAGACCTTGTATCAAACCGCCTCCCTCTCTATCTGTCTCCCAATTCCGTCGAATCGCTTCCAAGACTCCCAAAACGCCATGCGGATGAACTCCGTTGCAACAAGGAAAGCGAAGGACCATATGCGCGCTCGAAACGTGATCAACATGAAGGGTATGCAGCGCCCGAACGCATGAACACATGAGTGGCAGCGACGGTGTAATAATTAGTCCAAGGAAAAGGCAGAGTCCTCCAAGCTGCGAGGGCTTAGAACCCTTCATTGCCGGCCCGGCAGACTCTGATGTCCTTGACCCACTCAGACTGAAGAACCTGGTGAGCTGTGAGACGTCGAGTCGGGTTTGGATCGAGTATAGAGTAGATAACGTTCCTGCATTGACGCTATGAATTGTTAGCTTCAGGTTCTTGCCATACGTGATTAGGCATGACTTACTCTCTTGAGCACTTCTATGGGCCTGTAACCCTCTTCCTCGCGGCGATCTTCGAGGTACTTATCAAAGAACTCATCTTGCCCTTTCTGTGCGACGCGCCAAAGATGTCTACCAGTGCGCATAGCCATGTAGATGACACCGCAGGCCCACACATCAACGGCTCTCGGGTCAAATTCCTGGTCAACATATTCCTCAGGGGCGATGTACGGCGCCGAGCCACACAGACCGGCGGTCATATGTGCCTCCTCTTCCCAAGCCATGCGGAAACACTCGCCGTTGCCGAAGTCGGTGATTTTGATAGCGCCGTGTTGAGTGATAAGCATGTTCTCGGGCTTGAGATCGCGGTGAGCGACACCCATCTCGTGCATGTAGTCGACTGCACGCATGAGCTGTTTGAAGAAGCAGTCCGCTTCGAGCACCTCTAGATGGCCCGCCGAGAGGATGAGAGTGTAGAGATCGCCACCACCGCAATACTCCATAACCTCGCAGTAGTCGCCCTTCGCGTCCTGGATTAGGTCAAGAGTTGTGATGATGTTGGGATGCTTCAGAGCCGAAGAAATGCAAAACTCGGACGTGAGACGTTTCTGATACTTCTTTGCCGACTCGCCGGGTCGCTGGTGGAACTCCTTGACGGCAAATAGTTGCTCCCGTTTCGGGTCCTTCTCGTCAGTCTTGTGGGCTAAACGGACGATACCGAAAGCACCACGTCCGACCACCTCCTGGCATTTTCCGTACTTTTGCACCAAGGTCTGGGACGAAGGGGAGACCATCTTCGGATCGGCCGCTGCTTTTTCCTTCTCATTTCGCATCTGATCGGCCCAGTTCGCCATTAAACTCAGCGGCTGCTCGTGGTGTTCTTTCTTCTTGCCGAGAAGCATCATCTCTTTGAACATATCCGTGAGCTTCTCCTGCCGTCTTAGGACTTTTAGCTGATGCTCGTGGTTGCCATCCTCGGTGATCCAGAATCTGTGCGATGCGTTGTCCTTTTGCTCTTTCTTTCGATCGATAGAGCCCTTCGATCTATCGGGCACTGGGCTACTCTTCTTCTGCTCACTCGACGAGCGCGAAGGTGGGGCAGGTCGAGAAGCAGCCGTCTGTGCTGGAGGCGGCTTGCCAACAACTGCGTTCTCCGGCACCACTTGAGTTGCGAGCGACTCGCGAGAGTCTCTTGCTTCGCTGTTGTTTTTTATTTCTTTCCGAGCAAAGATGCCACTTATCCTCGAGCTCATTGTGGGTTTTTTAGCCGGTATTGCAGGTCTGGTGTTGGTCTCGCCGTTGACCTGGATGCCATTAGCGGCGGCTGGCAGTGCGAATTTGCCATCCTGCGAGTTGATTGACGCCGTTGAGATTGATGGATTTGGCGAAGGCTTCGTGTTTGTGTCTGTTGGATTGTTGTTTGGAATAGTCGGAGCTGCTGCCATTACTTTGGGTATCTCGGGTGTCGGCGATAGCGGGTTCGAGATGTATGTGAAAGCTCAGAAGCGTTGTGTGAGACTGTGTCCCGTTGGTGGGGCCTAAGCCCAGTCGCGGTGGGGTAGTCGGACTCGCAAAATCGCAGTTTCCAGGCTGTCGCTGTGAAAGAGTTGTAAAAGTAGGAGGAGTGCCTGATTGTCGTAGTAATAAGTTCCGCTTTTCGTCGGATGGCGAGCCCTTGGCGACCGAGGGGCAGTGTATGGGAACACAGCCTGCAGAGTCAAGAAGATTCGACTGCGCTTACAAAATCGTTTGGGAGCAAAGGCGGACGCGTCAGAATCTGCTCGGCGCTGCGGCGACGATCTGCTTGGCGTCTGGGAAGATTGTTGTATTTCGCAGACACTGTTGCGAAGAACTGGGTTGGAAGGATTTTGGAGCAACGCCGGCGTCTGAGCGAGGGGTGCTCTGCTCGTGCTGGTCGTGCTGGTCGTGGAGGGGACCGGCGGTCACCTTATGCGCGATTTTTATGCTAGGGTGGTTGTGCTAAGTAAGATCAAGCTGAGTCGATGTGCAATCGGTACCGCCAAATGAGCGAGTCAGATCCACGGCCTAACGCTCTGCGAATGTGAGGCAGGCATAAAGACAACTGGCGGTCTACCACGGACAGAACGACGCTGCAAGAGTGCTGGGGGCGAGGAGTGCAGACAAGGCCTCATTGTTCTCTTGCTCAGCGTTCGAAAGAGTACCTACCCTTGTCAAAGCTGAGCGCCCCAGCGGACGTATGAGGTCACCCACATGCGGCCTCGGCATTCGTTCTTTGGTGCGCAATTTCTTCAAAGGCTGTCCCTTTTGCCCATCGCGAAAAATAGCCTCTCGTTGTCCAAGGGTCAATGGAGCCACTTCAAAAAGCAACCCACAATACTCGCTCTACTGACGAGACTAGCAAACAAGCTTTCGATGGGTGATGCTTAAGACTCGCTCTGTCCAGAGAGCTGGAGAGCGTCTGCCGACCAGGGCCTTCCGTCTCCTCTGTTGATCCACCCACCCTGTTGACACAAATGCGCGGACTCCATAAACAGTAGACCCAGAAGCTGCTGCAAAATGGAATCGATAACTAGGTTAAATTAATTCTCTATAGCGTACGCATGTTTTTAGATACAAAATACTAAGACGAGAAGCTATAGTAATCCCTAGTAGTTAATATATCGACAGCTATATAACTGATTATTTACGCTGTGGTTTACTGCTTCCTAGTTATGGAGTCCGCGCATTCTTGTCACTCGCGTGCCACCCTCTCGCGCCGTTCCGCCATCAGACCCGAGATCACGGAGCGAATGGTGACTTCGGTTAACATTGGCAGTGGTGATGCGGGATGCTTCTGCTGCATCTCGAGCTGCATGTCGTCGTGGTTGGCGCGGCATGTGATTATGCATGTTGCAACAAAAAGCACGGCAGGCCGCTGCAAACAGCAGCACCGCGCCCTGGTCCTGACGGCTGCCCGCTTGATTGATTCTATCATTGTGGTAGGAACAAAATCGTGCAGCGATTCTCTACTGGTTTAAGCATTCCATTAGTGGCTTACCAGCACCGCTATATAAGACGGTTATCAACCCTCTGAACATGTAGGAATATACCCCTCGCTCCAACGTGAATGCTTATGCACGCCATCTTTGTTTCTTTCCAGATCCGAGAAAAATGTCAAGGTCCAATCCGTTCCCCTTGAGTAAGCCGAAAACCAGCTGCCCGCTGTGTCTGCTCCCGTCCGTCGAACCGCGGAGCCTCTAACTGACATCCACTCCTGGCCTTGAGCTATGCTTCCTCTGACAGACACGAGAACAGAAGAGCGAGACGAAGGCGGAAGGTGATTCGTTAAGGAGTGCAGGTCTCAAAGAGGGGTCATGCGGAAGGCTGCTGATGGGCTGATCGGATTCATATGAAACAGAAGAGAGGCGGAACACTTCACTGGTCAATAACGAACAAAGCAGATACTTGGTGGCTGCTACCGGTTTTGACCTTTCCCGTTCGCTGGTTTTTCCATCATGTTACCATACGCCTAGCCGGAAAGGCAGTCTATGAACTTGGCCTGTATGCCCTCTGCGAACAGCTTCCCCTTCACAGCGGCTTGCTTCAGGGAATATCTTGATACTCTAGCCAGAGCCTCGCGAGCGTTGCAGCGACAATGGCCCTGCCATGGGACGCGTTAAGCGCGTTCGATAAGCAGCCTGGTAAAGCTTCTCTGGCACGCATTGGCCTGTTGGCCCATGTTACTGAGCCCTTAGGAGCTTGTGATCTAGGGCTTCGTAATAGCGAAGGTGTACCATGTTTCAGGACGGGAAGACTTGGGTCTACGGAATTATCAGCCCCAGTGTACCTGCGCTTGCACGTCTTTCAAAACTTACGATGAAGCTGTCCAGGCCCATCTCGAAGAGCTCATTAGCCACCCCCACCCCTCCCGGGTGTTCCACTGGCGACAGCGGGTTTTTAACCACGAACTCGACATAGAGGTTCGCCCAAATCTGCTGCAAGACGATGCGTAGATTGTTCGTCTTAGTATCGGTGAGCATGACGAACTTCAGCCGCGTCGGTGTCTCGTAGTAGTGTAGCTTGTAGTCGCCAGTGCGGTACGATATAAAACTGTAGCAGAGGCATCTCTCAGCAGGCGGGCTCATGGTCGCGAGCGTGGGGCTGGCGCATACACGTCGTCCTCGCCGCCGAGCCGCTTCACCATATTTCGTAGCGAAAAGATGGTCCCGAAGATGAGCTTCGCGTCGTCCTCCCTCGACAAGCCCTTCCGTGCGCCGGGAATCGTGTCACCATTGCTCGTAAGGCTTGCGCCGGACTGAGGCCGGACAGGTTTACTGGCGGATGGGGGCCGTTGGTTCCAACGTCTGGTGTAGATGCACTCGGCTGCCGGAGGTCAGCATCGAAGTCAGTTGGGTCCAAGAACTGCGGCCTACTGTGACGATCGAAGATGTAGAATGAGTAGACTACCATTTCTAGACTCACTCACTTGTCAGTCCGACAAGCAGTACTGGGTGTTGACGTCGGGCCAAGCTTGCTGGAATCGCGGCCGCCGGAAGCCGTTCCGCACGTGACAAGCGAGCGCGTGGGACATAGTGGGGGACAGATGAGATGCAGGAGGACGGACAGTAATTTGCCCGTTCAGTCCCCCTACCTCATAGCATAGCCTTCTCCCGATATCCCTCATGCGCGCCCTCTCGAAGTCTAATCTAGCCCTCTAGCCGATATTCCAGCTTTCCTTCCTGTACTGCACCCATTCTTCTAGCTCATACCTTCACAATGGCCCCACCTACAACATCCAAAAAGCATGCTCCAGACAACCATGGACTTTACGATACGGACAAGATCACCCTCAATGTTCCAGCTACAGGCGATGGAGGTCGTCCCCCAGCGATCAAGCACATGTGAGATACGCTGCTACCCCGAGCTCTTGCATTGGAATCTTGACTAACAAATACCGCGACCCTCAAGGTCTGCCCCAGCATATCAGAGCCCACTGCGGCACCACCGCCGAACCAACTCTAGGAACAGACAAGTCAAAGTCCGTCTTCCTGAATTTGCATGGGAGGAGCAATACTCTGATGCAGCCCATCTTTAGACCACGCTCAACGCTACGACCGAGTACAGCAACAGCGAGGACGACGGCACTTCCTACCACCGCATCAACCAATACACAATCAAGCAGGAGATAGGGCGCGGGTCGTTCGGCGCAGTACACCTGGCCGTGGACCAGTACAACCAAGAATATGTGAGGATCCCCGATTGCTAAGCGCTGCCGCGCTTCATGGATATAGGCGTGGGTTCACAGTTTCCGCGTCGTGGAAGGGTTGCCGACAGGGAGCTGATGGTGAGTGTTGCACAGGCTGTCAAGGAGTTCTCGAAGTCGCGATTACGTAAACGCGCGCAATCGAATTTGCTCAGGAGACCGGACGCCAGAAAGCGAGCGGGCCATCTCGCGGCAGGGATTGGCTTCAACTCCCCGCTAATGAGCTCTGGCTCGGATTCGAACAACTCGCTGGGTTTGATCAAGGAAGAAATCGCTATTATGAAGAAGCTCAACCACCCGAACCTCGTCTCACTGATCGAAGTGCTTGATGATCCCGACGAGGACTCGCTTTATATGGTTCTGGAGATGTGCAAGAAGGGCGTGGTCATGAAAGTGGAGATCGATGACCCAGCTGATCCGTATGACGAAGAGCAGTGTAGATGCTGGTTCCGAGACATGATTCTTGGAATCGAGTACCGTGAGCGCCTCTTCCAGTATCGGGCGTTTGCAATAAATGTCACTAAGACCAACCCTAGTACATGCTCAAGGCATCATCCATCGAGACATCAAACCCGACAATTGCCTCATAACTGAAGACGACGTGCTGAAGATTGTTGATTTCGGTGTATCAGAGATGTTTGAAAAGGAGTCAGATATGAACACAGCCAAGTCTGCCGGATCACCGGCCTTCATGCCACCCGAGCTATGCGTCGCGAAGCATGGTCACATTAGCGGGAAAGCGGCAGACATCTGGTCCATGGGCATCACCCTCTATTGTCTGCGCTTTGGCAAGATACCGTTCCAGAAGGCGGGAATGCTGGAACTGTACGATTCGATACGAGAAGACAGGCTTGACATTCCTCCGGACTGCTCAGATGATCTTCGGGATCTGCTTAGTCGAGTGTTGGAGAAAGACGCGCAAAAACGTATTCGCATGAATGAGCTCCGCGTATGAAGAACACTCCACATAGTAGTGTTGACAGAGCTAATCTTATAAAGGAGCATCCCTGGGTTACCAAGAGAGGAACGGACCCGCTGTTATCCAAAGAGGAGAACATATCCGTTCTCGTCGACCCTCCGACAGAAGAGGAACTGAATGCAGCTATCACTGGCAATATGGGACACCTAATGGCTGTTGTGAGTAAAGCAGAAGGCGAATATCCAAATGAACGGCTAACACCGTCGTAGATGAAAGCGGTGAAGCGCTTCAAGCAGCTCCTGTTCAAGAAGCGTCCAGACCTCATGCAAGGCATCCTTGGTTCGGCGTCTCGCATAGTGCAGCCACCTCTTTCCATGCGGTCGTACAACGTGCATCGCAGGTCACGGAGCTTCGACACGGATGATCGGCGGGCTGTCGAGAGCGCCCTAGTCCGAGAAGGCGTCCACCGCGAGATACCGATTTCACACAATCTTATCCGTCAACCAGAAGAGGTGAACAAGAAAGCGATCTTCTCTGAAGACAACGCACCACGAGACTGGAAACCGAAGAGCAAGCAGAACGAAGCCTCCTCGAAACCAGAACCTAAATCCCCGAAGGTCGAACCCGTCCCGGCCGCAGAGCGACACCACCGCAAAGAAACGAGAAAAGGCCAAGCCCACGACCCGCTGGAAGACACTCTGTTCCTCGACATTCATGTCCCGGAGTCCGCATCAGACGACACTACAGCGGATCCCGAGCGCCCGCACATCGTCTTGGAGTCTCCCGCCGCAGCAGATGTCAATGTCTACGAGCAAGCCTACAAAGAAGAAATCAACAAGATATTGAAAGCAAAGGGCGAGAGAGCGACGTTGTATCTGACCCGCCGCGTCGAAGGAAGCAAAGACATTAGCGAGAACGAACATCTGATCGGTGGTGCGGAAGACGATGCCGATCCACCCAAGTCCGGGCTGGCCAAGTTGTTGCAGAAAGCTAAGGCGAACGTGGAGGCTCGAAATCAGGCGGCAGAGACGACAGATAATACGGAAGAGTCGCGTGACGATGCCGGGGCGAAGCAAGAGGGTGAGGGTGGAGTGTGAGGACTGAGACGCGCTACTTTGGGTAACAGACTGAGATTGGCATTGACGCCGTATACCAGCCACCCGCCGGCTTGCGCGGTACGATGATTCCATCAAGAACAGCGGCGTCACAGAGGCGCACGGGCTGAAGGCGGGTGCGGTGCTGCCGTATCCTGCAAGATCGACGGTGTGGGGCTTGAAGTGCAGGCGCTCCTACTGGTCCAGAGGTTGTCCTCTAGACGGATTGACGGCAATTAGAGCTGCAACAGCGAATGTACATCATGCTCTCGCTTCTCAAGTGAAACAGAAATTACGAGGCCTCTCGGGCAACATCCGGCGTCCAGTAGCAGTCTCGGCCATGCTGCTGCGTGCATCATGGAACAGAGAGATCGCCCCATGCATTTTGTTGTTATATGGAGTCAACGTTGTTTGCTCACCGTCCGCGGCTGGACGTGCTCAAGGCTTTGACGGTCAAGGGTGGTGTTTTTTAAGCTGGTTCGGTGATAGCGTCACCGTAAGATATTTTCAGAACAATGTAGGATCTGTCGCTGATGTAAGCATTGGACCATTCCTCGCGTTGGTGAATCGTCACGAGCACGTACCCGGCAATTTTGTGGACCCTTGCAACGTCATGCAGAAACAGCTCTGGCAGAAGCTCCACCATGCGCGGACTTTGTGCGTGCAATGCAACAGTAGCAGCCAGCAACAGACTGACCAAGCATGGACCCCGACGACCTCTCTGCAGAAGACGAGGCACTGCGCAGCTTCCTGCCCACCTCCTTTGGGAAGCAGTCGAGAACAGCCAACGTAAAAGCGCAGATCGACCTCTCGCGGCGCAAGCCAGCAGCAGAGCCCAAGCCGCTTCCAGGGATAGCTGCAGACACGTCGTCCGGCGAAGATGCTGCGTCCGCAGCTTCGGATGAAGAGGACGAAGACGACAGCGGGGAAGAAGACGAGTTTCCCGTATCCCATGAGATGCTCCTCAAGACGCATCAGCGCGCGGTCACCACTGCCACGCTGGATCCCTCCGGCACAAGGCTGGTAACTGGCTCTACGGATTGCACGGTCAAATTCCATGACTTCGCCGCGATGACACCTACTACCATCCGCGCCTTCCGCTCCGTCGATCCAACGGCTACGAAAGGTTCAGCGAACGTCGAGACACATCCAGTCCACCAGGTGCTCTTCAACCCTATCTCCCCCAGCCAGATACTTGTCATCACTGCGTTGCCACAAGCCAGGGTCTTCAGTCGAGATGGCGAGCTTCTCACGGAGTTCGCCAAGGGAGACATGTACCTGCGCGATCTGCACAACACCAAGGGGCACATCGCAGAGGTGACATGCGGAGTGTGGCATCCGACGAACAGGGATTTGTGCGTGACAGCCGGAACGGATAGTACCCTACGGATCTGGGACGCGAACAACAAGCGAGCACAGAAGGAGGTCATTGTGCATAAGTCGAGGATCGCAGGATCGGCAGGGAGGACACGGATGACCGCAGTGGCATGGGGTTCACCGATGCAAGGAGGCAGCAATGTGCTTGTAGCGGCGGCTCTAGACGGCAGCCTCGCCATGTGGAGTGGAGAAGGTCCGTATCATCGACCAGCTGCAGACATTCGCGACGCCCACACTCGGGATACTTGGACTAGCGGCGTGGACATTAGTGCCGATGGCAGGCTGGTAGTGACGAGAGGTGGCGACGACACAATCAAGCTGTGGGACACGCGCAAGTTCAAGCAGCCGATCACCACCGTTACGCATCCGTCAACATCTTCGCAATATCCTACTTCGAACATCCGCTTCTCGCCGACCTCCTCAAACATCCTGACAGGCTCGGCGACAGGCGACCTCCACATCCTCAACCCAGCGACACTAAAGCCCGAGCTCATCACACCAGTCACTCCCGGCTCACCCCTCATCACAGTACTCTGGCACGAGAAGCTCAACCAAATCATCACCGGCTCCGCCAACGCCGAAACCCACGTCCTCTACAACCCCAACACCTCGACCAACGGCGCAAGACTCGTCATGTCCAAAGCACCCAAGCGCCGCCACATCGACGACGACCCCAACCTAACCATGGATCTCGCGCACGGCATCTCCGGCGACAGCATCATCACCCCCGGAGGCGCGCAGTCCGCAGCCACCAGCTTCGCCGCGCGGCACCCGAACGTCGGCTTGACGGCTTCCGGGAGGTCGAGAGATCCGCGTAGGCCGCATGTGCCGGTGACGACGCCGTTTGCGAAGAGCCAGCCCGATGAGAAGCACATCAGGGAACATATCCCGCTGAGCAGTATGCGGGACGAGGATCCGAGGGAGGCGCTGCTGAAGTATGCGGAGAAGGCGGAGAAGGATCCCATGTTTACGAATGCGTGGAAGACGACGCAACCGAAGACGATTTATGCCGAGTTGAGCGAGGAGGAGGATGAGCCGGAGAAAAAGAGGGCGAAACGGTAGGTGCTGGTGTTTTGGTACGTGGGTCCGAGTCTGGACGTTGGGTGGTTTGTAGACTGCATGTGAATGGCGTTTCTTGATTTGATACCCGCTGGAGGGCCGGATGGACTTTAACAATCTTGCCCTGATGGGCTCTTCGAGAGCATGGCTGCTTACTCAGAAGCACAATAACTTCGTCCTTCGTACCAATACTAGAGCTCACCCGCCATCTTCCCTTTCTTCTATGTCTTCTCAACCACAGTCTCCACCCCGTGGTTATATACAAGCCCTACTGTGATTCAGTAAAGTTCTGGGATATTACAGGTACCAATCTATCTAATACTCACCAGCTGCTCCGCTAGTGCTATCTAAGCTATTGCTGTATCCACACGCTCTTACCTGATATTTCTTAGCTGGTGCTAGGTAAAGGATAGCAGCACACCCGCCCTTGCATCTTAATACTGGCGCTTATACGCGCGCCGCCCTTCCTCACTCTACGTACTGACATAACAGCCAGATTTCCAATCACGTTCAAGCCGCTCAGGCAGCTACAATGCAGTTTTCGGCTCAGTAAATCATCTTCTACACGTAACCTGCACGTGACGACTCTCTAGCCAGCTCAAAGAACCTGCAACTCGTATAATTAGGGACTATCGCTGAGACAAAAGAACCCACAAGGTCCACCATACCGGCCGGAAAGCCTATAGAGATGCTAATCCAGACGAAGCTTTCGATAATCCTGCGCTGCTCAATCTCCAACGCCTTCCTCATAGTAGTCAGGCCTGTACAAGGATCATCGCGATACGGGCGATACGTAGTAAGCAGCCTGCCTCAGTCGGCACAATCATTTTCTCGTTTCACCACCATCCAGCAAGCTAAAACAGCAAAAACTCAAAGTGGCCATTTGGCAAACTCACTTCCACAAGGCTGGTTTTTCGTCCGGTGGTAGGTTGTAGCCGGTCGTAGGCGATCGACGGTCAAGCGGTCGGTTGGATCGGTCGGGGTTGGCGAGCAAGCCGATCGGGGGTGGCGTGTCGGCCTCAGTGGGATTCGAACTCGGTGCTGGGGAGAAATCGGAGGAGGGGATCATGTTCCATGTTGACGTGAGGCACCCGGTGTGGTGCCGGTAGAACAGGCATTTGGGCTACGGCATCTGGACTGTAGTGGGGTGGATGACGAAGTTTGGGTATATGTAGCTAGAAAACTGGGGTAAGGATTTAGGTTCTGCGCTACCGAGGGTGAGGTTAGTGAACTGTTAGGAATTAAGGTTTAGCTTGTTCCGTTCAGAGGATAGTGATGTGTGCTGGGTTGATAGCTGCCGGTATACAATCCCGGTGTAGTGCTCCACAGCAGGCAGCCGGTTTCGGTAGATGGTTAGCTCCGATATAATCGTGCTCATGCTGCTCGCATCGAATGGTCATATTGTCGTGCCCCTACTAGAGCGCGTGATCGTGATTGACACTCCCATCGTATCGTCAGTCGAAAGACGGCATTGAGCCTACGGTTCAGCACATAGGCGTCTTCGGCTAACGTCACCCTGGAGTTATCCGGAGCAAGCACGTCCACGGTTTGTCACTTGGCTACCTCCTGATACGGATGCAACCTCTTTCTAGTTGAACGTCCCGCCAGTTCCGGTTGTGAAGCTTGGGTGCCAACCCTGGTCATCCGTCATTGTTCTGTGCCTGAGGCAAGTTCCCCGTCAATTGCAATGGAGCCCCTGTCGATCAGGACGCTGAAACCCCGTAGTGCTCCAGGAACGCATGGCCATGATAATGATATGACCGGTTACGAGATGGAGGAATCTGAGACTAACGAGCCGCTTTCGTTGGCGGAGTTTCGCTTCTTCAAGTAACCGGCGCGGCTTCTGGAATTGGAACTGCACAAACAGTCCTCCTCTATGACAGACGGTCCATTTCGGTCAGTCCCCCTTCCGCTTAGTGTTATAGGCACATGCTGTTGAAAGTGTGCTATCAACGGGCTGAATAGAGGATCTATGTTACTGAAGCTAAAAAGCGGTAATGCTCCCGGACCGGACAACTATAATATTACTGAGACTGGAATTGGATAGGTCGTGCTGCTACTAGAACGGAGATAGATGATTAAATGATGGAGCGGTTTCGAGCTTGATAGTCTTCACCTTCGGCTCGAACTCGGAGTTGTTCTAGCATTGCACTCAGCGTGATCTGTAACTAGCAGCCGAACTCGATAGGGCCCACAGTTGGTTCAGAATCCTTCTTGAACTGCGCACAGAGTCGTTTATAAGAAGAGGCCAGTCCAGTAGGTCTCATACATACTCCGACGATATTCTTCAACTGCTGATGCTTCTGAAAATACTAGTGCGGCTTGACTTATCGAAATCGAACCATTTAGAATGACATCACCTCTCTCGCCATCTTGTGGCCGGCAGAGATCGTGACACCGGTATCCTTGTAGATGAACAGAATCAAGATGGCGTCCAGGGTGGGTCAAAGAATGCAAGTCAACTCTGTTAGTGCCAAAGCCGCCTGAGCCGGGCACATATTTTTGGCCGATACGGACCAAAATTGCATCCAGAATACTGCGGGTAGACAGCCGGTCTCACATTAATCGGTGGTGACACTTACATTGACTACTGCTATGAAGATAGCATGGATTCAGACTCCATGCGAACAGGTTTCGAGCAGCGGCATTGCATCCACCGTGATCGAAAGGAATCTAAGAGTCCAAATCTGAACTCTAGTCGGCTCTGATATTGAAGTTGTTCCAAACAAGGTGTTAGCTACTGCTACTACAGAGCGTGTCAAGTGCGTAAGAGTTGATAGACTTCGGAGGAATTTAGGGTCAGAGTCGAAATTTGAACGTCTTGTGCAAACCTTGAAGCTCGATTTAGTGGGATGTGGGTAAGTAAGGTGACGCAAGACTGCGTCGAATTGAGATTTGATGTGATATGACCCATGTCGTATCGGCGTCGTTGGACGGTGTATCGGAGAACACGTGGCTGTCGGAGATAGACGACCCTCAGACACATTCTAGTTTGCAGGATTCGAGAATGGTCGAGGATGCTTGTGGCGGCGATGACTTTGAAGGTGTTGCTGCTATTGGAAGCCGAAGTGGCGGATGCTACGAGGGGAACGCATGGTGGATAGTAGGGAGGTGTGAATTGGCGAAAGTGGTGATTTTTGAGAGAGAGAGAGAATAAAGGAGCTGAGAGAAGAACGTATAGATGTTGTTCCAGCTGCCTGCCCACATCTTTGCTGAGTGCGACTCTAATTGAGTTGCAGTAAGGACGGGCGAGTGTTACTTACGAATACCCCGAAGCGGAGTACAGCTCTCGAAGACTTCTTTCAGAATTACGACACTAGCGAGGTCGAGGAGGAAACAAACTTGATAACTACCATGAGCCATTTCGAGGGTCCAGGAAGGGGCTTTACCTTAATGTTTTTGCGGTGAGGAAGCACCGGTGACTTGAGCGGCTTACGATGCCGCTATCGCGAGTGGCTCTGCAGAACCGCATCATCACATCAGCCAAACCATGCCGGTGCATCCTCCGGATTACTTCACGAATCCTACTACAAGACCTCTCATAACACTTTAGGAGCCTCGCCAATGTATTACCCTACAACTCGAGTACTTCAACGAGCTTCCACAGGCGCCTTCACCGAAAATCCGTAACGCCGCATCATACTCTGCGATGATAATTCCGTATCACCAGAATATTGCCGTCACAGCGATTGCCCCCTCCGCACATCTTCCCGGACTCGGAGACACCGAAGGCTGGTCCTCTCTCATCGGCATCGTCACGGCCATAATCGGGAATGTCCTCATATCCTTCGCCCTCAACACCCAGCGGTATGCGCACATCAAGTTATCACAAGAGCGGGATGCACGGAGACGACAGCGAAGAGCTGGCCAGAGCCGCAACCATGGTTCGGCAGGTTATGGCACGCAGCAGAGTCAAATCGCAGAAGAGAGAGCAAAACGCAACCTAGGCGCGAAATACGATGCCCAGGGCGTACATATGATGCACGATGAGGACGTAACGGAGACCGACGTCTTGATACCGAAACTCGGCTCAGGCAGCTCCTCCGACTCCGAGGATGCGACCGCACAGAAAGAGCAATCGGGGTCGGAGGGGAGGAAGAAGTCTTACCTCAAGTCGCCATACTGGTGGATCGGCATCGTGCTGATGACGGTTGGGGAAGCAGGCAACTTTCTAGCATACGGCTTTGCGCCCGCCTCGATTGTCTCACCGCTGGGTGTCGTGGCGCTGATATCGAATTGCATGATAGCGCCGTTCATGCTCGGCGAACGCTTCCGGAAGAGGGACTTGCTGGGCGTCGCCATTGCTGTTGCGGGCGCTGTGACAGTTGTGCTGAGTGCGAAGGATAGTAACCCGAAGCTGGGGCCGGATGAGATCTGGCACCTCATTGCTACATGGGAGTTTGAGACGTATCTTGGTATCACTACCGTTTGCATTGTGGGACTCATGATTGCGAGTAAGAAGTACGGGGAGAAGTCTATCTTCATTGATCTTGGACTGGTGGGACTCTTCGGTATATATCTATAACTCCGGTACCTCTTCTCGCGGTGTGCTGATGCATCTCTGCAGGTGCTTATACGGCCCTCTCCACGAAGGGGGTTGCGTCTCTCCTGACATATACTATATGGAGAGCCCTCACCTTCCCAGTGACCTACCTCTTACTCGCCGTACTCATCGGTACTGCTGTCATGCAGATCAAGTATGTCAATAGAGCTCTCCAACGCTTCGACGCTACACAAGTCATCCCGACGCAGTTTGTTCTGTTCACACTATCGGTTATCCTTGGAAGCGCCGTACTCTACCGCGACTTCGAGAGGACAACAGCCTCAGATGCCGGCAAATTTATCGGCGGCTGCGCCCTAACATTCCTGGGTGTCTGGTTCATCACGACCGCGCGACCCCGTCATGAAGATGAAGACGACCGCGCGCCTGAAGATGATGACGCCATTGACCTAGTGGACGATGAGTACGAAAACGTTTCGCAGGACTCACCAAGCCGCCGCAGCGGGAAACGTCCCTCCTTGGCTGCCCTCCAGACCCGATCCACGTCCTCCCACGCCCGGCGACTGTCCTACCCTCGCTATTCCCGAGCTGGTGAAACACCAACCTCCCAGGACGAACCGTCCTCTCGCCTGGATCATTCGGCTTCCGGGCCACAGAGTCCAGCCGTTCCCTCTGCACCACAGACACCCTCGGAACCTCAATCTACATCCGCCTTCCTCTCACCCGTGACAAACCTCAGGTCGGCTCCTCCCCACCAGCGACTGCAGCAACCCGAACAGCAGCGACGCCCACAGGCAGCGCCTCTCCTTTACCCGACTCTTTCCGCTCCCGTCCTGCCCTCTGAAGCCCAAGCCCTCTCACCCCGCCCGGGCACCCCCCGCAAAACCTCCGAGCTCCTCTCCCCTTACCCTCCAGTGACTCCTTTAGCCCCAGCGGCCGCAGACGCACGAGGCGCAGCAGCAGTCGCCCCGGGCTCTGCATCGGTATTGCGCGCGCGTAACAGCATTGCAGGCATGCTACCGGGCCCGCTTATGAGCCCGCTGAGTGCGAGTTTGAGCGCCGTGGTTGCAGATTCGCTGAGGCGGGGTGTCGGCGGTGGGGGCGCCAGGCGGCGCAGGAGGCTCTCCGAGGCTGGGAAGAGTATGGGCGGCGGCGGTGGTGGCGAGGGGATGGAAGGGTGGGCGGGGAGAGGGGTGAGGAGCGATGCGGACGTGTTGGCTGGGAACAGTGGCGAGGGTGGTTCGGGCGGGGAGCTTACGAGTGAAGGCGGAGACCCTGGGGCGACGGCGACGGCGACGGGGTCGAGGGGGAGGAGCTTGAGTGGCGTGCTGGGGGATGTGTTGAAGGGGTTCAGGCGAGAGCGGGAAGCGCAGGATGAGGAGGTTGCTGGAAGGAGAAGGGCGGGTGAAGAGGAATAGTGTAACGTGGCTGGGGGTGCTATTCCTGCGGACGGCGCCAAGGTGAGGGATTGCGTTCTTTGCATTGCGATAGGCGTTCACGGTATTGAGCGGGGATCTTTGTTTGGATAAACCTGGACTTTGGCCTGTAAAAATGTCATGTGTGGGTATGTATATTGGGCATGCGCGGAATACGTACCGTCAACAGTAGGGTAAACCCGTTGTGGCAGGTAAGATTATGTCAGTAGCAATCGTACAAACCTCGCATCCCCTCCTGCATCGGCCAGATGAAATCACCGGCAGGCTTGCTCAGCCGTGGGTCCGTGATCTCGTCTCGCGAGCCCTGACAAGCCACGCCACATGCCTTCTGTCAACGGCGCTGCATCGCTGATCGCGTAAACGCCCAAATCCCCGGCAGACGGAGTTTACAGGGGGTGTCGTAGTGCGTAGTCCGAAGCGAGACAACGATAACCCAGAGAACGCCACTTGTCTCCCGGAGGTCGTTGGTGCTGGCCTCATTGGCCAGCGCGGTCCGTCTGCCGCATCGCCTCGTGAGATGGACGAGGGGTGTGGAGGGATGTGAAGGGATGCGGGACTGGGGCAGGGTTTGTGGACGTTGATGCACGGACACTCGAAAAGATCAAGAGGGATGCGGGATGTGCGGACCGGCAGCAAGGGCGGCGGGTGGAGGCGGCAAGATGTGTTGTTTCCTTGAAAATACCCTTGTGCTGATCGTCTCCCTCGTCCCTATTGGGCGAGCTTTGTGGGGGGAAACATGTCAATCTTGCCTTCATTTGACAGCTGACCCTTTTGCTTCACACTAGTGCTTACATATCGTTGGCATTGCAGAAGATGCGGTTGACCCGCTATCGTATGTGCGGTGAGGATATCAGGCCACTGACTGGGGGGTTGTTCGTTCGAGCACCAGCGGCATAAGAGGCATGGGCGTAGAACTTTGTATGCTGGTTCGGACAAATATCTTGGCTGATCGTCGATCTATACCCCGAGCCGATCTAGCACTCTTACGGTACCATGATCTTGAGTCTTGTGTTCGAGGCCATCATGGACTTTAGAGTACCGATGCGAGCGAGAAGCAGGTCAAGCCTTTGTAGCGGCTGTAAAATAGATTGACCGGGAAGGGCTGGATCTGGCAAAAAGCGTGGCGAAGGATGTCTGCATGACTGACAGCTCCGACGTGCGCTCTTAGCTTGCTATCTGGTTCCAATCTAGGCCTCATACGAGTAGGCGCTCTTAGAAGTTGAGCCCTTGTGCGGCTTCGGAGAGTTGCCGGTGAAGTCTGCCGCAGTATCGGTTGGTAGCGTCAAATCTCGACACATTTAGAGTTTGCGCATTGACGCCACGATGACGAGTTAGTACAATCGATAGGAAGTTGCAGCATAGGACGGTTCTAATCTACCAGTGTCGGTATCCGAAGCGTGAACTTTTTGTGATGCCCGCTGTAGCTTGTTCGCTTTGCAGAGCGAGCTTTGGATTGTCCAGCAATCTGGAGACGGGGCAGCCTTTATCCGAAGCACGGCCAATCTTGCCGAGGAAGTTTTCAAGGCCAAAACTCCAGCAAAATAAGTACGCCTACTGGCAGTGACACGCTTAGAAAGAGCAAGTTGACATGTGCCACAAACAGCGATCCACTATGCAACTGGCAGTAAGACGTGGTGCATGGCGTTATTCTTGAGAAGAGCACGCGGGCTCGGAAGTGGACAATAACATACAGGGATGGGTCGCGCAGTCTTCCATCAGGGATTTTGCTTTGGCAGAGAGTGGAGGACTGTAATAGATGAAGGAGCTGTTCGAAAAACTGAAAGTGTATAGATTCATCCAGCCGACGAAGCTAGCTGAAATTTCAATGTCATCAACTCGAGCCAGATGACCAGAGTCTACTCGAGCGGAAGTCGTTCGAGAGAGTACAACGTTGTCCTTGTGAGAGGCACAAAACACGCTTTAGATGCAGACTGAGAAAATCTTACAGACTTCGCTGCTTCGCGCAAAGTTGAACCGCAATCATAAGAGCTGTTTTCAGAACGGCGGCAGCATGAGATGATCCATAAAATCATGTTGGCACACTTATCTGGACAAGTGATACCTACATCCTGGCTCTAAGCACCGAGTAGGAGTCCCATCGAGCAAATGCGCTTTTGTTAAGAGATTCACGAAAACATGCTCGAGCTTATTCCAAGAAACCTCATAAAGCTCAGAGGTCGTCGTTGTTGCATGTGGCGACTTCATATATCAATTTCTCACGACAATTGTCAGCGTACTGGAATACCCTTTCCCCAATCGCTATTAGCGTACTGCAGTACCTTCGCTACTGCGTTAGATAGCCAGAGCTGACTGTTTCAGACTCCATCGGGGAGAGCTTTAACGGTAGTCTGGGCGACTGAAGTGATGTCACATATCTTGGTAAAAGAGTTTGTAGTGGGGCTTTTCCCAGTGCAACCACGGTAGCTGACCAGAGACGTTGGACCGTTGCATTGTGCAACCGTTTGTGCAACCGTTGGTCGTGATGTTCTCGTGTTCCTCCTTCCTGGGTCAGGGCAGCGCGAGATCACTCCTGTAACGGCGCTGGAGCGGAATGCACATCTTGGTATCTAGAGCGCACTAGTGAACCGTAAGCTGAGCGTATTTCAACAACGGACTTTGCTCACCATCCCGAACGCTATGGCCAGCGTGGAGTCCTCTAGTATTAACTTCGCTTGCTCGTGTGCTAGAGTAAGTAGGTTGAGCGTAATCAATTAAGACTCAAGGACGTCCGGGGATTTGTACGCTCGCTAGCGACGCGCGTCAAGTCGGCTCTCTTCAAGACTACCGTATCTCAAGCGTCAAGACGCGCTCTTGTTTGCCCTGCTTCAGTAGTGTGGCGGTTATCAGACTTCGGTAAGCTGTATTTTCACGCCCTGGTCGCTTCAAAGGTTCGGGCAGGTACAAAGCAGCAGCACGTGAGCAGGCGCCGAAGGGCAAGCCGCCGTTGGAGAAACCGAAGTTCAGAAGGAATCAGCTCCGTCGGCGCCGGGGGTCTGGAAATGACAGCTGATCTGATGCGGGTTCGATCAGCTAGGCACAATATGCATAGCCATACAAATAGCCTTCAAGGGGCGGTGTTCCCGCGCTTGCTCCATATCACTGGAGGAATTAGCCGAGACATGGAGTAAGCGGTCGACGGCGACATCAATGTCGCGAGAATGTGCATCAACCGCCGCCGTCTACGCACAGACTAGGTACGTGAGGTTTTCCAACACGGGTAAGATGATCAATGACTGGTCTGAGCTGTTGCCGACTCTCGAATTACCTAAGATAGGCAACGTCGATGATCCTTGACGGCGATGACCCTTGCTCGGGCTGGTCCGCATGGGTGTGAAGCATGGAAGCTCTTGGTGATAGCAGCTTTATCGAAACGAGAATGGCAAGCGGCTGTCTATCGGCCCTTACCGTTCTCATCAAACGAGCTGAAGCAATGTCGCCAACATGATGGGTATTTAGCATACTTTACCAAGGTACGTTACTCCTTGTGTACTGCCCGTGGCAGAAGAGTCCTGCCACGAGCCGGGTCGGCCAGCCGCTAGACGAATTGGTGCCCGACTGCCAGGATCTGAGCGGCAGCTAGGGTGCGTTTGGCACATTCTTTGCCAAGATGCACGGGGGGCAGCGCGCTACTGTGCAGGAAGGTCGCTCCGCCGCTGGGCACTTTCTGTCGTCTCTGCAGCTTCGCGCATAGCAATTGCAGCCACAGCTGCTTTTGTTGAGCTGAGCCGGCAGGGCACCACAGGATTCGTCCTTTCACCAACGAAGCTCTTGGCTCCACGAGTGCTCTTTGGTCAAACTGCCTCAAGTAAAAGCGATTCCTTCAGCTGCTCGCGCCAAGGCGTCAAAACCCCTACCTAGGTATTTCAGCGGTCCGCAGGGCTCGTGGGCCAGGCCAGAGGCGTTGTGCCTCGACGATAGCGACCGGGATTTGTGCGCTCAGACCGGCATGGCTGTGCGGTAGTAAGACAGCCCTCGAGCCGATCTCTCATGCTTGCATCGCACACGTACTCATATGGCCGGACAAGCCCAAGACCATGACAGAGGTCCGCCCGAGGACGTCTCCTTCCACCGACCACCCACGAGTAACCACCGTGCATTTGGAGTTTCAGTGCTCTTGGCAGCTGACCTCGTGACTCGTTACAGCGAAGCCGACGGCCAAGCAACCGCAGCGCTCCCGTTGTCACTTCAAACCCGGGCCACTCAGGCGTACCGCACAATTGCAGTGAATCCGCGGTCGAGGCACATACCAGCCAAGGACGCAGACGTCGTCTGCACAAGGCATTTCTACTCGAGCACATCCTTCATCCTGCACTTTAAACGACACTGCACAGAAACCACTCCCCTAATCCTGGCCAGCGGCGTCTGCCGATCTACACTACAGCATCTTTAATTCCAGCTATCCGCGCGGCGTTGAAACTTTGACTTCGCCCGACGTGCCTTCTTGCAGCGTCCCCACTTTGAGCGTTGTCAAGTCTGCGAGTTTTAGCGAGGTCTCTCTGGTCGACCAACCTCCACAAGAGGGGACGTTCACCACCCACAGGTGGGACACTTTATGCTAGGCCCAACGTCCTGGAACCCAAGATTTCCAGCCACCCTTGACGGAATCGGAACCAGCTTTTTGCTCGCGACCGCGGTTCTCTGAACAGCGAATACGGAGTACTGGATCGCCTCGATCGGCCCGTCCCTGTGAACCCAAGAATCACTACAGAACGTGCAACGGCGCTTTCCTGGCCGTTATCCTCGTCGTAGAAGCCTCCGTTGCGTTGGTCGAAGTCCTGAACTGCCCTCCGCAGCTATCGAGAGGTTAAGGATATTCACTTTGTGGGGATGTTCCTTCCATGCAGCCCAGAAACGCATGTTTGACATGCCCAGAGAACATCAGACGACTTTCTGAGCACCCGCTTCTATCGCTCACTGAATAAAAGAATTTCGGATATCTCCATCCTAAGCCTGAAGTTCGGACCCTCATCCATCATTTCTGTCAATTCGGATTTGATTCAAGCTCGTCGTTTCCCTTTCTTTCGGCCCACATCGTGTGTTATCCATTCGCGGTTCCAATCGCTCAGACGACTTTACGGCCATATCGGTATTCGCAGTCTTCATCTTGATCCGCGGTCGCTATGGGTACTGTAGGGGTACACATGCCCTACCATGGGAGAGACTCTTTGCTCTTCACGCATAGGGACGATGAGAAACTTCCGCGCAAAGATGCTAGAAGGCACCTGCAGCCGCCTTTGAAACCTCAGTCTCGATCAAATCTTTTGTCTCAACCTGTGTCGAATCCGACATACTTCAATTCAGCATACTTCAATCCAGCATACTTCAACCCAGCATACCTCGACTCAGCATATTTCGACTCAGCACACTTCGACTCAGCATACTTGAACCCAGCACACTCGAACTCAGCACACTCGAACTCAGCACACTCGAACTTCCCCCTCCATAACTCTCTAATACCTCAAACCACGCAACTCAACACCACTGCCACGTAGGTTGACGCTTGCACGCTTATATGTGTCTTTCACTAATATGTCGGAATAGTATGAACATCCCCGTAGCCAATGTCGAGCCGGCTATGGCGCCCACGGAGACGGGCTGCGTCCTTCGCACGACGTACGATGGAATGGTTTCATTAGAAGCAACTCTTCAGGGACGGCGGTTCCATGCACCACGCCGACTACGTGAGAGCGAGAGGAACCAGGCCATCCAAAGCGGCGCAGTGTTCATCTACGAAGAAGGGGCATCTGGCATCAAAAGGTGGACGGATGGGAAAAGCTGGAGCCCGAGCCGGCTCATGGGGAACTACCTCATCTATCGGGAAGTTAACCAACAGCTCGATGGAGGTGACAAGAGGCGCCCCACGAAACGCCGCCGCTCCGATGCAGTGCCTCCCCAAGACTACACCGATGATGAGAAAAAGTTCTACGTAGGATCCTTAACCGACACCTACGACTTTAAGCAAGGTGGTCTTATGAAAAAGACCATCTCGATCAAGTACCGAGGCAGTGTCCATCATATCGTCTCGTATTACACTCTGGAAGATGTCAGATCGCAGAGACTTTGCAGGCCTAGGCAGATTGAGGACTTGAGGGACATCCGTCCGAGAGACGAGTTATTACGGGGTACGGCCTGGAAGATACGACCGGACCTTGAAGACGATGCTCCGATCTCGCAACCAGCTGTGTCAGTCGTACGCCAGTATGTTGCCTCACCAGTCATACAGCAACATGTGCCCCCACCAATCTCAAATCAATATGTGCTTCCACAGACCGCCGCGACCTTCGTACCGAACGTGGGATTGGCGGCAGACATGTATTTTCCGCAGCACATACCTGAGGTATGGGGCCAAGCTGGTGTGTGCTGCGGCACTGATCATTCTTTCATGTATTAGTGCAGGTTTGGTTGAGGCGCAGCAAGGCGTTCGTAATGCTAGTATACATACCATCATCAGCGTATAGGTTCATTATCATCAAACTAGCCAAGCCAACATGGCACGTGACTCAGTTGGCCTGTGCCCATGCTTAACTTGACCTGCTTGCATGACTACTCATTCAACTTTTAACTTTGAAGCGACGCTATGTTGTGTTGATGACATGTTTGGATTGCCAGTCGCAGACAGGAGAATGCTCCGTGGCATCGTGGCTTCGTCGCCATCGTGCCTTTTCACCGTTGGGCGACCACAATGTCGCTCTACGCTGCAGCGCTCGACCTTAACCTCCGCCGCCAATTGTATTAGCATCTACGCAAGAACAGACCATGATCGGTTACAGCGCCAAAACTCCGACCGGTGTACTAGACGCCCCGATGTGTGCGTAAACAGTGAACCCTACAGGGGATGTACACCTCGTTGCTAATTTCGTTGCAGCACCCGAAGACCGTTTTCCCTCAGCAGCCCACGGCCTGCTACACAAAAGAAAAGCGAAGAGCATGTTGGAGAAACTCGAGGTGGCGTGGTAAGGTCATTTATATGTCACAGTCTTTCATTCTTAACTTTTACTTTGCTTCCTGCCACAATGCATCCGAGTGGAGGGGTAAGGAGGAAAGCAGGAGGGAAGAAGGAGGGAGGAAGGGGTGTCCGTGACTCGTCCCTATCACTTGTCCACTACAATTCTCTCCAGTCGAACTTCCCTTGGTCTCAATATGAGCCTAAGCCTCAAAAGCAGGCTACGGTACTACATAGCAAACCCCGGGAACGTCACAGAATCTTAAGCAAACAAGCTTTCACTTACGTGGGGAGTTCTGCAGTAAGGTCGCATGACTGTCTAATTTCCGTGTGGTCATTATTAGTTCATGTTCCCACGGCCTTTTGATGAATGATCGCCATTCTGGTAATATATGACCACAGCTCTGTATTCACATTTCCCTCTACTTCTGCCGCCCGCTCTACGCAGCACGGCTTCACATTCAAGAGTACCAGACCAGCTGACACATGAACGCTCAGCCTCAGCCGAAGAAACCGCTCCGCGAGACGACCCGCGAGCTTCGTGAAAGAGTCAAAACCAGGCTATCAACGTTGACTCCGCATGAGAACATCTACACTGTTCCAAATGTGCTCACCTTCTCCCGTCTAATCGCTGCTCCGGTAGTTGGGTACCTGGTTCTACACGACCATCATACCTGGGCCGTTGGGCTCTTCGCCTACGCCGGTATTACGGATCTCGTAGATGGCTGGATTGCTCGGAGATGGAACTTACAAACGGTCGTTGGCAGCGTTGTAGATCCTATGGCCGATAAGATGCTCATGACTATCTTGGTAGGCTGTTTGGCCATCAAGGGAGCTATACCGCGTACGTGGTCATCATCGTTCATCTGATTTATTACTTCCTCACTAATGCGGAATCTACAGTCTGGCTCGCAACTCTGATCCTAGGCCGCGACGTTTCTCTCGCCATAGCGGCCATCTACTATCGCTACGCGTCGCTGCCTCCACCGAAAACGTTCATGCGTTATTGGGATTTTTCTCTCCCATCCGCCGAGGTCCATCCAACTACCGTCTCAAAGTTCAACACATTCCTTCAAATCGGTCTGATAGGTGCTACGACTGCCCTTCCTTTAGTGACCAGCGGCGCTCTGGACAGCTTCTTGGGCAGTCTCAGTCCCTCTGATGTCGAGATCGCTGTTAGAGGCCTTGGGTATGTAGTTGCGAGCACCACTCTCTGGAGCGGTGCCAGCTACGCGTGGAACAGGAAGGCTGTAAAGATTCTGGGCAGCGATGAAGCCTTGAAGGAGAAGCAGGGCATGCGGGGAAGGGCCGTTGTCGGTGTAAGTTTTGCGGCCGTTGTCGGACTGGCCGCGTGGTTAGCTGCCAACGAGAAGAGTGACGGCACGCAGAGTCACGGATCAGGAGCGAAAGAATAGATGACGGCATTGTCGTTGTCCGGCCACCCCATAGACCTGCTCGACGCGCTGGTTCGGAAGCCAACCAGGCGCTTCGTTCGCCACGCGTCTCAGCATGTGCGTTGTAGGTACAGCCAGCCATTGAAGAAATCCTATTCCGCCGTCTTACCCTTGCGGAGGCACGTATCCTTTACCATCAATCAGCCTGCGGAAAAAGTTAGGCTGACGAGGCAGGGTCCAGCGTCTGCAAATGCTCGTAAAGAAAGCGGTGCGAAAATGATCGGCCTCCGGCTAAGATAATCTCAAAGCAAGAAGCAAGCTCAGCGACTTCTCTAAAATATTCCCAGGCATGAGTAGACAGGTCGGAAAACGCTCTTCATGTAAAATATATATTTTTCATGCTGTGTGGCACGGTATACCCTAATATCTATATATCGTCCACAAGCTTAGCAGCTGAGATGCGCGGCAGCTTTGGTTCCAACAGCCCGTACTCAACTCTTTGCTGGGTCTGAACAGCGCTTTCACCCATTCACCTTGATGCCTGAAGATCAAAGCTTGACGCGTCAACTCGGAGTCAAATGATTCCGGGAAACGGTTTCAAATTTTGTTTCATCACTAGCCTGCCCCCTCTTCAGGCTCCTTCACTTACGCCTCATGGCCGCCATCCTAGCAGATGCCTCCAAGTTCGCCTGTGCTTGTTCCATTCATTCAACCCACCTTGTCCGCATACCGACTCCCGTTGCCTACAACCTTCTCCTTTCCAACCTGTTCACAACCATTTCATCCCAGGATCCCTGACCTACACCTCCAGAGGCTCCTTATTTCTCCTGCTGCCGATCAAAGTTTGAAGCCGCTTCAACACACAGGAAGTTTTGTAGATCGATCGAACCGGCCGGTTTACATGCATCCTCGGTAGCCTCGGTATTGTTGTACGGGTACGGCCTCGACGAATTCGGGGAGCAAAGCAGTTGTTGAACGCAGCATGTTCTGATCCATTTCTTATCACACAACACAGGCAGAGCAGGCTGACAAGTCCGCTTGCACAGAGCATGGAACGCCCGCTATGCCCGCTAGACGCCGCTTGTGGGTACGCCACAGTGTTCACCGGTTGAGACGGGGCCTGTGCACCGAGTGGTTGAAAGCTTGCTTGAACCGATGATGGAGTACGGAAGCACGGTTAGAAAGGCATGTCTTTGTGCTGTGGAGTGGACGTGCATCCTATAGGATAAAACGAATCTTTGACCGGCGCAAATATTGATACAGCGAACAATTGTGAGGGCACTCGTGCAACTATGTAACCTTTGATCAACCCTACATATATAGTAGACGTAGACGACCATGACTCCATCCAACGCCTTGCAATGCCGTGTGCGATTTTGAAACAGCGTTCAATAAGGCTCAAACTCGACACAAGACGAAAGGAAATCATCCGCAGCGCCTCTTCTCCTTGCCTGCCACGTCTCTCGAGGTCGCACCCGCCACCATTCTTAGGAAGCAAGCATCCTCGTGCTACCCATCCAGACCCCGTCACATCCCAAGTTCAATATCCCCTCTTCTACTAACCGCCAGCGAATTAAAACGCCAAACCCTCAGGTCAACCCCGTCGCCCCACCCAACGTCCCCTTAACCGTCCCCAGCGTCCCTCCCGTGCGCTTCTGCACGCCATCAAGCTTCTTCTGCACGCCATCAACCCCACTATTCTTCTGCGCCGTGTCCAAGCCACCCTTGATCCCCTTGGCCGCATCACCGACGTGTTTCTGGCCAGGCACACTCGTCCCATTCGTCTGCCTCTTCTCCGGCGTCCCATTCGCCTGCTTCTCCCCTTCATGCCCCGCCACCTGATCCTGCACGCCCCCATGGATCTGGCCCGTCTTAGCCATGTCCCTCGCGGGCCCCATGAGGAAGTCCAGCCGGCCCCCCGTGAGGTTGTTGATCTTGTCGCCGATGGCCTCGCCCTCGGCCGCGGGCTCGGAGTCGCCGTTCAGCCACTTGAGGATGTAGTAGCCGCCGAGCCCCCAGAGGAAGAAGAAGCAGGCGCCCAGCGTGGTGATGAAGACGGTGGGGAGCACGACGAGCAGCGCGGCGCCGACCATGAAGGCCGTGAAGAGGAGCGCGGCCAGCACGCCGACGAGCAGGGCCACGACGAGCGAGAAGACGAAGACGGTCAGCGTGAAGAGGAAGAAGAAGAAGAGGGGGACGCCGGTTAGCGCGATGTTGGAGAGGAGGAAGGCCTGTTGAGGGCATGGGTCAGCGTAGATCCTTTGCAACGTGTGGATAGAGGGTGCAGTGGGGTGAGTGCTGTCTCTGGGTGCGTACGGCGGTTTTGGGATTGCCGACGGCGAAGGATTGGAGCCGTGCGAGGACTTCGGCGCGCTTTTCGGGTGGGAAGAAGGAGTCGAGGATGCCCATGGCACCGTCCCCTAGGCCTCCGAGGAGGCCTTGGACGGTGTTGAGTACGGCGGCCATTGCGGCGGATCGTGGGGCAGGTGTTTTGTTGCAGGTCGTTTAGAATACAGACGGATTCGAGGATATTAGACACAACTAAGCAGGCTTGATTGCATCCAGGTACAACAGCAAGAGGAGAATATATTTGAAGAATCGAGAAAGAAATGAAGAGCACAAAATCAAGGAGAGTTTTCGTCACATGGTGCGGCCCAGAAAGCAAGCTTCCAGGATGTGACAACGGAGATGGAGACACAACCCGCGCACGGCCGACGTCACAGATTCTAGCCACACCGATCCAGACAGCTTGGCGTGGCGATGCGTGAGCTTGCAGCTGTCCGTTAGTGTTTCATTGGTGTTGATTCCAGTTTCTGTGCCATGGCGGGAACTTCTCCGCTTTCCAGCAGCATCAGAGAGAGCCGAAGAGGGCATGAATTTCCTCGGACGGTTCTAGGGGATTCACTTCATCAACAAGGTACAAGGATCGCAAGACAAGGGCTCCATTTTATCAAAACTACTGGAAAACCATATCGCAGCACTCGCACCAAAATATCAAAACGACGGCCGGTATGGGCAGAATGCCTCCCCGTTGCTCTCCCCCACAAGCCTCCAGATATCGACTTGTCCCCATACCATGACCTACCGTAGACGCAAATACCAGGAGCACTCACCACACTTCCAATCGCAAATCCCGTGTTCAAAGGGAAGTGCGAGCCTTCCCAGCTCCTTGGTTGTTATTCGCTCTTCTCGGCCGCCGGCCCAGAGCTAAGGTTGTCGCTGCTAGAAGGGTGAGAGCCCTGCAGATACTGGCCAAAGACTCTGCTCTCCAGATCCAGCGCCGCACCACCCGTCGTCTTCTTCGCCTGGCGACGGAAGTAGATCCTCTTCGCCCACTTCCACGACTCGATGCCCAGGAAGAACAGCACCGTTTCGGCGAAGACGATACCCCACTCCCAGCTAATCCCCGTGTGCTTGAAAACCACATGGTTGATGACCGGAATATACAGCGTCGGGAAAATCGTGACAAACCCCGCGATGATGGCCCAGAACAAGAACTTGTTGCGCCAGACGTCAAACATCCACTGCGTGAAGTACTTCTTGCTCTTCGGCTGCATGCGGAAGAAGGAACGGCGCATGTTGATCATCTCCCAGGCGAGGAAGAGCGCGAACCACGTCAGGCAGGCGAAGCAGGTCGCGCGGGCGCGGAAGACAGTGTCGCAGGCCTCGGAGTAGGCGTCATTGCAGTTCTCGCCCAGGTTGCCGTCGCCGAAACCGTAGAGGACGAGGGTGAAGGAGGCGAGGCAGAGGGCTGCTGTCCAGAGGCCGTAGACGAGCATGTCGAGCATTACTTCGAGGGTGAAGACACCGCGCTTGAGCTGAGAATCTGTCAGTAAATGACCCAGCTTAGTTGCTCTCGTTATGTAACTTACGCTTTGCGGCGGTCGTTGCATGATATCTGGAGCCGCAATCTCAAACCCGAGGCCCATGTCGGGCATGCCAGAGGTGATCATGATGACCCATAGAATCTCGACTGGCGCAAGAGGAAAGACCGATAAACCACGACTATCCTTGAAGGCCAGACCAATGAGCAAAGTACAGGCTTGAGCGATGTTCTCAGCAAGCAGATGCAGAATGAATTTCTGGATGTTGTCGAACATGCGGCGACCCTCTTCAATGGCGTTGAGGATAGAGGCGAAGTTATCGTCGGTTAGAACAATGTCTGAAGCGTCTTTGGCGACATCGGAGCCCGCTTGACCCATGGCGATTCCGACATCTGCGCGCTTGAGCGAGGGTGAGTCGTTGACTCCGTCGCCAGTCTACCTATCGTCAACTTCCGTTTTCTAGGTAGATAGGAGGAATCTAGCTTACCATAGCTGCGAACTTCTTCCTCCGATGCAGTGCCTCAATCATGCGGACCTTGGTATTTGGCGCGCAACGAGCAACCACAAGAGGCAGAAGCGGGAGCTGGTCGATTTCATCATCGGACAGCTTGTCGAACTGGCCAGCAGTCATGACCATAGCAGCTGCCACATCCTTGCTGACCTCATTCATCCGGGACGGAAGGATGCCGACCTCAAGTGCGATGGCGCGAGCCGTGCCGGGGTGGTCGCCAGTCAACATGTGGACTGAGATACCCGCCTGTTGACACTCGCGCACGGATGGTGCAGATTCGGGCCTAGGCGGATCGTAGAGCCCAACTAAGCCTCGGAAGGTGAGGTCATTCTCGATCTCGTTGCGGTCAAATTCCTGCTTCTCACCGATATGCTCCTTGTATGTCCTGCTTGCCAAAGCAAGGACACGGAGACCGAGAGCGGCGAGTGATTCCATGTTTTCGAGAACTTCATTTCTGAAGTCTTCGGTGACCTCGGTAGCTTCGCCTTCTCCAGAATACACCGAGGTGCATGAGCCGATCACGCGTTCTACAGCGCCCTTGGTAAAGACGTGACGTTCTTGCGAAGCCGTCTCCTCGAAGATGACGGACATTTTCTTCACATCGGAGTCGAACGGAAACTCGGCAATCTGCTTCCACTTTGGCTTGTCACCAGCGGTAAGGCGGGTCCTGTTCCAATCAAAGCGGGAGGCGAAAACCTGAATAGCAATTTCGGTAGGATCACCGCGAGCATTCCAGTCTCCATTGTCATTCTTATGGACATGTGCTAGATTAGCTAGTGAAGCTACGTTCAGGTAGTCCTCCAGGAATTTGTTGCCTTCAAGCAGATCTGTGTAGGTCTGCTCGTGGCCTTCCTCGTCGGCTGCTTTGAAATCGATATCCTTTGGGGGTTTCGAATCGAAACTTAAGCTCCCAATTGTAGGGTTGAAGGGCTCATTAGAGCTGCTGACGGAGTAAGTCCCTTTGGCAGGGATCCACGCTTTCTTGGCGACCATCTTGCCCTGCGTGAGTGTGCCGGTTTTGTCTGAGCAAATATCTGGCAAAGTGTTAATGCAGATACCAAAGGCACGAGCTATGCAGACTTACCTGTCACGGCGCCGAGAGCCTCTAAGCTTCTGAGGTTCCTAACAATGACATGCCTCTCAACCATGCGCTTCGTCCCAGCAGCCATAGTGATAGTCAAGACGACAATAAGCGAGGCAGGGATCATACTCAAGCCCGTAGCAACGGCGTAGATGATGACCTCTTGCTCGCTGACAAAGTTATTTGCTGCCAGCACGATGATTGCACAGACCACGGCGATGAAGAAAAGTAAAATTGCGAGCCGCGAAAGCTTCTTCTGCAGCGGAGTGCCGACATTGATACCCAAAAAGCGACCCACCGCGTCTGAAGCGGTGAGCGTCCAGGCTTCGGCATACCGGTGGGGCTTCGCGCTGCCGTCAGCCTTGCGCTTGACGGGTCGGACCTTGGAATCTTTCTTCCTGAGCGCCGCGGCGATGGAGCCGATCTCGGTGTACATGCCGGTAGCGAAAACAATGCCGCGAGCGCGGCCTTTGGTCACCGTGGATGAGCTGTACGCGACGTTGAGGCGATCTCCAGGACCGGTGTCGTCCTCGAAAGTTGAATCAGCTTCTTTGTGCACAGGAAGAGACTCGCCGGTGAGCAGAGCCTCATCGGTTTCGAAGTTAACCGCCTCAATCAAGCTAGGAACGGAATTGTCAGTGAGGTTTCCTATGCTGAGTATTATCATGCTCACCGAATGTCCGCGGGGATGGTGTCCCCAGTTTTACACTCTACCATGTCACCAGGAACAACTTCCACAGTAGAAACACTGAGAGTCTTGCCATCCCGAACGGCGCTGGCAGTAGGCGAGCTCAAAGACCTTAACGAGTCCATGGTTTTCTCGGCCTGGAACTCCTGCATAAAGCCAACAACAATATTGAGGACAATCACGGCAGCAACCACGCCGCCTTCAATCCACGACCGGATGCCAAAACTGACGGCCATGGCCAGGATCAGGACCTAAGGTTGGATTAGCCCTTTCTTCCCTCCCTTACACGTGGAGTGGTAAGCATAACTAGAGTCATAGCGTTGGCAACCTGCCGAACGAGTATCTTGCCCGGGTTGACGCCCTCGGCGTCGCCCAGCTCATTGCGCCCATACTTCTCGAGACGAGTTTTGACTTCGGATTCTGTGAGCCCGTCTTCAGGATTGGCGCTCATTTCTTCGATGACCTGGGTAACAGGCAAAGCATGCGCAGGGCGCGATAGCATTTCATTGTTGGCTTGGCCGGAGACGTGGTTCGCCAGCTCTGCCTGTTCTTTCTTGCCCATCTTGGAACAGCGCTAACCACAGCGGATGGTGAAGAATTGGTGTTGGGGGAGCACGTTTGGATGGTTCGATATCTGAAGGTAGGGACGGAAGGCAATTTGTAGATTTTTTTCAGTACAGATAGTGGGAGCAGGGATGACGGAGGCCAAGTAAGACTGAGGCTCCTAAGATCCACACACGCCGAGAAAACGCCCCTCGTGCATGTGCCAAGATATCTTCTACTGGTACAAATGTCCGTCGATAGCCTTAGCCGTGCTGTCTCGGGCCTACTGCCCCTTGGCGAAGCAGAGAGACACCTTGGGACCTTGAACGGAGTGCTCCGTGGATCTAATGCCAAGGCCTTAGATGCAGAATGCCGAGACCCGGCTACCCCGAATGAAAGCCGTTGCATTTCATGTCGGAAGCTGTCAGCCGCCTATCAGTGACAACCGCCGCTTGTGGAATGGGACCAAGGGCGATCCAAAAAGAACGCGGCGGGTCTTGGCACGCAAACATTGGCGAGACCACCCCGCCGCGTTCTTTTTGAATCGCCTTGGACGGCGCGAGGCTAGAGACGGGCTTTAACTCGGAAAGATCCATGACATGTGCGTCCTACTCGCGGTGGTAGATACACAAAGGGAGCCTAAGGTGTCGTGAATGTGTTGAGGTACGAAATCACGTGGGCATCCCTCCATCGGCTAAAGCTCCCCGTAACGGCTGCCAAACGTCAACCTTCCCCAGACCCCGCGACACACCATGGACAACCCCGCGAGCATCCCCCTCCGGCCAAAAGGCCAACGGCATCCGTTGTGCATACAAGAGGGGGATATGGATATTGCTTGGATCATGGACATGACTTAGAGATAGCCAAATCACCAACGCTCATTCACAAAACTAGCACCATTAGATCGTTGTGTGTTACTGATCACGTCATTACCGATTGACCATTATGCGCGCCGCCAGATACTATGGCAAGGAAGACGTTCGCATAGAGGACATCCCAAAGCCTGAGTGCGGCGAGGGCCAAGTTAGGGTAAACTACCAGCACGCGTCACCCCCTAATTAAGAACTTCTTGTATATTTTCTGTCTCGTGTCAAGTGCACGCTCTACCCATTCAACCCACTAACCTCTTCCAAATCCCCCAGATCGCCCCAGCCTTCGTAGGCATCTGCGGCACCGACCTTCACGAATACCTCGGCGGTCCCACCTTCTGCCCCGTATCCCCCCATCCCGTAACCAAAGAAACCATCCCCGTAACCCTGGGCCACGAGTTCTCGGGCGTGGTCGAAGAGGTCGGCCCCGACATCAACTCCTTCAGCATCGGCCAGCACGTCGTGGTCCAACCCACCATCTCCTGCGGCACCTGCGGCGCCTGCAAAGCCGGCGTCGAAAACACCTGCCACAATGGCGGCTTCGTCGGGCTGAGCGGCGGCGGCGGCGGCCTCAGCGACTCGCTCGTCGTGCCCGCAAGCTATGTGCTGCCGCTGCCCGAGAACGTGCCGCTGGATGTTGGTGCGCTGGTTGAGCCGCTGTCGGTCGCGTGGCATGCGATCTCGGCGGCACCGCTGGATGAGAGTTCTACGGTGCTGGTGCTTGGGGGTGGGCCAATCGGACTCGCGGTTGTGCAGTGTCTTGGGGCGAAGAAGGTCAAAAAGATTATATTGAGCGAGGTCGCTCCGGCGAGGCAACAGTTCGCGAGGGAGTTTGGGGCACATCATGTGTTGGATCCGAGGGAGAATGATTTGGTGGCTATGACGAAGGAATTGAGTGATGAGAATGGGGCGGATGTGGTGTTTGATTGCGCTGGCGTGCCTGCGAGGTAGGTACGCATCGAGCTTGGGAAGCGCCGTTATTTGAGTCGAAAATTTAGAGATAGGGAGCTAACAGGAAGCAGTATAACGACGGCATGCCAATCAGTCAAATCCAGAGGGACGGTAGTAAACGTAGCGATCTGGGAGAAGGCGGTTCCATTCAATCCAAACATGCTCGTGTTCAGAGAAGCGAAGTTTACGGCTGTGTTGGGCTACCAAAGGAAGGACTTTGAAGCGGTGATCGAGGCTCTGGGTTCAGGTATGACCCCTTCCAGTCACACGAGCACACATTGACGCTCTTTGATGAGCTGAGATTGATTGCGGAGTAGGACAGCTACAGCCGTCGCGCATGATCACGCGGAAGATCCGACTTGAGGATCTGGTCGAACAGGGCATCTTGGCTTTGACAACGGCCAAGGACCAGGTGAAGATACTTGTCGATCTCGCGGCGTAGGCTTGAGCGTTCGGGTTGAGCAACCATCTTTATCAGTGACCTGTTGATTAGAACGGAACACCTCAGATTTACGAAGCCTCTGTACTGCCTTGCACCCTGAGCGTCGTTAGAGAAGTGATCTTGCTGACATCTAGAGGTTCTAATATACTCTCATTGCAACGAAGTGCTGGTTTGAGATATTGTTTGACCGTATATTGAATTGGTGGAGAGTTTCGTACTAGCAGATATACTCCCTTGGTAAGATGATGTTGATTGGTGGCTAAGCACTTTCGAGGTTACTTGCATGTGGTTTGTGTCTCAAAGCGAACTCATCATAAACTCCGTACTGTCTATAGTATCCGTTACTCATTACAACCCCTGAGCTACTCTGCTCCGCCAAAATAATGCCGTCACCGCTTGTCAACTCATCCTCGTTCCATCGTTCCCGGCAGGTTTTAGGTGCTTGTCTCTGCCATATTCGTTTGATAGTTCCATCGCATCCTACTCGGCCAGTAATGCTGCGCACTGTGTTCGTAAGCTTCGTGCGGCTACGCTTTACGTAGCATGCGGCTTCTGAGCAGCCTGGTCGGCTTGTGAGCGAAGGTTCGCGGAGGTAGAGCCGCTGCCGGAAAAGTAGCGGGAGAAGACCGGCTGGAGGAACGAGCGGAAGACGATCTGGGCGCCGCTGGAGAAAGGTCAGCTGCTGCTCCTAGGGCTCGGAGTCGGGGCAATTCGTACCCGGTCTGGGGAAGCGCCATCCAGAGCACAAGGATGAACTTGAAGGTGTAGTAGAAGGCTGTCACGTGTCAGTTGGTGCTGGAAAAGTGATGTCAAGACTGCTGCCTTACGGAACCAGTAGACGGCGTTAACCGCGCTCTCGAACACACTACAACCGCATTAACAAGATTGTTGTCGTGTAGCGGGTAACAGCAGAATACTTACGTTAGGAAAGCATAAACAACCCAGTACTGCAGCGAGAAACAGTCAGTCACATGCTGGCAAAGACGCTTGCGCGATCGCAAGGAGAATGCTCGCATACCGTCAACCACTACTCGCATGTTAGTGATCGTTCTGTACATGCACTATCGCATCCCTTGCAGCGGGTCCAAACTCACCTGAGTATCATCGGTCCTGCTTGAACTGAATAAGGCGTCCAGCGAGTAATAGGCCGGAATAAGGAAGCCAGCAGTGTTGACAAGGAACTCTCCACCAATGTTGAAGAAGATCATGAAGAAGTAGAGAGCTCCAAGACCAAGCACGACATAAACCTTCGGGACGGAGGTCTGCTTCTCCAAGTTGTTGAGGGCCGGATACTTCGACAGCTAGACAGACACAAGGCGTTAGTTGTGTGTACAGTTCAGTGAGTGCTTCTTCGCCGCAGTACGACACTCGCTGCCGGTTTCAAGGCTGCGGTCGCAATGGTTTCGACCGCGATAAGAGGCAGACGTACCTCCTTGTCGAGCTGCGAGATTTGGTGCTGGGCGCGGTCTTGGAACGACATGTTGAGGGTTATTTTGGTTTGAAGGAGAACGATTGTTCGCAACTAAGGCCGACTCTGTGGGGTTGGCTGTGGTTGACAGTGCAGTTGGTGTTGTAGGTTGTGGGTTGTGGGAAGCGAAGTGGGCGGGAGAGAGAACGTCATCCGTCTGAGTGGCTTGGTAGGCGATCGATGCCCAGACTGGCAATCGGTGTTGGGCGGCTGGGGGGCACTCCTACACGTAGAATCCACAGCTAACGTTATTGTTGTTGTGTTTACTGAAGTCGCAGTCCTAATGCTTTGAGAGCTTCTTTCTTGTCACGACGCCAGAGTCACTCGGTGCAGCCGCAGCCATTCACCGCGCATGCCTCTGCTGCACGTGAGAAGTGAGCAGCAATTTTACCTTCGCAACCGCCGAAGCTCGGTAAACAAACATCAGCTCCCACCACCACCAGCACAACCACGACGCTGCAATAATCCACCGCGGGAGCAGGCACGCCTTTGATGAGAGTGTGCAGGCGCAGCTATCAGGACTACGTACCTAGGTATTCTTACCGGCCGTGGTTGCCACGCCCCGGTCAACCTCTACCATAGGACCGCCTATCGCCAAACCCAAGATCTGAGATAGAGTTTGCCGCTCCAAAGCACAACTGTGCTTGCCGGATCCTCGTTCTTTGTTGCGCTCTCCTCGAACCCAGGCTCCAGCAGCTTTGAGCTCCTTTCATCGAGACCAGTCTGAGACTGCCCAATATGGCGAATCCTGGGCGGCGGTCGCGTTCGACCACTTCGGCTTCTACTAGGAGCATACCAAGACCCCAGTCTCGAGCATCGACAGCAAGCATGCATTCGACGAATGCGCAAAATACCCCACCAGAGACGCACCTGCAGTTTCCGCCGCATCCGCAACCACACGCTCAAGACCAGCCTGTCAATCTCGCTTCGACATATTCGATGCATGTTTTGTTAGAATCTGCGCAACACGTTAGCAACGCCGAGGGTGCAATGTCTGAACACGGCACACGCAGCCATGGGCAACTGTACGGAGAACAGATGCCTTCGCAAACCACGCAGAATGGGCAATATGCAAGTGCATACGGGCACTTGCCGCCCACAGATCTTGGAAACTCCCTACAGGACGCATCAGCTTACACGGCAAGTGGCGCTGAGATGGATCCTAAGAGGAGGAAGCCGGCCACCACGACGGCGCAGGCCGATATTGAGCTTAGGGAGCTGTTGACTAGGAATACTGGGCGCTCATTACGAGACGTCGCGGCGGAGGTCATAAGTGCGGAACGAACATCTAGAGCGGAGAAGGCGAAACAGCTCTTTGGAATGCTATGGTAAGGATTAAAAACCGAATAATCTCTCTAGCGCTCTCGCTCATGCAGTGGCTGACCGCTCAACTACATCAGGTTGCAATCGGTGTGCCGAGACGCAAAGACATCTGTACCCCGAAGCCGTGTGTACACTCGTTATGCCAACAGATGCGCCACAGAGAGGGTGATACCTCTGAATGCCGCCTCATTTGGGAAGCTAGTGCGGGTCATTTTTCCAGGCCTTCAGACACGTCGCTTGGGAGTGCGAGGAGAGTCAAAGTATCATTATGTGGATCTGGCAATAATCGATGACCAGCAAGAATACCAAGTTACGGAGGGTATGGTCGCCGCTCAGAACTACAACCAGGAGGCGACGCGGCGCCATTCAACGGCAACCCAGCTGGATTTTAAGTATGTGCCTCCCATTCTCACAAATATCGCCAGGAGCTAATTAATGTTCACTTCAGTTCGATACCGCAACTACCAGCAGATACCGCAGTTTTTCCATCCCAGGACCAACACTTCGACTCGCCAACCCTCTCACCACTGGAAGGCTCATCATCGTCTCAAGGCCGCTTGTTTACAGACCCATACACGCCCTCGTTTTCCCACGGTGCTCAGTCATCGGAAATGTACAAGCAGACGCTCAAATTCGCACCACCCGAGCACGATTCGTTTCAAGATAGCGATTCCATAGAGCTACCCAACATCTTCAACTACGTTCCGCCTAGGACCGACGTGGACGCGGCAAATGCGCTTTCGGCGTTGTATCGCACACACTGTACATCTCTTGTGGACTGCGTTAGATTTTGCAAAGAGAAGCAATTCTTCCGCCTGTTCACCTCATTCTACGGGACATTGACCGTACCACCTAGGAAGCTGTTCGTACATCCGGATCTGGCGCCGTGGATAAAGGAATGCGACTGGCTTATGTATCAGAAGATGATACGGTTCGTCTCGCAGCTTACGCTTCAAGTGGCGCCGCCAGTCGTACTACAATTCCTCGGCACCATCTCAAAGAGGCTGCATGGATACATCAGTCAGGTCTTCCATGGGCATCCACGTCACGTTCTCGAGGCGAAGCTTGAGCCGGCCACGCTATTTGCAGGCCTGTTACATCGGATGCTGAGGGTGAACTCGACGGCCCACGCAGCCGCGGCGCTACTCATGACCGATCAAAATCGCGATCTTATGTGGCATGACTGGGTCACGTTGGTCAACCCGAAGCGTATCATGGAAAGCGAACTGCCGGACTGTGGATACGAGGAAACGTACAAGATCTTGACACAGGATGTGCGGAGCATTCTTCAACCGTTGAACACCCCCGCTTGGCTGGAGCAAAACACTCACTATCAGGAGGCTGCCGCCATAGCCAACGCGAATGATATAAATATGCACTTCAATAGCGATACCGTCATCGACCGCATAGCCGGCTTCCTCTCGCGGTTACCAAGTCGCTTTCCCGGAGCCAGCACACGAACATTGCTCCATTGCATAAGCGCCATCGGCACGGCTGCGATCCGAGAGATCACCGTGGAAAACGGCAACAGCTTCAATCTCTGGTGGATCACGAAGGTCTTCGTGGATGAAATGAGCCTTTGGCTAGCATCACTAGGTGGCTTCCTGGATCATCAACCTGGAGATCCACGCCAATCACCCTTCCACGGGGTGCAGGAGGGTCTACCCACAGGCGGAAACGGAAGTCAGAACAATAGTCGCTACAGCAGCGTTGGCCCGGACTTTAGCAACAACCTCAGCTTCGCAACGAACAACGAGCAAGCCATGCAAACCACAGGGCGCTCGGACATTGAGAGTAAGTCGACGCGCCAGAACCTGTGACCCGGCTATAGATGGTTGACTGACTCAAAGTGTCGCAGTGAACTCTCAGAGACTGCAACACCCTCTCGCGCAATCCACGCTTCCGGACAGCTTCGACATGGACCTTCGTATCAACACGACCCACGCCAAGCATACTCAGGAGCAAGAGCACGACGACAGCGGCATCGGTATGAGTCTGATGGAGGACTCGATCGAGATGCCCAAATTCAGCATGTCTGACCCTGCGACTAACTTTGACTTCAGAGCAGGCCACTTGCCGATGGAGTAGAGAAGAGTCGGAGGATGAAGCACGACGTGTACGCTTGATGACCGTCTTTGATGACACGATCTTTTGGGAGGGACTGGAGATTGCTTGTTTCATACATCTAATGTTGTATATTGGGAGGCGCCTAGGGCGCATCTAGGCTGCTTCTACAGCCGTCGGTGAAGCTATAGTGTCTGGATGCCTGGGTTCCTTGGATGGCTGTCTGGATACTGGCGTTTTGCATTTCCTTTTGTTTTGGATGGCTGGCATTCTGGGGGTTTGCCGGACCGCGTTGAAAACTTGGGAGTGTTTCTAGTGGAGTTGGGAACTCATCTGACACGGCTTTTCGGTGTGTAGCATCAGGTCGAACAGCATCAGACCCATATCCATTTTATATCCCTCTATTCCGCTATGTTGCACGTGACATCGCGTTTGCAGAACCGCTTGGCGACAGCGGCGCATCAACGTTTTGCTGAACACTAACGCTCACTGCCACCAAAACCTGTATATATCGACACTCCTTTCCTCTCTTTCGTCCCCGCTTGTAACTACAATACTCCTCTTCCGTACCGCGCCAACACTTCAGCCAAAGCGCACCTCATCTTCCCCCCATGCCCCCCGGACCACCAATCCCCCTCTTCATCGCCTCTCTCGGCAACCCGGGCCCTCTCTACAGCCGCACCCTCCACAGCGCCGGCCACGTCCTGCTCCAAGAACTCCGCGTCGTCCTCAGCTTCCCCGCCTTCGAAGCCTCCAAACCGCTCGGCAAAGGTCTCGTCTCGCAGAACCTCGCCAACCCAGACAACCCGTGGTGCCTATGGCAATCGCCCTCGCTGATGAACACGAGCGGCGTGGCTTTGGCCGCGGCATGGCGGCACTGGCAGCTCCAGCGGGAGCGAGAAGGTAGAGCCGGGGTGCTGGTCGTGCTGCACGACGAGCTTGAGAAGGGGGTTGGGGAGGTCAAAGTCAGGACCGGGGGCAGCGCGAGGGGGCACAATGGGCTCAAAAGCATCCAGGCCAAGATGCCGCAGACGCCGTTTGTACGCGTGGGAATCGGCATTGGGAGACCGGAGAGTAGGGAGCCGAGTGATGTCGCGAGGTATGTCCTCAGGAAGATGACGGATAGGGAGGAGGCGGCCATTGGGGACGTTGTGGGGGTGGTTATTGGGACGTTGAGGGAGGTGCAGGAGGGGAGGATTAGGCCTGATGCTGTGGGAAAGAGGGGTGGGTGAGCTCGAGAAGGAGAAGAGGAGGAGTGGCAATGGGTAGCTCATTGGCGCGCGTTGTCTCAGTGTAGACCCGATCTTAGCTGCGACACAAGGAACCTCGTGCGGTGCTTCTAGAGGAGCAGGTACTATCACGGGCCAGAGAAGATGAGCTGGGCTCGCGAAAGGCTACCCGACATCGACAACTGTTCGCCTATTTCGGCCGGTCTACCGTCCAGTATAGATCAGGTGTCTCCAGCCTACGGCTTGTTTTCCCAACAGAAGACTGAAATCGCGGAGCTATGGCCAAGGAACCTCGACAACTCGTCATCAAGAGGCTCGAAGATGTGACAGCGTCGAAGGTTGCCGCTACCTTGATAACTGTCAATCGATGGGGTTTCTGACGGCTGAGGGCCTGCATGAACACCCACTTCAGGGCGTGGCAGAAGGAGGATATAATTGCTGTAAGGCCACACGCGGCTTGCAGCCGCGAGCGGGTCTCGAGGTCCGTCAGTTCAGGGGTATCGTCCAGGATGTTTCTGTGCTACGCGAAGGGGTTGTTTTGCAGAAGCTCGTGCAGATGTGCAAATAGGTACCAGCAACTAAGTCAGATTACCGGCCGCGTGTTCCAACAACAAAGCAGAAGCTTCGTGTCCCTTGGTTTCTAACGCTGTGGATTCACTCAACTTCGGCATAGGGAGAGCGAAACAGTTTCAAGCTACTGAATGATAGCTCTCGTTTTGGCTGGCATTATCATCGTCCCAATCAGCACTCAAGCGCTGTCCAGCAGCCACGTGATCAGTTCCGTAAACCCACAAAGCCAGAACAGACACCTCTACGCCCCTCCCCTTTTCCAGTCACCAATCTCAAGTCCCTCGTGCCTTTCCCAGTTCATCCATGCACTCCATTAACCCAGCTACCCCATAACCAATGAAAACCCAACCATTGCCAATCCCACCCCCAAAGAAACAACGCCTGAATCCGCCCCCCGACCTCAATCATAAGCCCCCTCAGCACTACTAAGCGCACTTCTCTTAACCGGCGGCGGCGGTGGCTTCTTGGCCCTACTCGGTGGAGGAGGCGGTGGAGCCTTCTTCGCCGACCCGACTGAAGCCGGCGTCTCGGACGTAGACCAACTCGCATTCCTCGACATCCCGCTGCCATATGATGTCGCCGGGCTGATCGACCTCGCGCGCCCGTACGACCGCTCCGTCGGGCTGCTGCTGTCCGGCAGCGCGGAGTCGTCGGAGGGGTCGTCGAAGACGGTGGCGGGGTTGGGGTTGCCGCGGCTGCGGACGGGGCGCAGCTGGGAGCGGTTGGCGAGGAGGATGGAGGGCTCGGTTGGGACGCGCGACATGCGCGGCATTGGGGGTGGAGAGATGTCGCGGCGCCGAGTCGGGGAGGGGGCGTCGTGTGTTATGGAGCGGTTCATCTTGGGGCGGAGAGCGGGGGCTGGGGGCTCGGAGTCGAAGTAGTCGGTGCGTTGGGTTGTGCTGCGGGATGGGAGACGGGGGATCGTCGACTTGGGGACGGATTCGTGGTCGTTTTCGACGCTGGTGAAGCGGTCGCTGTAGGTCGTGTTGGAGCGAGAGCGGGGAGCTCGGCGGGCATCGCGAGAGTCTGCTCCATTGGCACTTCTGCTATGCGTTAGTAACTGCTGGTGTGACTGAGAATGATTGTCGCTGCCTCAATACTCACTTCGCTGGCCAGTCTCGCTTCAGCTGCACGAGGACATCCCTGCACTTATCGTAGTAGGCCAGCTCCGCGTCCACGAAAGCCGTCAAGTCTGTCACGCTCTCCACCTCTGCCTCCTTGATGTCCTGCATCCGACGGAACACGTCCTCGCTAGACTCCTCGTATTTGGCCTTCTGGGAACGCAGTTCTTCTTCCATCCGGAAATCCTCCTTCTTCGACTTCTGCATCTTGGCCAGGGAGGCATCGTACGCAAGGCGGCGTTGCTCGAGCTTCTTGCGGGAGGTCTGTCATGTTATCAGCTACTGTCAAGGAAGCTCTCTATAGAGGTCGCACCTGGTATTCCTTCATCTGAGCCAACGACCGCTCCAGCGACTCAAGCCAGCTTGAGGTAGCGTTGGCTACGTACGATTCCTGCATGCGGCCGATCTTCTCGTTCGCTCGGCCCATCGCGGACAGACACATGCCAAACTCTGAATCCGGCTCAAAGTCTTCGCCGTGGCTGATCATGGTCGAGCCCAGGTAGGCGACTGGCAAGGTCTTCTCGCGGTCTTCGACTTCGCTGCGCTTGGAGAGGGACTTGATGTACATGTTCATGGACTTGTGTAGTTTTTCCATGCCTGGGTCTTGTCAGTACGATGCACAGGAGGACCATGGCCGTCTGTGAGAGAGGTATACGTACCGTCGTGCCTCAAGGTCATCTCCGTCTCCAGCATCTTGAAGTCTTCCGACGTGTTCGTCTTGACCTCTCCGCCCATGCGCTCTCCCGCCCATTGCTTGAACCGGTCGAGCTTCTTGTTGACGTTCATCTTGGCTGTAATGTAGCGACTGAGAGCTTTTTGGTGCTTTGGGAAACGAGCTGTGTGGTCACTTGGGTTTGTGTAGAGGGCAGGCGGGGCCTGTGTGAATGCAAGGAATGAGTTGAATAAGAAATTGGAAGTCTGGAGACGATTGCGCAATGGTCAAACGAGAGAGAACTCCTTCGCCGTCTTGCAAGCAGACAGGTAGAAAAAGTCAGGCAGAGTTGTGCTGGTTATTGCTGGAGGGCAATGGGGCAATGGGGCAATGGTATTATTATTCCTGCTGGACAATCAATAGGGACAGGGCAGTCCGTAGCGCCGTTGAGGTGCCACTCGCGTCGCAGCTGCCGAATCTGGGGAAGGCGCGATTGGACAAAGCCACCAGAAAGCCATGCAGGACATCCCGGTGCTTGCCGAGCATGTGTTTCAAGAGCGCCCGGGCCTGTTTCACACCCAAAATAAAAGTGCGTTCGACCATTGATCGCCTTACAGCTGAGGTAGGTTGCATTTAGTACAAGGCTGTTCTTACAGCAAGACTTGTTGTCCGCTTGGATGCTTAGTCCTCCTAGGAGTCTGCAGTGTAGGTACCTTTCAACCTCATCAAGGGCCTCGGTGTTTGCAAAGACGTTGGGTAGATAGTAGAGCTACATTCGAGGTCTAGGGTCAGAAACCGTCTGCGAGACAGAAGTGAAGCCCTAACCGATGCCCTAAATCTGGGGATCCCCGTTCTTGCATTAGGGGGAAGCCCGCGAGCATTCGCATATTGTCGATCCAGTAGCGATGAGGGCAACAGCCCAGTGCACACAGCGGAGTGAGACACCGCACCACTCCTCTAGTATTCGACTCTCAGATACACTGTTCTCCCGTCCAAATCCTAATGTACAAACGATACAGCGAAGAAAACATCAACATGGAAGCGCTGGCCGACCAAAAAAACTCCCAGCATCGCGTACGATGCATATGCATGACCGACTCCGGTATGCTTTCTGCCAGACGTGGTCCCCAAATGCGGCCTGTCAGAGCTAGAACTGAAATGACATACAAGAAGGTGTTGATAGAAGATGGTTTGCGCAACGTAACTAATGCCTGCCGCTTTTCATCTCGTGAGATCGAAACTTCATTTCGTGTGTCAGGTATGTTATCTGGCGAACACTTTGACCACACCGTCGCCGCCGGCGGACACAACTAGTCGGCCATCTTGTGACCAGACGACGCTGCATACGCCTTCGCCGCGCATGGGTCGGTGGCTCGTGAGTTCTTGTGTGCAGATTCTCTTCTCGAGAGACCAGAAGCGGATCGAGGCATCGTGGCCGGCAGAGACGGCTTCCCGGCCGTCCTTGCTAAGTGACAGGGATGAGATGGCGGATGGGTGGGCGCGCATGCTGTATGTGCATTGACCTGCGAGATTTCTCATCAGTTATAGCTCGGATTGTAGGTGAGCGATGATACATACCACTATTGGCATCAAAGAACCGAATGAATTGATCCTCATGCCCAGTGATCACGACGCCCTCCACTCCGCCTCTATCACTTGAGCCCGTTGCGCCGTGCATGCCACTGTCTTCTTCAGACATCCCTCGACCAGAGTCTGCGCTCATGCCACCTTCAGGACCAACCGAAGTCGCAACGACGGAGTTGATGCTCGTATCGGGGGTACCGTCATATGTCTCGCCACTTGCCATACCAATGACCTCCTCGCCGGTTCGAGTATCAAAGATGAGTACGGAAGAATCCGTGAACGAGACCACAAAAGTCTCACCAGTGAGCGATAGCGGGCTGATGCACGTAGGGGAAGGAATGCCTGCACGCTCGATGGAATGGATCAAACTAGAGTGGAACGGAGTAGCCGTGGCCACATTTGGCTGAGGCGAGGAAGGATAGTTCGAGCCGGAGGTTACTGAATGCCTTCGGCTCCCACCGACGCCACGCCTCGAGCCTGTTTGCGGTGCCGCGAGCTGCGGAGGCGCGCTGACAGCCCACAGCTTGATAGTGCCGTCGGCAGAGCCAGATGCGAGTAACACCCGATCCGGTCCACCAAAGTTGTTCGAATCCTGCCCGAAGACAGAGGCGCTTGTTGCGGGTAGCACGCAGACGGTCCATACGGCATCCTTGTGTCCCTCTAATGTGGCTTTCGGATCCACTCTTCCTCGCTCCCACACCCGGACTGTTGCATCCTGGCCGCCAGAAAATATCCAGCCGTCACCCGTTACTCGACCACCAGTCGAGAATGATGCAGAGGAGGGACAAGCAGCCAACGAAGTGACGACCCCATCATGGCCTCTGTGTGAGAAGTAACTCTGAATGTCAAGATCAGGCCCGGTACCATGCTGGCCAAAGTTGCCGTAACTCGCCGGGATAATCCATCGCTTGATCATGCCGTCGTCCCCAGCGGTGCAGATCTCGGGTTCTGAGGGGCTGCCTCCTCCGGTAAAGATGACTGATCTGACAACATCCAGGTGTCCTCGGAGCGCAAAGCGCACCTTGAAGGCCTGTGCATCAGCCTTGGCAGCCTGCGCCGCCGTATCGCGCGCTTCGTGGTCCTGGCTTCGTCGCCGCGACATCGAGCTCGAGCCTGAACTTCTTCGTCGCCCATGTGACTGGGGGCCGGGGCGTGGCGGAGACTTCGCTGGTATGCTGTTCGCACTGGGGAACATGTCGGTGTCTGGCCGCCGTGGTGGGGGTACATCGGGTGGTGGTTCAGGTAGCGTCGTGCCCTCATCGAAGTTCCAGCCATCGGGATCCTCGGAAACAACATTTCGAATTGACAGAGCTTCATCCTCTCTTGCTGGCACAGGTCTGCCGTACGCGTCATAGCTGTGCGTCACTTTCTCCACTTGTTCCTCAGCTATTGATTGAAATCCGGGTGTGCCTTGTGGTTGTTGTGTTTGGCTGGATGGATCTGCCGACGGTAACGCGGAGGGTTGCGAAGAGAATTGCTGACCGACGGAGTCTCTGGTCATGGAGGATGCTTGAGGGGGCTGATATGACGCGTTCATCGAGTTCATGGGTTCGGCTGTTAGGGGCACGGGCGGAGGCTGGTGGTTCGGCAATGCTGATTGATGCGACATGCCCGCTCCAGCCTGCTGCTGCTGAACCTTCTGACGCTGTTGTAGATAGGTATCCTCCATTGTTAGCGGCGCTTCGGACTGGCTCAGAAAGCCGGTTGAGTTCGTCTGCGCTTGAGCGTTCGTTTGTGGTGGAGGAAGGTGAGACGGTGGAGTAAGGAGATAAGTAATCTCTTCGACACATTTGATAAGGTATATTCGGGATTTGTCTTGCATGGCCTCTTTCTCCGCCTCCGGTCGATCTCCAGTATCAAGAAAGGAATTGTGGATTTGCAGAGCTGCGAATATAGAGCAGTCAGGTCAGCGCCGGGCCAGTATAATGCCACAAGTCCTATGCCTAGCAGTGTACATACCGCTTGTCAACTCCGGCCTCATCAAGCCCTTGCCCTTCGGCCCTTGCTTGGACTCGTCCTCTGCCGGAGGCTTCTCGCTACCAGCTAAGGCCTTGTTCTTTGCGCGTTCATCCCTCAACGCCTTCTCGAGCATCCGAACGTTCTTCCCCAGTATGTCGTTGAGCTTCTTCGCTGATCGGGAATCACCTTCCAGCTTGGAAATCTTTTGTTTCATCTCAGCGCGCTCAATGTCCCAAGCATTTCTTGCTCGCTCGTGGTTGTGCCATTCCATCTGCAGAAAGCGCATAACCCCTACGATCCAATGGTCAGCGATGGTTCTGAGAAAGTTGCTCTTCCACGACTGGTTTTCGTCTCCGCGAAGCTCCATGGCTCACCTTGCAGCGTATACTCCGTCCCAACTGGACCACTGCTCTCCGTTGCCCCTCCACTGCCCATGGCAGATGGCGACTGCCAGGCCATCAATGGCACCTTGTTATACGCAGGTCTTCGTTGTAGGTCGGCAGTGACATGCGGCGTGCGCTATGAAGCGGCTATGCAGAAGCTGGGGAGGAGAGGATGCAGGGAAGCTCTAGGGGCGGCGCGGCGGCGCAGTATCCTGCGCGGTAGCGGATCGGTCGGAGCGTAAGGTTGAAGCTGTCTCTATGATCAGGCCATCATATCAATCAGCCCTTAGATCGAAGGTGTTAAACAGTGGGCACACAGCCGCCCGCAAGCGCTTTACTGCTGTTTGAGGGTCCCTCGAGCCGTTGCGGCTAAAGGGGCACGTGACTTCTTCTGACGGCTGCTGAACCGGCCCCGGAAAATACTGACAGCCGAGCTTGAACCCACAACCACATCATCCAACCGTGGCAGCTGAGATGGAGAGTGGTGTCCGTTAAGTCATTCATTCTAGCCCGAAATAAGTCCCGAAAGCCGCCCAAAGGCCTTGTCTATAGCGCCGATCTCATCTACGCCCAATTGACCATAAACTACAGCGCCGGGATCTTACATTGGGAAGCCTGGGCGCTGGGGGGAACACGCTGGTGCCATGTAGAAAGTTTACTTTGATTGCATATTGTGCAGCGATATCAATCCAAGATGGACTTGATGTCCCTTCATAAGCCACAGTGCTTTGTTACAAGGCTTTGTTCGTTTGTTTTGAAGTATCTCCCTTTCTAGCGCCGTGCTATGTCTAGGGAGCCTGGTATACTTTGTCACCCGGCTTGATGATTATATCAGAAGCCCGTCAGTGTTGCGTGTACTTTATCGAAGTCTGCGTTTACGCTACTCCTTTCCGTACATGCATTGCTTCCTCAATCGGCTTCACTTGCAACAACTATGCGTCTAATGCCAACTTGCTATACGTTGTCCCACTTGAATACTCAGTCCTTCATCTTGATCTTGGAACTGCGGATCTAGCATCAATAGCTTTGTCAAAGCTTAAACATGGGGTTTTGCAACAAGCAGAACCGAAAGCGCAACATGGGAACTGCATTTCAGTATCCCATCCAACACTGAAAGAAGAAAAAGAATCAGAACCAGCATGAAACATCTCAACCACGCCTACCCATGCAACAGAGTATCTTGAAGTTGGACGTACACCCCAAACGTGTATGGTAATTTACTCCGCAGTGCTTGGGTACAGAGGCTCCCATTCGCTCCAGGGTTTCGAGTTGCAAAAGGTGTCCTCCCTGAAGTAACGCAAGGGCTCAACGTTGTGTCCACGCAGTGTCGGCCTAGTTGGGGCTGGATCTCCTGGCATGTTTTAAGAGGTACGGCGCATGTCCCATCCATCCTGAACATAGGTATCATCCACTGACGAAACACCAAACAGGAGTGCACTCTCTCCTTGAAATATGTAAAAACGAACTTTACAAGAACCGGCCGTCCGACGCAGTTCACATGCGTGGGCCAAGGGGTGCTCCGTCGTCCCACTCAAGTATCCTTCTCAGTCGTGATTCTTGCGGCCACCTCCGTACTTCATGATATCCAGGAACTCTCCAGGGCGCGGGGTTGTCGGTCGCCCTGGCTTGGCTGGGATAGTTGTAGTTGCGGGCTCGATCAACCGGTACAGTGTCCGCCCTGCGTAGCTCGGGCATGTGTTGCTTCTCTACACTCCCAGCGGTACGCTGTTCGCCATTTCGGCCTTGGCTCGCAGTGATGCCAGGCGTCCGCAGTCGCTCTCGCACCTTTGGATCGCTCCGGCCTACCACATCCCATCGAAGCCATTGATTACGCTTGTCAGGATATATGGCGTCTTGTCGCTGAGACAATGGATCAGCCAAGTGCCGACGGTAGCAATACCTTGCGTGCCAGGACATACCAGAGATGTTCTCAGCCGTGGCTCGCGGGCCCTAGTATCCTTATCAGGGTACGCCTTGCTCAAAACTCGATGCGGGGCGCCAGTCTGCCAACACGTCCAGTCAGCAGTGTTCCATGAGACTGGGAAGAGGAGGATACCTTCTCAGACACAGGCATTTGGCCTCTAGCATGGCTCGTGGCAGCACATCCGTATTCCCATGAAGGTCCGTGTTGGAATCTAGTCTGCGACTCTGTCAGCCACCTCATCCGGGTTCGAACAAGATGCGCAATACCTGGTTGGTTGTGTTACATCCACTATGGTGCCCCTCGAAGGATGAGTAGCCGTTGTCGTAGTCTGAGGAAGACTGTAGTCAATCAGTCACAATACTTCCTCAGCTGCTCTGTCACTTATGCTTACCCTGGCTACACTCAACAACTGATCGCATACGACGTCACCCTCAGCATAGACCTTCGCGGAGTCCGCATAGGAGGAGACCTGAGCGCCACGTACACCATGACCTTGAGGCTTTCCGTTAGACCACTTCGATTTAAATATACCAGTTGGGCACCAATTGTTGGAGCTGGGACGCTCTACGATGATGATTTCTCGCACGACCGAGTTTCTGCTACGATGTCTCCGGATGACCTCCTCGGCTGCTGCTGTCGCATACGATTGCACGTGAGCTCGCTCGACGTCATGACGCTCATCTGCCTGGATAGCCGCAACCTTCTGGGCTTCCCACTCGGACGACCATTTGGAGTGACTGAGGGCATCATTCAGATCTGCCGTCGCGAAGCCCTCTGCATCGACGGTTTTGGAAACGGTCCGTGGCATCGAATGTCGTACGATCGGTGGACCCGCTTCTATAATTGGATGGCCATTCCCCGGCTGTACAGCGTGGTCGTATGCCGGTGGCGCTTCCCACCAAGCCGCCGCTGCCGGAACAGTCTGTTTTCCAGTATCATGCTGTCGACTCCAGACCCCATTCCCTCGGATCCGCCTGGGGGCGCCGATGCTGGTACGCCTGCTGGGATCAGCGACATAGATATCGGAAACAGCTGGGCGGGCCTTACCCAGCGGCAAAGCTTAGCAACTTCGGGTTCATTGATCCAACGTAGTCCATCGTACACTCTCACACCAGAAGTATAGTTCAAGGTAGGTCTGGACAAGATGGTTATGCCACCATGCTTGTGGCACTTCCTTAGCACGATATCGATCAGATGAAACACTGGTAGATGATTTCGGGCTAGGAATCTTATGTCCCGATCCGAGCATTACAGAAGTGAACTCGGACGCGAAGTACTGGAGCAACCCAATGAGCTTGCGGATCGACTCGGGCAGACATCATTGTGCAGGCGTTGTCCTGCCACCTTCCGTTGTCATTCACGGCCACGGCGTCCCGACTAATAGTTGCCGCGGTACAATGGTCCTTTGTGCAGAAGTCACTTTCTTCACTGGCCATCTTCAAAGACAGCTGCAGGCAGCCGCGAACTGGGGTCCGAGCCTGAACAGGTGAGTCCAGCCCCTAATATCCGCGCAGCATTCAAGGCTGTAAGGCATTCGTTCTCTTGGGAGTCTATTGCGGATTCGCTCCTCAGCCCCGTGAATAGTATCTGCCGATTCAGAAACTCCTGTCCGTCGCTGCTCCAGCCAGCATATCGACTTCCAGGCACCTATGCATTTCGCATGCTTTCGACAGACAGAAGCTGCTTCTTAAGTTGGTAATCGCGCTCGATGGCATACACAATAGCCATTCCGTCGCCTGGCATGATACTGCCAGTGCTGTAGAGCCCCAGCCGGATTGACAAGTGGCTGTGCAGTGCGGTGCCAGTGCAATGTCGATGCACAACCGGACGACAACATGCGGGCGTCAGTTCTGACTGAGGGAATGTCCATTTCGCCGCTAAACTTGCGGCGGTCTCCGTTCTGCCCTTGAGTGACAGTGCGCAAATTCTTCAAGCGATGCTTTTTTCGAGTCCGCATCATCCGGCTCTTGTATGTTTCTTGTCCGAAACAATGTCACGAAGGCATTATTCATCTTGGATACTCGTTTTCGCTGCAGACGTACTCACACGGTATGTTGAATTTACCTGTCTTAGCTTGAACAGATAAAGCATATGACAGATATGGATCTGCTTATATGTATGTCGTATAGGTTGATTGACAACTGCCAAGTACCTTCCCCTGTTCTGTAAATGCTCTTGCCTAACTTCCTCTCCGATGTAACATGATTCAAGAGGAAGGATATCAGCGAGTAGCGGTGTGGGCGATAATTCCTACATCAGGCGGTGTTACGGAGAAGACATGATCGGAGTTCTAGACCCATATGATGCATCGCAGGATAGCTCTGTCATGCGGTGTTGTTCACGGTGGCTAATGTCAAGGCAGCTCTGTCGGGGCTTACGGTCGGCAGCCCTGGACCGATTCACATTCATGACAGGCAGACGCCAGGTGAGCATTGAGTATAGCATGAGAAGTATGCAAATTGTATTTATGGATTCTATACCACTGGATAGGCACCTACGAGACGGGCAACACATACCCAAGCCCATATCCCCTCCTTTGCGGCAGCTTAGTCTAGCCAGCCGAGTTCATACTCCGGTCTAGCCCCTTGAAAAAGCAACAACGCCATCCCATGCATCCGTCGTCACTCATCGCCAGATCCGCAGGCCTCCCAGATAAAATCAAAGACCGGTGTCAAATCACGTGCCCCTCCCCCGCCTACTTCCCTCCACATAACCAACGGCCCATCTACTTGTCCCCCTTCTTCTTCCTCAACGTCTGCCCCTGTCCCGCAAACCTCGTCCCCTCCTTATCCTCCTCCTCCTCCTCCTCCTGCCCCTTCTTCTTCACAGGAACAACCTCATATCCCAGAAACAGCTTCCCCGGCGGCAAGCGCAGCGGCTGCGGGCCATTCGTCCTCCTCACCACCGTCGGCGGGGTATTAGAACTCGCGCCCTGCACCGGCGTCGACGGGTTCGGCGTCGGCGCCTTTGAGCCCCCGCGCCGGCTCGACAGCTTGTGGCCCGCGGACCCGAAGTTCGAGGATACGGCTTTGGCGCCCTGGGCTGCGGTCGTTGAGGAGGGGGCGATCGCTGCGTAGTTTATCGCGGCGGCCATTGTGCCGTGGGGGTGTAGGGGGCCGCCTTTACCGGCTAGGGTATTGGCGGTGGAGGTGCCGCTGCGGGGTGTGGATGTCCCCGACGCAGGGGCGCGCTTGGGCTCTTCGTAGCCGACGGGCGGGGCGAAGTCGACGCTGAGGTCGGTTTCGAGCGTGCAGATTGCCTTTTTGGGGTTCTCGGGCCGCGTTTCGAGCACTGCGATGCTGTAGACGGAGTCGTTGTAGCTGAAGGTGAAGATGTCGCCGGTGGTGAGGCAGGAGAAGTTGCGGAAGGCGGTTTCGAGGACGGCTTTGGGGTCGGAGATGTCGAGGAAGGAGGGGGATTGCGGTTGCAGTTTTATGTAGGTGCCCGGTGGGAGGTCGGTGGATTTTATTTGGATGAGGTCGCCGGGGGAGAGGAGGAGGGTTTCCATGAGCTGGTAAAGATGTGTTTGTCAGTTGTGTTGTCATGGCATCATGTGTGCCCAGAGTGTCCCGCTGTGGGGAGGAGACGTGACGCACCCAGTAAGGCAGATACACCTTCCCCTCCTCCGCAATAAACTCCAGCACCCCCGCATGCGTCACCTTCTCCTTCGCGCCGTTGATCAGCTCAAACAGCATCGGATACGTGATATGCATCCTCGTGAGCTTGTCCAGCGCGCTAGGCGGCAGGAAGATCTTGCCCCCATGGTTTGCGCTCTCCCGCTCCGGGCCCGGCATCATGGCGACGGGGTAGCAGCGGAAGTACTCGTCGAAGCGGCGGGGCGCCATGCCGCCGGCGCGCCGCTGGGCCAGGGCGTACTGGTACATGGACATAGGGTCGCTCGGGTCGTAGTAGCCTGGGTAAGACTGTAGGGGTGTTAGAGGCGTGGACGGGCTTGGAATAGATTTTGGGGTGGATGACTGACCATGCTGGGCGGTTCCAAGTGTGAACCTCTGCTAGGACAAAGATTTGAAGCTTCTGAGGGTTCTAGGAGGAGATGTGGAGGCTGTGGATGTTTGATGGAAGGAGGAGGACTTTATAGGTTGCTTCGTGTACGGTTTGTAGACTTTCGATGTTCCGCGTCGTGAGAGCTGGCGTTCCGCAGGCAAACGTCACCCAACGCGAGAAGTGGCCAGAGCTTCACCCGCAGAAAGCTCCGCCTCAGGCCAGAACCACAGCATCATCATTATATACCATTACCAGCACCTATCTCTACCGGCCGAAGCCAGCAGCAACACCGACTGCAGCTGCAAACTGCACCCAAAGTCATCCCCCCTCACTCACCACCCACAATGTCCGGCCGCCGCGCCCCCCGCCCCAAACGCGCCGCCGAGTCCTTCGCCCGCGGCCACCGTCCAGCTCCCGGTACCTACAACGACGACGATTCACAGCCCTCGCTCAAAAAACCCCGCTTCGACTACCGCAACCCCTCGACCCTCGCGCCCGACGCCCCAGAGGAGGACACTATTCTCGAGCTTGACGAGATCGGCAAAGGCGGGCAGGGCACCAAGCGCAACGCCGTGAACCTCGATGGGTACGAGTCCGACTCCTCAACGGAAAATTTCGACACGCGGGCGGCGGAGAAGGCCGAGTTAGCGAAGCAGCAGGGGCGGGGTGGACAGCATGGCAGTAAGGACGAGGAGGTTAATGACATGTTTGCTGATCTGGAGGAGGATCTCGCGGGGCCGGATGGGGACGAGGATGAGGATCTAAACAGGGAGGGCAAGGGCGGGAAGAAGAAGGTCAAGTTCCTCGAGACGGAGCAGATTGAGGGACAAGTCGCGAGCTCGAAGTCCGGGGGGCATGTGTCTGCGGATTTTGGGCTTAGGGGAAAAGGGCGGGCGAGGGATCAGGAGCAGGAGAGCAGTAGTGAGAGCGGGGGCGATGAGGAGAGGGATCGGGTGGGGAGTGATGTGGATGAGGAGCTGGGCGCTGGGGCGAAGAAGAAGCATGCGCCGAAGCTAGATGCGTTCAATATGAAGCAGGAGGGCGAGGAGGGCAGGTTTGATGAGAGCGGGAACTACGTCAGGAAGGCGGCGGATCCGGACGCGGTACACGATTCTTGGCTCGAGGGGTTGTCGAAGAAGGACATGAAGAAGGCGAGGGAGGCGCAGGAGAAGAGGGATGAAGATAGGAGGAAGAGAGCAATAGCGGATGATTCTGTGCCTACGAGCGAGATTCTTACCACACTGATATTACGGCTAGACAAGGGTGAGACTGTGCTAGAGGCGCTCGCGAGGTTAGGGAAGGGCAAGGAGAAGAAGAGACCCAAATGGCAGAAAAACAAGCGGAAAAACGGAGATGCGATGGATGTCGACATGAATGGATCTGCGGATGACCTGGCGGAAGTGAAGCGGAAAGAAGCCGTCGAGGCAATTACAGGCGCCGCGGATCAGCTTCTAACGCGCGGTCAGCCGGAAATATACGAACACGAGCGAGAGATGCTCATCCGGCAGTACAGGAGAGAAACAGGCGAAGACTGGGTGGAGCCGCTGCACGCAGACGAAGAGAGCGGATCAACAGAAGCCCAGCAGTGGGAGTATCGATGGTCTGACGCCCGTGACGGAGGCGAAACACATGGCCCGTATGATGGGCAGACCATGGTGGCTTGGGAGGGCGCAGGCTATTTCGGCGAAGGGGTGGAATTCAGGCGGATAGGAGACGGGGAGTGGAGCCGCTCCGTCGACTTTGTTTGAAAGGAACAGCGGAGCATGCATCCATCACCTGCAGCTTGCCGATCCGAGCGGCACGGCACGCGACATCACATTCATGATCGAAGCTCGAGCTGAGAAACGACTGCTCTCATTCTGCGATATGGCGCTTAAACTGTTGTAATCCGCCTGTGAGAAACGATCGCGCATCTGCTCGACTGCATTATTTCGCAAGATATTGCCGTTGCATTTACAGTATCAAGCAGGCACTCGAGAGGCCAGTCCAACAGTGCAACGAATCAGCTGTATCGGACGGTTTCTTACTACTGCTGAGCGGTATTCAAACCTTAGAGAGCTGCGCGACTTGCAACACACCACAAGGTCACATGATTAACCATGCATGCGGGCTTGGGAAGGCTCTGGGACGGTCCTTGTTGTCTGCCAGCCAGTCGGGACTGTCCGAAGGCTTCTTGCTGGGGTGAAGCGAGCCCCGGCGGCTACAGCGACATCCTCGAGACTTCTCTTTCATCAAGCATGTGGAGTGATGAAGCCACTTCTGCAGTACGACCTGAGCGGTTTGCTTCTTTGAGCGATATGACCGCGGTGGGCTTGAGTGAGGCGAAGGATTTGCTTGTTCTCAGACTCGTGCCATGCGCGTTGCTGCTCTCCGGATGGCTGCACCCATCCTCATGTTGGTGTGACTATCCAGAGGCATCTCAACCAATGTGGACGGGATTGCACATGGTCAGTCCTTGATCACACATGATGGGGACGGCAGCGGCTTGCCAGAAGTCGTGGCCCTGAAGTAATTTTGTGCAGCGTGCCTTTCTGGCGACATGGCGTTTTTGAGAGAGACTTACGGTTTGGGTTGGAGGTGCTTGTCAGTGGTCGAACGGGCCGCTCCCAGGAGCACATAGTAAGTGACAGCAGCGTCGGATCACGCAGAGCGTCTGCCAGCTTGAAGCTCTTGTGGTCGATCGTGCTGCGTGAGCTGTTGGGTCTTTGAGTGCTTTTCTGCGTGAACAGGGACAGCACGTATTAAAGCCGATGCAGAGCACGGATCTAATCTGATGATCTGCAGCTTCACCAGCAGATGACGTTAGCCGTTGATCCAGCAGTGCTTGTTAGTGCTCGACCATCGCTTTCAGTCCGCGTTGAGAAGCACTGGTTGATGGCGCCGCTCGCGTGAAGGCACCCCTGAGCCAGAGGCCGAGGACGCCACCTGTCCCAAAGGGATCTCATCCGCCTCCTTAATCTCCTTCTTCCCGCCGTTCGAGAAAGCAGACTATCGAGGAGCCGGACGGGCCGCAACCAATCCCAGCAGCTACGCTCTTAGCATCAGCTAGTGGCATTCGTACCGGCGTCCCCTGAAAGATGAAGGAGGGGGTTGCGCCAGCAGTGCAGGAGGTGAAGAGTTAGTGGCAGCCCAAGCTGTGCAGGTGACGAGCCGCGATTTGCCATGTTGCAGAAGCCGTCGCTGCTGGTCGCTGACACGCGCGAGAGTCATGCTCCCTGCAGGTCATCCACTCGCTGGCAGAGAAGCCGACTGGCGAGCCAGTGAGCAGCGTGTGAGAGCAACAGACGGAGATGCAAGAGTCGGTCGAAGCATGCTGTGGCAAGAGTGCTGGCCCACAGAGACTCTGAGCAGAGGTTGTTGTATGCGGTCTGCGTAGGCTTTGTAGATCTGTTTGGCGGGTTGGAGGACGGCTAAGAAGGGCCCCCTGTCGGCTCGCACATCAAATGATGGGACTTGCGCCTGCAGCGAACAGGGCAACGAAAGCACTGAAAGGAGGCCCGTTTCCAGGCCGTGCGATGAGCCCTCTTCTCCTTAATACTACAACTACGCCGCTCTCCCGCAATCACATCATCCCTCTCTGCCAACGCTGTGACGGCCGTCGCTGCACCTGCATCTGCCTTTGCATCTGAAACCACACGCTCTCTACCTAGCCCACCAGACCGCTCCAAGTAGCTCCGCTTGGCTCCACGAGGACCCGCCCTAGCCGTTTCGGTGGCCCTCCTCCCACATCAGAGCTGGCCGAAATTTTGCCCAGTTGCAGCTCGAACAACTTTCCATCCTACTCCCTGGACAACACCTTCACGCGCCCTTCCCACGCCCATCCAACGCCCTTCCCAAACCAGCCTCCTCAAGGAACGACGCTGCGACGCTGTCGCCGCCGCTGCACCCTTGACCACAGTCGCAACCACTGCGCCCAGCGATCCACGGGGGAAGAGGGCTTGGCTATCCTGGCGCTCCGACAGCTCGGTTGAAGGGTCCTGGATCTTTCCGTTTGCCTTGCACAACTTCTGCTCGGCCAGCTACCTCTCAAACCCTACCAACTCTCAACCTCCTCTCTTTCTCTTCACACCCGTCATTGCGTCCCCAGCCTGTTCAGAGTAGTCCTTCAGCGCCTACCGCTGCCTAGCTTTCGCTGCTCGTCTCCGCCAACTGCCTTGTTCGCCAGCACTCTAATAAGCCTGCCTTGAGCTCTCTCAAAAGAGAGGCGACCACGGCCAGCGCCGCTACCTTAACGAAGATCACGCCTTTTCCAACGACCACGCTCCTTCATCGCATCGGATCTCATCATGAGCTACTACAACAGTAATACCGCTCGGTCGCCCGGTGCGCACCGCCATCAACCTCAGACCCTTCACCGGCAAGCTTCGAGGCAGTTCGACGGCTACTCGGCCCAACTGCCGACCGGTCTCTACACTGCAGAAGATCACGCCGCGCGATACGACGCTCCCCGATACAACGACAGACTGAACGCGACAATGCACGCGAATTACGGCGGTGGCTACGATCTGGCCGCCGCTCAGGCATGGAACAATGCTGGCTTCGGGCAAAACAACGCCTTGGCTGCAGTCGGAGCTACCACGCGAATGAAGACCTCAGCCCGGGGCCGAAATCCATTGCCATCGGTAGGCCTTGCACGAGTTTTCGATATTCTTTGGGCTGTTACTGATTGAAGATCGCAGGCATGGACCGACCCGCAACCGCCGCTTCCAAACCACGCGCCCTTCTCAGGCCTCGGCAGCGCCGCCCTTATGCCAGGATCGTTGCGGCCGGACATGGGCTCTGACGCGGACGAAGACTTGATTCCCACCGCCATTGTCATTAAGAACATTCCGTTTGCAGTGAAAAAGGAGCAGCTGGTCGACCTGATGACCAGCATGAGGCTTCCTCTGCCCTATGCCTTCAACTACCACTTCGACAACGGCGTGTTCAGGGGACTCGCTTTTGCCAACTTCACCACTCCCGAGGAGACAGCTGTGGTGATCGACTCGATGAATCATCTGGAGCTGCAAGGCCGGAAGCTTCGAGTTGAGTACAAGAAGATGCTCCCGCTCGCCGAACGGGAGCGGATTGAGCGAGAGAAGAGGGAGCGCAGAGGTCAGCTCGAAGAGCAACACAGGCCGATGGCAGGATCGCAACTCCACGCGCAGCCTTCAATGTCATCCTTGTCGTCTCACATGCCTGCGACTTCGCCTTCGCCTGTGTCGGCGAGGAACATCAAGCCTGGTAGCATGCATCCTCTCGCTGGACCACGGGCGGCAGTTGACCTTTCACCAGAGCTAGATTTGAATGATCCGCAGACTTTGCAGTTCTATTCGCAGCTGCTCCTCTTCCGCGAAGATCATTCGCGGGATGTTTTGGCTTTCCCCGCTACCCTGTCGCCTGCTCAGCGGCGGATCGTCCACACAATCGCGCATCAGTTCAATCTTTTGCATATGTCAAGGGGATCCGGCGACCAGCGAGCGGTCCACATCTATAGAACGGAAGGAGCTCTTGGGAACTCAAGCCCGCCGATCCCTCAGATCCCGACCGGTTATGCTGGCGATACGCAGCGACGCGCGTTGAATCGCGCAGCGACCACTGACTTCAGCGATGTTCGGGCCTCGGAAGGATTCTACGGCACCCTTCGCGGACAGTCCTCCTTCCTGGGCTTCACCCCCGGTTCGCCCGGCGGTCTATCTGCAGGCCCCAACTTGAGGGCGGCGAAGTCATACGCTGATCTCCGGTCCTACACACCTTCGCCTGTGCCGTCCACCGCCAGCTTCCCGGCCACGCTGAACACGAACTATGGCAGGTTCGGCGACTACAACCACAGCGCCGCCTCGACGAACCCAAGTCTCACGACCCCAATCGCCACATCTCTATCCAGCAGAGACGAGACCTTGCTCTCAAACGGCTTCAGCGGTCTCAGTCTTGGCAACGGTTTCGGGCAGGCTGGAAGCCCGCAGCGACTCCGCAACATGATGTCCTGGGGCAGCGAGCGGGACCGAGAAGCGCCCGGACCGATCGGCGGGCACAGGTCTGTCAGCACGAACTACGATGAGCACAGCCGAGAGCGTAACCAGGGACTGCCATCGCGGCAGCCACGCGGTCCGATCCCAGAGCGCGGCACCGGGTTTTCGAGGGGCAGGCCAAACGGCCACCGAAACCACGGCAGCGACGAGCTCTCCTCCAGCTCAGGGGTCGAGATCGTGGTCGAGTAAGAAGAAGAACGAAGTATGAGAAACGTTGTGCTGAGGAAGAGAGGACGAGACGAGACACGGATAGTAAGAGAAGGCATCTTGGCAGTGTGGTGGTCCAGCTGGACCACGTGAAACTTTTCTCACGACGTATACGAAGAATGACGCTACGATCGTAGACCAAACCATCATCATACCAGAAGGGTCCGCGCCCGCACGAAACCGAACTTTGAGTGCATCTGGTGGCCTTTTGTTTTTGCGCGCGAGTTGGGTAATGCGTGAAGGTGAAGGAAGGCAAAAATGCATTCTATGGGGAAGTGAGAAATGGGCGGTTATTTATGTTTCGGCATTGTATTATTGGAGACGTTTTTTTTTCCTCTGAGGAAGTGTCGTCGGTTCGTCCTGAGTTTCGCTCTGGTCGTCAATGTGTCCAAGTTTTCTTCACTGTCGCCGTGCGAGAATGACTGCCTCCGACAATGCGCGATGAGATGTATCAGCATAATACAGCGGAGTTGATCATCAGATCTGTCTCGGTCGCTTTTCGCACAGCTCGTTCTGAGTCACAGTCGCCGACGAGTACCCAACGAATGTTGCGATGTCGTTGCAGATATTTTCCGTTAGTCTCGTCTTTCTTCATAGTCGTTTCCACGTCCCTTTCGTTCCTCAACGAGGTTCGGCCTCCCACCGCAAAGCGTGTGTTGCCGATCTCAGGATCTTCCACGCGATAGTAGTAGTATTGTAATATCAGTCTGTCTTTTACCATCTTGACCTCCTTTAATGTCTAGCGTGACATCGCACGTTTCTTTCTACCCCGCCTTGTCATACTATCCATATGCGCAACTTCTGCACCATCAAGGCCATGTGCATGACAGCTATGATATGCCAAGTGACGGACCGTCTCAAAAGGCAGCTCCCTAGCCTTCAGCTGCTTTCCCTTATCGCCTTACGTCAACGCTGAGATTATAAGCGCAATCTATTGCATTTTAAGCACGAGACTCCAAGGGGCGCACTCTCACCAACCACAAATCCCGTTTCATGATCTCCTGCCGGAAGAAGCCGGCGCGTTCATGTGTCAATGTTTTTCTTCGTTTCAGCTTTATCTCTACATTTCACAGCCTGAGTTCCTGCTACCACATCTTGCATGACCTCCTGCTGAGCCCAAACGCACCCAACACGCCCTAGGAAAAGTACGGGGATCGCACAGTGACATATCGAAACCCCCATTGGCTCCACCTAAAGTCACGCTTCCCGGTCGTAGAAAGCATACAGAATCCACTCATAAGAAACCTCACTATCGAACCGCCGCAGCTTCATCAAATCAGCCACATCACGACTCTCGTGGCTCGCCCATCGGCACCTGCAGAAGTTATGGCCCGACATACCGGCTCCTTGAAACAGAGGAAAAGGGACAGCCGCATCTCAAAACTCTTCCCACAGCCCATTCCAAGATATTGCCAACTACGCCTCCACCGCCTTCTTCCCGCCCTTCTTCTGCTCAACCTTCAACAACAGCGCGCGATTGATATGCGGCAGCACACCACCGAACGCGATCGTTGCCCGAATCAGCGTATCCAACTCCTCATCTCCGCGAATCGCAAGCTGCAGGTGTCGCGGAGTGATGCGCTTGACTTTCAGGTCTTTCGCGGCGTTGCCTGCTAGCTCCAGGACTTCGGCTGTCAGGTACTCGAGCACGGCGGTCAGGTAGATGGAGGCTTTGGCGCCGATGCGCGTCCGGTTGCGCGTTATGTTGCGCAGGTGGCGCTTTATGCGGCCGCAGGGGAACTGTGTGGTAGGAGAGGGTGTTAGCAGGCTGAGCGCGGCGCGTTGTGGTGGGTAGGTGGGATGCGAGGTCTTGGCGCGAGCCCGTGGGCCTTGTAGCGCCGGTGGAGAATCGTGGACGCGATCCAAGGCGACAGGTAGAGAGACGAGTGATGACTCACCTGCAGTCCCGCTTTCGCGGAGTGAGAATGTTGTTTCTTCGCGCTGGAGTCGCCGCCTTTGCCGCCGGTCTTGCCGCCGGTCTTGCCTGTCGCGCGAGGATAGTCAACTATCTTGTCCTCATTATTTCGAGTAGCACCGCTCTTGTCGCTGCACGATGCGCGAGCGGTTGACGCGCGTACCTTTTCCACCGGGCATAGGTGCGGCGCGTCTGGAGAATCGGGAAGATGTTTGTAATGGAGGGCTTTCGGTGTCGAGGTGTACGCGACCGAGATGGCGATATCAACGAAAGGTTGTTTTCGGGGTGTTGTGTTGATGCGTCGGTCGTGTCGGGCTGGAATGGGTGATGTTGTGGTTCGGACGAGGTGTTGGCGTTCGCGTTCTGGGCTCGGCGTCTGATGTCAAGCGAGGGATGGCGAGGCCACGTGATGGCGATGAGATTGGGGATGATTAGGCTGCAAGTAATGATGGTGTGCTGTTAATATCCTCTTCGTGTTGCTGTGAGCTCGTTTAATGTATGTTGGTCGTGTGTGAGAAGTCCGACAGTAATGCGACGGGACCTTGTAGGGACTGAGTCGAGTGCTACTCGTCGTCCTGATGCAGACTCGGTGATGTGGGAGCGGACGGACTGCCATTGGGCTGAACACTGTAAACTGCATGCTGTCATGTCAAAACTGAAGACTCTCGAAGTCTACAGCACCAGTATATCTTCTCCTTTCAAGTTGATACTGCCATCAATTTCGACCTTGATCACGTGCCAAGACTTGGCGAGCGTCCTGTTGCTGTGTGATGTTGGATTAGGGGTTACCAAGGAGCCATGAGGCCTAGGAAAGAGGAAAGATGAGGAAAGGTTCTTTGCTTGATCTCTGTCAAAGCTTGCTCAACCTATACTCCGTCCACGGTTGACGGGCCCATGCGCTGCGCTGGAATCGATGTGATACATCTAGCTCTTCCCAGTGGCACGAGAAGCACACACAAGAGAAAGGACTCTGCCGAAATGATTTTGGCGGCCTTGGAGAAAGCTTGCCAGGTTAAACAGTAAAGAAAGGGTTACTTACAAGGCTTACCTCATGACGGTATACACTGAGCCAAGGAGTTCTCTAAGTCCAGGGTGTAAAGCCATAGCAGTCGTAACCAGCGCAGAACTAGGCTGCTTGAACTACCTGTGGAGATCATTGCAGTGCTGTTTGTTACTAAGCTCCTACGGAAGCTTTAGAAGGACTCATAATTTATACGACCGCGTGGTATAAGTGTGCATCTCCGTAACTGTATGTGGTGGTGTAGCTGCATGGAGTTTGGATAGATCTCCCGTGGAAGCTCCGGCGTCCGGAAACAACCTCGCAAAATGCAAGTCTTGAGCTATGGCAAGGAACTTGATCAGTAGAAGTGCTATTAAATGTAACTCCGGTTATCATTGTAGCACTGTGTGATAAATATAAGAACGCACCCATGCATGATCGAGCCGTTTGGAACTGATAGACAAGTAAGCACGTGACTTCAACCTTGAGTTACGAAACGCTGAGGTCCTGCTTGTTAGGGAGAAAGTAATCGATAGGATCTCCCGCTGTTGATTGTCTGGCCGCAGTACCATGACGAATCTGTTATTTTGTTGACCTCCACGATGCCCAGACACTTCATGCCTGACTATTTCGAGCCCAACTACGGAAAATGCACAGATAGCGCCACCTAGAGCCATGCCGAAATACAATCCGCTGTAACTCATCAGCAAAGATATGGCGGGCCTTAAACATCCCATACTAAGCCCCGCCCGAACGCCGAACGCCGAACGCCATGCTAAACCTGTCCCCAATGCCAGTCTATAGAATCTCCTTGAGCTTCTCCTTCTGTGCCGCGGTCAAGCTCGTCGGGAACTTGATATTGACGCCGACAACGAAGTCGCCCCGTTCAGACGGCTTCTTGCTCTTCGGCATGCCGAGGCCGGGATACCGCTCTACCCAAGTCGGACTCGTGGGTCCGCCGCTGCTGACGTTGATCTGCTTGCCGTCGATGGTCTGCACGGTGCGCTTCCAGCCCGTGAGCGCTTCTTTGAGGTCAAGATCCACGGTTGTGCGGATGTCGTCGCCGTCGCGCTTGAAGTTGGGGTGTTCTTTCTGTCGAATGTGTTAGTCTCTGACACTCGACATTTAGCAGTCTCATAAGCGACTGTCCCAATACGTACCTCTTGAACAACAAAGTGCAAATCCTGCGTCCCGCCCTCAACCTGATCACCTACATCCGAGAACTTGATCTTACTTCCCGCCTTCAGGCCCTTCTTGATCGGCACCTCGAGGATCCGATCCTGCGTGCTCTGCTTCCCGGTCGCCTGGTCGTACGTCTTGCGCTTGATCTTCATCTTCTTCGTCGTGCCGTTATACAGCTCCTCGAGGGACACCGGGAGCGGCTTCTCCAGCACGGTCACCTCAGGTGTTGCATGTCTTCTTCCCGCGCCACCATTCAGTCCCTCCCCAAACCTTGAAGACGCCGACCGTCCCGCTCCAGGCCTTCCGCCCATCCCACCACCCATCCCCCCAAAGCCCCCACCCCCGCCGAAAAGCCCCGCGAGGTCATCATCAGGGCCCCCCATCCCCCCTCCCATTCCCCCTCCTCCACCCATACCACCGCTCTGCGCCCTCATAAACTCTGAAAATATGCTGCCCGCGTCCGAGAAGTTGAACCCGCCGCCACCGCCGCCGGTCGAGAAGTGGAACGTCCTTGCCCCGCCTGGGCCACCACCGCCGCCCATACTGGAGAAGGGGAAGCTCTCAGCGCCGAAGGGCATGCCGCCGGCACCGCTGGGGTCGAAGCCGCCCTCGGGGGGTGGAGCACCGCCGCGCAGCACGAATTCGAGGCCGTATTGGTCGTAGATCTTGCGCTTTTCGGGGTCGGAGAGGAGTTCGTAGGCTTGGGATACTTCTGTTGAGGGGTGAAAAGGCGTCAGTGATTGTTCCAAGGGGAAGGGGTGAGGAGGGGAGGAGGTCGCTAACCTTTGAACTTCTCAGCGGCTTGCGGATTGTCCTTATTCTTGTCCGGGTGCCATTTCAGAGCGGCTTTTCGGTAGGCTTTTTTGATCTCATCTTGGGTTGCTGTCGGGCTTACGCCTAGGAGTATTGGTCAGTACGATGGTTGAGAATGGGGGGCAGACGGGCTGTGGCCTTACCCAGCGAGTCGTACAGTTTGGTCTCTTTTACCATTGCAGCGAGTGCGCAGTGTCAATTGATCGTGTGTTTGTAGAAGAACGCCGCTTAGACGCTTCCGAGGTGAAGGAAGAGCTTTGAGAACGTATTGTTGAGGTGCAATAGTAGTGGGAAGTGCGAATGCTGCTGTCAGAGGCAGTGTGAACGAGTAAGAAAGAGCAGGCGTCCGTTGGCCGGCTTGGGCAGCCTGAGTTTCTCCCCCACACGCTGTGCACTCCGAGACAAACACGACCGACGTCACAGACCAATGAGCCGCTGCGAAGCTTCGAGAAGCTTCGACCGCCAAGTACCACAAAGAGAATTGTAACACCAACGCTTGAGTATAGATTGACGAGATCTATTTGCACAATAGAGAAAGGTATCGTGAGGCTTTTGTCTGCCGTAGGTTTTTGCAAAGAATAAAGCCACTTTGCCTGGGTTGTAGTGCTACGCGAAGGTTCATGGACCTACAAGGATCTATCAAGAACATTCTAGTAGGTAGCTGTATCGTCATTCAACGGGAACACAGGATGGAGTGCATAACTTTGGCGGCGCCGGGCAGGAAAAAATTGGCATATGTAACTTGAACTTCGTAGCGTGGAGTCTCCACATCTAGCTACAGCGTACCTAATCCCAATCTCAGAACAAAGACCAGGTTGAAGTAAAACAACCGGTGTGCACAAATCGCCAAATACCAGTTCAGTAACACTCATGACACCAGAACTCCAAGCTCGTCTACGCTCGACCAAGCGTATGGTACATGCAATCGACAGCTATGCAAAGCGCCCATTCAGCCAACTCGTCTACAACCAGAGTCTCTCGACAGGTAACGTTTATTCGCTATCGCTAGCATCACCGCCCTTAGACTTCCTCTTCTCCTTTTTCTCCTTCTTCGATTTCTTCTCCTCCTTCCTCTTCTTGCGCTCCGCCTTCTCCTCAGCGGTTTCGCCCTCATGCTTCCGCTTCTTCTTGGTAGAATCCCCGTTTGCGGAGACCGGAACCGGCGGAATGTGATCCGCAGTCGCTGGCTGGTCCACTTGCATCGAGTCATCAACCTCAGTCGGCGGGACTGGTGGCGCTGTAAGGACATCCTGCTTCTCCGTCTTCTCCGCAAGTGGCCTCGCTAGAGCATCGTCCATTGGGCCGTTGAAATCCTTGTAATCGGTGTTCCATTTGGCGGGCGTGTTCTCGTTGGGCCGGCCGTACTTGTCGAGTTTCCCGTCTGCCTTCATCTTCTTCTTCTCCGTCGCTACGGGACCGAGGCCCCATCTCTTCGGGTACAGATCACGCTCCATGATGACGCGCTTAATCTTAGCCACAACACCGTGGTCGCAGGAGGAAAGCTCGACAGTGGACATCATCGCGATGCCAAGAGCAATGGCCTCACCCTTGGTGGTCATGAGAACGACTTCCTCGTGCACATCAATGCCAGCCTCTGTTCATACTGTCAGCGAATGTTCTCGTCAAGAAATGATATCCGTGACGTACCGTAACGTAGCAGGCCTGGGATCATAAGCTTAGCACCATAGCAAACCGCATTAACCGCCGAATCTTTGACCACGATCCTCTTGTATGTCGTCAACAAACTCTCCAGCGGGCTGATCACCGTCCTAAGATAGCTCTCGTCCCGATTGTTATCCATCATCCACTGCGCATCCAGAACATCATGCAGCGTGACCATCTCACTCTCCTCATCCTTCGCCCCCGATCTCACTCTTCTCAGCTCTTGCATATGTGCGCCGACACCCAGCAGCAATCCAAGATGCACACACAACGTCCTGATATACGTCCCCGCCTCACACGAGACCCAGAACACGGCCAAATGCCTCTCGTTATCAAACTCATACAGCTTGCTCTCATGGATCGTCCTGATCCGCAACTGCCTCTTGACCGCCGAGATAAGCGGTGGACGCTGGAACAGCGCCCCCGTCAGCGTCTCGAGCGCGCGCGCAAACTGCGCCTCTCCGCCCGGCAGCGTATCGTGCAGCCTGATGACACAGACATACTCCTTACCCGCGCCCTGCTGGCTCTTGACGAGTCTCGTCGCGCGGTCGATGCACACAATAAGACACCCGGTGACCTTGGGGTCAAGCGTACCGCTATGTCCCGTCTTCTCAACTCTAAGAATACGCTTGACCCACGCGACGACTTCGTGCGAGGACGGATTGGACGGCTTGTCGAGGTTTATGACGCCTGAGCTGATGTAGGATTTGAGGTCGCGTTTGTGAGGTGCGCAGCCGTTCGGGATGGGCGTGAAGTGTGCAGTTCGCACGAGCACTGGTTAGTGGTATCAGCATACAATGTTTGTGGTAATGTACAATCCGAGCAGGATTGCCTACGCTTGTCGTAGTTTTTGAGCAGCAGTGGCCACTCGCTGCCGTCTACAGGCGGCGCGCTGGCTGCGGGCTTGATGGAGAAGTCCGTGTCTGCTGGAACGAGCGCCATCTCGAGCGAATTTGGTCAAGATGTGAGAAGTTCTCCGCCAGTAAATGCCTACGCTCACAACCCGCAATTGCAGCTGTTTGAAGCGGATGTTGCGGTTTTCTGGTGCGTCTTAATTTTCGTAAGTCCGTGCGGCGGTCAGAGCTTCAAGAATTGTATCATGACTAAGCGCTGCCTGAACAGCAATCCATGGATAGAATCGAATGTTGCTATTCTGCGGTATTATTGTTCAACTATTGGGCTGTTATGAATGCAATCCGATCTAAATAATTCCCTAGGAGCACCAGTCCTTCTTCGCCACCCCTCATTCGCCTCCGAGATGACGTCCGTGTCCCAGGACTTCTAGTACGTTGCTTGGTAAGAAGCAATCTTCAGAAAGCAGCAGTGTTCAAGGGGAATATTCAACCTCGATCTACCACAGTGTAGTTGGTCAGGTTGAGAAGGATTGGGTTACAATCTGAACATGAGAATGTTGTTCTGTATAGGGGTCACCGTAATACACCAAGAGTCTAGATCCAATCTACATAACTGCGCGCGGATTTGAAGTCGTAACCAAACGTAAACATGAACTCCACATACAGAATGCATGGAAAACACGGGTCAATCCTTCGCTAAGAGTCAAGATACTGACAGTCCCCAGGGTTGCCTCCTCTCCTGGTTCCGCTAACAAGTGAAGGGCATAGCCTGGCAACATCGAGATCGGAGCACTGTAGAATGACCGACCACAGTCTCTCGAGAGTATACCCAAAGAAAGGTGCGTTCATTGAATCCGGCCGACCCATCAAATAAGGCTGTTGGTGAGCCCAGCTCTCCGAGTCGATCAGCAGCTCATCCAGCTCCTCGTACGCTGATCGCTTGACACCGCGGATGCGTTGTGCAGAAGCGACGAACTGCCCTTTGTATGACAATAAGACCGTCTCACAAGTCGCGTTGTAGACCTCTCCATACATCTTTGCAACGATTCCAGAGTCATCCTTCCAACCCCACTGGTCGGCGCAGTTCCAGCAAGAGCAAACATGACCGATAAAGCCGAGGCTCAACATTCCGGTCTCGGGTAACAAGTATTGGGATATGCGGCAGTATATCTCCCAGGAATTGTGTACGTGAGCTTGAACAAAGATGGTATGCGCGGCAAGGTCGTCCCAATGCTCTATGATATGGAACAAGTAGCTCTCGCCTTCACGACCATAATTGGGACGCTTTGTGACGTTAAATGCTCCAGTCTCTTGCTTTAGGCTTTCCATGTCCAGGTCATTGTCCTTGGCAAAATAAAAAGTCTTATTGACCGACCAGAAACGTTTGGTAGAGCTTTCAACTTGGACACTATTGTGTTGATAGAAACAGACGATTCTTTGTACATGCTGACAACTACATCAAGGTCGCCCACTGGGTGATAGGCTCTGTCCAGCGTCGGCTGCATATCTTTTGACGGGATCCCAGAACCAGCTTGAAGGTTACTCCAAACATAAATCATCCAAATGATGAGAAGAAGAACTGTGCGTACATATCCTAGTGCGGACGGTTTCCAAGGGGTGTAAAAATCGTCTCCACGACGCAATCATGGTTGCGGGGCTGGGCTGGCTTGGCTGGAAATCTGCAAAGTTTCCGAGTTTGAATGTCTTTGTTCATCGTCTGAATGGGACGAACGCCTCTCGACGGCTGTTGATCCGAACTGGTCTACAGGAGGATTCTCCACTGGGGTTGAGGAAACACCAGCAACTGCTGCGTTTCCTATCGCTATCCGCTGACCAACCATATGCTTCTGGAAGGATAAGAATTGTGTGACAAAGCAATACGTCTTAACCGCTTGAGCGTCATCCATGTCCATAACAAGGCATCCAAAGAACGCGGTGATTTGTACCGGACTCGAAAACGGGGGTGGCGTTAAGGCCATACATGAGAGCGCGATCAGGCCAACAAAAGTGAGTGCGGTATCGGCAGTAGTAGGCAAGCCTTTGGAGCTGTCTTCGTGCGCCGGCAGCACTGTTCCAAAGCATAAGGTGACAACTACAAATGCCACGGATAAAAAATTGACGCAAAGCAACAACGGACTTACGTCTTCAACAGTTCCAACGGCAAAGATGGTATCTTCTGCACCGGCAGCCCAGCATCCGGTGATTACCAAGGACATGGGGATGACCACAGTGATAGCGATTTTCCAAGCGTCTGACCTGAAGGATTCTTGATCCAATTGCATCGTGGCTAGATGTTGGACACGAAGAAACCCTATGGAGATGCCGGCAAGACCAAGAGCAGGCATGGCAAAGAGCAGTCCATTGGCTGTTATTCTGTATTCATCGTACAGAATGACTAGGACCATGATTGCTGAAAGTACGTATCGAAGGGGCAGCGCTCTCCTAATCACAGAACCGCATAGATCTCTGACAGCCGATGCCTCCAACGTGAAGACGCACGCCTGGAAGTCGGATTAGCATAAGGTTCAACGATAGTTCCTAGGTTAAGCGCTCCCACCAAAAGCATTGCCATTGTCGGCAGATTCCGGAAATGCAACATTGCCTGTGCAAACAGTGGGATTGAAGCGGCAAGCGCGGTGCACGGAAACACAAGAATCTTCCATTTTGATATGGAGAAAGACGCCTTGGGTGTTGTTGGATCTGGAGAAAGCCATTTGGGCGTCAAAGTGGCGACTGGTGAAGCCCCGATGAGCTCGCGTAAAACGAGGACACTGGCGACCGCAAGCAATTGTGCGAGCAGGAGATGTAGTGCTAATGCCGTAGCTTGTCAAATCCAGTGCCCCTGTTGTACGATGCAATACGTACGGTAATCTGATTCCAGTCAGTGAATATTGCACAACAGTTCCGTGGTACGACAGTCTCATTGGTTATGCACTCACGATAGTTTGTATCGACCACGATGTAATTGGTGCTTATAAAAGCTGTGGCCGCCGAGAGAGGCCAAAGTCTGCCGAATGTCAGTCCTGCTGCTAACAATGGCCAACGACCATCTAAGAGGCGAAATGTGGTTACGCTGCGGCCCAGGCTATGCCCCTGGGTTCAGTCCTACTGTCTCCGGGCTCCGGCGGTCCGGCGGAATCGGTAACAAGAGGCTGTAGCTCGAAGCTATCCAGCTCCAGGGTCTCCACGTTAAGGCTTACCGGTAGCATCACAAGCGTCATCCCGTTCTATTGCGAGCCTTGGGACCGTGGGAGACGAAAGGCTGCTGAACATACTAGAGTACCAGTTCCCTCCGACGGTTCGTGCACGTCGCTTGCTGTGCCACATCAACGAAAACTTCCACCCTTTCTCCAAGTAGCTTACACCTCAATCTGCTCTCGGCGACACCAACCCTCAGCATCATGGACGTCTTCTGGAACGCGCCACCGGTGTCAAGGTGAGTGATGTTCTTATTGTCTCCCTGTCCTTGAACTGAACGCGGTTTCTGATGCTGATCTACAGAACCTATGCAGCAGCCGCCTTCGTAGTGTCGGTCCTTGGATATACCGGCTTCATACCTCTTATGCCCTTGGTGTTCGTCAAGCCACTGGTTTTCAAGCTTCCTCCTCAGATATGGCGCGTTGCAACGGCCTTCCTGATCACCGGCGACAAGTTCGGCATCATATTCGATCCATACATGCGTACGTAAGGTTCTAGACGCGGCATGCGATTATAGGCTCACATGTTGCAGTGTACACGTACGGTAGTCAGCTAGAGGTCGGATCCTCCAGGTTCTCAAGACCTGGTGACTTCTTCACATACCTCGTGTTCCTCTGTACGGTCATCGCGGTAGGTCGGGCACTCTTGCTTTCGATAGCCTCTCCCGTCGCCTTTCCTACGTCATGATTCCAAGTTTATATCTATCGCTGCACAACAGCACCTCGAATATCTGCCCGCCCAGCCATTTCTAGCTGAAGCGGTTCCTGGAATCGAGGGAGATTACCCTTGCACTTCGCACGGATCCATCATTCGCAAAAATTATCCAGGGTCTGTGTGCGGTGTGAGCATGGTGGGAACGTCAGTGAGAAAACTGAGCAGACTTCATATGCTGCATCGGTGGTTTTGACTCCCTACATACTTTTGTTTTTCCTTACTCTTGATTTCCATGATTATGCGATCAACGTACCGGTCGCACATCACACCGCCACTCTGGACTATCCCCAGATGTACTTGTACTAATGAGGAACAAGGCCACAGCCGGGTTCTACTTGGATGCCTGGCGCTTCATAGACGGTACGTGAGATCTTGGTCGAGCCTTTGCACGCTGCGCCTCTAACCTTCGGTAGCCGTCACCCTGGCATTCGCGTACACCTTCGCGCAAGACAACCCTCGCAAGAAAGTCTCAATCTTTATCCTGACGTTTGAGGCGCGATGGCTGCCATACGCGCTGCTCACTTTCACCTTCGTCATGGCCGGCCCGTACCAAGCAATGATCCAGGCGACTGGACTGCTTGCTGCGCATCTCTACGACTTTCTCACCCGCATCTGGCCCGAGTTCGGAGGCGGCAGGAATGTCGTTGTCACCCCGAGGTTTGTGGGAAGATGGTTTGGCGCAGACACTGCAGGACGTCCCATCACCCGAGGGTATGGCACAGCCTTCACGCCACAAACTGCTGAGACGAGACCGCATGAGGCCGGGTGGTCCTCTGGATGGGAAATCCCTGGAACCAGTTGGGGCAACAGGGGACCGGGACGCCGTCTTGGAGGCGAGTGAGGGATTGCGAAGAGGGGATTCTGGTTCTCTGGCGTTACTCTGTCTCAAAGCCTGATTACACGAATTAAACATTTGACCAGTGGTAGAGCAGGGTAGCAGCTATCTAACAGCATCGACTTTATCATCCAGACAGCCGGGCCTGTATAGTACGATATGTACTGATGATCATGTTGCGCTTGACATGACTCGAGTGCTGCCGGCAACCTAGCGCTACTGGATCTTTAACCGCCGTGCACTAAGCCTTACGATCTCCAAGCCACCGAGCCACTATGTATATAGTAGCACCAGTTTCAGCATAAGGTTGAGGTGGTACAGAGCTTGTTAATAACCGCCGCGGTAATTAGGCGCGATGGTGACGAAGCAACAACACTACGCCAAGAAGTATAGGTACGCTAGCTACAAGCCGCTGTGCACTCCGCAACGTATTGATTGATTGAGTCGGTACGGCACCGTGTCCGGCCCAGCTATAATGGGGTTGGTCGTACGAGATCGAACTATCTCTCACAACTGAACGTAGATGCAAGATGCAGATGATCAGCAACCAGGTTTGAGACTGGCGATTGGCGAACAAGCCGCGCAAGCAATCAATATCACAAGAGGACAGGAATGAAGTGCAATTTCATGATCTATAGTGATCTTTGCAATACAGAACGCGGCAATATGAAGAGTGAGCTACTTGCAGACAACACAGAAAAATACCAAATACAACGCGCAAATTACAGAGAAGCCAAAACAACCCGCAAGCGACAACAAAATACACCTGTACACTGTAACAAATAAGAGCAGAGACACTGCAACAACCAAATGCCGGGATCTTCGAAAAAGAAAAACCGTCTCTCGTAAAGATGCGCCTTGTGACTTGAGACGACCAGCTTTTGTCTACCATAACTTTCCCAGATAGAGCCTCCGAGTCTGCAAGCATGCGCTGAAACTAGGTCGTAGCCTCCGCGAGGATCTCCAGAATGTTCTCGAGGTTGTCCTCATTGGTTATGAAGTTCTGAAAGTTGCACCAGCCGTTGACATCGAGAAGGAGGCTCGCAATAGGAGCCTGACTGAAGGTGTCGTAGATGTCTTTGCAAGGCGGCTCAGTGCCAATCTCGCCCATGTAGTTCTCTTTGTGCTGCCCTGGAACACAGCCGGAGGAGCTGAATGCGAACATCCTCTGTCCCGGACTCTTTGCAAGATAGACGGAGCGGGTGCTAGAGTCTATGTTGACACAACCGCGCAGCGGTTGTTGGTGCCAAGTCTCTTTGTTGCCACCCTTGTTGTCCCGGCTATACGGTGTGTGAGATAGGTACTTGATGGCACGGACGCAAGACGGTGCCCACTCACCACATCTCATTTGGGTACTCATTCACTTTGGGGAGCGCCCTTGATTGTAATGCTGCAGCATTGACTAGACTAATCCGAGGCCGGCAGCCATAAGAACAGTGACGAAGAGCGAATGCATACTGGACGTCGAACTCTAGGAAGATCAGCGAAATATGCAAATGATACAAGACTTTAGTGTAAACTCACTGGAGTTCTTCTAGAGGCTTTCTCACCTGGAAGAGATGCTATGCTTGCTGATATGGAGCGAATCAAGCGTTGAAGGCTTAGAGTAAGTGACAGGCTCCGAAGTGCTCTAAGATGCTCAGATGAACGAAGTCTGAGGTACTGGCGGTCGAAGTCTTTGTCTTGCGATGTGGAGGAGTTGCTGCAGCCGCGATCAGTAATTGCTGAAGGATTTTGGTTGACATGGGAGGAGCTTAATGATAGTGCGAACACACAAGGCGTCGTCGGTGCGCCCTGGACATTTCGGTAATGACAGTCCGATATCCATTCTGGCGCCTAAAGACCAGGACAGCCTGGATTCATGGTATGTTGTTACTCGTTCCGGAGGATGTCCGCCATTTCCTTCAATTCTCGCATTTCCGCAACTTCCAGTGCCGAAACCCCTTCAAACCCTTTGATGTGTCGATTTGCGCCCCTCTGCAATAAGAACCGCACTCGTTCCGCGTCTTCTCTTTCCACCGCACGGTGTAAAGCGGTACCGTAGTAGACAGTCGCGGCAAGAGGTTCGTACACCCTTTCAACGCAGTCAATGTCGACACCATGGTCGAGCAGGAAGGTCATGATCTCGAAGGTGTCTGAATTTGTCCTTTCGCTTGCTGCGGCGGAGATCAAGGCCATCGTATCCTGTAGATTCGCACCGTGGGAGATTAGATATTTGATGGTATTGAACGAGCCGTTGTAACCTGCACTGTCAAGTGGCGTGAATCCACGACGTGATGGAATGTTTGGATCTGCACCGTGTTCAAGATGCCACTTCACCAGATTTTCGTCGGTAACAACGGAACTATGAAACTTGTTAATTGTCTAATGCTTGCCTTGCTGCATAATCAATCTCAGCAATATCTGGTCTGAGTTTCTTACCCAAGGGATGTGATCCCCATCCACCATTTTGCATTGATATCCCATCCATGATCCAGAAGGGCTTGGTAAATACTAGTCGACTTGCTTTCCTTTGCGCCGCTGAGAACGTTATCCATGATTCCTGCGCCTTGATCCAGGAGGAATGACACGAGAGCAGCGTGGCCATTCTTTGCTGCTTCAACGAGCGGTGTCTGAAGAGCGTTCTTCAGATTCTCATCGGTTTCTCGCTGAGAGCTATCTCCATCCGTCGCCCCCTTGGCTGTAGCTGTTGACCATTGCTTAAGAAGCGCCATTACTTCTTGGAGGTCACCTTCGGCACTAGCACATTCCATTGCGCTAAGCACATCGTGAGCGGTTTTACCATTGAGAGCCGACATTCAGGAAGAAGGCCCGTTGCTGATATCAAAAACCAGAACAACCATACAGTCAGCCTGACAACCTTGGATTTGACGGCCTTTGATGTGGTGGAAAGAGTGCGGAGGACAAGGTGGTGATTTATGCAACTTACAAGTGCGCGAATGGAGTCTTTACGTCCGCGGCGAGCGCTCGAGATACGAAGTGCAAAGTTATGTAGCCTGAGGTGGGGGCAAGGGCGTCATCTGCTACAAATCCCTCAGAGTTTGCGTCGGTGTATAGAATCAAGGGCATCCAAGCTGCTTGCATCGGATTGGGTTTGATCGTTCCAGCGTTCATGTGCTTCTATGTTGAAGGGGAAGACTGAGTGGTGCTATGACCTTGTTAAAGTTGATTGGCTAATCTTCGATTGTCGCTATGTATTTCGTCCCCGCATCCACTTTAGATCGTAGCTTATCACCATGCATATTCGTGTTCATATCCTGAAGAGAGTCTGGAACCAGCGACTGCCAGTAGCCAACCCTCTGCTATCGCAATACAAAAGGACCCCCAACCTCTACTCCTTCCCCTTCGCAGCAGCGCCCTCCCGGCCCCCACGCTGCGCCGCGCTTTCCTCAAAGTCCATCTTATACCGCTTCCACACCTCCGCATCGCGCGCAATCCGCTTCTCCGCCCTGATTTTTCGCTCATAGGCGAGCATGCGTCTGTCTGCCTCGATCATGCTGCCGACTGCCATGCCGGACATTTGGAGGTAGCTTTGTTTAAATGTTAATGTACTGCAAAAACCGTGTGGCTATGACTGGGGGTTTGAGGTCGAGGGGTTTGGGGTTCAGGGAGTGTAAGAGAGGGGAAAGAGTGAAGAGGGAAGGCTGAGAGGAGAGGAGGAGAGGGGAAGGGGAGCTTACACTTTAAATTGAATGGTGAGCCCACGATAGATAGGGGAGAAAGCATAGGCTGCTGCGCCGAGGACGCCGGCATAGATGCCCCACTGGATGGGGAACGAAGTATCAGCACAGAGACTATAGATACACAAAGAGCTACTGGAGTATAGAAGCGATTTGATCCAGTTTTGTAGGGCTTTGAGAGTAAAAGATCCAGTAGAGAGAGAGATAGCAGTGTCGTGTGACTCCGGGACAGATGAACGGCAACCACTAACGATCTAATCAACCCACGAAACGAAATCGGTGCATCGAGCGAATATGGCAGTGCTCAGCAAACAATGCACGATTAAATCCTTTAACAGAAAATCGACTTCTGGCTGCACGAGACAAATCACCATGAAGAGCAACTCACCCTCGCAGCCCCCGTTAACGCCCCTCTTGCAGCCTCCCAGGCAGCCTTGTTGACCTCCTCATCCTTCTCTAAGCTGCCATGCCGGCGCATCGTTTCAGGTCCTTAGGGCAACATACGTGGACGATTGCCGCTGCAAAAGTTTCTCTGACGTTCAATGTTAAGATGTCCGAGTGTTGACGTCACGGTCTCGTTCGCTGCCCAAGCTTTTGTGCGCGCCGAGGGAACCGAGTTGATCGAGCAGCGACATTCATTCAGCGTGCAGTTGATGGCAATGGAATCAGATGCAGTTATTATGCGCATCAAATTGATGCTGAAATCAGTGCGTCATAGCGAACGTAATTAGCACATCTCGCATTCCTCGTCTATCTATACTCGTATGCTGGCACAAACGAACAGTCCTCCCGTTACCCGTTACCGAATCCCCCGAAAGCATCTACATCCATGTACTTCCTTAAGCCCTCGAGTCTGTGACCGACAGAGAAACGCCGTTGAAAATGCTACAGTGTGTGCCGCCCGAACGCCGCTCGTTTACCCAACTGAAGCATGATATCCAAACGCATGAGCGCTCGAATGCCGCTTCTACGGTGCCGGAGGCAGAGTAGCATGATAGACACGCGGGCGTAGATCGTCACAGCTAAGGCCCACGCCAATGACCGGCCCCGGATTCGCAAATCCGTCGATCGACATGACAAGTACCAGCAGGCGACGGTACGAGATGCGTGGGGTAGCCTCCAGCCCAACCACGACAGCCCTGCATCGGTAGAGAGGTCCAGGTTCGGGACCAGACCTTCCGTTCGCAGCGGCGGACGACGCCTCTGCCTCCTGAAAACCATCGAGCCTGTCAACCTGAGAACTGTCGAGCCTGTTGCACACACGGATCAGCATTGCGAAACACCACTCTCTCCGTCATCTCCACGCCTCCATTATCGCTGCTGCGGTCCCCCAAAAATCTGATCCATCTGCCTCGCAAGCGCCTGCGCGCTGCTACTCCTCTTCTCCGCCGTCTCTGGCCTGCGTTCCGCAGTAGGCGGTCTCCTATCCTCCTCCAGCACGACCAACCTTTGCGGGCCCTCCAAGCTCGTACTCCCACTTCTCCCCCCTCTCTCCTCCGTGAAACTCAGCTCCTTCTCCGCCGTCGGCGTGCTGTCTAGCTTGACCTGCTCCATGATCTGGCTGAGGCGTGTCGGCCCGTCCGATTGCGGCTTCTCGAACTCCTCCTGGTCGATGTCGACATCCACGTCCAGCCCGTTGGCGATGCGCTGGTTGCGTGTGAGGTATTGTTCTAGGAGGTAGGTCTGGCGCTCCCAGCTCTCGTCTACGAGGCGCAGCGCTGCGTTGATGTCTTGGTCGGACAATTGGGAAGAGGGTCGCTCTTTGGGATGCTTGCCGAGGAACTTGGTCCGCACGGATTTGGGCTGTGGGCTGCCGACGCGGTCGTCTCGCATGGCGCGTACTTCTTGCTCGGTCTTTCTGAGCGCTTCGGTGCGGCTTTCGGACATGTTGGGGAGGTGTTGGAGGGTGATGTTTCGATGGAGGGAGGCGACGAGGTTGGTGAAGCCGGAGAGGGGGATTGCGTTGTAGTCGCAGTATACTTCTTGGAGCGTGAGGTTGGCGCGCAGGACGTCGGCGAGGACGCTGGCGCCTTGTAGGCCCAGCTTTTGGTCTGGGGCAGGTTAGCCGCCGCACATTAGATGCAGAGGGTAGAGTCTTACGCTGGATGATCAGGGTGGTAAGGGATTCATTCTCTTCAAGGCCGCGCAAAGCTTGACTGATTCCCACACCAAGTTTGGACTCCTCAAGTCTAGAGTCCTCTCCTGAGATATCCAGTCTTCTTATGGTCTTGTTCTTCTTGAACATCTCCTCAAGCGCAGCGGATGTCTCATCAGTAAGCTCACATGGGAGTGATGCTTTGGACATGTCCAAGTAAGAAATGGTGGTGTTAACAGTCAAGGCTTTAACGAGCTGGCGAAAGCAGGCTTCATCTTCGTATTCCACTGTCTGCATCGTAAGCGCCTGTGGTGCACAATCATCCGCAATAGCAGCAGTCAGGGCGTCGAGATGTTGCTCGATTCGATTTTGGCTGATATCGAGGTGGAGGTTACGTGGCGTGCCGTCCTTGTGTCTGAGCGCGCGCATTACACGGGCGATGGCTGCGCCGTCGATATATGTATGACGAAGACCTAGTTCGCGCAAGCTACCAGACTTGCAGTCACTGAGATATCTGTTTATCAATTAGCGGGTGTTCCGACTTACTCGCGATCTGCGTAAACCAAGAATTGAAGCAAGAAGATTGATGACAACTAAAGCAGCGTTCATGTAGTGCAAGGGCACAAATCGGGTCTATTATTGGGCAAAGCTGTTAAGGAAGAGCGGAACCTACCGACAGATCGCATCGAGAGTTCCCTCGTTGATCGCGGTTCCATTCAGGTAAAACTCCCGTAATCTCCACTTAAGCAGTGTCTCCGCAGCAACTAGCGGTTCAGGACCGGAGGTACGAGAGATGTTGGAGAGATTCAGCTTGCACAGAGACCCAAAATGGCTTAGTTGAAAGTCAAACTGCGACGGGCTCAGTCGCGCTGGGTTTTTGGAAACGTCAATGCACTCCAGAGTACCCTCGTGGGCGCGCAAAGCGTCGAGGAAGAGTGAGAGGTTTCGGTCATTGAGCCCACAGTTGCTCAGCTCTATTGCGCGAAAGTGGCAAGATCTTTCGACCGCCGCTCCGACAAGATAATCAAGGTCCGCCTCTCCGAGTTGGATGTTGTTGAGCACTATCCAGTCAATGTTCGTTTTCTGCCGCTTGCAAAGCGGAAAGAGGGCCTGTGCGATACCGCAGCCGATGTCTTGAGTCTTTACACCGTCCACATAGTCTTGGGGTTCTCGCTTGATACTGGAGGTGAAGTTCATACGCCTGAGTTTTCTGCTGCCTAAAGCTAGCGCGCGTAGTTCTTGAACAAGTAACGACGACTCGGACAGATCTTGGAGGCTGAAACCGACGGGCGTCCCCCTTTTCGTCTTCGTGCAAACGTGCTCCGCACCGAAATGGTCAAGTACGCCGTTGAGCGCATCCAGCGAGCTATTTGCGAAAGACAGTGTACCAAAAGACTCGTTGTATCGGAGAGCTCGCATGATGGCTAGCAACTCATGGGCTGTGTATGCCTGCTGACGAGGGTCTACGGGCCCTTGCAGCTGAAAGCACGGAGAGTCTTCTGCTACAGGCACGATCTGGTAACGAATATTCCTCGGATCGCAGTCGTATGCAACACAGTACGCTGAGAGCAAGTCGTCGAATGAATCGAGATCAATAGGCTGTGAGTCAGAGTTCCGGAGAATCTCCCGTTTGACATCGTCTGGAACGAGAAAGTGGTACGGCCGAGACTCCCACTCGCGCCGTAAACGCTCGTCAATCTGCCGTAGCCGCAAAGCGATATCTTTGCTGGCGAGGGATGCCAGATGAAGGACCTTTGCGGGCTTACGAGGCATTCTATCGAGGATTAGTCAGATCAGTGCAAGTCCCAAGCGATCGTTCTGACCTCAAGGTTTTGTGGATCTCTCAGAGTCAGAGCTAAACTTACCTGAAGGTCAACTCAAACGTATCGTCGTTATCGCTGAGCCGCAATTCAGTGAGCGTCATGATACCGTAAGACGCCTGCATGTTGTACGTTCCGAGTGACGGGGTGGAGCCGGTTCTAGCAGATCTGAATAAAGGAATGAGATGCACCTTGTTTACTCCGATAGCGAGGAAGCAGACCGAGGATGCTATCTTGGCCAAGTCATCGGAGGACGAGCGATTGTGCTGTTTAGAGGCCCGTTGAATTACCTTGTAGATCATGTAGTTCTCCGGCACGTAATCCTTCTCACGGTCAACCACCCTAGCGGCTAGCGTGCTGTTGTACTCCGAGATTGGATTGACATCGACCAGGCGAACATTGTTGGCGGCGGTACGAATGGCTGCGAGCCAAACATCCCTTTCGTCAGGATCGCCCAGTTGGAGATTGAGCGACGAAGCATGGTTCGATTCGTCGTCTAGGTACGCAATCTCGACCGCGAAATATGGCCGCCCGTCCTCGACCTTGTACACTGCCACTAGCTGCCTCAAGGGTGTACTACCATCTCGGTCGCCAGAGTTGTCCGAAGGAGCTGAGCCGAACTCATGAGAGGATCCTGTTGAAGGTGCCGTGTTGTGTCGCGTGTTGCTGGCTCGGCCGGGAACCGGGAGAATACTGCGTTAATGGTCAGATGCGGCTGTACGAATCGTAGGCTTGAGTGCAGCTTACACGGTGAACGTTTTGGAAGCTTTGGCCTGGCTCTTAAAGCGGATGAGGTGCGTCTCGGTGAGAACGAGGTATTCTTTCTTTTTCCTGAACAGTGAACCACTTGTTTGAACCTCTCCATGTTTGAGGACGTTTCGAGACCGCAACCCCGCCTCGCCGAATTCGCCCCAGTTGACTGACGGTGGCCTGCTTGAGACGGTGCTCTGTGGCTCTTCATATATCTCGTCGGACGAGAACTTGGATCTCCATGACCCGAACTTGGAGTTGCTTGCCATGCTGCCCCCTATGCGCGGGAGTTGCGGTCTTGTGGTTGTGGGTGAGATTGGCGACTCTTCGAGCTCTGCGAGGGCGGCGCTTTCTCCGCTAGAATCTGTTGTGCCAAACAATGCTGTCTGCCGCCGTCTCTTCAGTGTCTTCGGGGGATCCTTGCCATTGCCGGTGAGAGGTGTGAGCGGGCTGAGGTTGAATAGGCTGCGTCTTCTGCTGCCAGATTTACCATCGCTATTGATGCTTGACATGATGCTGGGAGATATGGCGACAGTGGAGCGCGCGAGATAATGCACCGGCGGCCGTCAGGTCCTGGGTTCGGTGCAGGGCTATAAAGTACCAGGTCAGTTCGCTGGCGCAAGACTGATAAACGTGGGGCGGTACCGACCGCAACAACGCAAGGCAAGCAGGGACAAACTTGAGGTTGCTACGACGCGCAACAGCTGTCTTGAAGCAGGAGAAAAGGAGCAGACAATGAGCGACAAGAAGCCGGGCAGAGCGAAGCAAGCAGTTGAGGTTCGACGGCCGCGTCGCAAAGTTGATCAGCCGTCGCTACCTCGTCCAGGAAGTCCATAATAACAATGGAGAGACGCGATGAAGGCGCGGCAATGCTCATGCCCGGTGAGAAGAACGGCAAGCAAGAGCAGTCGGGGTGGTGGGGGGAATTCGGGGGGGGGGGTCCTGCCCAGAAGCTATCACGGGCTGGTTGGTGGTTCCCAGGATGTCCGCGGGTCCTGCCTTGGCGCCTTGGTGCCTGGAAGCCTGGGAGCCTGAGAGCCTGGGAGCCTGCCCGTACTTGCGCCGCCCTGACGCCGTTGGTTCTTTAGGGCAAGGCACGTGACTGGAGCTATCAGCAGCTGTACCCCCGGTTGCTGGCACACGCCGGCCAACTCGCCCCTTGCTGTCTACCTAGGTACCTACCCAATTGACTGCTTGCCAGCCTCCGCTCTACTCTTTGACTAGGCGCTCAATGCTTAGTCGCACGCTTGGGCGCGTCTCGAGACCGACCAACGCGTACGTCTGCCTGTCCTGCCGCGTCCATCAGTACAACCAGACCCGATCAATACGCAATAAGAAGCCCGCCCCAAAAGCCACCCCAAAGGCGCCCGCGCCGAAGGGCAATGAGAGAAAAAGTGTCAGCGATGGCACCAAACCTAGCCCTCCGCCGGCAAAGCCGAAAGAATCAAAGACCAAGGGGCAGAATACTAGCAGCCATGGAACACAGTCCGGCCAGCCGAGCACGACGGCGGCGGGAGGCGGGTCCGAGAAGCCTGGATCAGGATCCAAGGAAGTGACGAAGAAGAAGAAGAAGAAGCCAGGTGCGCCGAAGAAGACAGCCAAGAAGGGCGTTCGAAGGGTCGTGAAGGGACCAATCGTTCGAAAAGTCGAGGCGACCAAGACAGTGGAAGTGGCTCCTGTAGACGACCCTGTGCTTAAGGCCATGGAGGGTTATCTGTCTGCAAAGGCGGATCTCAGCGAGTGGGAGAAGGAGCGGCTGGAGACGATAAGAGAGCTCCTAAAGTCGCCACCAAAAGCATCCGAGAGCAACAACGCAGCATCCAAGTCGCACGAGGAGGACGCCTCAAAACGAAGAGCGGGAGTGGCGAAGCGGAGTTGTGATGTGGGACAAGAGTTCTCCGCAATGGACGGCCATCGCACACTCAAGGATGCCCTGAAGGGATCCGCAAAGAAAGTAAGTTCATTCTAAAAGTACGGAAAGGAAGACGCCTCTAATGAAGAAGCAGAAGACGTCCCGAAAGAGGAGCGACGAAGATGTCGAGCGAATCTCCGTCGCGGATCTGGAGATTACCGCCTTGGACATCGAGCAACCGCCTGTTCCCGGTCTTGCACATGATCTTTCCCGGGTGCTGTTCAACCCTGGCGTATACCATCTACAAGATTCACGATCTCGAGTGTACAACTTCGATCCGTACTTGGAAAAGATTATGCCAGTTGCAGAATTCGATTTTAACGCATTGAAGGAATATATCACGTCTTCGCAGGATGAAGTACTATCACAGATAGCCAAGGAGCAGGGCAAGAAATATGTCGGCTCAACTTCCAGCATGACCGGAGTATTGACACGCTTCCACTATTTACTATCGCATTGGCGCGAGATAAATATAAACATGCTCTCGAAGCGGTTCCCCGAACAGTCCAGACAGTACACCCTGCTCAACCGTTCTCCGACAGCCATCTTCCTGCGATGGAAGAACGGCACGTACGCAATTGACGCAGACAAGGAGTTCGACACCGCCAATGTCCTAAGCATGCTCGGGAAGTCCATGGAGAAACTCCTAACACTGCCGACAGCGGAGTTCGAGCGCTACCGACGCACGAACTCATATCAGATATCCGAACAGGAGCGGGAGCAGCCAGAAGCATTCCACTACTCTACCCTCGGCGACTTCCTGATGCGATCGCAGCTCGACGCGCATGATCCGCGCCTACCTGGCACGGGAATGTTCGATCTGAAGACCCGTGCAGTGGTCTCCATCCGCATGGACGCCTCCGAGTACCAGCAGTATACCGGCTACCAGATCAAGCACAGCCAAGGGAAGTGGGAGTCTTACGAGCGCGAGTACTATGACATGATTAGATCGACCATGCTGAAGTACTCGCTACAAGCGCGCATGGGCAGGATGGACGGCATCTTCGTCGCCTACCACAACGTCGAGCGCATCTTCGGCTTTCAGTACATTAGCTTGGCGGAAATGGACGATGCGCTGCATGGACAGCGGGATACGGCGTTGGGCGATCAGGAGTTCATGCTGAGTATTGATCTGCTGAACAAGGTGCTCAACCGTGCCACAGAGAAATTCCCTGAAACGGTACGTTTTATTGCATTTTTGCTAAATCATCATTCGTACTAACAACCCCAGTCCATCCGCCTCCATTTCGAAACCCGTGACGCCGTTGTACCATTCATGTATATCTTCGCAGAGCCGGTCACCGAAGCGGAAGCACAGAGGATCCAAAACACGAATAAGGCTGAGAGCGAAGCGTATGAGCGTGCAATGCTTGGCTTGGATCGTGGCACCAAAGCTACTGCCGACCAGAAGTCCAAGAAGGATTGGCAGGACATCAAAGCTCAGGTGGAGAGTGAAATGGATGCTGATGGAGCGGCTGCCAGCGTAGATCCTAAAACCACCGCTGCTGATGCCGATGACGATGAGGCAGACGCTGAAGACAGGGATGGCAAAGATGATGACGACGAGGATGAGGAAAACGACGAGGACGAGGAGGATGAGGAGAATGAAGAGGACGAAGAGGACGAAGAGGGTGAAGAGGAGGACGATGATGACCACGAGGAAGAAGAGTCCGACGAAGAAGCAGAAGACTCGAACTTATTAGATGACGAGACCACCGAACCCCAAGAAGACGAGAGCGCCACCAGCGCCTCAAACCCCGCCGAAGCCGAGCCCAACAAGCCAGCCGACTCTTCAGACTCATCCCCAAACCCATCACCCGATCCCGACACCACCGGCTTCACCCCCTGGCCCCCCTACATCCCCACCCCCGGCGAAGACCTCAACCCGCACCTCATGCCCCTGCTCGCCATGTCCCTAACCGTGCGCAACAAAGTCAACAACGAGTACGTGAAGCGGCCGTCCGACCTCACCGCGTCCGACGAGTGGGACATTGAGTATTCTCTCTCCGAGATCGAGGATGCCTCGCGCGCGTGGACCGTATACGAGGCATGCAAGCAGCGCCGCGCGAAGCAGTTTATCCGCGAGGAGGCGGAGGGGAAGCCTAGCATGGACTTTTATAGGGATCAGCTGAGGGAGCTAAGTCGCAGGGGGAGGAGGTGGAGGAGCGAGCAAGATGCCCTTGATGATGAGAGGGGGCTTGTGGTTTACAGACCTGAGGTTGGGGTGGCAGAGAAATACAAGGGTGCGGCGGGGGGGAATGGCAAGGACATGTTATCTGCGGGAGAGAAGGTGGATGGGGTTGAGGACTACCTTGGCTGGCTGTTCTCGCGAAGGAAGAGTGACAGATAAGTAGCCGTGAGGGTTGCCTTGTACATCTAAATACAGCTGTACTAAATAATCTGATCATCTATCGAGTTCAGGTTTGGAGCGTCCTCTGCAACTGTAACCCTCTTCACTCGTTGCCAAGTGCCTGCAAGTGTCAAGTATCAACGTGGTGGTGATGACTATGGAGTTTCTGTCATGCCATGCCTCATAAGAAGCAGGATTTCTTTTGGCCGACATGGTCGAATGTAGCACCCGTCAAACAGAGGATTACTGGCACAGTGTTGCATAGACCTTGTAGTGATGAGTTCAGGCGCCGTTATTCATGATATTTTCCTATTCGTGAATCTTGCGCCACGAGCTGGGTGCTCATGAATGGAAGCGCTACCTACTCAAGCTCCAGTTCCCTATACAGCGGCAGGTTTAGGCAGCCAGCCGTATACGAATCATAGTCTATCCTCGCAGAAGAACAGCAACGCCATCCCATGTATCCATCGTCACTCATTCCACAACTGCACGCCCGCCAGGTGAACTTGATACCAGACTATCTTGCTGCTACCGTCTCACTATCAGAAACCCAAGGTTTCATGGTCTTGGTCATTATCAAAGTGTGTTTTTCCATGGCGACAGGATCTCAGTTGCTTGACATATGCTCCTTAAAACACGTGTGGGCCACGCTCTATAGTAAGTAAATTAGTCGATACGAATGGGCGACTAATCAGTCTCACAACGCTCCCAAGAACAAAACGCGCAGAGTGTGCAAGGCATAGTTGAATCATAATCTATTCATGCAGCTACCTAAAGCCCCACCTAACGCCTCTATTTTCCATGCCCCGAACCGGATGCGGATGCAGTCGTCAGACGCTGGGTATCGCCACGGTGAATGCAACATCAGCCCGTGTATATCACCACGCACTGTGTTCATGTATGGTGCAGTCGACATGCAGTCGCTCATGGCGGAATCGTACCTCATATGTGGAGGCAATGCTGCCTTACACCGCACCCGTGGACACCATCTTCTTCCGCAGATGGTTCTTATATTCTCCAATCGAGCCGTCCCATCTCCGAACAGTCTTGTTCTCGCACACCATAATGTCCTTGGCAATCTTGTCGAGCAACCTGTGAGATGTGTTAGCACGTGCATCTTGAGAGGAGGCAGGGTACTTCGCAAGGCTTACCTGAAGTCGTGAGACACAACGACGACGCCACCGCTGAAAGCGTTGATAGCATCCGCCAAACTATCGATCGTAGGGATATCCAGACCGTTAGTAGGCTCGTCGAGTAGAAGCATGTTCGGGCTCTCGATGGCAAGCAGCGCGAATACGATTCTGCTCTTCTGACCCTCAGACAAAGTACCCATAAGCGCAGTCTGAGACTCTCCGCTGAGACCGTAGCGACCGAGCTGCTGTCTCCAGTACTGATAATCTTGACTCTTGCTAGCGTACTTATCCCGCACAAAGTCAAGGGCAGACTTAGTAAGGTCGAGTTGGTCGGCAGAGTGCTGGCTGTACATGCCAAGCTTCAAGTGAGTATGGCGCGAGACGGTGCCACGGGTGGGTGAAAGCTTGCCGGTGAAGATGCGGAGGAGCGTAGACTTGCCGACACCGTTGGGTCCGACGAGCGCTGTTCGAGAGTCCATGTCCACGCCGAAGTCGAGGTGCTCGTAGAGGTTGTCCGCTTCCTTGCCGGAGTAAGAGAAGGTGACGTCGTCCAAAGAGAGCACGGGTGGCGGTAGTTTCTCGACGTCGGCGAAGCGGAATGTGAAGACGCGGTCTTGGTGGACGGGCTGAATGAAGCCGTCGGCCTCCATCTTGTCGAGGATCTTCTGGCGTGACTTGGCTTGCCTGACCAAGTTGGCGTATGTACCTGCGGAGGCGATGAACTTCTTGATGTGCTTAATTTCGTCTTGCTGCTTTTCGTATGCCTTCATCTGGTTGACCTCCTGTTCGGTTCTGGTCTTGATGTACGAGTCGTAGTTACCACCGTAATACAATAGCTTCTTCTCGCGCATGTCGATCATGTTTGTACAGACACCATTGAGGAAGTCCATGCTGTGGGACACCAAGATTAAGGTACGGTCCCATTTCTTCATGTACTCTTCCAACCACACGCAGGCTTCCAGGTCCAAATGCGCAGTCGGGTCGTCAAGGAGAAGCAGCGACGGCTTGACGAAGAGCGCCTTGGCCAACGCTACCCTCATTCTCCAACCGCCGGACATATCCTTGGTCTTCTTGTGGATTGTCTTCTTGTTGAAGCCGAGACCAGTGAGAATGAGCGAGGCACGAGTGTGGAAGGTGGAAGGATCCATGGTTTCCATGCGCTGGCATGAAGTTAGCAGACACATTCTCATGGCGGTGCCGGGCTACTAACCTCGTAAAGGTCTTCCAAAACTGGGCTATCTGGCCCGTCTCTTTCTAGGATGTCCTCGGCGAGTTTCTCCATCCGCGCCATTTCGTTCTCCGCCTCCTTGACGACCCACTCCAGGGCGCCAAGGTCGCTGGGCGGCGCGCCCTCGTTTAGGAGGTAGATGTCGATGTGTTCGGGGAAAGGGAACTCGCGCTTGTCGATGGCCTTGAGCAGCGTGGACTTTCCGCAGCCGTTCTCGCCGAGCAGGCCATATCTGCGGCCGTAGGACACCTCGATCGTGGTGTCGTTGAACAGGACTTTGCCATGGAATACGAGCGACGCAGACGCTATCTTGACGTCTCGGCTCGCCTCAAGCGATGCCAGCACACCGGTCGTGACTCGATCTGAAATACCATGCTCATCCTCTTGCAGCGTCAACTTTTTGACTTGTTCGCTGATCCCCTCAGTGTCTTCGACGTCTATCAGTGGCGTATCGTCGCCGTTCACGGACGAGGCTTTCGACCCGGACTTCGAAGCGGACTGCGAGGCGGCTTTCGAGGAGATTTTGGAGGCAGCCGTCTTCTTGGGCTCTTTGCCATCGGCGACGCGCTTCGCCTGGCGGGCGGCCTTGGATGCGGATACCATGTTGTCGGGTGTCGAAAGGCTGTAGGATTACTCGGTTTGCAGGAAAGAAATTTTGGAGGGACAAAGGACGTCAAGCAGTTGTGGTGGGGCGGCGGTTTTTATCGATAGGTAGGTACCGAAAGCCAGAAACGATGAGAACCTGAGTATTCAGGCAGTAAAAACGGCTACAGGCGGAGAGACGATTTAAAGCGAGGGGAAATACACCCTAAACAGGAGATAGAAGTGGAGTGGATAGCGAAGCGTCGCAGAAGTTCTGCGAATATTTTCAAGCTTATGTTGAATGTTGCGATGTGGCGAGCACACCCTGAATACGGCTATCCAATCAAGAGCACTCGCAACCACATGCTGGAATTTCATGAGGCATCGACAGGTAACAGCGCGGCAAATAGTTCTACTTTTGTTACTCTGGATATCTCTACAAAGCCCTAGAGCTACATGTCTATAATCTATTATGCAAAACGCCCGTTGTAACAGGAAGTTTCTAGCATCTTCATCCACGGCATACCTCCAGTTGCATATGCCGCTGCTCGGCACCCTGCTTCGTGTTGGGAACCTGCGCCTCAAACTCCGCATCTCCGCCTGCAGTACCCCCTGATCGCTTTCGTGAGACTCAGCACATCCCAGGACTAGGCTAGTATTCCTCTCCTTGCCCGACCACTGCTTCCTCTTCTTGAAACTCTATTCGGAGACCAAACAGCCCTAAGATAGCTCCGTAGTGGCCCCCCCACGACTTCCCCTAGGATGACCCGTAAATCGGTGGTAAGTGCTTGCCATGATGTTCAGGTAAACTGAAGGCGTGACAGTTCGATCCGTTATGCCAGTGTTCCGTGCCGTCGCCTGGGCTAGATGCACTCGGATGTATCGCGTTTAGTGCAACCCTCAGCACCAGGCCATGCTGATGGGAATCCGAGGTGGTTGTTCCAGAAGGGGTGCGTGAGAACCTCAATCGGTACCCCAAGTCGAGTCGCTATCAAAACTGGGTGCTGCAAGGTTTCGACGTACTAGATGATTGCGAAGGCGAGACCTGAATATCTGCGCTATTCCCTTCTCTTCTGGGCCCAGCGAGAAATTTTCCGGCAGTAGGATATCATCCGCAGTGATGATGACACACTGCTCCGTGTTGAATCCATAAACTTTGCTGAACGTCCTCTCCAGTTTCTGCACGTCCGGATCTTCTGCTTGCTTCTCTACGTCTTCTGATTGCTTGGCTTCATGGTCAATCTGCCGGCCAACCTGCAGCGGCGTCCACCAGAACATTGGAAACTGCCGTTGAATGTTGTTGACAATCAGGGCCACAAGAAGCATAAGGACAGCCCCCAGCAGGACGATGGGCACAAACATCCATCCCATGGCACTGGCGACAGGGTCGATGGCGGCAATCAAAGCAGTGGCGCCTCCTGGGGGATGGATTGTGTTTGTGGCTCCCATAATGCTTGAGGACAGGCCGCAGGCTAGGGCACCAGCTAGCCATCGGATGTCATGAAAGTTGTCACTTAGCATGAAAAGCTTTGTGATGCCCACGCCGACAACAGCTGAGAGACCGTGGCCGATGAGGGCGTTGCGAGGCTGGGCCAGAGGCGACTTTATCGTTTGATAGTCGAGGATAGCCGTTGCACCCTGGTCCGTGTCAGTCACAAGCCAAGCCCATGGGTTCTTGCAGAGTACCTACAAAACTTGCGAAGAGTACCGGGGGGGAGTACTTCTGAATGGCATCAACCATGTACACCTGGGCCACGACTATTACGCCGATAAAGGCCCCGACAAATGCCCAAAACCATACGAGCACACTGCCGACATCGCCAACAGCAGACTCGCGGTAGCCGAGGAACCTTGAGATTGGCTTGGGAAGGCGGTGGAGCTGCGATGGAGGGACAAAGCGGTTGATGTACTTGTCGATGTCGAAGCTGATGTCCTTGGCTGCCGGGAGTCCCATTTTGGATGTTGAAGCTTGCTCCTCTTTCGTCTGTAACAGGGGAGACCGCCAGAGAAGTACAAGTAACGGCCCTGAGGCTCTCTAGATGAAGAGCCGGCGGCCCGCACGAAGCCTTTCATCGTCACGGAGATCTGGGACTCTGCTTACCTGCAACGGAAAGGGCACATCACGAGCGTGGAAGGTGTGGTTTTCCATAACGTAAATGTACGTAATAGGTACCCCTGCCGACGAGAGCACCCCCAGATCATCGGTTATTCGGATGTATGATCATATTGAGTGCCTAAGGCAGGTGGTACGTTGTTGGGGAAAGCAGAGTTTGGTGGAGAAGGGCGTGGCTGGACATGCTGTAGTTGGGACATGCTGTAGTTGAAGCCTGCAGGTTGAAGTGACAAAAACGCCAGAGCTGAACGGGAAGGCGCACGAACACTTTGAGCAAGGGAGAGATCATCGTGCGAAACACGTTTATCTATATAATTTAGCAGCTGTTTACGCATCTCCAAGATCGGCCAGTCTTCGTGGTGTAGTCGGTTATCACGTCGGTCTCATATGTCGCTATATGACTGTCTGGTCAACCAGACGGCGATCCGAAGGTCACGAGTTCGAATCTCGTCGAGGACATTTCTTTTGCTCTTTTGACGGCCATTATTTGCCCTCAGAATGGAGGAATATTGCCAGGGAATTTTTGAGGTGTTGAGGTCGATTGCGTGCGTTGCTTCGCCTTGCGGGCCTTGGGAGACCGATATGGGCTTCTCTAAACCGAGCTACTCTTCAGACTCCTCCGTAGAGCAGCAGGGAAAGCCTGGGAGATTTCTGAAAACACTCTTGGGTGGGTACTGGCTGGCAGGTGCTGGTCAGGTTTCATAGGTAAGCAGGCTTCATGAGTAGGCCTCGGGCAGGCTTCGAGGGCAAGCTTCAAGAGCAGGCTTCAGGTAGCCTACCTTAGCTTGGGTAAGTAGGTATCCATCTTTGATATTCGGTATACCCTACAGCACTCAGCTGGTGGATATACACGTTGAGCTACGTTACATAAAGATAGATACGGTTTGTCCTGTTTCCGTCACTTCATATATTAGGATCAAATTAGTTATCCGCACCTCCATAGGAGTCATTTATCCATAACGCAACAGTGAAGTATACTCTTCAAACAAAGAGCCCGATTCATTGTTGAAGGTGATATACAGAGAACGGGCTGGCGACTTCGACTCAGCCTTTCGCGACTGTTGACGTGTTAAGCACGCTCGCCCAAACTCGAGGCGCGTTGTTTCGACAGGTGTACAGGATCACTCGTAGACCGTCAAAGGCGGTGATATGGGTACTCTCCATAGGGCCCTACACCCGCAATCTCGACCCCTGAGTGGTCCATCCAACTGCATTCACTCCCTATCCTGCAAAAAATTGATAACAGCTAAACCTAGTCAGCAAACCTAATCCCGTCATCTAAAAAGCATGCGGATAAAACCCACCTTGCCTAAACGCCTCCGGGTTCTCCGAAATGACCCAATGCCCCGCCTCGACATCCACAAGCTCAAACCGCGGAAAGAACCTCCCGATAATCGGTAGCGTCTCATCCGAGACATAATGACTCTTCGTGCCCCTTACAAACAGCGCCGGCTTGTTGAAGCGCACACCGTCCGGATCCTTGAACGGGAAGTCCGCCATGTTGTCCAACGCCGCTGCCAGGTACTTGATCGGTATGCGCCATTTTTGGTGCGTGCCGTCTTCGGAGCGGACGAGGTTTGTGAGGAGGAATTGGCGGACGGGGAGTTCCTGACGGAGATTGTGAGATAAGCTGCGCCTCCATTGAGGAACGATGAATGCCTGTTACCTCCGCGTAGTCCTTGAGTATGGCATCTGCGTCGCTCTGCCTTTTGACCTTCGCGTCCTCGACCTTTCGCATGCCCTGCACGTATTTGGCGAAGTCGCTTTTGAGGGCCGCGTCGACGGGCGCGTTATCCACGGAGACGATGTTGGCGACTTTTGACGGAGAGCGGAGGGCTACGGTCATGATTGTTTTGGCGCCCCTGGATGGTCAGCTGATGCTCTGGGAGATAGTGGGCGGTGCTCGAACATTGAGTGCCCGATGAGCGTGGATTCCTTCAATCCATGCTTGTCGATGAAGCCTTCCACGTCTTCGGCGAGCGCATCGTAGTAGTGTCTTGGGTCGTGCGGAGAGTCTCCATGGTTACGGAGATCCTAGAGAATCAATTGAGTCTCGATTACAATTGCACCGGCTGTACAAGTGCTCACGATCGCGTATATGGGCCGATTGAGGTCGCGCGCAAGAGCTCTGAGCGCTGGGTTAGCGTTGCTTCAGGACAAAGGAAGTACCGCGCGCGAGAACCTTACTTACTTATGCTCCTGTTATTCTTCTTGGAGCCGAAGAGACCGTGGGCAAAGATTATCGGAGCATTGATTCCGACTGGCTCTTTTCCTTTAGGAGGTTCATGCAGATCGTATGCTAGATCGAGTCGCTGGAAAGCTGGAGACGAAGAGAAAAGGCGGTTACGAGGTCGGTACAGCTGCCCCCGTAACTGTAAAGGCGATCGTCTCAGCGGCATGACGCTTTTCTTCGATTGCATAAGTTGAGGCGGCGCTCAGGCTGATATCGCGGCAGCTGTAATTTACGAGCAAGTCGGCGTATTAAATTTATATTACAGTCCGTTCTGAATGCAAAAACTCCAGGAGGCGCATAAATTCATGATCACACGTTATTTCGAGTTGAGAAGAGTCACAAAAGCAGAGTCTTGCACAGTACGAACGGATCGAACCTTCTGTAGAGCTACCAGCGCTTGGGATAGCAATGAAAGGCATCTATGTCGAACCCACGCCCGCTTCCACCACATCAGACATGCTAAATTATCTCAACCACCGGTGAGCAAAAGCACAATAGCTCGTGAACGAGAGGGGAATCGCAGGCATCCCGCCACCTCTCCACTGCCTTATGATCCCGGTAAGCACGGAGCTTCGCTACTCCCTCATACGGCTCCGTAGCCTTGTATTCTTCCGAGATCTCAGACACGGATGCTTCGGGCGACGACCATAAAGACGGCACCGACACTTGCTCGCAGTGATAGTGACGTTGTGGCACCACCATGGAAGGCTGCGGCACGATAGGGGTCCACCAGAAATTTTCGATGATGTTATCCTCCTCAGCCGGCCTGAACCAACATCCATTGTCGCACAGCTGATTGCACGCGTGCCAGTCCCTGAAGCCCTGTCCTACGAGTGCCGGGACACCATCGATACTCTTGACCACGGGTGCTGCATACTGCGGGACACGTGCGAAGCGCGCGCTGTCCGTGCAAAACATGGCTCCGTAATCAAACCAGGGGAATTCCGGTTTGAAGTCTTCCTCGGGGAACATCTCGAAGCGCTGGCGAAGGTAGTTGTAGAAGACGTAGACGTGCGGAGTGTCGTGGAAAAGCTCAATGACCTGTATGAGCCAGTTTAGCTAGGGAATCACAATGTTGAGGCGAATATTGATATCGAGGTTGTCGGCGGCGGCGGATTTGCTTTCATACAGTCCATGCGGGGAAGACGGGCGGCGGTGCGGTCAACCTGTACAAGGTCAGCTCTGGCGTATGAACGTTGTTAGTCTTTCGGTGGAAGCACGAACGTGACTGTCTCAAAGCCGTCGAACTTTTGTAGCTTGTCCGCGCCTCGACGGTGTGCATGAAGAATTTTAGGCCGTGATGTCCGAATACTCGTTCTGTCAAGAAGCTCGCAGATACCCTTAGAGGGCTTGAACATTGGGTCGAAGACGAGTAGGTTGCGAGCCCCACCCGCCCGGTGCTCGAAGCCCACCACGGTGATGGAGTGGCCCGGCTGTTGCAGGTAGATTGGCGGCAGCGAGGTCTTGTGAACACGGTCGTGCCCATCGCCTTGGCCCAGCTTGAAGTAATCCTCGACAAAATCCAGGAGTTTCTCATGGGCCTGATACCCGTCGGCAGAGTCAAAGAAAGCACTAGTTTGGTGCTGGATATTGAGACTTTCGAGGAGTGCGTGGACCTGATCTCCTCGTCAGTAACAGAACGGTTGCAAAGAGCTCTCATAGGAGATCATGATACCTCAGGAGTACCAATGTACTTCCTAGTCCCCCTGATGCCGCCTGTTTGGATCCGCCCTTCCGCACCAATACCTTTGTCCCAGGCTTCTTCGATGCGATCCTGCAGCCAGAGCACACCGGGAGTCCTACCGGGGAAGGACTGATAGCCCCGAGCGCGGGCCCCTTGGACGTAACTAAAGAGCATCTGCATGTTGCGGTACCCGCAGAAGCCGCCCTCGTTTCTGGTGCTACCAACGTGCACAGCGGCCGGGTGACAGAACCAAGCTTCGCGGACAGAAGGGTCGGCCTCGCTGAGTTGAGCCAGGACAGGAACGAGGCCGGGGGTTTCGTTCTCAACCTTCTCCTGCTTGATGATACGGCCATCACGGCTGATGTGGTTCTCGAAAGTGATTTTGGGGCCTTCTCTGAGCTGGTTGTAGAGCCACTTGGGCATCTTGTCTTCGTACGCGTACGGCCCGAGCTCCTTGGTCTGCTTTCTGGTTAACGGCCATAGACAATGTAGCGGGAGGCAGAACGGCTACATACTCCTAAGCGAAAGACGTCTTTGCGGTGCTTGTCCGGCGTGTATTTTTGCTTTGACGAGAAGCCGGCGAAGTTAAGGATGGTGCGGCTCAGCGAAGTCTTGTCGCTGCGAGCAGAGTCGGCTCGCTTTCGTTTGTTCTCATGGCGTAGAGATTCGTGGATATCTGTAGAGAAGTTTTGCTCTTGGAAAGATGAACGAGGAGTGGTGATAGCTGGAGTGTGCATCTTGTCTGGCTGAGAATGATTGGAATAATCGTCAAGATTAAGGCGTTCTGCAAGATGCAGGTCAAGGTGATCGTTGAGTTCCACAAGAAGTACTTCCTCGCCGCACTCCTCTTCTGGGCAGCTGACATATTGGCTTGACGTGTCGTCGCTGCTGCCATTGTTTCCGGAATACTCCTGCTGTTGCAGTGCAGACGAGGAGGGAACGGGGCTGTTGTCTCTAACCACGAAAGGAGAGTCCTCTGTGTGCAGCTCCTCGATGTGGAGTTGCAGGACATAAAGCTCTGACTCTGATACAGTGTGGGAACAGAAAGGACATCCCAAAGAAGGTGCCATTGCTGGTTGTTGCTAAGCCGATATGGAATACGATGAAGCAGGTGGCAGGAACCCTCTACAGCTTCTCCTAAGCAATCACGGCCCGGAAAGGCGTGACATAACTGTGATGACGTAGATAACTTGCGTGGCGTGACCAGTTGCGATTCTGTAGTCTTTAGAGACCGCGTGAGTGAATGGTATAGTCAGTATGTCAGCACTGTGTGAAGTTGGTTTGCGTGGTGAGCTTGACCGAAGCGACGTCGTTTCGCACCACGAGGGCTTATTCCAGAATATCGACAACCTGAGACAGTGCCTGAAGATGCTACGATATATGCTCGAGATGAGTGGGTTTTGCATCACTACAGGTTTACTTCACAAGATGAAGCTTCCCATGCACGAGGAATGGCCCTAGCACCAGTTTTCTCCCCTATGCAAATAAAGGGGGCACTTCGTCGAAAACTGACAGGAATGATTCCGCCTGTCTTTCTCACGGGCACCTCGACCCGCTCTCTCTCTAGACAAACATTACCCTACATCCAACACTGTCCCCACTCTGCCACAAATACAACAGCGCTACTAGCAGGCAGCGCCGCCAAAAGATGCCATGGCTCGACCCACCCCGCTCGCCCAAAACGCCCCGATAGAAGCAACCCATCCCGCGCCAAACGACCAACTTTGTCTAGCCAGCCGACGAAAATGCTCCAAGATTCGCCTGAACAAAATCCACGCTCAATGCAGCGCGCAGAACAGGATACAGTAAGTGGCACCTCTAGACACCATCGACGTCTCTAATCGCAAGCCCTCGGACCTCACCGTTGCCGTTCGGATGGTCGAACTCCAGTTTTTCCTGCTGCGCTATTGCTTGCGCGGAGACGATTTCCGCCAGCCGCTTCAGGCGAGGCGTTTGTAGCCCTAGAAGGTTGTTAGCTTCGTTTTCAGTGGAAATACTGGCGGCAAGAAGCTCACAAGAAGGCGTGTACGTCTCCAATGCCGTGATGACGCGCGGCTCGGCGATCTCGTAGGGCCCGCTATCTTCCATGTCGACGGCGGTTAGGAGGAGCACGTCGCTTTTCTCTGTCACGCGCGAGGCGACTGCTTTCATGATCTCGCCGTTGATAGGCTGCTCGTAGTCTGCGACGAGATATTGGTTCAGCAGCTTTTGGATCTGGTTGGGCGAGAGCCTGTGATTCGTTGTTAGCCAGCTTGTCTCTGCAGAAAAGAACTAGGAGCCGACACTTACATCCAGCAAATATCTTGGATGATCTCGATGTCGTTCAGCGTTGCTTTCTTGAGCTGCAGTAGCTTCGTGGCTTGCATCAGGTGCTCGAGCTGGAGCGTCCCTTCTGGCATATCGTGGCTCTTGCACCATTCCTCGATCCTGGTGATGTTGTAGTTGATCTGCAGACCGCGCTTCCAGGACAGGAAGTTCCGCCGCATCAGAAGATCATTGAAAGCCGTGACACCAACAAGTCGGAGCAGCTCAGTAACCGTCTGCGTAATAATAGAGTCCTCGAGGTAGTACGTCTTCATTGCTTTGTAGACGTTATTAAGCAAGCTGAGCAGGTTATCCATGCTGAAAGCCGGAGTGTTATTCGACTGCAACAGCTTCCCAAGGAATCTGTTGCTCTCATTCGTGACGAAGCCGGGCAGAGACTGTGATTCGATAATCGCTGGCACGATCATCTTCTGCAGTTTCTTTTTGAGCACCTTCATCCAGGTGTGATAGATGTTGAACTCCAGGCTCTCCAGATCATGTTTGACGATTTCCAGCAGGCGGTCGTACTCATAATTGTCGGTCTTCTGCTGCTCGTACCAGTCCTCGGCTAGGAAGACGAAAGAGAGCATCTCATGAACGTTTGAAAGCCAGAACGCGCCAGGGTTGATCGCTTCGTCGCCGTCGTGCTGCATGACTTCTTGCTGGATAGACTGCATGACATTCGCCAGGAACCGCTCGGACTCTTTTACGAAACCGTTGTTCCACATCTCCGAAGTGACCAGATTTATCAGGTAGGCAGGGAATAGGACCTCCTTGTCTGTTGGAGGCGGTGATGAGCCAGGCGTGGGTATCTTGAGGTTTCGGATGAGACCTATCGTGACTTCGTCGTTGAGGCTCTCTTCGTCAGATAGCAGGTTCTCAAGCTCGAGCTCCACATTGTCAAGACCAGGACTGAATGTCGAGCCGGAGAGGTTCTGCCGATGCGCGCTTGTCCCAGTCACGGCCATTGAGACTGGCCTCGGGCTATACGCGTCGCTAAAGCGATTCATATCCATACGTTCGGGGCCAGCACTTCGTCGCTTAGGCTTCTTCGAGGAGACGAGGTTGATCAGACCAGGCACCGGCGCGTGTGAAACACCGTTTGTCATCTCGCCATTCACCGGTCCTGCACGCTTAGCAATTTCCAACTGATCCTGCAAATCAGCGAGTTGTTGCCGTAACGAAATCTTCTCGTTTTCAGAGTGGACGCTCCGCCGCTTGGATTGCTCGAGCTCCTCGGCTGTTCGTCGCAAGGATTCACGTAGCGTTTTCTCCTCATCCTGGAGGCGTCGCATGTTCGCTGTGCTTTCGTCGTAGTTGCGCTGAAGCTTGCTGAAGTCTTCTTCCAAGGCACTGAGGCGTGCGGCATTGATGCCGGCTTGGTTTGCTTCTGCCTGTAGCTCCTTCGTCCGCGTCTCGAGAACGTTGGTCCGGTTCTTCCAGGACTTGACCTGGCTCTCGTAGCTCTCCACCTGCGCACGTAGTACCTTGTTCTCGTTCTTCATCGTACCAAATGATTGCGTGAGCTCCACAACCTTGTTCTCCAGTTTGTACGATATTTGCTTGAGATCGCGAGCCTCCTCCCGCAAGGTCTTGTACGACCGTCGAGCCTTCTTGCCTCTCCACAGGTTTTGGACAATGACCACATTGTTGCGGTATTGCCGCCACGCTCTGAGGGCTTTTCTTTGCCGCCAGTTGCGCTGTATAAGTCTTGCCGCATTGCCGAGCCTTGTATCCAAGAGGTGTTTCCGGCACAAGATACCTTTCGCTGTGGACTGGAAGAGGATGATATTGTCGCGGACGGCCTTGTACTTCTGCCGCTCTCTGTGACCTCGGTATAATCTTGCAATGGTTGTTGCAGCCTTGACCCGGCGCGCATCTTCCGCGCGAGATCTCGCCAGGTATCCTCTTGCAAGAGACTGCAGGGCAATGATCGATTCGCGCGCCTCCAGATACTTGCGTCGGTAGTATTTGCACCGTAGGTTTTTCTGAATCATGACCGCAGCATCATTGAGCCGCGACGTCCTCAGATTTTCCAGGAATGCAAGCATGCCCGCCCGGAAGAAGATCTTGGTGAGGCCAAGTTGGTACTTGTCCGTCCCATCATTCCTGGCTGGGCCAAGCGCTTTCTTCAGAATTGCATTTGCCATCTGCCTGATCTCCGGCGTCCAGGACAACGACGGCACAAGCATGTAATACCGCATCGCGAACTCCTCGTAGGTCCACCGAGTAGGGTAACCCGCGCAACTGATCCGCACCGTCTCGAGAACACCGCAAGCTCGGAGCTGACTCAGTACCATTGGCCCTTCGAACTTCCAAGCTTCTTTGCCTTCGTTGGGCTTGATACAGCGGATGTAATGCACATCGGTCGAGTTGATTGTGTTCATGAGGTCGATCAGCGAGGATTTGAAGATGCCTCCGAGCGTAGGTTTTCTGTTCACAGCGACTGCCCTGCGGCTGGCAGGAGCTCCAGATTTTGAGGCCGTTGCTGCTGCTTCCTTCTCTCGAATTGCAGCCGCTGATTCTAGAATCTCGCCGAGGAATCTGTTTGAGGATGCCCTAAGAACGTCCATGTGCTCGTCCGGTACAGTGTCCCTGTTCTTCTCGATGAACCCGTCCGACTCGTAGGTGACATCTATGGCGTAATGGCAAACGGTGAATGCAGACTTGCCAAATCTGGGCTTCTTGTAGAACTTTTGCTTGTCTGCGGCGAAGTTGTGGTGAAGTTTTGTTACGAACTGCTCGTCTGAGCCCATTGGCAGCCGCGACTCCTCATCAAGCAGAGACAGTATACCGAGCTTCCCTTCGATCAGGTCTATACAGGGCTGATTATCCGAGAAGTCAATGAAGGTCCAGTCGATCTGTTCCCGCAGATACTCCTCCTGCTCAAGCTTGAAGACGTGCTGGTTGAATTCCTGCTGGAGCTTCTCGTTCGCGTAGTTGATGCAGAATTGTTCGAAGGAGTTCTTCGCAAAGTGCTCGAAGCCGTAGATATCCAGGACACCTATGAACGAGGTCGCATGGCTGAGAACTTCCTCGGTGGCTAGACCGTGGTTGATAATCTCTACCAGCCAGTCGAAGAGGCTGGAGTAGATGAACTTGGCTACTGAGTCTCGGACTACCACGGCCTGCTGCTGAGTGAGGTTCGACATGATCTTCTCGCCTCGGGTGATAAGCTGCTTCTTTACTGTCCATTTGGCGAAGTTCGACGGGTTAATCCCCAGCAGCTGGCATGCCTTTACAAGCGCAGGCTCCTCTGATGACAAGGATGATTCCGTTCGAGAAGCGGTGATCTTGATATTACCAATGTGCAGCAGCGCCGCCAACACGCGGAAGATCTGATATTGCCTCTCCTGGCTCACACCAATCGTCGTGAGCGAGCTCTTCGTAGCGTCGAACTCCGCCTTGTCGTCTACGCCATCGATGACCGGTGAACTGCCCTGATTCAGATAGTCGAACTGATCAGCTGGAAGTAGGCTGAACTCTTCCCGCTCCGCATCCGTCGCTCCCGCTACCAGCTGATAAAAGATATGGTAATTTCTCTCCTTTAACGGCTGGAATACCAATCTTGACCGCTCCAGCAGATATGTCCGTATCTTTGCACCAATGATGTCGGTCTTCTTGTTAAACATGATCTCAATGTATTTTCCGAACCGCGAGGAGTTGTCGTTGCGGGTTGTCTTCGCGTTACCGAAAGCTTCCATAATGGGGTTCGTTGCCAAGATCTGCTCTTCCGTCTCGCTCATGGCGTCTCCCCTGCCTTTCGCTCGTTTGCTTGGCTGGTCGGGCGATTCTCGAGTCGCAAAGTATCGCATAATATATTTGGCGCTGACCGTCTTGCCTGCTCCGGACTCGCCAGAGACTACGATGGTCTGGTTCCGGCTGTCGCGAAGCATGTCCGTAAATGCCTCCTCGGCGATGGCGAACAGATGCGGCGCTTGCGATGACCTCTGCTTGCCAGCGTATACCTGGACCATGCCCGGCACGTAGAGCGAGTCAACCCTTGCGAAGGGATTTGTTGCTATCAGGACTATCCCGCTGTATGTGTATATCTCCTTCTGGGAGTACCGCAGCTTGATCGCTTGCAGCACGGCGGGCTCGTTGAGATGTGAGAGATTCGTAAGGTCATCGCTGGCTTCGAGCACGGTGGGGTTCATGAGCGGAGGAAGCGTCGAGGCTTTGTCGTCTTGCAGGGTCGCCAGCGTTGTCTCGATAACCTTCTCCTGGAGTTCGCGTGTTTATTAGCCATCTGCAACGCTCCAGAAAGGCAAGCAGCAGTACCTCTCCGTTCTCCAGCCGAAAAACCAGCTTGACCTTCTCCCCGTTCACCAGCTTCTGCTCCACCTCCGAGGCGATCCAACCCTCCTCGACGTCTGGCTGCCACGCCCGAGTACCAACATCGTACATGTGCGCCATGGTGTAAGAGTATTAAAAGGAGTGTAGGTAAGGTTAAGACGCGGAAGTGCTACTGAATGTGTCCAAGGCGAATCCGCGCCCCTTAGTCAATCGACAAGACCCGATCCAACTCCAGCGCTAGAAGGACAGACTCGAAAGAGGGAGCGTGATGAGGGTCGACATCGGGCAGAGCTCCAGATAGAGTGGTGGAGGGGAGGCGGTGGTTGCTGTCGAGGGCGCTCAGGGTGGTCAGGGTCTCTGCTGGGCATATTTCTTGGATCGCGGGTCTGAGCGTCAGCGCGCGGTGAGCCCGGCCCCGCAAGGATTCCCCTGAAACGAAACACCACGCTTGCAGTCCCGCCTGCAGTGCACGTTCAGCGCGCAGCGTCGGGCAGGCCACCGTTACGCCCAGCAATCCGAAACCCTCGCCGCCAGCAACGGTTGTCATAGCAGAGTTTTCATTTGATTCATGGATATTTCTTTTGTGCGATGCGTGTCCTATCTAGTGCGTGTTTCAGTACTGCGTCTCATCCCCATTAACCCCGCTCATGAGTGCCCTCACGGACTTTTCTCCTCTAACGCCATGTTGAATCCTATGAATGCAGGCTGCGTTGAAATCACATGATCCCCCTTCTAATACAGCACCCGCGTCCTGATGCAAGCTGTTCGGAGTCAGTAGTTGCTCTGATATACCCAATCTCGAACATAACTCACCAGAAATGCCCTCCAGATCCGCCCAAATAGCCTTGATCTCGTTCTGGTTCACATCACTGATGTCAGCCATCAGATACGCCACCTCCCCTCTGCTATCCGTCATCTGCTTGTCGACGTTGTGATCGCCAAGGATCTTGTTGACGCTGCGCAGCACACCCGGCACGTTTCGGTGGATGAAAGTAACCCTCACATGGTTGGGCTCGTCCATTGTCAGCGACCGGAGGTTGACTTCCGGCATATTGACTGAGGCGAGAGTGGCGCCCTCGTTGACATATCGCACCAAGGCGCTCGCGACCTCGACGCCGATAGCGCTCTGCGCTTCTTCGGTGCTGCCGCCGATGTGCGGGGTGAGGATGATGTTCTTGAGCTTGCGGAGGTCGTCGCCCCAGCTGTTGAGAGAGCTGTTGAAGTAGTCGCCGTTGCCCGCTGGCTCGTTCGGGTAGACGTCCAGTGCGGCGCCGGCGATCTTGCGCGACCTCATGCCCTCGATCAGGGCAGGAATGTCGACCACGCTTCCGCGGCTGGCGTTGATGAGGTAGCTGCCGTTCTTCATCTGCTCGATCTCCTTCGCGCCGATCATGTTCTTCGTCTCCGGTGACTCTGGGACGTGCAGCGTGACGAAGTCTGCTCCACTGAGGAGGTCTCCAAGCGAGCTTACTTGCTTCGCGGTGCCTAGTGCCATGAGGTTGACCACGTCGTAGTAGATGACAGACATGCCGAACGCCTCCGCCAGCACCGAGAGCTGGCTCCCAATGTGCCCGTAGCCGACAATGCCCAGTGTCTTGCCTCTTATCTCCCAGCTTCCACTGCTGACCTTATTCCATGTCCCGGCGTGCATCTCGTTCGACCGGTCTCCTATCTGCCGCGCGAGCGCAATGATCTCGCCGATTACGAGTTCCGCGACGCTTCGGGAATTGCTGAAGGGCGAGTTGAACACCGCGATGCCTTGGCTGGCGGCATATTTAAGGTCTACCTGGTTCGTGCCAATGCAGAAACAGCCGATGACGATCAGGTTCTTGGCTTCACGGAGGACCCGCGATGTGAGCTTTGTCTTGGAGCGTATACCGATGACATGGACATCACTAGGAAGCGGTCAGAGCTTGATTCGCGCTTGTCGGTGCTTGTAGTGAGGCGCACCGTATCTTCTCAATAAGCTCGTCTTCCGGCAGCGAGCTCTTGTAGAACTCGACTTGGTAGCCTTGCTCTTTCAGTATATCCCTCCCGGTCTGATTCACATTTTCCAGTAGTAGGACCTTGATGTCTTTGGTATCGAACGGCTTGAGTTGTTTCGCGGATTGCCTGAAGGCCTCAACGCTCGATGGCGGAGAGTGGAAAGTCGAGGTGGGGGATATTGAGTAGCTGAAGCTGCCCGTCTTGGTGAAGCTATTGGAAACCGTGCGGGAGATCGTCTCCAATTTCGGATCTACAATGTCTCGCGCCTCTGACCCCATTGCTGTATGTTTTGTATGAGTAGATGATTATATTTCGTGCAACAAGGGAGAGCCGCGCAAGTCCGAGGGGTCTGACTATTTTCTACTGAACCCTAGATCTATTTGGCGGGATCAAGCGATGATGCAATTCGCTCGAAAAAAAACCTCCGTCGGTTTTCGGAGAGTGCGGCCCAGACGGAGCACGCTCAGTTACCCACCCAATGTTAGTCTGTAGGAGTCACACATCATTACGGCGTTCTCATAGTTAGGCGGGTAGCGCATTTAACCGGAAGTTGCAAATGGCACGTTGTTCCGATTCTGTTGTACCCAGTGTTCGCTCTGTCTCTTTTATGAAACCTCCTAGAGGAGGAAAACACTGTCGATTCGAAATAGAGTGCATCAGCAGTCAAGCATTAGGTGTAATCATCAGCTGGTCTATCCCCATGCAACGTTGTTGTCACCGGTACCGCACGATTGTAACAGCGTATCGGTTGCAACCCGGAGGCTGATGTGTCAGATGCAGATAGGACCCTTTCGGTGGAATGACTTTTGCATAGCTACATAAGTACTAGGAACGACACCGCCAGCACCAATAAAAATCGAGATGCTCGGAATTAGGTACCCCAGTGCATCAACCTGCGCCAACCCTCATGAACTGCTCTATAACCGACTTCTGGTGCACCTTGAAACTGAGGTTGATCGTAAAGGACCGAATTGTATGTCGACAGCCTAGTACCGTGGAAAGGACTACTATGGTGTGGAAAGCGGGAAAGGTTGCATCGATCGTGTCAAGGATTTCGTAGGCAGAAGATGTGGGATGTACAAAGGTCAAGTGCGAGCAACCAGCCAAGTGATATGCTCTGCTCGAACCCGTATCCGCACGTCCTCAACCAAAGAGAACTGATAGCAAGCCAAATGAGACGCATCTAGCTCTGCTTGCACTCGGCAGCCTCCTGTTTAGGCTTTGAGCCGTCATCCTGTAGTAAGGTCAGTTGGCTAAGCAGTGGAGATCGGCTTCTGGCACGTACGCCTTCGTCAGACTCATCGTCCTCATCCCTGTCATCGCTGAGCTCATCCTCCTCCTCGTCGTCCTCGTCCTCGAAGTCACCCTCCTCGAAGTCATCCTCGATTTGCTCGAATTGCAGAGCCTCGCCGGTGAACCAATCAACGGCACGCGGTATCAGCTTCTCCTTTATGTCTTCGCCGAGTTGGTAGTCGAGCTCAAGACGCTCCTCGATGTCAGAGGTCGCGTCATCCTCATCGTCATCGGGGGTTTTCGGTGGGGAGAAGAAGCTGAAGAACGACTCGGTTGGGACTGTCTTCTTGACGACGCGAGTCTGCTTGGTGTCTTGGAACCTGTTAGCCTATCATCTCAGCATTGTGATGTGTGGAACGTACTCTTGTTCCGCTGCTTCTTGCTCTCAACCTTGACTGTGAGGTCTTTGTTCGGCTTCCAGTCAATCTTGTCACCCTCAGCGTGGTCGTAGATGAAATCGCCACCGTATCCGTTCTCTTCCTGATAGAAGTATGTCTTGGTGATTGTCTTGTTCGTGAAGTACTCGTTCTCGGCGAATTCGAAGATCAGGCGGAAACCAGGGCGGTCGAGGTACTCCATCCGGATGTCGGTGAGATGCTTCAGGGCAGCCTCGTCGCGGTCGGTGATCATCTCGGCCAGCGAGACTTGGTTCTTCATCGCGGACAACCAGAATTCGGGGACACCCTTGACATCCGCAGCGTCCTCGGACTTGGTCTCCGTTGGCTTCTCGGTCTCCTCGTCATCCTCGTCCTTCTCTTCGTCTTCCTCCCCGGCCTTCACCTCCTCCTCGGTGGGCTCTTGTGCGCCATTGACGATCTTGGCACGCTTTTCGTAGAGGGGTGTGAACTTGGCAAAGTACTTCTTCTCGAGCTGGAGGACCTCTTCCTGGAACTCCGCCTCGAGCTTCGAGTGCTCCTTCTGCACGCCTTTGAGACCGGCTACGCGGCGGCGGACGGGAGCGGGGAGCGACTCGATGTAGCCCGACGACCGTCCGACCAAGGAGCCGAGTTTGCCTTGTATCATTGAGACGAGCGCCGGGTTCTTCGCGAAGATTGAGGCTGCCGCCGCACGATCGAAATCCTCTGAAGCCATGTGTGAGTGTGAAGATGCACAACGAGAGTTAAGCTAGGAGGATAACGCACCCTCTTTGATGCTGGCGACGCCAGGCTGTTGGGCACGAGAAGATATGGGCGCGTTGCTCGCCGGAGTGTTCTGGGGGGTCCTGGTGCCCGCGATCTGCGCGTTAGCCACGATTGTCCGTCCGTTTGCCTGTGCTGGCATGGTTGCGGGCGAAGAGTGATAGATGGCTTGGAGGACTCACGGGGCGGTGATGGAGTCGATCTTCTTATTGCGGATTGGTTCAGCCATGTTGAGGAGGCTCAGGAGGGTTCAGCGAGACGGGTTGCTGGATGTGGAAGGGTTTGGTGAACGTTGAGCTGTGGTTGTGGACGCTGGATCCCACCAAAGCGATTTTCTTCAACGGCTAGCGCCAAGTTAGCTTGCCCCTCCGTCACCCATGCCGTTCGGTCCACGCGTACCGACCGCGACAGCATCGGAAACTGTGGCAGTACCGGTAAACACAGATGTAGTCTGGCGTGGGCTGTGCTATTGAGTTTAGCTGTGCTATCAACCCCGGGCCTCACTTCGAGGAGCTGCATCATTCCACGACGTTAATGGCAATACAGCCAAACTGCAGGACTGGATTCTGAATTACTATCTGAGGTGCTGCTCGATACGTGCACCGCTAGGTGGAATGTCTCTCAGTCCAGAGTCTACATCCAAAACTAAACCCGAGATGAAATGCTATCGAATATACTTCAACCGGTTCGTGGCATAAGACGCCACAATCACCGACAGAGCCCCAATGAAGAAACACACTGCAATCGCGTTCGGCCCGTCCGTCGAATGATGCTCGTCAGGGTGAGCTTCCTTCGCCAGCTCCGGGCTCTTTCCGGGCTCCAGGATCGAGAACACGATCCAAGAGATGAAGGTACCGACGAACTGCGGCAGCGTGGTGAAGAGGTTAAGGATGCCAAGATAAATCCCGGAAAGCTCCCCAGTCGAGGAGTGGGAATCGTCCGTACGATGGTTTAGGTGGAGTGTGCTCGCCTCAAGTTCAAGCGAGTCCGTCGACAGCCGTCGGTAGGCGTGGCCATTCGATGTCGAACCAAGCCTGTTGATCTCGATGCCTATAAACGTGAATGGTGCCCAGCCCGCTATTGCTCCGGGTCTGCATGGTGTTAGCAAAGCGAGCCAGGAGGCTACCGATATGTCACTTACACAGCGCAGATTGCTATGAGTACAGTCGCAAAGCGAACAGAGCTCACCAATGGAGCCATCAGCATTGAGCCGGCGAAGACCAAATGCGACACAGTCCAAGCCGTCAGCAGAGTTGGCCTGCGCTTGTCCGCTCCGACTACGAGAGGGGCCAGACTTGCTAACGGTCGGGGTGTGAAGTCGCGTTTCTCGTCCTCGGGAGAGATGACAAACCACGGCAGCATGATGGAGCTAGCGAAGTTTATGAGGGAAGAGATGATCAGGCACATACTTCCCACTCTGCCGATTTGACCAAGAGTGTCCTGGGATTGTTTCGCCTCCGCTGGCGCATCGTATCTGAGGTAGATCTCGCCAATCCAGGTGGTGCTGTAGAACATCAGCGGAAAGTAGCCTATCCATGCCCAGAACTGGATCCAGCAGATGGCTGCGATGCGGTTGGGTAGATGCGTTGCTGTCCTGAATATATGAGTGAGCATCTTGATCGCGCCGTTGCTGCCCTCCTCTTCTTTCCCAGTAGATATCAGCACCCGTTCTGTTACCGCCCAAGAGGTGATCCCAACTGCCAGTGGCAGTGCCAAAGCCGCGATAACCGTCAACTGCTTGAACTGGGTGTCTCCCAAGGTGTTCCCAAATATGCTGTTAAGTTTGGTTGCCCCAGCTGCATATCCTATGATTGATGCCATGGCTCCCATCCTAGCGGCTTCAGAAACTCAGAAACTCCTCAGGCTGACGAGATGACGAGGGGACTTACCCCATGCTGAGCCCAGTCCCTGCTTCTGGATAGGTAGCGTGTCGACGACAAGACTCCGGCAGCTGGCCTGCACCGCATTGATAGCAAAGTCCACGGCATAGATGCTCAAGACTGCCAGCCCGATTGTGACGCTCTTCCTCGTCTCCGGATCGCTCACGAACACGCTGACAATCTCCTTCGTCCAGCCCAGGACTAGCAGGGACACGCTGACAATCGCGGTTCCGACTACCATGAATGGCCTCCTACGTCCCCATCTGCTTGTTGATCTATCCGCGATGATGCCCACGACTGGCTGCATTATGAGACCTGAAAGGGGCCCGGCGATCCAGACAAGGGATACTCTGGACTTCGTGAGACCGAGCTGAAGAAGATAGGGCGTGCAGTAGGTCATCTCGACGCCCCATGTAAAGCTGAAGCAGACACAAACTGTTAGCTGGGCCGACGGAGAAACCATTCCGGAGGCATGGTGCTTACGATACTCCTATCAAGCTTGCTGTGAGGAGAGCCATACGCGCCGACTCCGTAGAGCCCTTGATGGAGGGCTGTCCACTCCATGACGCGCCTTGGGCCATGTTGCACTGGACTGCTGCACGCGATCTCGTCGATGGCGACCGCTCCTAGGTTTAGAGGAACTTCCGTTTGCTTTCTAACGTAGTCCCTTGTATATATCGGTCATTGAGCGGCGCTTGAAGTGCACGAGCATGTTGTGGATCCTGCCGCCGTCGACTACTCATCGAGTCGCGCTTGGTGTCACGGAATGATCGCAGGGACGACCGGCGCGCCTTGGAGCTCAAGATTGCTCAGATCGTTGTAACCTGAGCATGCCCATTTCATCAAGTTCACGCAATTCATAGGTACTTCAGCAAGGGTTGTCCTAGGAGCCGCTCACGCTAGCCGTTCTGGGCACTACCGTAGAAACTATAGTCTTGTCTGAGAACAAAAGCTTCCGCCTCCCGACTTGAAGCGCAAACACTTGAGCGTGAAACGATGCAATGCTCGTGGTCTAGTTGCCCTCCGCTCTAGTAACTCCGAACAAATGCCACCGCCAGCATCTTCTACCTTATGACTGACCGATCTTCAGCCGTTCAAGTTCATGCAGCTTGTCGGGAGCTTCACCAGGCGCTGCGATCTTCGGCTTGGGACCTGGCGCCTTGCCCTTCGCCTTCTGCGACGTGCTGTCCTTAGGGAGCTCCTTGACGTAGGGGAGGAACTCTGGGTTGCCAGGAATGTACTTGCGGAGCACGGCGGGTACCTCGATTCCCTTTACAAGTGTTAGTGACAAGGAAGACCTGTCAATACCCGCATTTTCGATGGATCTGGGAGGGAAGCGGAGCTGTCTTACATCCTCTTTCTGGTAGTTCTCCAGTACGCTTTCTGGCCATTAGCATTGTGTCAAGCTAGCAAGCGGATCATAGTGTTGAAGCTCACCAGCAGAGTGCGCGCTGGACCATGTTAGCAAAATCGAGAAGAGTTGTAGGGATGCATTCTCGGATTACCATACCTCGGTTGCACAGAGAGTGCTGTTGAGAGCGTGTACGTAGGTCTTGGTCGTATCCGTCTTTTTCTTCTGCATCAAAGCATCAGTGGATGCGCAACTGCGAGGGACATCACTTGAGATCATACAGCGCCATAACGTATCTCTAGTTCTCGCGATTGATCTAGAAAGAATTAGTACGCTCGATCCTTCCAGTGGGGAGGATGATCGTTGACATACAGTCTGTGCAATTCGAGCCTAGATACTGGTTAGCGGACATGCGAGTTCAGGACGCGATGTTTGAGTTCGGGGGGTTCCTAGTCCCCTGAGACAAACTCCGAACAACGATGACGTTTTCCTGGATGAACTTACAGGAAACGAGCTCTGCAATCTCATCAGTATCTCCCTCTCACACGCATGCGTTAAACATACCTTTGTACTCCCCTTGGTACGGAAACCAAGCCTCGAGATCATATTTCTTCGATGCGGCGTTGTTCTAAATGTATCAAAATAAGTTCCAGTGACAGAGTCCAACAGCGATTTCTTCTCCGAAAGCGCGGGGATAGGGCCGGACTGCAACAGCCAAAGGGTTGTTGGCAACTGTGTCCAATCACGCAAGATTCTGAGAGATGCAGACGTACTAGGGCTCCAGATACTATGGCCATGATCCGGTACGGAAGTCCTAGTGACTGGCTAAACTGCAAATCAGCACATCTTCCACGTGCTTATTCCAAGACGGGACTGACTAGAATTCTTCCGAAGTCGAAATCATCGAGTCGAACATGTCCCAGCTGGCTTCTGGCTTGCAGAAAATGAACTGCTCAATCTGATGGCTGGTCAGCAAGATCGGGATGAAGTAATTCTTATGTTACCTTCTCGAACTGATGGACGCGAAAGATGCCCCAGCTGTGGTAATCGGTTGTGAGCTCTTAGACTGGCATGGTGGTGGATTATAGACATACGCATCCCTTCCATGAGCGCCGGCCTCTTTCCGGAAGCAGGTGCTGTATCCTGCGTACTTTATGGGCAGATCGTTGTCCTGCAGCCACTCTTCCGAATGCTGATAGTCGTAGTGTCAGTAGAACCACAGCGAATTGCAGTGGAAATGGCTGTGAGAATCATACCAAAGCGGAGAGGGGTTGCTCCGAAGTTGCGATGAGGTATTTGTCGGTGGTCTTGTTGTTTTCGTCCTCGGTTACTTTGTACTGATCGAAGACAAGTGGTCAGCGCGGTGCGGTCTTCCTTAAGGACACATCCACATACTAGCTCTTCGTCGAACTGCTCCAACTGCGCAGTCTTCGCCATGGCTTCTCGCAGCATCTAGAAACAGTCAGACACTGGGCCATGGAAGTGCCTTCCACTGGTGTGACGAACGAAGTATGGTGGCTGGTTGGGTGTGTAGCCTTTGTTGAACAAAAACTCGAGACCATAGTTGACAAGTGCCAGGTTAAGAAATAGCCCATAGCCTGTCAAACAGTAGCCGCGATGGCCCACGATTTTAGTACCACGCTCGGGGTCGTAACCATTCAGCCTCGTCAACACCTAGACTTCTCTTAGTACTGCACGGCCAGCTCCTCCATCGCCAACGGAACGCACCTCATGATGTGATAGGCAGTCCAAATTTTGGGGCGTTACTCCTTCCGGTGCCCACTTTCGAATCAACGCATTGTCGTCCTCGTTGTTGCTGACGGGTACTGAGTCATGTACGTAGTTGCCGATGCTCTAGGCAGTTCCGGTGAATATCGGGGACGGATGTACGCCAACTTGGGTTCTACTTACTTTGGCTTTGCGGTTCAGCGCGGCAAGCTTCTCCGCAGCTAGCTCCTCCTGGGATGCCTTCTCTTTCTGGAGATCCTCTTTCTTCTTCACTAGGTCGTCCGCGTTCTCCTTTGCCTAAATGTGCCGGTGCCGCGTCAGCGGTCATACTAGAGTTCCTGCCCAAATGACGTGCCTTTTTTTTCTGTCCGATCTCCTTCTGTGTGGCGTTGATCTCAGCGCCAATCTGGGTGGCTTTCCGTCTCTTAGCATCGCTCTGTGGGTCATCGCTGGGCGACACTAACCTTTATATGCGGCTGTGGGTGGCTATGTGTCAGCCTCGAGCTTGGCAAGCTACTGTAGAGCACGTACTCTTCCTGTGATCCTCGAAAGCCTCGATGATCTCGTCGACAATTGCTTCAGGCGCGTGTCGCCGGCGTTGGCTCTCCTTGATCTTCGCCGCTGTGTGGTAGAGGCTGGTCAGCGTGCGCACACGGCGGCGACAGAATACAGGTGACATTACGGTTTCCGCCTCGGTCGGTTATGAAGTCATTGATATCGAGCATTTCGAAGTCTCAGTGGCAGTAGCGGACGGGACGAATACTGAGTGGTGATGGGCGCTATTGCTTGCAATTGGTGACAGATAAAAGATCGTTGGTCGTTACTGTTCGCCTGACAGGTTGAAACGAGGTTTAGGTGCGCTCGCTGAGGGGTGCCGGCATTTGCGTGCTGAGCCCGACTGCTTCTGGAGCTCTTGAGTCCGCAGAAGTGACTCTTAGTGGGGAACTTTGGTGGGATATGTCGACTCAGCCCTACGCGAAGCGAGCCAGGGTCGCGTTTGCAGATCATCCGCGGCGCGCAGGCCTCTCCACCTTCATTGGATCTACGGATTAGATTCCTCAACAGCATCTTTGGCATACTCTACAATACAGATGCAACGGTGGGTGTGTATCTGTACACCATGCGCAGCTACGCGTTGCACCCGTACAGGCATGGGATGCTCCGCGGCTACGTTCGTTGGGCATCGATTACCTTATGCGATTGGTACTGAGGGGAAGATGAAACTCGCGGCACAGTGCAGACAGGATCGCTGGGAGAACTGAGCGGCGCATAGAAAAGCAATTTGGCCTGTATGCAGGCCTGTACGCCACAAAGTCATGTCTCATAACGAAACTAAGAAGCGCCGTATCTCCGTTTCCACCCATATTGTGTGCGCAACACGAAAACACAGATACAACGAACACCTTCACTCTCACATCGTTAGGCACTTCCCTCCTCCTGCAGGCTCGGCCGGCTTCTTGGGACCCCTTTCTATCACCATGATGAGTTGCTCAAACGCCTTGTTGACATTTTCATCAAGCCGTGCGCTGCATTCTATGACCGGACACTCAAGCTCCAGCTTCTTCTCAAGAAACTCTGCATCTTTCTCGGTCAGTACCTTCTGCTCCGGTCGAAGGTCCCTCTTGTTTGCCACGACTACGATCGGGATCCAGTCGACGCCCTGCAGGGTAGAGCGTCAGGCTCTCGGCTCACAAGCGCCACTAGGCAATTACGAGAGGCATACCAGCTCGTTCAGAATCTTCTTCTTTATATGCCCAACCATTTCATATGACTGCTTCGACGCCATTGAATATACGATGAGGTAGCCATGGACGCCGATGAAGTGTTTCGAGTTTAATATGCTGTATTCGTCCTGTTTTGAAGCGAACTTGTCAATTCACTCCAGTCTCGGTGCCCCATCATTCTGCCTGAGCTTTACTGCCGGCCACACTTACTTGTCCAGCTGTGTCTATGATCTCCGTTGCAAACTCCTGGCCATTCTTGACCCGGATGAGCTTGCTGAATGTGTTCTCGATGGTTGGGTAATAGCTCTCGACAAAGTGACCATCGACGAATCGGACCGTGAGGGATGACTTGCCTGCAACATGTGAGCACTCAGGTTCAGCTCAGCAAGATTGACTTGGAGGACTACCGACTGAGCGGCTGCCGACTACAGCTATCTTCCGCTGTTTTGGAGGTGCAGGCATGCTGGAGACTGGTGGAGGACTGTAAGTGTACAGTATTGTTGCATGCAGGTTTATGATTTAAGTCCAAGCTGGATGCTCGATTACTCGGCGGCGGCTTAGGTGAGATTGAGTAGCAGCTAAATGGAGCAGGCCTGACAGTCTTATGGCAAACACGTCGTGAAAAGAAGCTTTGGACTAAACCCTGGGCGCAAGCGAGTCAACGGCGATGACGGCAGTATTAGAAACGGACGACCATTCTTTAGCGCAACGGCTCATTCTCATCAAATTCAATTACCATGTTTGTACTCTTTGCTCATCAGGCTACTGGTGTGTCTGCTGTGCCTTGTTCTCGTGGATTCACGCGCAAGCCAGCCTTCCCCATACTTATCACTCATCAATGATGGCTATCACGTGTTATGCCTTACATATCCGAGCAGTAGCAGCCTGTCTTATCGATTAAGGATATAAGTCAGTAGGAAGCGCACTCCCGATACACATAAGGGATACAACCTGGAAGTGTGCGAGTTGGCGGGCCCACTCATCGACCGTGGCATCTTTCCCTTTGATTGCCTTGAGCCAGGCAGGCAACAGCAACCCACTGCTCATCCCTATCTAGCTGAGGGTGTCGCCTAATCGTGTGAAGGCTGCAGATCAGTCAACGAAGTCAGAATTGTCACTACCTTAGTAGATGTTGTGCTTTAGATGAGTCTGGTGTTATCTTAAATCGGAATTTGCAAAGACGCAAAACTTCCGTACATCTCCTGCAGAGGTACGCCTACGATCCTAGCTGAATAAAGAACAACGGTATTGAACTCAACGTCAACGTGTTTTGCACAGTTCCCTACGTATTTCGAGAGACTATAGTAATTTGGCGTGTTCATTATAGACTGGCATTAGATGTACTGAGTTGACATCGTGGTCGATGGCAGCAATTTAAGTCGGAATTACTCACTCCCAAGTAACTGTCCTGTGCATTGCGCCTTTCGAAGCCCATACGAGGCCGTTGCACCCGACAAAACAAGCCCTGGTTACACAGGCGGCTATTTAAAACGAGCAAAGTTAGAAAAAAACAAACCAGGAAAAGCCACTCCAGGTCCGTGCAATCACACGCGTCGCCACTGCAGTTATACGCCTCGCACAGCACGGGCCTGCTGGTGTTTGTTCTGAGTGGCTGCCTACTTACCCTTCCTTCAATCACATCACACCTACTCGAGGTCCGTCCCTCTGCGCCTCTTTGTCGCCTGCGTTCCAAACTGCGCCGCCAGCGCCTATCTCTACCGCCATGAAACTCTAAGAGTTGGCAAACGAAAGCCTCTATCAGAACCCCCGTCCCTATTCTGTTGTTGCAGCTGCGATGCCCCTGCAATATTTCTATACCGGTCCTATGGCTGCAGCTTCCTGGGGGTAGCATCCTTCTCAACGGGAAGGCGGGTGCTCCCAGAAACTCAAGGTGCCGATGCCTCATGACATTGTGTGTGCCCGTGTAATGTTACGATTGGTGTCCGCTCTGTCAGGCCCCCTGCTGCGGTTTTGGGCTTCAGAAAGCATGCTGGGATAGCCCTCTTTGTGATGCCCGGCTCTTATAACACCCCAAGCGCCATGTCTGCATTTCGATCGCGGTGATCTCGTTGTCTGCTATCTTCAGCCTCCTTGCTTCATTCTTTGAGACTTTCGCTCTCTAGATACTTCATTTCCAACGACTGAACCTTGGGAATCATCGATACTGGAACGCCAAATTCCCAGGGTGGATGCAACGGGGGCAGCTCTGTCCCGAGTGCTCCGAATGGGACGTGAAAGAGTGGTTTCTAGGACGGGCATGGACTCTGTGGGAAAAGCCCAACGGGAGCAAGGCCCTGGACGAAAGAGTCCAAGCTGGAGAGAAGACGAAGAGGAGACGAAACTACAAGAATAGACTAAGACGGCGGCTTGAAGACGTAAAAGAAAACGAAGACTGTCCCCTCTGTCGACTGACCATCAAGGCTTTATCTAAGGATCCTGCGTATGGCCAGATTCCCAAGGGGACAGACGTTGAAGTTCTATACGCGCACCTAGCATTTGCCTTGAACTGTGAAGAGACTGTCTCTGGGAAGACGTTGGAGAGCGTTGTTGGATTAGGAGCACCGAAATACTGCAATAGGTTGCTCATCAGTACCAGCGAGTGGGACCGCGATGGCTACTACCATTCGTATCCTGTGGCGACCGGCAGTGTTCATCTAATCGCGAGCGCGACCGATGGCCAGCATGATACCCGAGAGCCCATATTACGGGGCAGGGCCGTCCAGTCTCAAGTCGACATGAAGCTTCTAGAATCCTGGGTTCGGAGATGTCATAAAGATCATGGAGTACAGTGCCGCCCGGAGCCCAGAGATGAACACCTAAGGCCAGACTTCAAGCTTATAGACGTCAACTCTGGAGCGATCGTTCACTCGTCGGTCCGAGCTTCCTTTGCTGCGTTAAGCTACATTTGGGGACCACAAACCGTTCGCCAAGTAAAACTATCGAGCGACACATATTCACTGCTCACCACTCGTGGGCTGAGTGAAGTCTGGGAGGACGTACCACGAACAATCCGCGACGCCATCGCCCTTTGCAGAAGCATCGGAATCCCCTACTTGTGGGCGGATCAGTGTTGCATTCAGCAGGACGATGAAACGGACATCGGACAAGTCGAATTCATGGATGTTATCTATGGCGCGGCCTCTCTTACGATCGTTGCGGCGTCTGGCACGGACTCGTGGGCAGGTTTACCTGGTGTATCACCCGGGTCGCGGCAAATTCAACAGGAGATGGAGATCATCGAAGGTCTGTCTATCGGCACGGCGCAAGCCAGGTATTCCGCCGCCATGTCATCTGCCATCTGGCTCACGCGGGGATGGACGTTTCAGGAGTACATCTTGTCGAAGCGGATACTCATTTTCACTGCTCAGCAGGTGTTCTACCAATGCAGCAACGCGTTCTGGTGGGAGGACACACACATGGAGGTCCCCAACCCCCTCACGGTTAGCCTGGAGGGTTCACACGAGTGGTACCGCTCGGGCCCCTCCACCATTCCGAGCCGAGCTCTTGGTATGGGCATAACCAAGAAACCTGCCATAGGTTCGCTTACGCCTGGAAACTATCTTGAGAAGTACTTGTCACTTGCAGCAGATTTTACTGACCGACGTTTGACGAGGCAATCCGATGCGCTTCGAGCGTTCAAGGGTATCATCAGTCACTTCTCAAGAGCAACAGGAGAGTGCTTCTTCGCAGGACTTCCACTCAGCGGTATCCATGCTGCTCTGCTTTTCGCCATCAGGTATCCAAAGCCCGAACACCGTCGCAAGGAGTTTGCGAGCTGGAGTTGGACAGGTTGGGATTCAAGCCGGCTCGACGACGACTACATTGGGTACCCATTTTGCAAGTGGGAACCCGAAGCGGCTTTGTACCGGATCGAGCACTGTTCCGACAGTAAAGTCACCAAGAGCGTTCAATTCACCCGTATACAGGACAAACGCACGTCCACACTATCACGGGAATTCTACAATCCTTGCTCTGTATGGAAATTGTCCATAAGAAACACCATGTTAAAAGACCTCGGAGTGGAAAATCTGCTTGCCGTTATCGCACCGACGGTTTCTATATCGGTGTCGTACGATCGAGTCCCTCTGCCAGTTACAAGGCTTCATTCGAAAGATAGGTTATCCTCGAGCATTCTCCCTTGGGTAGTACGAGAGCGTATGGGGCTCGCGTGTATTTATCTGGACCCTTCATGGCGCAAGCTGGTTGGACGCAAGGCAGAGTGCTTCGCCATCGCTCGAGGATCATCACGTGCTCCGCAGGGGACTGTTTCCACGCATGTACAGCTCATGGTCGTTTATACTGACAACCACGGCGTTTCGCAACGTGTTGATTTATGGAGGTGCTCGGTGGAGCAATGGCAGCGCGCAGCGGTTAAGTGGAAGTTATTCCTGTTGCGATAGTTTGAGGCTCTCTCATTACAGGTTTGCTGGTGGTAGAAAACTGTGTGGAAAGAGAGCGGGCTGTGTACTGGGCTCCTGGTGCCTTAGGCATCAATGCTGCTCGGACTTAACGGCTAAACCACGGGCGCATTTGAAAAGTGCATGCTCATTGTGAAGCGCCTGTTGCCGGAAGCTCGCATGCTCGTCCATACAACTGTACAGGCAGTCTATTCGTTTTGTGGCATCTAAGATCGCGATGCGCACTCAACCAAACATCGTTGTCACGGGCACGCCCGGCGTCGGAAAGACAAGCCATGCAGAGCTTTTGGCGCGCAATACAGGCCTGAAGCACCTATCCATCAATCAGGTAGTCAAAGAGAGAGAGTGCAATGACGGGTGGGACGAAGATTTGAAGACTTGGATAGTGGATGAAGACAAGGTCAATACCCCTGGAGCTTCTCTACGACCGTTGCGCATTCATTAACCTTTTTCATACTTGTAGCTGCTCGATGCCATTGAGGACGAAGTTGAGGAGGGCGGCTGCATCATCGACTGGCACGCATGCGACCTATTTCCCAAGCGCTGGATAGACCTCGTGGTCGTCATCCGCTGCAATTCTACTATACTCTATGACCGGTTAACAGCGCGCGGCTACGCGGAGAAGAAACTGGAGGAGAATATGGACGCTGAAATCATGGAAGTCCTGCTCGAAGAGGCGAGAGAGAGCTATGATGAGGAGATTGTAGTCGAGCTGAGGAGCGACAACGCGGAGGACATCGAGAACAACGTGGAGCGGATCGAGTTGTGGATCAAGAACTGGAGGGAGAACAACAGGACGGGCAGAGAAGCTTGAAGCGTTTAAGACTAGGGCACGCCTTCAAGCTTACATCAAAGGTAGCAGCTACTCTGGGACATGGCTGGCCAGCCATGCTTTCAGCTTCTCGAGCGCCTTGCCGCGATGGGAGATCTTATTCTTCTCCGCCTTATCCATCTCGGCGTACGTCTGGCCTTCGTACTCGAAGCAGGAGTCCCAGCCTACGCAGCGTCAGTCCTAGTCCGATCCTCAGCCAGCGAGGTCGAGTACTGACCGAAGACAGTCGGTCCGCGAGATGGCACCAGTTTTCCCTGCAAAGGGATCAACGACTTGAACCACTACAAGTTGCAGCGGGAGGCTTACGTCTGTCCTGCCTTGGAAAATCATAGGCTCATGGCCCGGTCCTTCGCAGTAGGCGAATGTGCAAACGGCTTGGGTTGACTTGTCCTCAAAGCCGTCCAGCATCTTGTGTAGTTCTAGGGGGCCTAGAGCAAGCATGAACCATTTTCTGTTGGAGATAGTTAGCGGATGAGGTGTGATCTCATGCGGTCTTGCATACATGTATGGCCCGGGAAGGTCCTTCATTGCCTTGAAGCAAAGACATGTATCTTCTACCAGCACGGGTCCGCCGACCTAAAAGTGAAATCCGCTGTGAGCGGGAGTGTCTTATGTGTGCTAAGTTGGCGAGCATACCGCTTCAGCAGCTCGTCTGCATTTATCTGCGGTGACTTCCTCGACTGTGCCTTGCACCTCCACAAGATCAATGGCCTGGCTCTTGAGCTCGACGCCCGTATCCTCTAGAATTGCCTTGACTTCTGCAAGCTTGTTCTTGTTTCCAGTGATAAAATTCAGCTCTTTAGGCGCCATTTTTAGACTAACGATTGTTACAGTCCAGAGTATGGAGTCTGAGTGGAAGATTAGTTTATAGATAGCGTGTCCCTCATGAACTAGCCGCATCTGAATCCTACCTTGTCGTCCCACGCTAAACGTTGGCTTATCAACGTTACTCCATTGTGGCTGCTTTTGCACGTATGAGCGCCCCAGTCTTGCCTACGCAGTCTGTTTAAGAATCCTTGCCGCCCAGGTACTATAGCTCATGGGGTGGTGAGGTTCAGCGCGCAAAGAGCCGGCAATTCCTTCAGCTGGGAGAAGCACCTTCGTTTGTTTGAGTCCCTCTTTTGCAAATGAACCTCCAGCTTGTGTCCGGCTTGGAGCCCTGTTTTTGTGCGGCGTAAACCGTTTAAACAAGGTCCGATACAATTTACGAGTTTTGGACTTGATCAAATCCTCTCGTGCCGCATTGTGTCATCCAGCTTCAATCGGAAAGCACCTGAAGCTCAACATTTTCAAGACAAGAGCATTTCTTATATGTTGCATGAATTTCCCGAAAGATTGTTCAAAGTCAACATATCACAATGTTCAATGCATCTCCGCTCTCATCAGCTCTCAATATGAGTAGGCCCGTCATCTTGGATTCAGTGCCGGCCTTTCTGGCGACGGTTCTGGTAATAGTCTTATTGACACGCTTCCTGAGTGGTGCCAGCGGGAGTACGGCCGCATCAGATGGCAGTGTTGCTAGGAAGGTTCATCGTGTGCCGTACTACTTCCCGGTCCTCGGTCACATATTTGAGTTTTTCTTCAGCACGGATGCTTTCTTGAATGGATTGAGGTATGACGAATTGATGCCTCTGCTTTACTTCAAGCAACCGCAACCCGCAGCAGTACTGACCGGTTCTGGACGCAGGACATCTAATACACATGGGATATTTGGCCTCAATCTGCTCGGTTACACACACAATATTATCTTCTCGCCATCTCTCATGGACGGCGTGCTTGCTCAAGATGCCGCTGTATTGGATCGTGCAGCTTTCACTTGGGTCATCCTCAAGAATGCGTTCCAGCTCCCGGCTAGATTGAAAAATGAGATTCTCCAAGTCTACCAGGAACTCCAACAGCTACTGTCTGAGCATCTAGAGGGTCCACAAAGCAGGAACAGCACCGTGCCGCTAGTCCTGCGGAACTTACAAGAACATCTACCAAACCTTGTCACGTTCAACTCCAGCCTCGTAGATCAATCAACGTGGGAACGTGTCAGTAACACCCAGCTCGTCATCCAAGCGGATGCCGAAGCCGTCGTAGAGACTAGTCTGCTGTACGTATTTTTCCTTCCACACCAACCTGCAGCAGCTTACCGGGCCTGTAGATCACTGATACACGACATTCTGAACGCCGCCATCCTTCCCTCTATACTAGGCCCCTCCTTTCTTGAGAACTTCTCTTACCCCGACCTCACCGCCGACCTCCAAACGCTCTCCTCATCCTTCCACCTCCTCGCCTCCGGCCTGCCCCGCTGGGTCCCCCTACCCGGCCTCGTCCCCGCACATCTAGCCCGCCGACGCCTCCTCAGCGCCCTAACAAACTTCTACCGCAGCATCGACTCCGATTCCGTCGCCTCCGATGAGCAACTACCACCCCTCCTCCGCGCCGCAAACAAACTCTACACCTCGCACAACCTGTCCCCCTCAACACGCGCCTCTCTCACCCTCTCCCTCCTCTGGACTCTCACCGCCCAGATCCACACCCTCGCCTTCTGGCTCCTCCTCCGCATCCTCAGCACCCGCTCCATCGCCGCCCGGATCCTTACCGAAACGGCCACTTGCGCACACGCGACGCAGCCGCCGAACGAATTCGGCATCCCCGAGCCACCGCGGCTGGAGCTCGATGTTAAGGGTCTGCGAGGCAGGTGTCTGCTGCTGAAGAGCTGCTATGTCGAGACTGTGCGGCTTGATGCCAGGGTGTGGAGTGTGGGGAAGGCGAAGCGGGACTTTGTGGTGCAGGAGAGTGAGGAAGATGCTGTGGGTGGGAGGCCAGAGAGGTGGACGATTGGGAAGGGGGAGTGGGTTGGTGTGCCGCATTGGCTGCATCATGCTGATCCGGCATATTTTGTGCAGCCGATGGTGTGGAGGCCTGAGAGGCATGTCAAGCCTGCGGTAGAAGCTGGCGGGCTAGGGGAATTCGAGTGGGGGAGTGTGATGGGATTTGGAGATGGAGGCGGTCTGTGGAAAACGGGGTCGTTCACAGAGGATATAGTTCTGGCCTTCGTTGCGGGTGTTCTTGCGCTGTGGGAGATTGAGCCGGCGAGTTGGAAAGGTTGGGCGATACCCAGGAAACACCAAGGCTTTCTGGTGCTAATGCCCAAGAGCGATATCAGGATTCGGATCAGAAGGAGAAGCCTGCAATAGAGCGGCAAAGCAATGGAATGAGTAGGCAATAGTACCCTAATGTGGAAAAAGGGTTTCAGCACAGCATTACCAGTCATCAGGTCCTCACAGCTGTCATGAGTACGTGTCTTAGGATTTTGCCATTGCTTGAACGAGCCAACACCCTATAATGCCCGAAAACAAGAGCAAATACCCAGATAGCAACGCTGTCCAACGGATCCCGTTTACACGCTCTCCAGCACCGTCTCCTTGAATTCCCGCTCAACCTTCTGTCCCGACTCGTCCGCCGTCGACTCGCCGTGCAGGTTGAGAAGAGCACCGAGATCGAACTTCGGTGCCTTAAGAAGCTTCACCTTGCGCACGTAGACCTACGCCACGTTAGTGTCATGCAAGGCAAATTAGAAACAGATGTGTTACGTACGTTCTGGAGAGGATAGATTCCCTGTGTCGACTTCTCAATCTCACGGCCCATGACCTCCGGGATGAGCTTGGTGGTGAGCTGAGATAGCGAGCAGCTCGAAGCCTCACGCTGCATAATCTCAACCATCTTCTTCCGGATGGCGCGAATCTGGGAGGAGGCGGCGTAGGTGGTCTTCTTGATCTGGTTGGGTCGTCGCTTGGTGAAGGCGATGGCGAAGAGGCGGAGGAGGTAGTCGTCGGTGGTCTTGACGACCACGTTGGCTTCGATCAGGGTCTGCCACTTCCGCACGAGCGAGCGCAGCTTGTCGGAGGTGAAGTCGAGGCCGTGGAAGTTGGTCAGGCAGTTCTTGCCCTGCACCTCGTCCACCCGTAGCTTGACCTTGCGGAACGCGTGGTCCTCGTCCTTCTGTAGATCCGCCAGTGACACCTCGATTATCCGGCCCTTCAGCGCGTCGTTTGCGTTCTTGAGACCGGTCGTCCTGTTCACAAGCGTCTTTCCAACACTGAATATTGTCAGCAAGCGTGCTGCTGACGGGTGGCGCTGCGGTGTCCTACTCTCTGATCTGGAAGGTGGAGGGAGCCTTGATTGAGAACCAGTCCTTCCTGGCGAAGGGGTCGGTTCTCTTCTTGAGGCCCTTCTTGCCCTTTGACAAACGCTTGTTCTTGCCGACGGCCATGATTGCGAGCGACAAGAGTTGTTGTGTGTGAGCGATGTGTCGAGCTGGAAATATCGGAGTCGTCGTCTCGACTGCGAGCGCACATTTTCGAGTGTGGACAGCGCCAAGCTCGGTAAGTCGGCCAATAATGTTCCGCTCACAGACCAGCATCGCAACAACAGGAGCCTGAGATTCAATCACAAAGAACAAGCGATGCATAGATGTTCGACAAGTGCGAACCCATTCACAATTCTATAGCGAGATATTTACAAGCAGGCCAATTTGCGCAGTATCAACACCCTCAGCCACAACTGTCGCGGTGTTCTGCAAAAACTCCATCCAGGATGCCCGCCAACGCCAGATCAAAACCCATCAACAGCCCCGGTTCATCCGGCCCCTATATCCAACACCCGCTGCTGCGTGAGAGTAGAGATCCAACTGCACTCTTGTGGTTCATGAAGACAATCCCATATGTCCGGTGCGACGGAACTGTCCCTTCCCGCGTCGTGGAGTGATAAGCCTCGATGGACTGCCAACGCGAGGAGCTATACCCAAGGGAGTCCATCACGTCTTTACGCCGGAGCTGTCTTGCCAGTTCTCTCGGCCGGCGTAGGCTTCGCTCCGCTGCCTAAACTGCTCGAAGTCCGGAAAGCTAACGTAGCCATCTGAATCAAGCACGTTGGTCTCCAGCATTGCCTGTGTCGGCTGCAGAGGCGCACCTTGTTTCCCACACGTACCCGTAGTCCAGCACCTCGCCATCTCCGGCCTGCTCTGCCTACTCGGCGTAGAGCTATCGTCGGCATACTGATGTCCTCCTGGTGGCCTCGGCAATGGTGATGTGGGTGGGCTTGAGGCCCGCGGCGATGCTGGATGTGATGCTACTCTTGACAGCAAGACCGTCGCCTTTGTAGGCGTGTGTGATCCGGCATCTTGCCTCGGAACGGAGGATGTGTTTGCGCTGAGGGAAGGCGCCGAAGTCGTTGAGGGTGTGAGAGGTGAGCGACGGGTACCTGACTTGGTGCAGGTGGCTGGTGCCTGAGGCGCAGGGACGGCAACGTAGTACTTGTTTGCCATGATCTCGGCTTTTTGATTCAAGACCAGCAGTCTTCAGGGTATCTCAGTTCGAGGTGATGTCTTGCAAGCAGTTGTAACGACAGCGGGAGCACACGACAGAAGAGAAGCTCAGCAGCAGCAGCTAGGGGAGGTAGCAGGAGTAGCAAAAGGAACAGCAGCAGCGCGAGAGGATGAGTAGCACAAAAAGGCCCTCCAGCCCCAAAACTAGGAACCCACGGGCCCAACACCGCTTCTCGGGATGTCGAATGACATGACGGCTACAACGGCGCCAGACTTTCGTTTGGCAGCATTACCTTGACTACCTACTACGTTGCTGCGCTGTCAGCTCTTCATACGCGCAGCGGGCACGAGTCAAGCGCTGGACCAAAGCTGCGTGGTGAGCTGGATGGCGCCCCAGGGCGGGGAAGCCGCGCAGACAGAAACCTTAATGCACGCCTTGCACCCTTTGCTTCCGTAACAGGGCGTCGCTCGCGTGCTTTGCGGGGTGAGGTCGCCGTTTGTGCCCGTTACTTTGTCGTCGACTCCGTGTTGGGTTGTGCCTGTCGTTCCAAGGGTTCAACGGAATCCTTCAGCGTTGCTGACACGAGCAAAACAACCTCAGCCCGCACACCATCAGGCCCATCTCAAAGAATAACCCACCAACCAGACAGCAAGGTGACCATGGCGGGGCTCGTCCGCATCGAGAAATCTGAGAGACTACCGCCACAGCTTCCGCTCGCCAGGTGGCTCTTGTTTCGGTGGCCGCCGACGCAACTAGACGACGCCAAGCACGTTATCGAAGTAGCTCGACTGCAAGACGACCCTCTTCCTCTGCAGCAGTGGGCCTTCGAGGGCGACTAGAGGATTCTCCACATGCTCGAGGTACCTTCTCGACTTCACTGACACGTCTTGTGGCGTCCAGCGTGTCCCCAACAAGAGGATGTGAGGCGTACAACTGACGCTTGCCGCACAACCAACCCATACAGTACAACTCTGAGCAACATCAGACGGAGGAGCAACTGAGACACCAGCTACGTAGCATGACACAGCAAAGGTCAGTGTTCTCGAGAAAGATACAGGTAGTCCGTTACATCGGATACTTCTGTTTATCTCAGATATCCGCCAAGCCCGCCATCCCCCGGTTGCAACTCTACGGCCCATTTCCGACCACGCGGAAAAGCAACCGTGAGCTGCACACCATCTCAACTCCCAGACCCAATGTTTCCCCGCCCTGAGTGGCTGGTCTAGCAATCGACATGCCTCAACGGGCCGTGCCACGGGGCGCTTCCCTGGACCCCTTGGGCAGCTACACATACGGGCTTTTTGCTAGAGGCTTTAAATCGATACGCTGTTATCTCCACTGTGTATGCCGGGCATGAGGGGATAGATCGGCGAGAACCGGCTAGATTCTATCTGTTCTAGGCGGAATGGCCCAGATCGAGTTGTTGCTCGCACATACAAGAGCGGACTAAGCAGCAAACCAGCGGTACCGCGCTAGTATCACCTAGAAAGCGAAATTTACGAAAGCATCCCCAAGAAACCGCTCCAGGCTCAATGCTGTGGCGATATGTCAGCTTCCTCATACAGAACTGTGGGGAGAGATGTCGGAACTTACATCCACGTCGTCCCAAGCCCGTCCTTGCACGCTTCCCAGCTCCTCCATTGTCATGACCTTGCCCGTAGTGACTACAGCAACCATCAGCATACTGTGCCGTCCCCCAAAAGCATATACGAGAAAACCAACAACAACAACTCACAGTATCCAGCATGAATCTTCGCATCAATTTCCACCCTCGAATCCTCCGGGATCATCTCATCCGGAATTGGCACCCTCTCGAGAATCGGAATGCCCTGCTCCACAATCGCATCATGTTTCATATTACTCATACTCAGCATTCTATCAATCTTCTTGATCCCCAGCCAGTGCAAAATATCCGGCATCAGCGCCTGAAACCGCATATCCTTGACCCCCGCAATATTCTCCGTGCGCAGGAAATACTCGGACGCCCGGTCGCTGCCGCGCTTCCGCGCGTTGTAGACTAGGTATTTGGTCACTTCCCCCAAGGCGCGGCCTTCTTTGCGGAAATAGATCACGACGCCGGACCCGCCGAGTTGCGCTTCTTTGACGGCTTCTTCGACCCCGAAGATTAGGTAGGGTCGGCAGGTGCAGATGTCGGACCCGAAGACGTCGGAGCCGTTGCATTCGTCGTGAACGCGGAGCGCGAGGCGCACGGACGGGTCGGCCATCTTGGCCGGGTCGCCGAAGCAGTAGACGGTTAGTCCGCCGATGGGGGGTAGGAAGAGCTTGATGTCGCCCCGTGTGATGAGCTCGGGGTACGAGCCGCCCGTCTCTTCGAACAAGCTGCGCCGCAGTGTTCCCTCGTCGATGCCGAAGCGCTCGGCCACGCCGGGGAGATACCACACGGGCTCGACGGCGAACTTGGTCACGGCCAGCTCGCCCGAGCTGTTGAGGCAGATCTTGCCGTCCGGCACGAGGCGGCCAGCGCGCACGGAGGCTTCGAGCTCGGGCAGCTTCATGTGCGCTTTTGTGACGGCGATCGTGGGCCGGATCTCGATGTTCTCCTGAGTGATATAGTTGGCGAAAAGCCAGGGGGCGAGGTGGCCCAGCGGGTCCATGGAGACGATCTTCTTCGGGTCGGACCATTGGGGGAAGGGCCCGATATTGGCGGCGGGCTCCGTGTTGGTGAAGTCGGGCTTGTGGTCGGCTTTTATGTTTTTGCTGGCTACGGCGAGGGCGTGGTAGATGGCGTAGGAGCCGCCGTGGGCGCCGATTGCTGTGAGGTATCAGTGTCCTGCTAAGCTGTTTTACCGGATGGTTGAGGGCATACCGTTTCGTCGTTTTATGGTGCTTGGATGTCTAGAGACAACAACTGGTCCTCGCAGGTTAGGGTCCTTGTTACCCCAGTCCATCGGCAGAGGGTCAACGCCAGATTGCCCAGGGTACGACGTCAAGATTATTTTGGATGAGACGCTTGTTCGGCGAGGTTGGACCTCAAAGGTTCCGGGAGAAGCGTTATTCTGTTCTCTGGCTGCCGACACACCGTCAACCGGTTTGGGGCTGGGGCTCTCCTGCTCTCCGTTCGCGACTGCGGACTTTCCGTTCATGACGGTTGGGTCCGAGGCAGCGCCGTCCTGTACAGATTTCACACCCGCCAGCATGTTCACCCTGCCGTTTATAGCGTCGACCGCGGATGATAGCTGTAGGTTATCCTTTTGTAGCGACTTCATACCCACCAGAATCTCGTTGAGCAGGCCTGAAAGGTCCGGGGGAGACGGCTGAAGCTCTACGGGAGCCATGGCTGTAGCTCCGGTGTGTTCAGACGGGACGGAGATGGTCTACGGTCTATGATCGGTTTGAAAAGCGAAGGTGAAGAGGAGGAAAGCAAGCTTCAGCGCAAGGACGGAAGCAAGGCTGGATGGCTTGGGGTGGGGTAGAGATAGTTATGACTTGCAACGCTAGCGGTGAGACGTAACAGATAAAAGCGTCACGAACGTGGTGGACAAAGAAACGAAAGAGTTGCCAACTTGGCCTGTATGGAAGAAAGACGGCTTCACTTCAGGTACCACCACTGACCTTAGCGGCAACGAGCTACAGGAGCTACAGCTCGCTGCTCCGGGAGCTCCCCACCCCTGCTGTCAGCGTTGGAGATCAGCACCTGGGGCTCCCTGGGCAGTTGAGCCACGAACGCCTATCGGGGCTATCAAGGCTTTCCTGTTGCGGATAAGCCGCGGCTCGGTGTCGAGCGTTAGTCCGAGCGGACCCTGAACTGCCTGAACTGAACCTCAAAGCGTGACGTGCATTCCCCGAGTACAAAGGGCAGCAACACACAAGACCACCTCCGCTGCGACAGCCCTTCTACAGCAGCGACCCTTCCTCTTTCAAGCACCGCTTCTCATAGCGGCGACCGCTTCAACAACAACCCTCCCCCGAAGCTTCCTTACCCGATACGAAATGGTATGTGCGGCCCAGCTAGCAACCTCGCGCAAAAGCAGCAGCCAGCAGCTAACACCCCACCCAGGGCAAACGCAAGAAGGCGGCAAAGAAGCCACAAGGCCCCAAGAAGGTGCGCGCCTACTCTCCCTTCAACGGACTCTCACCTGTCGCGCCTGCTCATACACCCCGCAGCGCGAGAAACTCGCTACAACCTTCCAATGCCTCTTCTGCAACCACGAGAACTCCGTGCACGTAAAGTTCGACAAGAAAGCCGGCCTCGCCGAGCTGCGCTGCAAGGTCTGTGGCCAGACGTTTCAGACGACCATCAACTGTATGTTCCTAGCCGCCCTTGCACGACCTTCAATCCCCCACGAGAAGCACAAGAACTGACACATCCGATTTTTCGCAGCACTCTCCCACGCCGTCGACGTCTACGCCGACTGGATCGACGCCTGCGACGCCGTGGCGAAGGAGGCGGCGGCTGCCGATGCGCCGAAGGAGAGGTATAGGGGGACTGGGAGGCCGAGGGCTGCGCCTGCGGCGACACAGGAGGACGATGATGGGGATGGGTTTGTGGTGGATGACGAGTTGGATGCTGAGGGGGAGTATGCGGATGAGTGAGGGTGTGTCTTGGGAGCACAACTGGGCTGGCGTTCGGGACGTTATATCGGCTTATACTAGGTGGCATTTTCGGTACGTTGGGTTTATAGGGTAGCATGGGGCTGAAGGCAGTTTTCAACCCGCTTTGAGAAGCTACATGCACTGCTGCATCCTCATAAAACGTCTTCTAAGATCCTCTGGTCCCGTGCATTCAGCGCGACATGATGCGCCCTTCCCATATCTAGGGGACGCATATCTCACCACTTCTATAGAGCGGACCTCTGCTGCTATACCTAGCAAATAGTCTACGCCTATGCCCATGCTCTTCTGATAACTTCAACGCTAGATTAAGCTCCTACTCACATGGTATAGAACCGATCGCCGAAGTCACCGAGCCCAGGCACGATGTAACTACGATATATGTTAGCATCTCGCAAACCGAATCAGACATCTGAACATACTTCTTCTCATCTAGCCCCTGATCCACAAAAGCAGTCACAACCCTCAGCTTCGGGAACTTGGCCGCAAAGTTCTTTGCTCCCTCCGGACTCGCGATCAGATTCAAGAACAGAATATGATCCTCCGGCACGCCCTTGCTCTTCAGCACATCCACCGCCATGAGCGCCGAGCCCCCTGTCGATCACCTTGTCAGCCCCCGCCCCCCCTCCTCCCACCCCCCACCAAACACGCAGAAGACATCACTCACCAGTCGCCAACATCGGATCCAGCAACAACACCCACCTCTCTCCCACATCCTCCGGCAGCTTCTCATAAAAAAGCTTGGGTTTAGCCGTCTCCTCGTCCCTCTGAATCAGAATCTTGCCTATCCTGACACTCCTACAGCATTCGCGGAGGGCCTGCTCCATGCTCTCGCCCGCGCGCATGATGGAGACGCCGCAGATTTTCCCTTCGAACTTCACGCCGGAGTAGGTGCGGCCGACGGGGGTGGTGATGGGGTGGGAGACCACGGGCAGGTGGTTGAGCCCTTCTTCGACGAGGAGCCGGATTATGCGGTTCGAGTAGAATATGAAGTCGGCGCGGTTGGTGGTTTTGTCGCGGATCATGCTGTTAGGGGTTAGGTGTTGGTCGGGATGATCGCAGGCGGGGAGTGGGTTGATGTGCGTACGTTAGGAGTGCTATTAGTTGTGGTGTTTGTGGGAGGATGTGCACGTTTTCGTGGGAGACCTGGGGGCTGGTCAGATGGGTGCCTGCAGCGATTGCGGGTGGGAGTGGTCCAAACCTGTGTGGATACAGTCGCTGTCGGCTTCTCGTTGCTGGACCTGTACTCTGGACCGACGCATCTCGAGGGCGCCGGGTTTTCTGAGGCGGAGAGCATCGTGGCAGCTGAAAGGGTCTACAGAAGCTGTGGAAGAGCTGCTGGATGCAATAGAGAGACAGATTCTAGCTTTATCGGTCTAACATTGGGGTGGGATGTGAGGGGAAGACAATGATATCTCCCAAATAGCTCACCGAGAGCACGAGACACACAGCAGGGCTGACTCGTGTGAGGCATCGGAAGGCGCCGCGCTTCTCCACACACTGACACGCCGCAGGGACTTGGAAGCTGGACCCTGGTTCACATACAGTAGCGCATCCGGCTTCTGGCAGCGCGTCAACCGACAACCGACATTGTCTTCTCCGTCTGCACGAACAAAGAAGAGCTTCAGCATTCACTTCACTTGCGCATTGACATCGGAAAGCGAACAGAAAGCCTGTCTGCGAAGCGAAGCACCCAAGCCGCTTTCACCAAGCTCAATTCTCCACCGCCCGCTTGTTCTCACTACTAAACCTGCCCTCTATCCAGCACTGTACAAAGCTGTACACCACCACGATGCTGTTGTATCGCTAGGCAGCCCTCTCCAGCCTCCTTTTCGGCCTTGCATAATCCGCCTTGCTATATAATGGCTGCGTCCACCATGTCTTCCTCCAATGCGATCCAACGCCGGCGGCGGCCAGCGACTTACGGAAAGCCTGCTCGTTCCAGCTTCTACGACCTGCACGACGAAACTGCCTCAATCGCACAGCGATCTACCCCGGAGACAGCGAGCCGCCTGATCAATCCGCTAAAAACCACTCAGCATAGCGACACCGCGTCTTCTAGGAGGAAAGACCTACCTGCGAAGAAAGAATCTCAGACTGCGGGCCTCACAGACTTCGACGTCCCCTCGTCAGACGAGGCCAACAGCGCGCCTTCGAGTAGGCGCCCTCAGAGGGCCAGTACAGATAGGATCATCAAGCCGCAGAGGAAAGCAGCCGTTGCAAAAGCTGTGGCTGCTGTAACCACCAGACGAACTCCTCCAGCGACTGAAGCAGCCAGCCTAAAGGTCTTCGATGTCCCGATGTCCGACGACGATTCTACACCGCCAAAGAATACGCGCGGGGCTGTCAGTCGACCTCCGATGGCTCGAACGAAATCAGACGCAAGAGTTCGAACAGTCACCGCACCTGAACCGGTGCAGCAAGAGTCACCAGGCAGTGACGGAGGTCTGAGAAAGCGGAAACGGATCGAGGGAAATTCGTTACAACCTGCTACTAAGGATGACCAGAAGGCTGTAGCAGCTGTCGCAGCAAGCGTGGGAGGTACTGAAAACACAAACGCTCAAGGCAGAAGGACGCTCCGTTCCGCAGGGAACACACGGCAAGCGACGCCTGCTTCAGCAGAGAACGCAGTACCTACACGTTCTGCGCTGCCCGTTCGTGATCTGCCAGCCGCAAGGAGACCTACCCGCAGCCGGACGAAAACAGCTACTGTTGCGCCTCGCATGGCTGAGGGGAAATCAGCGCCAGCCGTGTTGCACGAGATGCTTACCGCGCGTTCAATAAAACCAGGCAATGCTGCCAGATCCCCGTCGCCTCCGTCGTTGCCGCCGTCAACTCCACCAAAGATTGCTGTCGCGGCTGAGGAGTTGCTGTTTTCCACACCTCCGGCTCGCAGTTCAGGCAGACCCGCAGAGCTAGCACGCAGTGGATCAGTCACGCCTCGGCAGAATTCCGCATGGAATAAACTTCTTGTTGGTGCCGGCCTCCTCTCGTCAAGTCCGATCGATTCCATGACGGATAACCTCCAGAATTCCGGCTCTGGGACGAAGAGGCAGCGGACTTTATCAAGATCTGTGTCCGATCTGCCGCAGACCGATCATACCCGTCGTCAGCGGCTCATTGACAGTTTGATTCCTGCCGCGGCGATGAGCGAAGAGTCTTTTGAGGACGGAGAGAGCGAGGTTTTCGGAGAAGCGAGCTTCGGCGGCCCTTCAGCGACCGTCTCGCAGCCCATAGAGTCTGTTTTTAGACTGGGTGATGGCAGTCAAGATGCCATGGATCTGGACTCTCAAGTGACTGCATCGACCTCGCAGCGCACGACACTGGTTGACGCTGGTCCAAGAAGGACTTATGCACGCGAGAGAACGTATCTGGAAGACAAGAACGTCGAAGGTGACCTTCTACTCGCATTACCATTTGACTCGCCGATCATCCCCAAGCAGCCGATTGGCAACGGCGCCTTCGGTATGCCCCAGCGCCAGCCGCAGTTTGTCGAGGATGAGCAGGAAGACTCCCAAGGCGGGATAAAGAGCATCCACGAGCTTCGCGCCGCTGGCGGCAACAAACGCTTCTTGGACGATATTGAGAGTTTACTGGACGACATCGAGGCGAATGGACCTTCAACCGTCTCAAGGAGGCGCAGTGGGATAGTCGAGCTGTGCACCAAGCTTGCGGACGAGAACTTCGCGAAGAAGCTCTTCAATACGAGCTTGGAGCAGCGGCTGTTTCCTGCTCCTCCAAGTCTGCCGGATACGATACTGGAATTCACAAAAGCCGTTGCTATCGCCTTCATTGTCCATGCTCACGCGCCTGTTACCTGGGTACGACAGATTCACCGCTCTGGGGCTCTGGATATGCTGACATCGCTGCTGGATCTCGACGTCGATATCAGCCGTATCGCGAAGGAGCGGAAGACAAACATGTCGAAAGTCGCTCAAAGCACGCTGTTAGAATTCCGCACTCTAGTCCAACAAGCCGCCTTCTGGGGCGACGAGAAACCCTTCGTGCTCACACCGCGCCTCATGGCCCTCCGAAGCATGGACCTGCTAATCGGCCGCCTCCGCAAACTCGGCGACGACACCACCCTCCTAATTCCAGACCTGACCTCGCAGCTCCTGGACATCGCAACCTCGGCCTCCGGCTCCCTCGTGCAGGACGTCATACCTCCCTACGACGTCGCATGCCTGGAACTCTCCCTCTCGATCCTCGAGTCCGGCTCCACTCTCCCCGGCCACACGGCGACGCGCTCGACCTTCTCCGCAGACCACCTCACCCAGCTCGCCGCCATCCTTCCGCTCCTCCTCACCCATGCGGACGCGAATCTCGCGCACAGCACCTCCCTCGCCATCCGTCTCGCGACGAACCTCGCGAACAACAACCCGCGCATCTGCGGGCAGTTCGCGGAACCGGGGCTAATCCGCCCGCTCGTTGGCGCGATCACGAAGACGTTCCAGAAGCTTGACGGCGAGGAGCACGGAGAGGATGAGGCAAAGCATCTGGCGACGATTGATCGGCTGGTTCTGCTTCTGGGGTGTGGGATCAATCTGTTTGAGCATAGTGAGGCGTGTCGGGTTGCTTTGCTTCCCGCCACCCCCCCGTCCGCCTTTGAAGCCGCGCCGGGAGTGGAAGCAGAAGCACACGCCTCATCCCACATCAATGACCTAACCCACCTCTTTGCTTCCCACCGCACCCGCGCCTGGCACGCCGCCCTCAGCGTGCAAGCGTCCCACTCCAACATCCCGTACGGCTACCTGGCTGTTCTGCTCGGGAATCTGTGCCAGACCGCCGAGCTGCGTGCGGAGGTGGAAGCCGGGTTGTCGGCGCAGGGAGGGATCAACACGCTGGTTGGGGCCATCGAGGAGTTTGTCAGGTTCCATGAGGCGGTTGACAAGGAGGGCGGGGAGGTCGCAGAGGAGACTTGGGGGGTTTTTACGGGGAGGATGAGGGGCGTTGTTGGGAGGTTGAGGGGGTGAGGCGGTTTTGGAGTGCTGGGCGGTATTGGGAGAGAAATCAGCGCGTGAGTTATTGGGACTGGTTGGTGCTGTCGAGGCGCTTCTTGGCTCGGATGTAGTGTGGAGGGTGTTGGCTTTGGGTGTTACTGTTCATGATCTACGAGTATATGGCTTGGCGTGAGGCTTGGTAGCTGATGAGTGTGCATGAGGGACATGTCGCAGCGTGGGTAGCTTGGCTATGTATATGTCTGTAGCAAGCGCGGCCGAGGCACCTTTGTCGCTATAAGCGGCTTGGATTCTAGCTGCAGTTCCACGCGAGTCTAGCAGATCACATAATGCTCGTTCCTCGTAGAGGGTATGGTGGAAAGTGGATTTTGATTTTCGGCTACCTGAGTCCTGTCCGTCATACGCATGGGCATCATCTTCGTGCTGTGTTCTCCTCACTGGGCTTAGTCCAAAGGTGCCTGTCATTCGTCTATATTAGCTGGAATCGAGAGATTGTAGCCGCATTGCCTGCACAGCAGCAGAGTCTACAACTTATTCATCTCGTTTCCGGCGCCTCCCCACTGGTAGCCCGCAGCATCGCTGAACTTGTAGCCGTAGGAGGAGGTGAAGTCGTCCAATACAGCCGGGCCGCGGGAGCCTGAAGAGGTTAGTGTCTTGGTTCAGCGGTTAACTCAGCGAAGTGGTAGAGACTTACCATATGGGTACTCCATTGGGATAATCTCCTTGTTATCATCCAGGTAGTGCAGCAGCGGCGTGAATATCCTCCAGCTGGCATCAAGCTCATCGTCACGTACAAAGTTCGAGTGGTCGCCCTTGAGAGCGTCGAGGATGAGCGACTCGTACGCCTCGGGAATCTTCAGATCCGAGAACCGGCGGCGGTAAGTGAGATCGAGCTCTGTGACGACCGTCTGCATGCTCAGGCCTGGGAGCTTGGAGTTCATCTTGATGTAGACGCTCTCGTTGGGCTGGACACGGATGACGAGCTCATTCCGGGGGATGTCCTTGAAGATGCCGGAAGTTACGTCCTTGAACTGAATGCGGACTTCTGTCTTCTGCTCGTTGAGAGCCTTACCGGCCTTGAGGATAAACGGTACGCCGTCCCACCGCTCGTTCTTGATGTAGGCAACCATTGAGGCGAACGTGGGGCACCTGGAGTCCTTAGGCACAGTGTCGTCCTCCTTGTAACTGGGCTTACTTCCATCGAGCGACTTCCCATACTGCCCTATTATGACGTTCTTCGGCTCGATTGCAGGCATACCGCGCAGTACACGGACCTTCTCGTCTCGAATGTCTTCCGCGGAGAAGGAGATCGGCCGCTCCATGGTAAGTAGAGTCAAGACCTGCAGTAGATGGTTTTGCATCACGTCACGGATGATACCGAACTCGTCAAAGTAGCCGCCTCTGCCTTCGGTACCGAACGGCTCTTTGAAGGAGATCTGAACGTTGTCGATGTGGTGTCTGTTCCATGTGGCACCGAAAAATTCGTTGCCAAACCTCAGGATCAGGATGTTTTTGACCATCTCTTTGCCCAGATAGTGATCAATGCGGAAAATTTCCTCCTCCTTCCAATCCGGCGCGAGCGCCCGCTGAAGCTCCCGGGAGCTAGGGAGGTCTTTACCAAACGGCTTCTCAACCTATGGGAATGTGAGGAATCAGCTCCTGGCGCGGATTGGCACGCTGGAATGTACTCACGATGATCCTAGCAATACCGTTCTTCGGATAGCAGATTTTCTTCAGATGCTGCGATACCGGAATGAATACGCTCGGCGGCAACGCCATGTAGAAGACCCGATTCGTCTCCTCCCTGCCCTCCTCGAGCTCCTCAAGGTGTTTCCGCAGGTTGATGAACGAATCGTCTTGGTCGTATTGCCCGGAGATGTAGCTGCACAGGTTGCAGAAATCGTTCAACGACTCTTCCATCTCCTTGGTCGGTGTTTTGATGTAGGATTTGACCCGCTTGAGGTATTCCTCCCGGTCCATCTTTGTCCGCGCATATCCGATGATCTTGACATTGTTTGGCAGGAAGTTGTTCCGGTGCTTGCGCCATGATTAGAACGGTGAGTGTTCCGCGGTGGGGAGCTACTTACGAGGCCGAAGAGCGCCGGGAACTGCTACGAGGTCAGCTCTGCGTGATGCAGGATGGATAGCAATGGACGTACCGTCTTCTTCTTTGCCAGATCACCCGACGCTCCTAGTACGACAATGACTGTGTTGTCTTTCAGCTCAATGGTGCTATCGTGAAAGTTCGCGTCAGCTGTAATGTCCGAAGCTGCCTTGGGCGTAGTCGTGTATCGCTCGTGCTCTCAGCCGCAGACAGAATGCAGGCGGTTACCTGCGCAACGTTCCGATACTCGATTTCCGCAGGCAGAGAGTTCTTATCGTTTCCGAATAGCCCATGGGACTCCCTGGGTCCTTAGATTCAAGCACTTACCCGGCGTTATCCTCCGTGTCACGGTGGAGAATTGTGTCTGACATTGCAGTGGATGTGTACGGAAACGCGTTTGGTGGAAGCGATGGATTGACTCCAGCTGCAGCGTCCGCGGACAGTTCCTCTCAATCGGTGTTTGGGAGCTGTTTGCGCAAGAATACCGGTGTGAGGAATTTGTTGATCTACGAAGCTGTCTGGCGACCTGCGTAGTGGGGTCGCCCAAGCTCGACAGGGGGCGGGATGCTCAACGGTGACGTTGCTACGGCTTGCTGGATGGTTAACTGATATGTAGTATAGCAGATTCACGATGACAGTCTGCGAGTTCGATTGCCAGCGTTCACTTTGCAGAGGAGAATTAGTTATTCGACTTCAGCAGGAGACCAAGCACTGCAGCTGGATCCCTCGGGTCGGTCAGCATTTGCAGCTGTTGGTAATAATGCGGACATCAATGGCGTCGGCGTCTCGCGTCTCAATTCTCCGGCGGTTGCTGCCGTGTCCACCCGCGCCAAGAGCCCGCAAAACCCCATCACCGCCGACTTCACCTCTGCTGTCCGCCTGTCAGAAGAGGTCGATAACCATTACTGCGAAGCCGTGACTTGATCTCTCGGCCCCGAGGAGGGCTACATGATTGTACGCTCTAGACCAGGGCTTGCTTGAGAAGCTAGCGGCATCATCGGATTCGGCAGGCATGTGCGGTAGTGTAGCAGTACTACGAGAAGAAGCGTCACAGCGACATCGGCATAACTAGCAAGTTGAAGCACCCACGGTGCCACGTCGATGCCAAAAAAACGTTCCTATCAGAATCGCATCTGCGCCAAAATCATCCGTCAACGTAGGAAAGTATACGTCATTAATTACGTCCAAGTAATAAGTAGATGTTAAAGATTATACTGACTATGCCTACACGCTCTTGAAGCTCATACTACATTGTTCCGTCAAGCTCTGGAGCACGAAAAGACGTGAGGGCTGGTAGGCCTCTTGGTAGGAACGTTTCTTTTTTGGCACCGACGTGGGTACCTTACTATTGTACAGCGGGAATCGGTACTATCAAACCCGATACTGCTACTCACGATCCATGTGCATGGTTGTGCTCAACCCTTTTCGGGTGTTCAACTGACATCCCTGTGGCATGCTTCAGGCGGCATCTCTGCCGAGTGATCCGCTCAAGACGCTCGAAGTCTCGCTCCTACTGCGAGTCTTTAACGGACATGAGGAAACATAGGGCATCAGAAAGTGAGAAAATGTTGCGACGGAACATGAGGAGACGAGGGGGCGGTAACGTTCTGAGCCTGTAGTTTCAGAGCCGATTTCATCGACCGGTGCGTAAATAGCATCTACTCACTCAGATGGCGGTCACTAGGCAATAGTGAGGAAGCTGCGACTGAGTACCAGAGGCCCAAACTCTGACAGTGTTTGTATCGTGCTGCTGTCAATGGAGTTTCATCTCCACTTTAGCCGGGCCTTGGTCCGTGTGGTTCGCAGCCGCACTCTCGGCACAAGGTTTCGCCGAGCCGGCAGCACACACGCCTGGCTCGCAAACGATTTGAGGTCAGCGGTAGAAGACGACGACGACGACAAAGCCAACGACCAACTACCGGATACCTTCTCGCCTTCACGACTACCCGCACACTCCATATCAGACAAAATGCCGTCAGAAGCTGGTCACAGGCTGTACGTGAAGTAAGTACATGCTCAGCAATCCGATCAGCCCGCACCTTTGGTTCTCTCAGGATGGAGCAAGAGTCGGGGCACACTTTCGGAGCCACGCCCTATGCCACCTTCTTCCCCGGAGCAAGCTTCGTTCAGGCTTGCAAATGCCTCGGAAACCTTCGCCATGCGAGCCCGGAATTTATGGCAACTGGCAAAACAAACGGACCAGAGCTATACTTGCTACGTTGGTTGTCAAATGGGGTTGTGTACAATCGGACGAAGCCGCTTGCAGTGAGGAACGGAGACGAAGATGGAACACTGCACGAATATGCTTTAGAGACACGTTCCAGAACTGGAACCCCGACGGCACAGCGCGCTCCATGTCACGAGATAATGGACTTCTCTTCCATTGCTTGATCTTCTGGGCTGGAGTCAGTCTCGCACATCTGTCCCGTATGAGTTCCGCGCCTGGAACCCACACGCCGCGCCAACGATTAGCAAAGCGCACGACAGCGGACCTCCTCGATTTCTAGCGCAGTACTCTGTAACAACACCACTCGACCCACTTGTTATCCTGAGAGAACCGACCTACTCGGAAGCACTGGATCAGCGTCAGAATGCGGAGCTAACGTGTCACAGGGGGAAGCACCTCAGCTATCAGCGCGGCAAGCGGACAACAAACGTAAGGCATCTTTACATGATGTAACCGGATGAGCGCAACTTGCTTACAAGAACTAGCCCAACACTTCTCTCCTGAAGATCGAGGGCGTCGACACAACCGAAGCCGCCAGGTTCTACGAGGGTCGGTTACCACTCACCGCACTATCTCCCACCAATCGCACAAACACAGACTGACCGGCAACATAGGCAAGAAGGTTGCGTTCGTGTACAGGGCTTCAACGGAGCGCAGGGGCACCAAGATCCGAGGTACGATTGACATCTGCTCCTGTAGGAAGACTCAATACTGACTATTTTCTGCAGTGATCTGGGGCAAAGTCACGAGGCCGTAAGGAACCCGGTTCGACTTGGCTAGTGTTTGGTTTGTAGCTAAACTGAGTCCAGGCATGGCAACAGCGGAGTCGTCCGCGCGCAGTTCCGATCTAACCTACCAGTGAGTTTTGAGCACGTCGCTGAATCTGAACCCGGCTAACTCTACACTAGCCCAAGACCTTCGGCGCTTCAGTCCGGTTTGTAGATTGCCTCTGCAAGCGCCTCGTAGCTGCTAACAATCACGCAGGATCATGCTCTACCCATCGTCGATATGATCTCGAGTGAGCTGGAGAGGGGTCGGGGAAGGCTGAGGAAGAGCGAAGGGGGAGTGGCTTGTGGTTAGATGAGTGTGCTACGATGTGCGACTGCTTGCTTTCTGTCGGGGTGTAAAGCGGAGCGTTCACTATTTGAACTCAACACATGAGGCTCACCGAGTCCTCCATATCAGTCCAAGAACCGGCGTACACCATAGGCACCTTTCACCGCTCATCTGCGGCAATGCATCTGATACGCTCTATATTGCACCTCGTCTGAATGTGGTCTCATCGGCACGCTGTTAGGTTGATGCCTTCCTTATGGGTTCACGTTTACCGTGATGGTTCGTGTCTGTTAAAGGCAAACGCGGGCCATGCATTTCTGCGTTAGGTACGGAATTGTAGTGGTATTGGATGTCGCGAACTCAATAACAGGACTTTATCTTTTATTTACGGTACGCTCGCTCCGAGTGGTGATGCCTCGTGACTTGTAAGGCTGCAGCTGAGCCTCATGGCGCAAGAGCAACTCCGGGTTGCCGCTTTATCTCCAGCGTCCGTGCTTTGCAAAATGGATGCTCAGCGACGCCGAAGCAAATCTTCGGTGACAGTGACCGAAATGGACGATCGATAACAGTCGGGCAGTGCCTGGCTGCAGATACACACTTACAACTCCGACAAGACGAGCCTCAACTACGATCAGCCGCCATGGACGACTCCGGCGATGAGACGGAGGGAAGCCGCCGGAATAGCTATGTACGGACGAGCACCGAAAGCTCGGGGAGAAGGAGGAGCGCCATGTACAGAAGAGGATCCAACATGAGCGAGTGTGTGGAAGACGCTGTTGTGCTATCGCATGGTTGAGCTGACCGTATCCAGGGTTAGCTTCATAACAGACGTTGAGATGGCGCATGACGAGGTCGGATCCAGCGGTCCACCTTACCGTAACCACACTGACGTATCTCAAAGGTGTTCTCCGGGCCCATGTCCGAGAGTGTACCTACTAGTGTCACCGGCTTCGCGCACCGCAGATCTCGAGGAGACTCCACCGCAAGCTTCACGTACTACGAGGACGACAGACATTCAGAGGGCTCAGCCGAGGAGGCCTTGATAGACGAGGAAGAGGAAGACGGATACCTCAATGGCCTCGCGGAACAAGGCGAAGACCTGGAGCTGGGAAGACGACCTTCTCGCAGGCGCAAATCATCATCCTACTCGAGGCATTCCGCAGGCGCGCCCTTGATACGGCGATCAACGTCCTCTGGCAGTGTTGACACGGAAGGTTATGCAAGAGGTGGAAGGTTTAGCCAGAAAATATACATATTGACGGAAGATCTGACAGTTGTCGTTGCCGGCTTTAGGACATCCGTCATTGGCTTTGGGGTATACTTGTTTCTTTGTATCGTCACTCTTGGCTTGGGATATCTCCTCTTTCGGTGGCTGCCTCGCTGGCGGACACGCCTCACTGGCTCACCCATCGCCCTTGGAGAGGCCGACTGGGTCGCAATTGAGAACTCATGGGGGGAATTTACCACACAAAAGCTGATAAAGCAAAGCTATGGACGGTCACTATCGACGGTATTCGGCACGCAAGAAAAAGCACGCTACCACGAATATGATGAGGAGGACGATCCAGTAATGGACAGCCTCGTTGCCCTTGACTACCGGTATATTCGCTTCTGCTATCATCCAGGCAAAGACAAGTTTATCCTGGGCAACACTTGGAAGGATGCATCATGGACCGATGTGGACGCTGTACGTGCTGGCCTGGACAACGACGAAAAGGCGTTTCGAGAGAGACTTTTTGGCAAGAACGCGATAGAGATCGAGCAGAAGAGCGTGGGACAACTCCTTGTCGACGAAGCATTCCACCCGTTCTACGTGTTCCAGATAGCCAGCCTGTTTCTCTGGTCCGTTGATGAGTACTACTATTATGCTGCGTGCATCTTCGTGATCTCAGTCTTCAGCATCGCATCCACACTTATCGAAACCAAAGCAACGATGAAACGCCTGCGAGAGCTATCAAGATTCGAATGCGACATACGGATTCTGCGTAATGGCTTCTGGAGATACGTGGAATCCAGCGAACTTGTACCCGGCGATGTTTACGAAGTTACGGATCCGAATCTCACGCAACTTCCATGCGACAGCCTTCTATTGTCCGGTGACTGCATTGTGAACGAGAGCATGCTCACGGGAGAATCAGTCCCTGTCTCGAAGATCCCGGCAACAGACGAAGCACTGGAGCTGCTGGACCCCAGTGCCTCTTCCCTTCACCCGGACATCGCAAAGCATATGCTCTTCTGCGGAACGAAAATCATTCGAGCAAGAAGACCACAGGACGACAAGGATGATGAGGCAGCGGCGCTGGCCTTAGTAGTGAGGACCGGGTTCAACACCACCAAGGGCGCGCTGGTCCGTTCCATGCTGTTTCCCAAGCCGTCGAAATTCAAGTTCTACAGAGATTCCTTCCGTTACATCTCGGTCATGGCTGGTATAGCTGCAATCGGGTTCGTTGCATCCTTCGTCAATTTTGTGCGCCTTGATCTTGCGTGGCACCTTATTGTGGTTCGCGCTCTGGATCTCATCACTATCGTTGTGCCACCTGCGCTGCCTGCCACGCTGACTATTGGGACCAACTTCGCACTGAACCGTCTGAAGCGCAAACAGATTTTCTGCATCAGCCCGCAACGGGTCAATGTCGGTGGGAAGCTCGATGTGATTTGCTTCGACAAGACAGGCACCCTTACAGAGGAAGGACTGGATGTTCTCGGCATGAGAGTCGTGCAAAGGCCCGCGAACAGATTCGGTGAGATTCTGACCGATACTTCGGCACTCCTGCCAACAACACCGTATGAGCGGGACCCGACGATTGACTACACCACCAACAAGGCGATACTTTACACAATGGCCACTTGCCACTCCCTGCGAATCGTTGATGGCGAACTTCTAGGGGATCCCCTTGACGTCAAGATGTTCCAGTTTACTGGATGGAACTTTGAGGAAGGCGAACAACGATCTGGATCCTTAGATGATGACGAGCAACAGCGCAAGCTCTCACCAGCAGTAGCTCGTCCACCGCCAGGTCTGGAGTATGACATGGATGATGAGGAAGATACTGCAAACAGGAAGCCCATTGAACTCGGCGTGCTTAAGTCGTTCGAGTTCGTCTCTCAACTCCGCCGAGCTAGCGTGGTGGTAAGACAGTTCGGATCGCCAAGCGGTGCAGTTTATGTCAAGGGTGCACCTGAATGCATGAAAGATATCTGCCGGCCAGAGAGCTGTGAGTGTTGACACTACCTGAATGATGGCTCGCACGCTTGCTAACGTTACTCAAACAGTCCCCGAAGACTACGAAGAGCTTCTAAGCTACTACACACATCGAGGATTTCGAGTGATCGGCTGCGCCACGAAAACCATCCCAAAGCTAAACTGGGTCAAGGTGCAGAAGATGAAGCGCACCGAAGCGGAGTCTGAGCTAGATTTCGTTGGCTTCATCGTCTTCGAGAACAAGCTCAAGCCAACCACTACCGCCGTCGTCGAGGAGCTCGGCCGGGCTAACATCCGGAAGGTCATGTGCACGGGAGACAACATCCTCACCGCCATCAGCGTAGCTCGAGAGTGCAGCCTGATCGACCGCACCGCGCACTGCTTCGTTCCACACTTCATCGAAGGCGACGCACGAACTCCGCTGTCTCGGCTGTGCTGGGAAAGCGTCGACAACCCGATGTACCAGCTCGACGAGAATACTTTGAAGCCGCTTCCTCCACCCGCCGAGCACGACGCCTCCCTACCCTACGACATCTCGAACCTCAAAAACTACTCTGTCGCAGTGACCGGCGACGTCTTCCGCTGGATCATTGATTTCGCCTCCGAAAAAGTCCTGCGTGAAATGCTCGTCATCGGGCAGGTCTTCGCGCGCATGTCTCCCGACGAAAAGCACGAGCTAGTTGAAAAGCTGCAAAGCATCGACTACTGCGTCGGCTTCTGCGGCGATGGCGCCAACGACTGCGGAGCCCTCAAAGCTGCCGATGTCGGGATCTCGCTCTCCGAAGCCGAAGCCTCCGTCGCGGCCCCGTTTACCAGCCGCGTGTTTGATATCTCGTGCGTCCCTGAGGTCATACGTGAAGGCCGTGCGGCCCTCGTTACTAGCTTCAGCTGCTTCAAGTATATGAGCTTGTATAGCGCAATCCAGTTCACCTCAGTGAGCTTCTTGTACGCGTCTGCCTCGAACCTAGGGGACTTCCAGTTCCTGTACATCGATCTCGCGCTCATCCTGCCGATTGCTATCTTCATGGGCTGGACGGGTGCGTATCCCGTGCTGGCGCGCAAGCGGCCGACCGCGAGTCTAGTCTCGAGAAAAGTGCTTACGCCGCTGCTCGGCCATATTGGGATTTGCATTCTGGTGCAGCTGGTCGGGTTTCAGGCGGTCAGAAGGCAGCCGTGGTTCCAGCCGCCCGTTGTTGACAAGAACCACTCTAACGCGCACAACTCTGAGAACTCGACGCTGTTCCTACTAAGCTGCTACCAGTACATACTATCTGCCATTGTGCTGAGTGTTGGGCCGCCATTCAGGCAGAGCATGGCGCATAACCGTAAGTTTTGCGGGTTTGGTCATCATTTGCAAGGTGAAGGAAACTGACAAGCTCACAGTACCGTTTGTCATTACGATGGTCGTCGCCCTCCTCATCTCCAGCTACCTCCTCTTCGACCCGGCGCCCTGGCTGTACAAACTCATGGATTTGACATACATGTCGATGTCCTTCCGGATCTTCATCCTGGCGCTCGGCGTAGGTGGTTTTGTGGTCATGTTTGCAGCGGAGAAGTACATATTTCCGCCGCTGGCGAAGTTCGTTGGGAAAGCAAAGGTCAAACTGACGCCGAAGAGGCAGAAGAAGCGGAAGGAGTATAAGGTCATACAAGAAGCTATGCGGATATAACGGCAGGGTAGTTGTAGATGAGCATGATACTTTATTTGAAAAGACACCAATGGATGCGGCAATGCATTTCTTCTTGGGTATACAAATTCGTGAGTTGATGCGCCAACGCCTAGGTATCCATCGCTCCCAAACCATTTGTTGTGTTTCCCAAGCTCTGAGGCAGGCCACCTGCGTCCGGCGCGGCACATGCTGCAACGCCTCCGCTTCACGCCGCCTGGTCCGTCCATGCCCTTCTCAAGACGCCCTGGGAACAGAACCTGCCAGCCCATCCAAGAAATGCCAAAAGAGCGCCATCACCCGAGTACCAATTTCGATTTCCACATGCGCATACCCCATGATCTCTTTCTCTTTCCTCTAACCGCTCTGCATCTACCCTCTAGCCCATAGATCCCCCGCCCGCCCCCTCTAGCCATCCCCCCTTTACGACACCCTCCTCCTCTCCCGCCTACTTCCAGGCGGCCCCACTTCAACCACCTCCTCCCTCTCCTCCCCAACCCTCCTTGTCAACCACGCCGCAACAAGCGCACACAACCCTCCCGCCCTAAGCACCCAGGCCACACTCTCATCCCCCGGGCTCCCCCTCGGTTTCTGCAGCACGCGGAAGATGATACTACTCCCCACCGTGGCGATGACCTGGGGCGCGGCAATGGCGACGTTGTGGATGCCCAGCACGACGCCCGCCTGGTCGGCCGCGTCGTCGTCGTTCGAGGCCAGCAGTGCACCGTCCCGCGTCGGAGGCGGGCGTAACAGGCCCCGCCGGATGGCGTCGCGTTTGGAGATCTCGGAGCTGATGAGCGCGAAGGGGGCCCAGTTTGTGAGGGCCCAGGGGACGCCGATGAGGGCGACGAGGGTCGTTGCCGCGGTGGTGGAGCGCACGAGGAAGGTTAGGAGCATGAGGGCTGCGAAGAGGAGGTGGGAGAGCAGCCACGCGCGGCGGAGGGTTAGGCGCTCAATCTGCAGGTGCTGGAAGATGGACAGCCAGCGCTCCCATTTCGTGCGGGTGGCGGATTTGGGCGGCTTGTAGGTGAAGTAGCCGCTTGCGGAGAGGGAGCCGGGCGTTGTGGGGGTCAGGGGCGTGGCGGGGGCGGGCTTAGGGGGTTGGTAGGTTGGCGGGATAATGAAGGGGAGGAAGACGGAGGAGGCGAAGGTTGTTAGGGCGAAGATGAGGAGGGCGAACGTGCCCTGCCGGGTGGCTTTTTCCCAGATTTGGTTTATCTCTTCTTCGCTCATGTGGGGGTTGGCTTCGAAGAAGGGCTCGACGTAGATTTCGCCGATGTAGGTCGTTATGTAGACTAGGCGGATTGGTTAGTGGGGCGAGGGGGTGAGGGGGGAGGGCACGCACAGAGGAAGGGGAACCAGCCGATCCAGGCAAAGAACTGGACTTCGCAGACCCGGCGGATCTGAGGCGGGAGCCGCTTGATGGAGTAGTACATTTCCCTGAAGAAAGCCAGAACTCCGCCTTCCTGCTCGATGGGTTCTCCCTCTAGGCGCGCATCACGCTCCTGTACGGTAACGCAGCTGATGGTTACGGTGGTGGCGAGGACAATGCAGGCAATAACGCACAGCACCTTGAACTGGGTGTCGCCGAAGAATGGCATAATCTTGGGCAGGTTGATATAGCCGGTGAGGTAGCCTAGAATGTTGCCGACGCCGGTCGTTCGCATGATCCAAGCATTCGCGTCCTCTTGCTGGTGGGTTGGCGCGCAGTCTACGACAAAGGCTCGAATGCCGGCTTGGATGACGTTGATGGCAAAGTCGAGGATGTACACCATGGCTGCTGCGCAGACGATGGTAGACACTTTGGCCCCGTTTGCTGCGGGATCGACGCCAAATAGTGAGAGAAATCCGGCGACGAGCTCCTTGGCCCACGCTAGTATAAGCAAAGATACGATGGTTGCTATGGCGCCTCCCATGATGAACGGCCTCCGCTTTCCCCACCGCGAGCGGCACCTGTCGCTCTTGGACCCCACATATGGCTGGACGATTACGCCGGATAGTGGCCCTGCGATCCACACAAGGGCCAACAAAGACTTGCTGAGACCTAGGGACAATAGGTATGGCTAGCAGCAGCAGTCTATTAGCGACCGAAATGCCCGTATACGGACGTGAAGCCAACTCACCGAGCCGTGGGACGTCTCTACAGACCACGCTATTTGCAGACTTCCACACAGTCAGCCGATGTCCAATCTGCATTGGCTTCTTTTGCATCGCTCACCCTAATCCACCCAGTGTCAACAGCAGCAGATACCAGCTGCTCTTTGTGTCTTCATGGCCCTCGGCTTCCCAGTCATCGTCGTCCAGCGGTGAAACATCTTTTAGGTACGAATCATCGCTCGGTCTCCGCGGATGTAGCAGGGGCGATTGCTCATTCATGGGTGCTCTAAGTATATCGAGGGATCTGCTAGGTCTAGGATGGTTGCTGGAGTCTCGGCGGAAGGAAACGACTTTCGGATGGTGAGCTATAGGGTCGCCGTTCGCAGGACTGTTGCCGGAGTCGCGGAGGGTAGAGGAGGAATCGGAGTCGGAGCTTTCAGAGCGGCTGCCGGCAGCCATGATGGGAATGTAGGGTAAGAATCACACAATGCGTGCCTGTGCCTCGTGGCTGTGCTCAGCAGATGTCGGGGTTTGGGCTGGCGGCGTGGAAGGAATGTCAGGGGCCCTTGCTTGGATGGGGGCTTCAGCAGGTACCCAGAGGAAGCGATGGGAGGCAGCAGCTGCAGGACTGCAGCAACACGTCGGAGCTCACGGAAAGCGTGGAGGATTCAGCGTGCCGCATCTCATCGGTCACGCGGAGTGGTGCCACTGCCTAGAGCTTCTGACGCGGTTCGGCTATGGGCGGAGCGGATGATTCGAGGTGGATGTATGGGGAGAAGCGCGTGAGTAGAGCAGTGACAGTCGGTCCCAGGGGCAGTAAGCAGAGGGCGTCGGTGGTGATGGCGTAGGGTGCAGCGTCGCGGCGCAAGACAGGGCTGTACTCAGTCGGCATGCTCTCGTGCTTTGCCGTGCTTTGCCGTGATTGCTTGCTTGCCGCTTGCGCATCCTCGCCGGGCTGAGCTGTCGGGCCTTGGCTGGCACCAGGCAGCAGATCAAGCCGATCAACCGTTCCTGCAGCCACAGCCGTCATAAGCGCCTCCGCCATACTCAGCTCCGTCCGCAGTCCCGGCAGCAAGACGGGCGGAAGCCAAGGGCGGAGATGCTGTACCTCCATCCACCTCAAGCGCCGGCTCCCCTCGAGACTGCCACTCATGAGATGCATACCTAGCAACTCTGCTTAACAGCTCAGTATAAGCCTCACCCCGATAGCTTACCCAACCGCGAAGACCGATCGAGCACTTAGGCCCGCCATCCCGGTACGCATCGCTGCAAACCAGGGAGCCCGATCCCGCAGTTTCAGGCCACAGTAGACCACATAATCTTATACGCCTCCGCGAGGCTGTCGCGTCGCACCCGGCATAGAAACCGACCTTTACCTCGCAGCCCCGGCGCTGCTTCCAGCAAAACAGCAGATGCGGACACAAGCGTGAATCCAAGGCATGGCGTTAGACACAGTAGGATGGGCCGTGGCCGAGATCATCAGTACGAGCGGGCTCCCCAACTACGACATGGGCCGAACCGACAGAGTGCTAACTAGGTCGCATCGCAGAACGAGAGGCATCAGATGCAGACCCGGAAGGTCAGACCACGCAAATCGGTTCCGAAGCTCGAAGCTGACGGGCACGCAGAACCGGAGCCGGGTCAGAAGGAACTATACGCATCATGGTCGCTCTTCATCTTAATCACCCTGCTCATAGTAGCTCTCTTCACGAGCTACATGCTGCAGACGAGGAAGATACAGGCCGTGCATGAGACCGTGCTCTCGATATTTGCTGGTAAGATCGGCGGACAAGAATGGCTCAATCCAGTTGCTGATATCTAGTCTAGGCATGATAGTGGGCTTGATCCTACGGCTGACTGCGATCGAATTTGTCCTCAGCGCCGTCAGCTTCGATCAGTCATTCTTCTTCAACCTGCTTCTTCCACCCATCATTCTGTCCTCGGGCTATGAGCTGCACCAGGTCAGTATGTACCTGCACTGCTGAGGTTGGATATAACGCTAACGTATGCCGTGCAGGGCAATTTCTTCCGCAACATCGGCACAATCCTTACTTTTGCCTTCGCGGGAACATTCATATCCGCCGTGGTCCTTGCCATTATACTGTGGTTGTGGACCCGACTCCCTCTCGATGGGTTCTCCATCTCTTTTGTGGAGGCCATGTCTGTGGGCGCTACGCTGTCGGCTACGGATCCGGTGACCATTCTTGCTATCTTTAATACGTACAAGGTCGACCCGCAGCTGTATACTGTCATCTTTGGAGAGTCCATTCTCAACGATGCCATTGCTATCGTTCTCTTCGAGACAGCACAGAAATACCGGGAAGGCGCAACCGCCAAAGAAGGGTCGTTATCAGCTTTCAGTTTGTTTGAGAGCATCGGCATCTTTTTACTAGTCTTCTTCGGCAGCTTGGTGATCGGCTTGGTGATCGGCGTGGCTACCGCCATGCTATTGAAGCTCACTCTCGTGCGGCGGTTTCCAAAGATCGAGAGTTGTCTCATCATCCTCATTGCGTACGCAAGCTATTTCTTCGCCAACGCAATCCACATGTCCGGTAAGCATCCACCAATTTTTCCCAGCCTCCTTCCCCCACTAACCGCCCACCCCACAGGCATCGTATCCCTTCTCTTCTGCGGCATCTGCATGAAGCACTACGCCTACCACAACATGTCCCGCCGGTCCCAACTAACCACCAAGTTCGTCTTCCAAGTAATGTCTCAGCTCTCCGAGAACTTCATCTTCATCTACCTCGGCCTCTCTCTCTTCACCGAGCGCGACCTCGTCTACAAGCCCCTCTTCATTCTCGTCACCGTCGTCGGCATCTGCGTCGCCCGCTGGTGCGCCATCTTCCCCCTCTCGCGTGCCATCAACAGCGTCATCGCCTACCGAGCCCGACGCCGCGGCCGTGAGGCGCCCGAAGCGCTGCCTAAGAGCCACCAGATGATGCTGTTCTGGGCCGGCCTGCGCGGCGCTGTCGGCGTCGCCCTCGCGGCGGGCCTGACGGGCGTTAACGGCTCGACGCTCCGCGCGACGGTGCTGGTCGTTGTAGTCCTGACCGTTATCATCTTCGGCGGCACGACGGCACGCATGCTCGAGATCCTGGGGATCCGCACGGGAGTCGTCGAGGAGATCGACTCGGACGACGAATTCGACATCGAGGTCGTGAACGGGGGGACCTACGTCCGTAAATCGGGCCAGGGGCTGGGCCACACGCCGCGGCCAGGGACGAACGGGTTTGTGCTTGCGCCCGTCGATGGCGCGACGGCGCGCTTTAACCGCCACGCGGAGAGGAAGGAGGGGAGGCATGGGAGCTACAGCTCTGGCAACGCGAATGGCTCGCCGCCCACGACGACCACGCGGCCGAATGGCCACGGAGCAGGACCGCTACGGAGATCAAGCAGCCGCGGCACCCGCATCCAGGAAGCGGAGCAGAACCTCCTCTCCCCCGCCTCCGTCTCCTCGCCCTCGGACTCCGAGGACGCGGATCTAGACCTCCCGCCACACGTCCGGCGGCCACCGGCGTCGATCTCCCCGCGCGAACCGAGCCCCATGGGTGCGAGCCGTCAACCTCACCCGCAATCGCAGGAGATGTATCCGACGCACGGGGAGCGCGAGGCCGGACACGACCACGGCAGGATCGCGAACGCGACGGCGGCGATTCGGGGCGTGTTTCATGGGTTGAGCGAGGATCCGGGGGCCGCGTTTAGGCAGATTGATGAGGGGTTCATCAAGCCGCATCTTTTGCTGGATCCGGGGAGGGGCCATGGGCCGGGTGCTGTGTGAGGGGATGGGGGGAGGGGCATGAGGGTTGTGGGTTGGAATGCATCATAGGCGTTTAGGGGGCGTTTAGGGGGCTGTAGGGCAGGGCGTGAAATCGTGCGCCCGGCGTATGCGTGTGTGTACTGTGATAGAGCAAAGGATTGGAACGTTGAGACGTCGTGCTTATCCGTATCCGCGAGAGTGGAAGATGGTATGCACAGCGAAGCGTTTAGGAGGAGAGAGCCTGCCAGTGAGATGCCAATAGTGCTGCTAGTGAAGGCGCAGGCTATCCTAAACGCATGATGACCCTTCCATGCCCCATTCCGCCCCATTCCCGTTTCCCGTCCCGGTGAACTTTATCACTTTTTCAACGCTTTCTCTTTGCGACGCCGCGCACATCGTGTGCAATTAGTCAGCCAAGATAAATCCCACTCTCGACTCCAGTCGTGTCTCATGCCATCTGTCTTCCAGTTGAAGCGCAATAAAGCCTTTCCAAGTCTCCAACAGATAACTCGCGACTCACTCCTTATACCACCAGCCAGTGCCCCCAACCCCATCTCCTTCGCCGCAATTGGCCGAGTCCTTACGCTCATGCCCTTTCCCCACCAGCTCGCCTCCTTCCTCATCCTCAGCTTCCCCCTCATTCCCCGGCTGTCCCCAACGCCTCCTAGTCACTCCCTCACATCCCTCGCAAGGCGGCGAATGCGAGCAAGCAACCGTATCTCCATGGCGGACCACCCCTTGTAGCGCAAAGCTAGCTTCGAGAACGCATGCCTTGGCGTCCGAGTCCCGCAAAGTGCGCAGGTAGCGGCTGTTTTGTGTTGGTGGCGGGGTTATGCCGTCGGGGCCGTAGAGAGGAATCGGGCGGGTGGGCGTGTGTGGTGATGTGGCGACGGGTTTGGCAATGGGAGTAGTGGGGGTGGTGGGCAGAGGCGCGGCGCTGGGAGTGGTGGGAGCGGGTTGCTGGAGCGAAGGGGGCGACGGAGGCGCTTCATTGCTCTGATTGTTAGTGGTGTTGGTGGGATCGTTGTTCGGGCGAGACGTGGTATTGGGGCTGTGTTGTGGCGGAGATGGCGCGGATGAGCGGATGAAATCGACTCTGGGGAATTGCGTGTCCACGGTTATTGAAAGCCGGGGCTTCTTCCTGCTGGTGCGCGGTGTACTGGTACGTTGGGTATGTGTAGTCTTGATAGCCTGGGAGAGACCCGGACTCTCAGGAGTTTGCAACTTGTTGTCAGCTTTGCATGCCTGACGCTCTCCAATTTCACGGGTCGCAGCGTCCCCTTTATAAGTGAGGTAATCGGTAAGCTTAGACTTTTCGACGCCACCAGCATCATCGACTGAGGCAAGTGTAGCTGTATCCGCCTCGCAGTGGCTTGGTGCTGGACTTGTCAGTTGCGCAGTAGGGGATGCAGGTTCAGATGTCAAGGGATCCAGATCCCGGCCTCTGCTCTGTCTCTGTTCTGACTGCTTGTCTTGAAGCGGTGATGCATTCGTGGTTGTGCCTGGGAAGGAACAACGTCAGTATACTGCTCCACACGTGGGGTTTTTGTAGATGCGGCGTCGAATAGTAATCACTTACCGATCGATGTTCCTAGTACCTCATCTTCTGGTTCGAAGGGATCATGCTGAAATCTGGTGAGCAGAAGCTGTATAAGGCGGAAGTCAATCTTGTGGCTAAGAGTCCGGGGTGGATTGGAGGGATGCGGGGATGAGAGCGCTGTTGCAGTGTGTCCGGTTACCTTGTGCTCGTTATCTTCGTTTGTCGATGCCTATTTATATACGATACATCAGCGCTGCTGTTAAGTGCAAAACCCAACTGATGGGCAGAGGAAACGCCAGAGACGTCAGGTATACCTACGTTCTCCCCGCCTGTTACAGGCGGCCGCTTCTTGGTGGACTGCATAGTGCGAACCTATAGCTGCCAACGAGTATCGATCCAAGTGCTGCACTGAGTGTGGTTCTGAGAATTTCAAGGGCTTGAGTTGACCGTAATGACGAACACAATGCGTGCTGAATGTTCGTATACCGACAATGTGTGGGTATGGGGATCAGTCGTGATCTGATGACCACAACAGATGGTTGCTAGGGCACTCGCTGATGAGATTACGATTGATTGCAAGATTACGAAGCATCGTGAACGATACGATTCGGATGAGATTGTTGATGCAGAGACCGCAGGATCTGATAGCATGTGAATGGCGGCACATGAGAATTCTGTTTGCCAAAGTTCTGAGAACTGGAGGGAAGAGACCGAGCGACGAGCGTGAGAATACCAAAAAGATTTCTGTCTGCAGTGGAGAACCCGTCTTAGTAAAGGCTCCGGAAGCCGGCCTAACGCAAAACCAGAGATTGCACGCAGTACAGAGCAGATATCGCTTCTCAATCCACTTACCCAATATCGAGACCAAGCCACGTTTGGTCCATAGCATAGCGCCCTCAAATCATCGGCCAGTCTGGAGTCTAAGAAAATGAACCAAGATAGCATTCCTTCAGGAGCAGGCTCCCTCGTAATGTTGGACCGTTGGAAGTCTGTGATGCCTTCTCCTGAAGCTCCGCAAGCACGTCGGAAAACAGTTTCTGCTGACATGAGCAAGCGGCTGGAAGCTGATCAAGAGACATTTGACGACGGAACCAGTCACCTTCCATAGAACCATCCCTCTCCCACTAGTGTCTGTCTTCAGACGCGTTGGGTTCGAACGACCGCACTGGAATAGCCGTTGAGGACCGGTAAGAGCAACCACTTCACTTCACTTCGCGTTCACCTAAGACGGTCTTGGCAGCATCAGTTCCGTTCTGTCACAACCCTTCTTCACCTGATACTCATCGGGCCGGACGACTACTTCTGGTTCCCCCGGCTTCTCCCTCGTTACTCAACGCAACTACCAAAACAAATCCTCAACCCACTCGTCAGCGGTCAGCATCATCCGGCCTCTTAAATGTCCACATTCCTCGCGCGCCTCGCAGGAACTCTCAAATCAACATCCGTTCGGAGAAGTCAGGTCCTACATCGCAATAACCAACAGGAGCTGTCAAGGCGAAGACGGCGTCGAGGAATCAAGGCCAGCCACGTCGCGGCCACGAACACCCATGAACATCAAGATCGTAGCATCCAAGACGGCGTCATCGCTACAACACTGGCCTGAGCACAACGAAGGCGAGACGCTAGACCACACGGCTTCAGCGAGTCGTGCCGCGGATGGGCAAAAACGTTTGCACAGAAATTGTACAGGATACTACAAAAAACAGAACAGCAATGCGCACAGACCAGAAACAGCCAAGCGCGGTCGCCTTCCAAGTTTTCTACCTCCATCAAGATCGCAACGTGAATGTAGGACGTGTGGGTGGCCTCATAAAGCTGGCGCATGGTGTGTGACCAAGGAAAACATGCGAGAAGAGTACGCGAAATGGCAGCGGCGACGACTGAGGCAGGGCCCCACAACTCTGGAGGCAGACAAGCAAGGCGCAGAGCCGAAGACAGAGCAACCAAGACTGTCGTGGGAGGCGAAGAAAACAGACGAAACGCAAACTTTGGTGCGGGAGATTGAGAAGGAAGCAGCGACGCGGCCTCCGGAGATCAAAAAGGAACCGGCAGAAGAGAAGCAGCCCCGTCGGTTACCCAGCGACGCGCTCAGAAAGGAAAAATTGAGATCGCTAGCCGTAGCACGCAGTGTAGTCAGCCGAGCTCAACGGCTCGCAGGGACTGAGATCGAGATGAAGAGAGTCAAGGAGGAGGCCGAGAGGAAGAAGGCCAGAGAGGAGGCTCGACCATTCCATGTGCAACGGGGACCGACAAAGAGTTCACGCAGACGAGCGAGAGAAGGAGCGGAGGCGAAGGCAGGCGAAGAAAGGCCACAGGCAGCTGAGGTGCTAGAGGAGGTGCCAAAGCAGCGGTACAACTGGGCTCAACACAGACACAGGTGGGAGCGGAACAAGAGAAAGCCGGTCAAAGCGAAGAAAGTCGATGGAAAGAGCAAGCCAGCTGGCATGCGGCAGCAGCGGCGACTCCCTTCGCTGAACGAAGGTCTGATTCGGAGTGTTAGGGCCCTCACCATTCAAGCCAAGAACCCTTCTCTGAAGAGTGTAAATTGGGGCACAGGCGACTAGTGTGCAGTAGTTCGGTGTTGTCTAAGAGTGCTAGATGTTGAGAAGCGTGCATCGTGCGGCATTCGGGGGGAGACACAGGCATCTGATTTGAGCCGATGATGTATGCTTGTTCGGACCACACGCGCTGCTAGCTACATGGATGTGTGATACTAAATGCGTTGTGACCGAAGTAGCAAGTTGGAGGACATCAAATCGGAAGAATGGGTTGAGACATGGAAACGTTCTCCAGAAGCGAGTCAGATCTGTCCTCTTCGCTTTTCCGCTTTGACGTCGCCAGACTCTCCGAAGATTGCCCCCCAATCCGCATCACAAAAGCCGCCTGCCCCCAACTTGTGCCTACGCTTCGACTGTCACCTCCAGAACCGTCGCACTTCCCACCAACGCCTCCGCAAAACTCGCACATCTCTACCCACCATGGCGCTCAATCCGCAGATGTATGTTCCAGGATGCGCCTTCACTGCAGCGCGCACCGCTTCAATATTCATTGGGTACTGACTTCTGTGTGCAGAACCAACCTGGCCATCATCCTGTTCGTAGATGCTCGAGCGCCCGGACTGAAGTCCATAACTCATCCTTTGCTAGGTTCATGATGCAGGCCTCGAAGAAGATCCCGTTTGACGATCCGAACGTACTAAACGGCATCCGCGCCCTCTACGTCTTGTCGAACTTGATTATTGCGGGCATATATGTCTATATCATGCAGCAGATCAACAAGAAGAAAGGTGTGTCCCGTCCTCCAGCCCGGCGGTATGATCCTGCACGGACCGGCGCAGCGGAGGCCTACCGACTTCTCTCAACTAACAACCGCCAGATATGACCGTCCTCAAATACGTCGAGCCAGCCCCCATGGGCTCCGCCGAAGAGCCCAAGTCCGTCATCACCACCGTCCACGCCTACGACATGCAACAGTGCCGCGCCCTCTTCAAGTCGCAGCTCATGGGCGTCGGCATGATGGCCGTCATGCACCTCTATTTCAAGTACACGAACCCGCTTATCATCCAGTCCATCATCCCGCTCAAGGGCGCCTTCGAGGGCAATCTGGCCAAGATACATCTGTTGGGCAAGCCGGCTTTGGGCGATTTGAAGAGGCCGTGGAAGGCTGCCGGTGGCTTCTTGAGTGGGCTGCAGGGCGGTGAGATCAAGACGGACAAGAAGAGCATCGAGACTGCTGAAAGGGCTGGCCGTGGTGGCGCGAAGGAGGAATAAAGTACCTAAGCCTGGATATAGGTATGGGCTTTTGGGTAAAAGTTTGTCGAGGAGGGAAACTCTTCGCTATGGATCCAATTTCACAGGCTTTGCACCCTAGGGATGAGCGAGGATGGGAAAGCACATTTAGCGCGAAGTCCTCTCTCAAAATGTGTAGATTAATGATAGAGGCTCTTTTCCGAGTTGATTGCGGCTCCATGCCACTGTGCCTATCTGAAAGCCCTATGCATTGACCATCTGCGGGAACAAGAGCCGCCTGCATCATCGCCTTCCAAAGCCGCGAGCTCCCGTCGAAGTCAGAACGGGGCGGAATAATCTTAATCGCCATACAAAAGCACGATCTTTTCAGAGTGTTCGTGGATTTTCGAACCACGATCTCTCCACTATCACACTCTCTTGAAACGGTATGGCGGAACGGCCTTCAACGCCACCACGGCCATCAGGCGCAGGCAACCTCCCGGCGCCACCTCTAACTCCAGAGCAAGTCCGGCAGCTAGTAAGTTGTGTTGAAGTGTGCTGCTTCGATCGCATCTATACTCACTACCATCTTCGTAGGAGATCAATCGCCTCAAAGCAAAAGCTCTCCGCAACGAACACGACTCCACCCACCGCGCATCCGGCACTACCACTTCCACGACCCCGAGCGGCTTCAATGTCAGCCAGAAGCGCCCTCACAGCTCCCTATCCTCCTCCAACACCCCGTCCAGCCACCGCGATGCCCGCAACAATGCCTCGACGTCCCGTGCCGGCTCGGCTCTCCCAGGAGCAGGCCTCACCCAGCCCAAAGACAACGGCATCCAGCCGGCCAAGAAGTTCGAGAAGAACTCCTACATCGAGTATGACTTCTCTACCATGACCGACACGAAGGGCGGATTCCTATCCTCCATCGACGACCCACACAACCGCGCCCTCCATGCGCCATCGGCTGAAGAGCAGCAGAAGCCCGCACACATGACGCTCGCGGAGTGGGACAGGCATCAGCTGCTCAAGAAGCTGCGGCAGCAGAAGGCCGGGCCGTTTGAGCCGGGGATCAGCGTGCTGGCGCAGAAGGAGGCGGGGAAGAAGTGCAGGGAATGTGGGAGTTTGGAGATTGATTGGAAGTGGGAGGAGTGTTTTGGGACGTGTGTCTGTAATGCGTGTAAGGAGAAGTTCCCGGAGAAGTATAGTCTGCTCACGAAGACGGAGGCGAGGGATGATTACCTTTTGACGGATCGTGGGTGCCCCTGTTCGCAGATACCCAGCTGGCACACAGATGTGTACTCTGTTGAATGTATAGTGGCTGACTCTCCAATAGCCGAGCTCAAGGACACGGAGATACTACCCCATCTGCTCAAACCGAATCCACATAAGTCCACCTTCGCTAGCATGCACCTTTACCTCCGTTACCAAGTAGAAGAGTACGCTTTCTCGCCGCAGAAGTGGGGTTCTTCCGAAGCACTGGACGCAGAGTTTGAGCGACGCGTGGCGGAGAAGAACCGGAAGAAGGAAAAGAAATTTAGCACCAAGCTTGCGGAGCTCAAGAAGAGGACCAGAGTGGAGGCGTATAAAAGAAGCCTAAACAGTGGCGGAGGAGATGCTGGCGAAGTGAGATTCGGTGACAGGATCAAGCGCGCAGGAGACAAGCATGAGCATGAGTGGGGGCGAGCGGTGCTGGATCCGGAGACGGGGATGACGAGGAAGAGGTGTGAGGAGTGTGGTATGGAGGTTGAAGAGGTGGAATTCTGAGCATGAAGCAGCTGATTCCCCAGAGGCTGTGACACCAGGCATGAGGGCACTCAGTTCTTGTATCATGCTCGCACGGTTTATCTCCATGTGGCGATCAGAGAATAGTCCGAACCGGATTGTAGCACACAGGAGGGGCCAGGAAGACCGCCACTCAACATCCCCGCTCTAGCCGAAGACGAGACGCGTCCTCTGGCGGAGAATCGTCTCAGCCCAGCTCGACCGCTTGCTTTCAGAGCCAGCGGCAGTCGCTCAGACTCGGACCAGTGCGACTGGCACGGTGCGCGATGCACTCCTTCACAGGATTAAAGCTAAGGTGCGCTCCCTGGGATTCAACTTCGATGACTTCGGAGCAGCGGGAGACTTCATAGCAGAAAGAGACAGGAAGGGGCAGGATTATGTTAGACGATTATCTGCTACTAAGTCCAATGTTTCAGTCAATCTGATACAGTCTTTACGTAGATGTAATTTGGAAGCAGACATGTTCCGGACCATCATTAGAAGGCCTGAGACGCTCCAAAGCTTGACATCACTTGTATCGGTCGGCGCCTACCCCGTAACACTTGACACTGAACTCATCACTGCCGGCGGATGATCACTGCCACTATCATCGCGAGAGGGTAACCTCTATCACATCTAGAAACGGTAAACACATTGCTTGACCTCTTCGAACTTGTTGGATCGGGCGTCTAACAGACCCTGACACATGCCACCTTCTACACTCCACATACGCTGTATCACAGCCCAACCACAGAGGTGGAGTCCTTGAGCTCATCGCAGAGTCTCTCCAGCAGTCCGCTCGCGCTCTCTTTGGGGTTTTCCTGCAACTGGCCTCTGCAGAACCCCAACTCAACTGTCCTTGTTTAACAGGCGGCGCTGTGTGGAGCCATGCGGCACCATGGACGTTGCGCGTTTTGACTTTCCAACTTCCGCTTGCATGATTATCCACCAGAAACCCAAGCACTGTCTCATCGTCGCCTCCCCTTCATGCTCTTCTTCGGCCCCTCTATGCTGGCAACGTCTCTCTTACTCAGCTTCAACATCCCACCGCGAAACTTGCCCACTCCTGGTGTACCCACGCCCCGCTCCCTTCTCCCTCCAGCCATCTTCTGCACCTTCACAGCCCTCTCAAGAATGATCCCATTCTCCTTCGCCTCTCTCCGTCTCTGTTCTTCCTTGGATGTTGCCTTCGCCGTTATACCTCTCCGGTGCGACATCGGCATCTTCTCTTGGACGTGGATCGAGCTCTTGGAGCCGAGTGACTGTAGGCGGATGTCGGTGGCCTTGTGGCGGTTTGAGCCGGAGGGAGTGTAGTCGGTGGTTGAGTCTAGGAGGTGCGATTCTTTGAGGAGACGCTGGAGCGCGAGGTCATTCTTGAGGTTGAGGGCTTCGCCGTCCGCTTCGGTGGGGGAGGTGGGGCGTTTAAATCTTGCGGTGGATGTTGGAGTCGAAGTTGGTGGTTTGGAGGACTGCAGTTTAAGTCAGATGGTTCTAGATAGTTGTGCAGGTGCGCGGTGCACCATGAAGGCTTTTTGCGCCTGTTTGTCGAGTAGGGACGCGGCATCAGCGGAAGTGGAGTGCTCGATGATCTCTACAGGAGCCTCCTCATCCTCCGAGATCCCATCCCACTCCGACTCCTCCTCCGTCGACTCTTCGGCGACGAGGTCTACAGGCTTCTCTTTGGGCTTTGCTAGGTCAGCGAGCGGTTTGAACCTGGCTTCGAAATGCCGTCGGAAGGTGGCTTGGAGATCCTCCTGGTCTGAGTCGTTTGGAGCATCTTGAGGAGCTGTCTCTATTTTTGAACCAGTCTCACGCCTCACGCGCTTCCGCTTTCCTAGAGTCACAGCCATTTGTGAGAGTGGTTGTCTCGAGAGGAATTGGTCGCAGAAAAGCCCAGGCCCAAGGCGGTGAGGGTTTCTGCCCCGCAGAATCACATGTCACCTCCGGTCTCATCGCGCTGCCCTGACATTAACGAGCATTTTGATATCAAAAGGGTGCTTCGACAATTGCACGCGATAATGACCATCTTCCGACCCTGCATAGACTTGCATGCGGGCTCAGTAAAGCAGATCGTTGGAGGCACACTGTCAGACACTCCGGATGCGCTGAAGACAAATCACGTGTCTACGCTCCCTGCTGGGCATTTTGCACAGCTGTACAAGGACAATGGGCTTACCGGAGCCCATGTTATTATGCTTGGACCTGGGAATGAGGATTCAGCGAGGGAAGCGGTAGCTACGTGGAAGAACGGGCTTCAGGTTGGTGGAGGTATCACTGAGAAGAACGCTGCACAGTGGATTGGATGGGGGGCGCAGAAGGTGGGCGGAACATTGTCTCGTGTTAAGAAATGTGTTAGCGTTGACAGGAGTACACTAGGTAATCATAACATCTTACCTCTTCCCGGATGGAAAATTCTCTTCCGAGCGGTTACAGGCCGTCCTCACGGCGCTCGGCAACGACAAGGAGAAGCTAGTCATCGACCTTAGCTGCCGAAGACGCGGTGAGACGTGGTATGTAGCCATGAACAAATGGCAGACCATTACCGGTATGGAACTCAATCAGGGTACGCCGGACCATCTTGAAAGTCTTCGTGTCTGCGACTTACGAATCGTATAGACTCGATATCCCTCCTTGAACCATACTGCTCCGAATTTCTCATCCATGCAGCCGACAACGAAGGATTGCAGCAGGGTATCGACCATGAGCTTGTGCAGAAGCTAGCCCAGTGGTGTACTATTCCAGTCACCTACGCAGGTGGCGGAAAGACCTTACAGGACCTGGACATAGTCAAAGAATTGAGCCAAGGCAAGGTCGACCTGACGATTGGAAGCGCACTCGACATATTCGGCGGAAGTGCTGTAAAGTTCGAGGACTGCGTAGCTTGGAACAGAACCCAGTCCTAACTGAGAACCCTGTTCGGTCAGTGTCACAGTAGTCGCAAAAGTGATACCATAGTTCGCTGTGTTACAGAATGAATAGCGTAAGTCCGTCAGGTACGGCTAACTGTTGCTCTTCGCAATGCACGGTTCAGAACATACTGATACAGGTGTAGAATGCCCACAAGGCACAGCTTATCGAATTGAATCGCGGGTACCCTAGCCTTCACTTGCCTTAACAATCGTTCATCTCGCGTTGGAACTACTAGTCAACCGTGTTGCACTTCAGAGCTATCTCTCAAATCTCCATCGTTCACTGCTTCTTTGCCTCGGAGTGAGGACCGCAGCACACGAGAAAACAGGGGAGTACCACGAAAAAGAAAAGAGGCAATACGACCGCCAGGACCACTTCCGCCACCGGATAGGTAGTCTCCAAGATGTGGACGATTTTCTCCTCATCCTGTTCGTCCGCTAGTGGGGCCTCGTCCGCGTCAATGCCTTCCGTAGGTCTGTAGCCAACATGTCCACGATAGACAGCAGCTTCTTTTACTGCGGCGATCACCGTCCAATCGCAGTAGCAGCCGCTTAGATGTGTCACTGTGAATCCGGCTTCAACGAGCTTATGGCGCACAATCTTCGGATAGCTGACGATCCAGTAACCGGTGTAGATGTACCAGGTAATATCGGGGGCTACCGGGTTGATGATATGGAGGTAATGAGCCTCCTCTCCATGACCGCAAGAACTACCGGAGAAGAATGCGGGATTTGCAGCGGCAAGAAAGAATATTCCAGCCCCTGCAAACGGTTCAGGGTTTCTACGAACTAAGACGTCCGTGGCATCTGCTGATTTCTGTTAACTGCGTGCGCTCCGGGCTGAGTGCTTGGTCAGAAAATTACTTACTTGATCCCTCACGGCTTGCGTCTGAGGTATTGCCGCTATGTGCGAGTACGTGGTGCGTGGTTGCTGGCAAAGCGTTTGCAAAAGGCAGGAGCATTGCTGCTGGGAGCAGTGTCCGGATTGCGTTGAGCACTCTCATGGTCGTATTTAGAGTGTTGAACGAGACTTCAATTTTATCAGCCTTCCGTTTGCTCCGGAGCCGATCATGGTAGAGCTTTCATGAAATACCTTATATACTGCTGCTGACGGTTGATCGCTTGAAGTTGTCAGAGTTTGAATGTTCGCAATTGCACATGGAGTCTTTTGCGCAGTCGTGGCTTATGTACCAGAGGATTGCGTGCTCGCTCCCCATCGCAAGAGATGAGTCGTTCCATGGGTCAACTGCTGCGCAGAATCATACTGTCTCTCTCTCCATCACAGTTCTATCTCACCTTTTACATGGACGATATCACATTGGCTGAAGCACCTCCGCCAAGGCAGAATCTCGGAACACCGGCAGAGGAGTAGCGGTATCAATAGCGTCAGGTGACAATGAGGATGGCATTCAGTATCCCGGTCAAGCATGGTAGCCTTAACTACTGAAGCGACGTGGAAGCGGGGAAGGGAGAGTCTTCTCAGAACGCTGCTAAGCCCATACGGGACGACAGCTATCGCCCGACTCCACACCATCTGGCGCACCCTAACCACAGCAGCAGCCGATAAGGCTTGGCGCTATTACAAACATGAAAAGAATCACCACCACTATCGTGACAATCTCTCCAACCGGATACGTCCTCTCTAGAACCTTCACGATCCTTGCTACGACCTCCTCGCTAACTATAGGAGCTGTTTTCGCATCCAAGCCATCCGAAGGGCGATACCCAACTGCGCCACGGTATACACCAATTCTTTCTACATCGGCGACCTTAGCCCATCCACAGTTCGAGCCGCGTGCTCTGGTCATGTTGAATCCGTCTTTAACCAGTTCATGCCGCAGTGCTGCTGTATAGCTGAGCCAATACGGCGTCCAGATGAACCAGGTGGTGTTCGGTGTTGACGGCTCGATGAAGTGGATGTATTCGCGGCCATTTTCATGACAGTAGGGCGCGTCATCTTCTTCATCGTTGGCCGCCGCGCGCATGCCTGCGGCTATTACGACGTAGCTGAGTTCTGCTGCGGCCCCAGGGTCTCTGCGCGCCAAAGCATCCTCCGAGCCTGTGGCTTTCTGTTAGCTGACTGACTGTGCTTTGTGATAGACGTGTAAGTTTAGGGGTTTTCGGACACGGACCCAGCGAGGAAGGTGTGCTCGATCCAGGTGATGGGAGAGCGCTGGCGTGAAGCAGGAGCAGTGCTGCAGGGAGCAGTGCTCGAAATACGGTAAGTACCCTCATGATGCTTCTTCAGGTCTACAGCAGCGCTGTACTGGTATCAGTTGTGATCGGTCTTCAGATCGTCTCAGCGAAGGGTAATCTAGAAGTACCTTGTTTTCTCTTAATCGCTTTCAACTAACTGACCTACTCCGAACCTTCTCCTTTCACGAATCTACGAAACCTTGGGCAGTCATGATTTTGTGTTGAACAAACTGCATGCTCACCGCGAAAAGCTGCTTTCCAGCAAAGATGGTTGATGGTCCATGGTTCAATGGGCGGAGGATAGTCATGCGGTTTCTCCGTCCGTCACAACCCGACTTCACGTTCTACGAAGACCGCACGACAGTGGCTCAGATGTCTTTCTCAAGCTCAATATCGGGAACTCGGCAGCGGAAGAGCGGTATACCCTCTCCTTTGGGCTGCACAACGTTAGGCAGCTATGAATACCGTGTCCAGTACGAGCAGCCGGGCCAGCAAGCATGGTAGCCTTACTGAAGTGGCGGTGGAGGAGCGCAGGATGTCCGCACATGACCACTTTGTATCTGGGCGAGTACCACTCTTTACAGCAGACACTCCACGGTTGAGGGGGAACGAAGTCGTGATTTGCCGAGCCCTCGAGTGGTGCACCTTAAAGTCTATATGTTAAGCCGCGGAGATGTATGTGCAACTTGGGCGCAAAAGTATTCATCTACGTCAAGAAAGTTCAAGCAATCGACAATGGTACGAATAAGAACAACTCAGAAATAAAATGCCTCTCTATCTCTAAGCAACCCTGTGATGCCTACGCGCCCGTACCTGACATTTCAAAACCCTAGCCTGATTACACTAAAAGCATCTCAGGCTGCTAACCATATTATCGAAACCATGAAAATTCGCCCAGCCAGGGTGCTTGACATTCACCTTGCGCCCCCGGCAGTTAGGGTTCTCAAACAGCTCGCAATTCCGCATCGTCCAGATGCTGCTCATCGAGTTGTCGATCTTGCCCATGATATTGTTGCACTCGCCGGAGATGAACGTCTGTTCCTGGCAGTAGCCCTTTAGCATTGGCTCAGTGCACATTTTGACGGGGATCTTCTTGCTGACACCCTTTTTGGGGGGAAGTGCGCATTCTGGACAGGGAGGGGCAGGCGCGGCGCTGGCGGCGACGGCCAGGACGGCTGCGAAGAGGATGATATTGAGCTGCATGATGTGTGTGTTCTATTCGAAAACGATTGAAAAGAGTGTGGGGTGTTGTTAAAGGGCACGGTAGGCAGCCAGCGTGGTATCCAGATATACTGCAAACAATGATGAGGCGAATCTTTGGGACAAAGCCACAAGGACAAGTTTGTATACAGAAAGAAGCGCAACTCATCTAAGATTGTTGATATTGTTCTTCCGCCTACTATTCTTCTCTTGAACAAAGACATCGATTACCGCCATCCATGTAACATTGCAACACTGACTATGGCTGCCCGTTGCACCATGGCAATTGCGAGATGCAGCCTGGAAGCTCTACCTACCGCATTGCTAGCCGAATGTGAATGTCTCAATTGCGATTTGTATTGCCTTGGGAAGCGGACGCGTGCGAGAGTGTTGCATTAGATAGCGCAGAAGAGATGACCACTTCAACACGCTTCAGACCATGCAATATACTCTGTTGATTCTCTTCTACGATACAATGATGACAAAGAATCCGATCAATCTAGCCGCACCTTGAGAAACGATTCAAACCCTGCTCGCATAAGCAATAATACAGACATGGAGACAGAAGCATTCCGTGGTGTTGAAGATGACTGGAAGTGGGGAAGACATAGTGAACTGTACTGCACAACCAGAGAATGCCAATGAAGGCTGTTGAGCTAGATGAGGCCATGAGACCCGAGTTGTAGGCGGGACCTATATCTCAGCGTAGAGCCAGCGCCACGTACGCACCCTCTACCGAGATGCATCGGGTGTTAACTAGAAGCACAATCGAGGCGGTAGAAGGCGGACTGGTACGCCGAGTCGAGAAACGCTGTGGCGGTGGTGCTGTCCCGCTTGCTCGATGCTAACAACGGTTCATAGCGTCGCCAGAGACTGACCACGTAAGATGGACTAACATCCGGCGGCAGAGCTTGTCCGCTTCATCAACGAGGACCAAATGCTGGATGGTAGGTTCAACTATTCGAACCTCTCTAGGAGAAGGACGTGATCAAGAATGCGTAGAAAAAGACTTGAGGCGCCTTTCCGAGAGTTTAGTAGTGGTCTATTCGAAGGCTGACTGACAGGGGGCGGAGACGGGAAGTGAGAACAACTTGTTCGTGCAAATTCCGGCTCCCCCAGAGCACCAAGGTTGGGCGGAATCACCCCGGTACACAGAAGCGTGCGTCACTCAGCCGCCAGCGTGGTCTAGCATTTGGCCAATCACGATGCTCTGGCGACTGTTTTCCTGGCGAGCGCTGTGGTAGTCTTCTAGCCGGTGCTTGCCGATCTGCCGAACTTGTCCAAAAAGGCCTTGGTGGCTAAGTACGCAGTCTTTCTCTTTAGCCTGCACTTTGGGGTTGCAGCTACACATTTTGCCGCCGAATGTTTCACGCTCTAAGGGATGCGTCAGCAAGGGTTGCGAGGGAGTGATACTAGGGAACCTCTGAAACTCACCCTTCGGATTTTGGAACCTGAGGCTGATACGCTTCAGATTCTTGCACTCGAACTCGGGTAGTTCTCTGCGCTGAGATCTGCCAATAGCAGCCACGTTCCAGCCAGCAGAGTCGTGCCCTGATTCATACCGCTGGGCGAGTAGGGCGCCGGACCGGCGTTCGATGGCGGCGATGTGGCAGTCGTTTCGACCTTTGCGGCAATCGCAGCGCTCCCAGTTGATGTGTGTCATATCGTCTATCTGTATAGTCAAGAAAGATAATCTGTTTCTTCCGTCCTGGCTTTTGAGATACATGATGAGTATCGGCTTGAGTGGTTTCTCATGAACCAGCCCTGTCCCCGGACCTGTGCTGATTGAGGAGACGCTCGCTCTGCTGCTACGACTAACTTGACTGTTTATTGAACGGGCTGTCGCGGTGAGTGGACTTCCGCCTCCAGGGACGTTGAGTAAAGCTGACGCTGGACTTGCCGGAGAAGCAGGGAATGACACGTTGCTTGCATTAGGTTCGCTGGCACTTGGAGGAGTGTAAAGATACAGTCGATTCGTGGCATCGACGCTGGCCGACAAGCCAGACGTCTGTAAGGAAAGCCCGTTGACAGCGCCTAAACTGGTAGAGCGTAACTTGTTCGGTACCGCACTGTGCCTAGATGACGCCGATAACGTGTCTACCATTGATGCTGACTGTATACGGCCTTGCACGTCCTTTGGCAGCCAAAGCTGGAGCCGGCCATCTTCCACCTGAGATATTGATCCCGAGAAGACTGACGTGACCTGCACATTAGGCCTGGACGATAATCAGCACACAATGCGCAGCTTGGCTTAGGCGTACTCACTGGTCGTAGTACTCGTAAGCTTTGTAGCCCGTGATGACGTGCTGTAACTTGAGTATGTGCTTTGTATCTCGGAAGGTTAGGGTAGTGATGGTGGTATCCGTCTGCAACGTAACAGTGAGCGCGTCCTGCGATCCAGGGATAGCATATAGAGGGATGAGCTGCACGGAGTTGAGACTGAAGTAGCTTTTACGAGCTACGAGCATTAGTAAGTCAGCGAAGTAGAGATGAGTGTAACACACCATCGTCGCGTGGTATCCTCGCGATGCGGTCCTCAGCTGTCTCAATCATCTGGTAGCGGTTCGTATCGGCACGCAGAAGCCTCAGCTTGCCTATGGTCTGGTGTGATGGGGGTTGGAATGGACTAGACACACAGTCAGCAAATGTCTCAAGCATGACATGAGAACCACATACATGTTGAGTACTTCCTCCAGCATGACAGTTTCGTGACTCGGAGGTAAGATGCTGGGCACTTCATCTTGAAACCAGATACAGAAGTCGTCCGCAGTAAGATCTTGCAAGGCAGGCTGTATAAGTTCTTCGCGCGTGAATCGCTGGCACTCCTTTGATAAGTCCTATATCAACATCTCAGTACAGCTCAGAACTACAAGGTATACTGCTGGGCGCCAAAGCCTCTACATAGGAAATATCGTACCTCGCCCAGCTGTTTGATGTATCCGGGCCAGTGTGAGCATGTGTTGATGTTGGTGAACTCGCTGCTCCTCCGCAGCTCTTGCATCAACCATACGCATTTGAGCAAGTTGAGGTACTGTAACGGTGAAGGCGCCTTATCCCGCACGTAACGGCCAGGCTTAAATTCAAGAGTACTCTGCACAATTCAGTATAATGGCACATAGATACGGCTTGCCCGTAGCAAGCTAGACCTACTCTCTTGAACAAGCGGAGAAGTGCGTCTGCTCCATCTTGTAGCGGTATATTCCCAGAAGTACTGAAGTCCGGATGACCAACGCTGGCATTCTCTCGGAATTTTGCAGTGATGGCAGGTGGTACGTCTAGCATGCTAGTTTCTTGGGATTCTTGCTGAGCGATTGCTGCGTCAACATTCGGGACGAGGATACCACGTAATTCCCGACGCAGCGCGCCGATCTGTTCCGTAAGATCATGGTGTACATCTGCAAGGTCGTCTCGTATAGCGGACAGCAGCTTTCTGTGAGGAACGTCAGCATACCGCTGAAACAAAAGCAGAAATTACGGACATCTCGAGCGGTTTCAGCAGGATAGAGATCTGCTCAGTTCCGTTAGCGGAATTGCCAAGACGGTAGCAAGCAAGCGAACCAAGCTTGTCGAAGGGAAAAGGGAGAACATGGCTGACCTTGGAGTTATGGAAGCTAATCCGCTCACGAAGCCGATTCACTCTAGGCATTACATTGATGTTCCATTCAATGTTCACCAAAGCATTCCTGCCGTGGCTGAATTGCTTGTTTTCATGCAGCACCTGTCTCGTATCATGCAAAGTCCTTTCGTAGTCGCCAATGATCTCTTTGATTGAGGATAAATCCCAGTTGATTGCATCCCGCCGCCGCTCGTTGCGCGAGGTCTGCTGCGAAGCATTTTGGACGACCTCGAGAATCGCGTCAAGGTTACTTCCGAGATTTCGCACATCGTTGCCGAAGTCGTTGTATTGAGTGCCTGCGTTGAGCGAAGTCAGACATTGGAACTGTTCGGCGCAACATGTCACATGACGAGCGGTGGTTGTGGATAGAGGGGAGTGATCTTCGCGAGGCGAGCCGCTGCGAACATGATTTGACAATCACCATGTGCGCAAAACAACCTGGAATCAAACAGACTTACTTGCTTGGAGGTCTTGATTCCAGCCCAAGTTATAAAGCTCCCAGGCCAACTTACTTCCTCGCAATATGTCCCCGACAGAAACAAAGTTCGCCATCCTAGGATTTCAGATGGGAGCCGAGCGCCAAGCGGAGTGTTGGGAGTGTCGAGCATGAGGACTGGCTCAAGCCAGCTATTCATACGAAAGCTTCGGTGCGTTGAACCGATGCTACCTTAGCATCTTCCGGATTAACAATAGAAAGCTTGAGTGGCGCAATACCGCGCTGACCCGGACATTGTTAGATCTGCCTCACTGTCCTGGTGCCTGCAGAGACGGGATCCATGAAGAGGCATCGAGAGCGCCGCCCAAAAGGGGCCACCGTGGGCTGAGCCACATGCATCAATACATTGACTGGGCGCTCAATAGCGCAAGATTGATTCAATCATGTTCCAGTGGCTTGTAAAAACATCCGATGAGCGCCAATAATAGCGGAGCTAAGAATAAGGCAACGGGGCAACAAGGCGGAGGAAAAAGCAGTGGTGATATGGCTTGCGCTCAATTCGGAAACTGCGCTCTCAGCTTCGAGCCCCGAGGTAGGCGACATTGCTTGGCCTTCTTGCAGCCTTGTACGAAGCCTTGCAGGGTTGGCTTTACACAGCCATGATGCTCAGGTAGCATATACTGGCGCTGCTCTCGAAGGTGGGTCTCAGCGAGCTTTTCCAAAGTGCGAGTACTCGTAACACGACCGTAGCAACTTTGCCAAAACCACAATGGACCGAAGATCTTCGCACGATTCCGACAGTGAGCATGATGTCAACGAGATCTTGAATCGCGAACCTAATGATCCGAATACCATAATCACGTTTGCGCCGGAGCAGCGCTTTCGCCTAGGGTATCTGTCGGTGATGGGTCTTGTAGTGAACAGAATGATAGGTACGTTGGCAATTGATGCTTTAGTCAAAATCATTTCCCAATAAGAAGGAGCGTTTACTTGGACTGTGTCTTTCATTTGCACCGCTGCCATTGTCCTACGCCATCGTAAGCTGACCGTATATCAAAGGCTCCGGCATTTTCAATATTCCAAGTACTGCCATGCAAGGCACCCGTAGCGTCGGTATCACACTACTCTTCTGGCTTTGCGGTGTCATCTACACACTCGCTGGAACCCACCTGTTTATCGAGTATGGCCTCACCACACCCCGTCACAAGATTGACGGCGTAGAGCAAGGCGTACCACGCAGTGGCGGCACATTGAACTACGTAAGTCGTGTTAAAACTCCGCTGAGCCTTTAACATTGCCCTTACTCACAGCGCACAGCTTCAATATGTATTTATGCGACCGGCATACCGGAAGCGAACGGTCATGTTCTCGACCTGTGTCTTCGGAGTTGCGTATATCATCCTCGGCAACATGGCAGGCAACTGTATGAACCTCGCCGTGCGCGTTTTCGAGGCAGCTGGCGTAAGCCCAGAGAATGCGCCCGTACGCGGTGTCGCAATTGCCGCAGCGACACTTTCGTGCTTCGTGCACGCCGTATCGCGACGAGGGGGAATATGGTTGAGCAATATCTTCGCCGTAATCAAAGTTATAATCTTGCTGTTCATCATCGTTACCGGCGTCATGGCCTATGCCGGTTTCTTCGACTCCGAGAGCTTCGCGTCCGAGAATCTGGCACCAAAGAACGCGTTCTCCGGAGCTGCAGATGATTCTTACGGGTATGCGCAAGCCTTCCTGGGCATCATCTTCGCATTCAACGGGTTCGAACAGCCCAACTACGTCCTTGGAGAGATAGGTCGACCACGCAAGAAGTTCCCTTGGGCGACTATAATGGCTGTGAGCCTAGTGTGCATACTGTATGTTGCCGTCAATATTGTCTACGTATGTTATCCCTTGGTTGAATGCCTCTTTAAATATTGGACTAGACTAAGTTACTTGCAGATGATCGCAGTTCCGGAAGAAGACCAGATCCTAGCCGGAGGTAATGTGGCGTTGCAGTTTTTTGAGAGGACGTTCGGCAACCTGTCACCAGACGACAATCGCGCGCAGCGTATCCTCTCTGCTTTCCTGGCAATATCATCCTTTGGCAACATCATCGTCATGACCTTCACCGCAGCCCGCGTGAAGCAGGAGATAGCAAAAGAAGGTATCCTGCCGTGGCCCAAGTTCTTCGGCCAGAACCGCGACATCTCTTTCGGCCGGTTCCTTAAGTGGGCTCGCAAAACGCCCCTGATCAATCGGCCTTTCCATGGCATTCTGCAGCTACGTTTCCTCGATCCTAGCGAACACTCACAAGAGACACCAGTTGGCGCCTTGTTTCTCCACTGGGTATTTTGCATCGTCCTCATCATTGCCACATGGGGCCAATATCCGAACGACGCCTATGGAGTGCTCATCAGCATGTTCACATACGCCCACACGGTTTTCGGTCTCATGCTATCGGTTGGAATGCTGTATTTGCGCTTCGCTTCCAGCTGTGACTGGCGCAACAAAGCGAGCGGCTTCGTGCCCTTCTTCAGCATCCTGGCGGCTTTCCTCTTCGGCCTGGGTAACCTGTTCCCAATGGTTGCGCTCTGGGTACCGCCGTTCGGAGAGTTTGCGCGGACGACCATCAAGCCAATCTCATGGTTTATCACGCCCATCGTGTCATGGTGTGTGCTAGCCGTGGGCGCCTTGTGGTGGCTTGGCTTTCTGGCGGTCGCCAAGCGCATCGAGAGCAAGAAAGGCAACATTTTCACGGTGGAGAAGCGGCCGGAGTTCGACAGAGATCCTCCAGATAGCGGAGATTTTGTGCAGGTTCATGAGACAGTCTATCTTGCGTGGGTCGCAAAGGAAAGCATGGAAGATAGGGAACTCCTCGAGATGGAGCACGCTACACCTGACTATGCGAGAACAGCGTAGCCATAGATAGGACTCATAGATATGAAAACTTCACACAGTTCATATCATGAAATGGCAAGAACAGTGAAAAGCGGAAAAAGGGGTTGGATTCGACTTTAGCGACACAGCAGAATGACAGCGAAGAAGCGCGTATAGCTCAGACAAACTGACATGAACGGAACCACGCGCCGGTAAAAGGGCGCCCAGTATACAATTGACAGGCTAAAGACGATACCTGGCGCTACCACGAGGCTGAAAGGTACGGTAGGGAGGAGTTGACACCTCATTCCGCAAATTTTCCGTACCGGCAAGGACGCCAAGCTCGCAGCCTTGCCCGAAGCTTTCGGCGCGCGCATCACCAACAGCCAAAGGCGACGGCATCAGCAAACCACCTACATACAACATCACCTCCCAATCTCACACTCTACACACGCAATCCTTACACTCGTTTCCAGTCGCACCACCATGGACTCCTTCGGCAGCGGCGCATCCTCCAACCTCGACCTCACCAAACTCTCGGACAGAGACAAGCAGGAGCTGCAGCAGTTCGTCGTCAACGAGTCGCAGAAGGCGAGGATACAGCAGTGTATGTTCCTCGCAACTTATGCAACTGATGCAACTGGGCAATTCCTGACTGTGTGCCAGCGATACACTCCCTCACCGACATCTGCTTCCGCAAGTGCATCACCGGCAAGATCTCTTCGGGCAAGCTCGACCGCTATGAGGAGCCGTGCATGCAGAATTGTGTCGATCGGTTCATAGATGCCAACAATATCATTTTGAAGAATCTGGAGAGTATGCGGACGGCTGGATCATGAGCATTTCGGGGTATGGAGGAGGTGTTGGCTTGGACTGTATCATACCCGTTGTGCAAGGGGCGAAGGATAAATGTACGACCACAGGAGATACCATGGCGAGGATCTGGTACCGGAACCGATTCTGGACTTGTAGACAGAGAGTGCACCTCTAAGAGTGTAGGATATGGGATGGATAGGCTGGCTAGGACATTGGTACTGTTTGGGTCGGCATAGTATCACGCATGGACGGCGCATCTGTACAAAAGCACTTCTCTCAGACTCCCTTGACGGCATTGAAGAAGTAGAAACTATGGGTATTCGGTGCGATCTCATAAGCATCACGGCTGACTCATGCAAAGTTGGTGAATCTATATCACATCCCGTAGCCCAGTCATCGAGTGACCATCCACCCCGATGAGCAAGCCAACCCACACCATATCCGAACTTAGACAATCGCAAGCTTAGTAGCGGCAATATCAAGAGCATCCACATCAGGCGTTAACCGCGCGAAGGCCTTCTTCGAGCCGTCTGGTCTGCAAGCGACAGTCAGGATGGTATTCAGTCAAAAGCACTCGCAACTATCGAACGTACCGGATGAGAGTGTTGATCTTGACGCAGTCCACATCATACAGCTTCTTCAGCGCCTCCTTAATCTGCCTCTTGTTGGCCTTAACATCCACAATGAAGACCAAAGTGTTGTTCTCCTCAATCTTCTTCATCGCGCTCTCCGTGTTCAGCGGGTGGACGATGATCTTGTGCTGGTCGAGGCGAGGCTCATGCGGAATAGCCTTGCGCGGGTACTTTGGCGAGCGCGAGAGCTGGAGGGTCTTGGGCCTGTGGAAGCTTGTTGATACTGGTGTGGAGGTCAGCACAGTTGCGGGTTTTCGAAGCTGTGGGAGACTGGGAGACTGGGAGCCTAAGAGACTTACGGCGGACCTTGCGGACTTTGCTCGAGTTCACCTATTCAATTGAATAAGCGGTCAGCGATGAGAGTGCTGACACGAGTCTGTTTCAAGTCCTTACGCCTTTGAGGGCTGCCTTTGCTGCTGCGCTGGCTTTGGCTTTGGCCATGGGCTTTGCAGGGCGTGCGCCTGTTGACGAATTTGTTAGCACTGTCTCGAATGGCATTTCAGGCGCAAAGTGACCATCCATGCGATCTCTCAAGCGTACCCTTCTTATTCTTGTCTGGCGTCATCTTGCTCGTTTCGAAATTTGGCGAAATGGGTGTTTGATGAAGTCGCAGTGCAGAGGTCGGAATGTCGGAATCTCACAATCGGTCGGTTGTGCGGCCTTCGCTTAGCACTCTTCGGAAATGTGTGGCCGCCAAGGCCGTCACGTGGCTATCAACGCTATCAACCTCAAAGACCTTTAAGAGTAACTTAACTAGCTGGGCTGTGATCAGAACATCAATGTCGACGAAAAGACGAAAGGGAGACAAGAGACCATCCGCGCTGTCCCGAGGCCGTCCGCCAACCCTGAGGAAGCCTGCAGCATCACTCTCGGCAAAAGCGACCCGGACTTTGATAAGATCGCATCATCAGTTGCAGAAGGCGCACGCAAAGGCAGTCCGTGATGGAGATGCGGTCACAGCAGCGTCGATCGAGGAACAGATTGAGCAAAAAGGCGGGCTGAAAAGCTATCAGCAAGCTAGCATCACCGGACAGTCTTCTGAGCGCGGCGGCGACTCATCAAAAGTCCTGATGCAATGGCTGAATTCGGCATCGAACCTTGGAATTACTGGGAGTGGTACTCGCCCTGAAGCCAAGTACAAGATGCTTGAGGTTGGCGCGCTGTCGCCTTCAAACGCTTGCTCCCGGTCTCCATTGTTCTCCGTCACCCGGATAGACCTACATTCACAGCATCCGGGCATTCAGGAGCAGGACTTCATGGAGCGGCCACTGCCTACCTCCGAGGAAGAGAGATTCGATGTCATCTCTCTATCACTTGTAGTGAACTACGTCCCAGACGCTGCTGGGCGCGGCGAGATGCTTCGAAGGACATGTCAGTTCCTCAAAGCCTCTGCTGAGGACACCGGCTCAGCTGCCGTATTTCCGAGCCTCTTCCTGGTCCTTCCGGCAGCTTGCGTTACGAACTCGCGATATTTGGACGGGGAACGCTTGGGCGACATTATGAACACCCTCGGATATGCGCTACTTCAACGGAAACTGTCTACGAAGCTAGTGTACTATCTCTGGAAGTATAACAGCTCGGTTGAAGCACAGAGGCAGGCATTCCCGAAGGTGGAAGTTCGCTCTGGAAAGGCTCGGAACAATTTTTGCATCGTCCTGCGCTGAAACACCGGATACACTGTAGAACAGGCGTAGGGGTCCGATGTAGCTTCGAGAGCCTCGCGCACTATAGGACTTTAGTGCGAAATAGTGCACGCAAGCACTACAGAGCTGCCCACCTTTCTCGCTTTGGATGATATGAGCCGAGAACTCACCCACCTCAGCTTCTGGAGCACCCAGAGGGTCTCGTCTACCCTCTTCTTCATCGTTCCTTCATCTGATAGTCCTCTATCCAACAACTCTGTATATTCGGCAGCCATTTCTCCCACCAACTTGGAGGCTCTCCGCTCTTCTGTGTTCACGATCCGCTTGTCGGCACAATCAGCGTCAAGTCGCCAGAAGAATAGATGACTGTCAGGGTGCAGTGGGGTATCAAGTGGGATGCGCCAGCTCGAAATATAAGGCTTCGGTGTTTCAACAGAGGAGCACGAGAGATGACTCTGGATAGAGGCTGCTGCAGATGGACCTGGGGCATCAAGAATCGACCCGCAGTCGAAGTCGCAGGCATAACACGGCGCGGCGCATCCATCAAGACGTCAATTTACGGAGCAATTGAGGATTCAACCAACCACTTGATGCGGAGGGTAGTTGAGCTTGCATGAGCAGAGATAAAGGATGTTCAGATAGCAACATCAGAAGATCTGACCGGCCAATAGCCGCTACAAACCGCGGCAAGACTGATCAAGCGCAATTTTGAACGGCCGTCTCGTAACCCCTGACGCCTGGCTAAATCAACCTAGTTCCCAATGCAGAATCAAGATATTCTGACCAACGTCTGATCTTCTATGCCCCAATCGTCTCCTTCGGCAAACACGCAAACACCGTACTCACAACCGCCAAAACAGAGCTGATAACAATCAGCACCCAGTTCATTGCTTTCTCTTTCCAACCGAGCTCTGGCCCAAATAGCTTCAAGTGAAACGCCAGAGGAAGAATGATGCACACAGTAAAGCACGCCACACTTCCCAACAGCGCCATGATCCTGTCGAAGCTAGGGAAAACGATTGCGATCAGAACAAACAAAACTGTGTTCAAGATCCTAATCGTAATCTTCATGATACCCCTATTCAGTGCTGAAACGCCCTGCAGGCTAGGCCCAACGGGCGAAACGGCGCGGTTGTCCAGGCCGAGAAACAGCTCGAGAGTGCTGATGATTGGCCGAGCGTTGAGCGGGACTTTGGTGAGCGGGATGATGGCGATGCAGATAACGATGAAGACAGACAGCGCTTTGGGATAGCCGGGGGTGACTAGAATGTTGGAGGTTACCTCTTCGCGGACCGAGTCGCCGAACATGAGGAGGCCGACCACTGCCATGCTTAGGTCTAGGAAGTACTGTGTTTGCTGTTATTCATTGTGCAGATGACGTGGATGGTAGAGGTACGAACGGTGAAGATGTAGGTTATGTTAACACCCCGTCGGTACTTGTACGGATGGCGCATGTCGCGATAGATATTTGGAAAGACGCTATGGCCGCCCCATGGTGCTGTGAGACGTCAGTTACCGAACCCCTGTAGACGTATGTGGAAACGTACACATGAGCAGGCCAAAGCTCAGCGGAACGGTCAGCCAATTCGCCGGGAACAAGTGTGTAAGAGCCGGTTCTCGTAGAGAGCCCGGCTGATGAGGCTTGATAGCGCCGTCAATGAAGACCGCAACAACAACTGGCATCGATCAGCACCGGCGAAGCCATTAACAAAAACGGTTGGCTTACTGCCGAAACAACACAGAATGCCCAGAACGCTGGTGAAACTCAACAGGCGCAGAGGCAGGAATCCCAAAGGTACCAGAATAATGCCGCAGACAATCTTCCACGCGACGCCTCCCCATCCCGGTATCAGGGCATCGAGGCTGTCTGCAAAGAGAACGACTAGAGCGACGCAGGTAGCGAGCAGTTCCAATGTGAACAGGACGCTCACTGCGACCCTCGCACGTGGTCCAAAGGAGACGTAGGCGAGATCTGCAAAGGTAATGAGAGAGCTATCGACGTCAAGGCACTTGGCGAGGATCTTCGCCGTGTAAGAAGTGGTAACAGCGGAGAAAAGGAAGAAAACCATGCCGATGACCCAGCCGGAGTATTTGATGGCGAGAGGCAGACTCAGGAGACCAACGCCTATGAGCACGTTGACGGAGTTAAAGATGGTTTGCGGCAGTGTCGATTGGCCAACAATAACGTTTACAATCTTTCCGTCCTCTTCGACCTGTTTCACCAGCATCGGCTCGCGCTCCTTATCTGGTGCCGTAGAGCCTCTGGTTTGTTGCTCTGTAAACAACCGACCGGCATGCCGCATAGAGGACTCATTGACTCGTGAAGACAAGCTTCCGTACGTGGTGCCATAGCTGCCGCCGAACACCGACGCCAGCGACGGCTCAATGTCGAAGATGCTGTCATCCCGCAGCGATCCTCGCCGCTCACTGACGCGGCGCTGGACAGGTGTCGAGAGGAGATGCTGGGTCTCATCTGCGGGCTCGCCTGTCTCTTCTACGACATTGTCAGAGGGTCGTCTCCCTTCGCTTTCGAGGGCTGCTCGAAGCAGAGACCTTTGTGTTTCTGCGCTGCCCTCTAGGTCTCCGCGACTGTATTCTTCCTGGCCCTCATCCGCGTCTGATACTCGGAAGGATGGCCTGGCGGGTGTGATCTCGAAGAAGCCTGCAGCGCGCTGCCAGGAGCGGGCAAAATTGTCGATGCTGTTGACGCCGCCGGCATGCCGGATTGAGTTTATGCGCATGGACATAGATGACCTGGGGCGTGTAATGTCAGTCTCCGAGTGTCAGGCGCTGGGTACGGTGTGCAACTGTGACTGAGGCCACACCCACCTTCGATGTCGCAGATTGCTGGTGCCGCCAGGCTGGCCTTGGCCATCCGCATGGACGGTCGAACCGCTTTCCCGTCGACGAGACTCACCCCAATGCACTCGGCCGCTATCTGTTGACCCTACAGAGTCGGATCGGAAGCCCCGCTCATAATCGCTCCAGGTCTGCGGTTGCTTCCCTGGACCGTTCATTGCAATGGCGGAATGAAACTAGGTAGGCTTGGATACAAACGCGCAGGCTTTCCTCGACACCAGGTCGCCACCGCCAAATATCAACAGGAGGAAGAAGTGGAGACAGAGATGTGAAGAAGCGGGTGATCTGCGGGGATTACCTGCGGTTGTGCTAACTTATCTTGAGATTTTCCATGGGGGGCAGAGATACGAGTATCGGCAGTGGGAAGGGGAGGGTTCTGTTCAGGTGGACCTCTTTCTACACCGACTTCGAGGTGGAACAACTCATGTCCTCGGGATGAGGTCGAATACATAGATGAGCAGCACTCATCACGGGGGCTCTTGAGCCGCAGATCTGGGCTCGTCATTGCTTGCTGCAGCTCTGGAGGAGGGAGGGATGGATGGCTGCGGCTCACGGTGCCGGATTGCAAGGGACCTCGGCAGCGCCACTTGTAGGTCACGTTCGGTACGGTACCTAGGTAGGTGTGTCTAGCGGGCATCAGCACCCATCCGTGACAAGCGGCGAGAGTTGCAAGCAACGCAGGTCGAAGAGCGGCTGCGAAAACTGCTCTTCTCCGCCTTCTAAGCCCAAACATTGCGAGTGTGCCTGAGGCGTCCAGCTGAACACTGAAGAATCGCGTGCGGCAGGCCCCAAAAATCCCCCACCCCCACAAACCCTTGCCAGTGACTGGCCGCTCAACTGACTCAGCGCCACAACCACCAACCACCAACCACATCTCGAAATCGAAAAAAAAAAAGACTCCCTCCGCCCTGACTCCCTCTGACTCGATCTCGGAATCCACCACTCGCTACTCGCCCGTTCAGACTCGCGGGGAGCGTGTTTAAGTCCTCATCCACCCTCTTCTTTATCCTCCGCAGAGGCAACATCTCTGAAGGACAACCTCGCATCGACTCCCCACCGCCTGGGCACCCACTCACCCCTGACCGCCCCTCATGAGCGCTCCACAAGGGCAAGGCGGCGACGCCGAGAAGAACATCGAGATATGGAAAGTGAAGAAGTTGATCAAGCGCCTCGAAGCGGCGCGTGGAAACGGCACAAGCATGATCTCGCTCATCATCCCGCCCAAGGATCAGATTTCTCGCGCGGCGAAGATGTTGGCTGAAGAATTCGTACGCCGCCCACCTATGGAACCATGTTATGCACGGCTACTGACACACGCCTCTGCAGGGCACTGCCTCCAACATCAAGTCTCGTGTCAATCGTCTTTCGGTCCTGTCGGCCATCACCTCGACCCAGCAGCGGCTGAAGCTGTACTCCAAGGTTCCTCCGAACGGCTTGGTGGTATACTGTGGTGAAATCATCACCTCCGAGGGCAAGGAGCGCAAAATCAACATCGACTTTGAGCCCTTCAAGCCCATCAATACCTCGCTATATCTGTGTGATAACAAGTTCCATGTGGGTGGATCGTCAACACTCGTACTGGACAGCAACTGATAGTGTGAACCACAGACTGAGGCACTTAGCGAGCTGCTGGAGTCTGATCAGCGCTTTGGGTTCATCGTCATGGATGGCAATGGTACGAGCTTTGTGTTCCACTGTACCCGCAAGTTGAGGGTTTAACGCTCTCTTAGGAACTTTGTTCGGCACTCTGAGCGGCAACACTCGTGACGTTATTCACAAGTTCTCGGTCGATCTTCCCAAGAAGCACGGTCGCGGTGGGCAGTCCGCTTTGCGTTTTGCCCGTCTCCGTGAAGAGAAGCGACACAACTACGTCCGCAAAGTAGCCGAGCTAGCGGTTCAGAACTTCATCACCAACGACAAGGTCAACGTCGCAGGACTCATCTTAGCCGGCTCTGCCGACTTCAAGAACGATCTCAATCAGTCCGATATGTTTGATCAGCGTCTACAGACGAAGGTAATCAAAGTTGTCGACGTGTCCTATGGTGGCGAGAACGGGTTCAATCAGGCTATTGAACTTTCCTCGGAAACATTGAGCAACGTCAAGTTCATCCAGGAGAAGAAGCTCATCAACAAATACTTCGATGAGATCTCACAAGACAGCGGCAAAGTCTGTTACGGTGTGGAAGACACTCTCAAGGCACTCGAGCTCGGGTAAGTGCTTAACTGCCCCAAAATTCTACTTTCCACGTGGCTAACGCAAGTAGCGCTGCGGAGATCCTCATTGTCTATGAGAATCTAGAGATCACTCGCTGGACCCTGAAGTCTTCGGAGGGCGGCGAGGTCATCCTCCATACTACCAAGACTCAAGAGGCGGATCGCTCGCTTTTCATGGACAAAGAGACGGGTCAGGAAATGGAAGTCGTCGATCAGATGCCCTTCCTCGAATGGCTGGCCGAGAAGTACCGCGATTTTGGTAGGTCTGACCGCAGTCCCGATGCGAGTTGGTCTGTTGGCGCAGCCGAGGCTAATCGTGAGCCAGGTGCTACTCTTGAATTCGTCTCCGACCGCTCCAGCGAAGGCAACCAGTTCGTCAAGGGCTTTGGTGGCATTGGCGCCATTCTTCGCTACAAGGTCAATTTTGAGCAGCTGGCTGATTTCGATGATGAGGATGAATTCTATGACGGTATGTGTCCACTGAGATAACGAAGCGGCTCATCGCTAACACAGACGCAGATTGACAATTTGGCAACCTCGCAGTGAGCGAGGACGCACGCCCAGAGAACGCCGAGTCAGGCACTTGGACGGCTCCTCGCTCCCAGCGTCCTCAGGACGCCCCTTGGTCCAGGGAATACGGCCGCAACGACATCCCATCGGGCTGTGCCAAGTTGTAGGTGAAAAGTAAACGCGAGGAGCAGGGAACGACGTGAGTGTCCGCGAGATCCATCAATGAATTGGACTCAGTTCTGACCACAGAATGTGTAGGTCTGTTGAGTCGTGCTTGACCGCAAAGGACCCGGAAACTGGATGCAGGATGATCTTGGACGAGATGATCAGAAGGGTCTCAATCTGAGTGCGGCGTGGTTGCAGGGGAGTAAGTTCAGCTGGGACTTCGGAATACTCTCACTTACTTGGTTCCTGCATCGCTATATTGTTTTTCAAATTGCAGATTTATATGGCCAACTGAAAGAATACGGCATGACTGTTTGACTCGTTGATGACCTCGTAAATGTGTCTACAAACTCGCAAGTGACGGAATCCCAAAGAGCACTTTGGACTTCTTGATTGCTTTTCCAAATGTCACCTGCACCCGTGGAGACATCAACACCTGACCAAGCGACGACGCCGATGTCGCTTGTGCCCGAGATTGCTTTCCTGCCACAATTCTCTAGCGCGAAGTGGACGAACCGCGCCTCATACCAACGATGTAATTGAAACCGCGTGCCGATATAGCTCCCAATGCGGACGGCATCCCAGTCTTCGTCGTTCTTCTCTCTGCGCTTGAATCCGCGACATGGAGGGCGCCTGGACGATAGCGTTCCTCGGCCCGAAGGCATCATATACGCATCAGGTGAGCATTCATACAACTGGACCACAAGCGTAATCACATTCGATATACATTTCACCCCCCAAAAAAATAATCACGTTGTATTGACACCAGTCTCCGCTCGCTGGCATCCGGCTTTTGTTGGCCGCTTGCCTTAAAATATCATTCACTGGGCAACAGCATTCACACCGTAGTTCACTGCGAAAGATGTAACAAAGGCTAACAAAAAGTCAGGCTGCTCTAAATGCCTTCAGTGGTAGCAACTTCCACCTTGAGCCCCTAATCGCCATCGAAGATGTCTTCGAAGCCGTACAATGCAGCCACGCCAACCGGGGCGTCGTGCCCTTCGAAAACTCGACCAACGGCTCCGTAGTCCAAACGCTCGACCTCTTCGCCGACCTGCAAAAGCGAAACCCAGACATCATCGTCTGCGGCGAAGCCTATGTCGGCGTACGCCACTGTCTGTTAGGCCATGTCAAGAAACCCGTCCCAGCGTCTACGTTCTCCTCTGCTGTGATAGAAGCGAATGATGACTTAAGTCCCATCTCGTCTGGACGAGCAACTCCGACGCTAACGATGCCGGATCCGCTGCAGCCGAAGACGCAGCCGTTGACGAACATCAAGCATGTCAGGAAGCTTTACTCTCACCCCCAAGCCTGGGGCCAGTGCAAGAGCTTCCTCTCGGCCTATCTAAAGGGCTCTGAGCGGCAGGACGTCTCCTCGACATCCAGGGCAGCCGAACTAGTCGCCAGCGACGAATCCGGCACCAGCGCGGCGATCTCGAGCGAGATTGCGGCGAGAGTCCACAGTCTTGATATTTTGGCTCAAGGCATCGAGGACCGGCCGGATAACACCACCCGCTTTCTGATCATTATGCGGAGGTCTTCTCCTGACAGCAGACACGGCGAGATGCATGACACCCCCGGGATACAGGACTGCCCCGACGACCAAAACGACGGCATGGACACACACAAGAGCCTCGTTTCCTTCACAGTCGACCACGAGGACGCGGGTGCATTGACAAGGGCGTTGGCGGTCTTTCAGAAGCACGGACTTAATCTTACTAGCTTCAATTCGAGACCGAGCGGCATTGCGCCGTGGAACTACATCTTCTTTGTGGAGTTTAAGGGGAGACGGTGCGGTGGTGGGGAAGGCGCGGTTAATGCAGCATTGAGGGAGTTGGACGAGGTAGCTCGGGGACGCAGGTGGTTGGGGAGTTGGGAGAGTAACTTGGACAGACGATGACCGGTGCCCGCAGTCTCTGCTCAATCCGAATTTCACGAAGGGGAAGGCTTTGTCCTATTGCAAGTCTAGCGGAAAGCTGGTCACAACGCCCGGGGAGTTCTCTCAAGACGATTCCTCTTTTGACCGAATCGAAGCTGTCAGGTCGCAGGTCGTAGTCAAAGCTATATTGAAATGAGATGATACATTTCATAGGCCTACTAGGAGCGCTCTCCAACCACAGTAACTTGGACGCAGCAGTTCAGCTACTTCATTGTATAGCAAACATCTCGTACTCGTACTACGACTATCCAGCTCAGTCATCTAAAGCGTCTCGTGATAGACTGCTGGAAGCCTTTCTCCTTCTATGCAAGGCTTGTCCTTCATTTGGCCCACATGTGGAGAGCTTGGCACGGGAGCCTTGGAGAACGAGGCCTTAGATACTGAACATCTCTGAAGACATGTAGAGAGAGCTAGGTACGTGTCACGTGTAAGTACAGATGATGATGTGGGTACTTAAGACCGCGGGGCCCCTGAAAGCCCCTCCAAAAACTCCCCGGGCGATCCGGACGCAGCTCCTGCCCGAGTGGTCCACTGTTGCACATCTTCTGGAAGGGAAAGATCTCTTTGATGAGCAAGAATCGACGTCACGCCTAGCATCAGCTGAGAAAGTCATGAAAAGGTGTCTCGCGGCTCGTCCGCCTGTCATTATTGAGAGTTGTTATACCTCAAGCCCAGCAGCACAAAATGGAATATAAAACATCCAGAATGACATCGCCGCGCAAAGCACTAATAGCGGTAACATCCGCCCACGCGCCCCTCTATCCCGACGGCAAAGAGACAGGCCTCTTCATCACAGAAGCCCTACACCCCTTCAACGTCTTCAAGGACGCAGGCTTCGAAGTCGACCTCGTCTCCGAGACTGGCACCTACAGCCCCGACTGGCTAAGCCAGCAGAAAGAGTGGCTGAACGACGAAGATCGCAAAGTCTGGGAAGACCACTCGAGCGAGTTCAGGCGCAAGCTGGATAATCTGCGAAAGCCCAGTGATATCAAGCCCGAAGACGTAACCAAGTCCCTACCCGCCTATACTGCAACCTGGCCATGGACAAGCTAATACTCTACACGCAGTACGGCATCTTCTTCGCCTCCGCCGGTCACGCCTCTCTCATAGACTACCCCACCGCCACCGGCCTCCAACGCATCGCCTCAACCATGTACACATCCGGGGACATCATCTCCGCCGTGTGTCACGGCGGCGCAATCTTCCCCGGCATAATCGACCCGGCGACCAACGCGTCCATCATTTCTGGCAAAAAGGTGACGGGCTTCACGACCAAGGGGGAGGAAGAAGAGGGCGTGCTGGACACCATCAAGAGCTGGAACCGGCCGACGATCGAGGCGGCGGCGGCGGACGCGGGCGCGATTTATGTCGCTCCGCCTGGGCCATGGGATGCGTTTGCGCTGGCGGATGGGAGGATTGTCACCGGGGCGAATCCAGCGAGTGCGCACGTTACGGCTGAGGAGGCGGTTAAGGCTTTTGATGGGTTGGGAAAGTCGTAGGTGGTCGATTATCCATCGCCATAGACTGTGTAGGGACAGGGGTATTAGGAAAAGCAGGTTTGTCATTAACTCTGGGGACGTATTGCAACGTAGCCCTGTTTACAACTCAAGTTCTGCAAGTTACAAAACACGAATGTCGACATAGTCGCGGCTCAGGGCAGGATTATATGAGAAGCTCACATATTCAAATATCAACCCCAGTTTCCAAAAGCCCGATATCCAACACGAACAGGAACTGCCTTGGGCAACGTGACGAACTCTCATAAATTCAGAGCGTGGAAACGACCAACCGAGAAACGGAGAAACCGGTTCCCAATTCAAGCTCCCATTACTCCAACACTGTAATCAAACATCCCCATGGATCCTGCGCATGTATGCAGTCCTTATCGGCTCCAGCAGCAGTCATGTCGTATAGTCTTGCGACTATTCCTTCCTGCATCGCTCCTTGCAGTGTTCCTCACCTTGACCACAGCCGTTCTCCCAACACTTCGTGCAGCGGTTTCTGCACCACTTCTCGCGACAGTGCTGACAGCAGCCATGATCCAGCCCCTGGGCGTTAATGATCGCCTTAAGGTTCGGCATCACTCCGATCCTATCGAATGCCGGGTCCTGACTCTTGGTGCCCTCGATTTGCAGCAGGCTCCTCAGCTCTCTAGGCGGGAGTCTCCTCCCTCGACTCCTCTCAGCGATGCCCTGGAGGATCAACGCAGCCCCAGAAATGATGGGCGAAGCGCTCGACGTGCCGTTGAACCAAGAGGTATACTCGTCGTTATCGGTACCCGTATAATCCGTGCTGGTCGTATCCACATTCTCGCCCCACGCAAAGACGTCGATACGAGAGCCGTAGTTGGAGAAATACATCCTGTAGTGCGGTAAGGTAGACGACGCCGCACCAACAATGATGGCGCCGCTGTCGCGGAAGTCGGGGCTGGAGCGGTTGAAAATTGCCTTCCCGGCGGCGTTGACGTAGGCGTCGAGGTCGTAGGCACCGTTACACCCGGCTTCGACGACTGTGATGCCGAGAGCGGTCGCTATGCGGATGGCGTCGTAGTTTGCGTCCGAGACTTCGACCGGCCAGTAGTATGCGCCGCTCACGGGATCGAACTCTTGGGCTTCGAGGAGCAGAGTATCGCCGTAGGACATGCGGGCCGCGGCGTCTACGATAGCGTCTGCAGTATTGTATGACCAGTCGTCTCGGTGCTGAGAGATGACGCGACCGTTTGCACGGGAGGAGATGCCGATTCCGCCGATCTTGTTGTCGACCATCAGAACCTGACCGAGCACCGAGGTGCCGTGTTCGAAGTAGTAGGCATTGCGGCCGGAGATGAGAGTGATGTTTTGAGCCGCGAGGTCTTCGTGACTGAGATTCCAGCCTTGTTCCAAATCTACGAAGCCGATTCCGGCGCCATCGCCGCCTGGAAGGGTCCAAGCGTAACGTGCGTCAATGCCATCAGGGGCGGGATTGAGATAACCTTGATTGATACTTCGAGGATCATCGCCAGGATTGACTGCCATAGGTGGTGGTCCGGCACGAAGCGGATGGATGCTATCGACTTCAGGCAGGCTGGTTATACGGGCCACAACCTCATTGACTTCTTGCGGACGGATAAACTCAGTGTCAGGCGCGGTGGTAGCACGAGGCTGGAACTTCACGTTATACCAGTTGCTGAAGTTTGGTGGTTGGTATTCTGGGTCCATACTCCGTGCCCGTTCTATAAGCTCGGCGAGCGCTTCTGGAGTCTGGGATGTGATGAGCGGTGAGATGCTCACGACACTGTCTGCGAGGCCCGGCACTGCTTGCTCGAACAAGCTGACGACAGATTCGGGGTTCTGCTGTGCCTGGAGCTGCATCTGGCCGCCTAGCTTGATGGCGAAGCTTGAAGCGCCGGAGGTAAGACGGTCTCTATCCGCCGTCATCGCATGGCCGGGCTGGCCCCCGGATTCGTTGTCCAAAGGTTGCTGCATGGCGTCGTTCCCTCCGCTTGCTGGGGCAAGGCTGAAAGCTTCTGGCATGCTAGCGACGTATTTCACAGCGCAGAGTCTGAGGTTGTAGGGGATAGTACTATGAACAAGTGGGGGACCTGTCTCAAATAACAACAAAACTTGGTGATGTTGATACAACAAGAGAGTACGAGTAGTCTGAAGATTTGACAGTGAGATGAGGGTTTGAGATGACGAGAGAACGATCAGAGAGCAAGAAGCTGAATTTATAGCTTGCAGAGCTCGCATTTGTCGGGTCCCATGCGCGTCAGCAAGGCTCTAGGACCAGGGTGCTTACGGATGTTTACGAGTGTCTACGATGCATGCTGGCTCACGCGGACAGGCGTGATGAAGTGGCTTGAATCAACCTTCTCCCACGGTGTGCTTACCCTATCCATTCAAGGCGGCGGTAGAGAGCATCATGCTCAATCCTCGTGGCCTCTTCCAACAGCCCTGTAGCGGGTGGGTGGCCCATAAATAGAAACGAGCTTGGCTGTGAGCTGAAGGCAGCTGAATCCTTCGCGGCGAACACCCAAGCTCGTACATATGCGGTTCTCTGCCTCTATTACGTAGCATTCACTGTGCATCTCTTCAGCTGGTGCCTGACGGGACTCTCTAGCACCCGCAAGGTGATGTCGACGTAGCCTACCTTAGGTAGGTATTCAACCCGGCTTTGGTTACATCTTTTTGCAGGCACGCTGACCTTCTGCGGCAGACTGTGAACGCCGTGACGGCTTTCACTCCTCGGAGTCCGATGTAGCTGTCGAGGACAGTGCATCTAGGAAGACGATAGCACAAGTGATGTAACTACCTACGAGTAGTACGGTGCCTGATGCACTGCTTGGGGAGTACGGTGCGCAAGCAGCGGATTACAGCTCGCACCACCCACAAAAAAGTTCCGGGCACCCACGGATTAACCTCTGGGTGGCCCGAGCTTTTAACCTAAGCAGTGCATATGCGATGATATAGCAGTGCATATGTAATAAATAAGTAGTGCATATGTATATCCTCCGCAGGTTAGCGGTTAGGACTAGTTAGAGATTAGGTGGTTAGGGCTAGCCGTTTGAAAAGAGTATAGAAACCTGTTCCGATCAATTGCAATCCTAAACGGTATAGGATTATAAAAAATTTGAGCAAAAAGTGGTGATGTAATGCTCAGAAGCTGTATAAGCGATGCACATGCACTTTATAGGTGGGCTCAGCTTTGCCAAGATAAGCTCTGGGTGGTGCCAAGTCTTTTTTTCTGGGTGCCCGGAACTTTTTTCTGGGTGCCGCGAGGTGTGAGCCCCGCAAGCAGATGCAGCCCGGCCGGTTCCCGATTCCGAACTCTCCGAGGCCTCGACCTCGACCTCGACCTCGGGCCGTTCCATCCCCTCAAGTCTCAACCTAAATTAGTTGTTTAATGCATCCCACGCTCGCTGGTCGAGTGCGCAATGTCACAATGTCCTCCAGAACCCTATCCACGCGGCTCATGCGCCGATTGGCATCCCCCAGCATTCTCCTCCCATCCAGCCCAGCTCGGACTGTGACCACACCCCTCCAGCAGCGCCGCCATAACTCCCACAGCCATCTATACTCGGAGCTCCCACAGCGACATATCCCCCTAATATACGATGACCTAGCACCCCTCAACGCCCACCGCCTGAGTGTCTCTCTACGTTCCTTCCTCCCAGCCGGCTGGGTCGACGAGTCGAAGACGCTTCCAGATAAAAGCCCAGAAAAGGACCTTCCCCCGCCCTACCACCTCGTCTACTTCAACCCGACCATCTCCTCGGAAGAGCTCTTACCCGATGGCACGGACCCGCTGCAATCGCCTGGGCCGCCATTCGTGAGGCGCATGTGGGCTGGTGGTTACCTCCGCTTCAACTTGAATCCCGAAGTCGATGGCCTGAAGCTCGATGGCGAGCGCTATGTGTGCATGGAGGGCATCAGGAACGTGCAGATTAAGGGCAAGGAGGGGGACGAGAAGGTATTTGTGGGCATCGAGAGACGCATGGCGCCGGTCAGTCAATCGGACAACGAAGACAGCATCAGGGAAAGGCTATGGAGGGATCAGGAGGAGGACTTTGGCGAAGCTGCGTTGATCGAAAGGCGGAACATCGTTTTCATGCGAGAAAGAACACCGGAGCAGCTGAAGGCGGCGGCAGCTGCCAGTAGAGCTGGTGAGAAGATGCTAAAGCGTGCGTTTACGTATTCATTCTGCCAATTTCCCTTATAGCTCACGAAGCACGCCCCACCCCGGGAGTCCAGTAAACCAAGTGTCGTATACAGCGCACTAACTCACTCCTCAAGCACAACACCCCCCCTCCTTCACGCACACATTGCACCCCACGCCCTCCCTCCTCTTCCGCTATAGCGCCCTAACCTTCAACGCGCACTCCATACACCTAGACCCCCACTACTGCCGCACCATCGAAGGCCACCGTAACCTCCTCGTACACGGACCGCTATCCTTCACCCTCCTCGTCACCATGCTACAGCAGCATCTCCAATCCCAATCCCAGAACCGGGAAGATGGAGGAAGCGGTCTCCGCATCCACTCCGTTGACTACCGCAACCTTGCACCACTTTATGCGGAGGAACCGCTCAAGCTGTGCGGACGTGAAGTTGAGCCCGGGAAGTATGAGATTTGGGCTGAGACCCCTGAAGGTGGTGTTGCTGTGCGGGGCATTGCGAAGACGGATGTTCCGGCAGCTTAGCAACCCACCTGAAGCGACCCAATCGTTTCGCAGGGTCTTTAGAGGGAGGAGGCAGTTGGATCGAGGCGTGATTCCTCGGTCTATAACGCCCGCGCTATGCACATCGGCTCAATGAAGAGGAGCTTGATCAAGGCGCGCTGAGTAGAAGTCTCAGGGTCTGCCATACTTCCTTCGAACCAATGCTCCCCTCAAGAAGGCGCGGCAACGGCCAGAGCTCCTTGAAGAATGCAGTGCGGCACCCGTTCCGAGGAGCTAAGCAGTAGCAGCAGGAGGGCGATACAGATTACGCACCTGGCAGCTCCGCAGTTGACATGTGTATCCAACTCTGTAGTGCATCATGCTGCATGGGCACTCAAGTAGAACGAGCCTTGCTTGCGTCTAACAACAAAGTTACACATATTCTATCTATGTACGCCACCTCTCGATCTCTTATAGAACCACATCCGACTCTACCTCTCCTCTTGCGAAGTACGTACAACGACTCAGGTCAAATAAACTTCATCCTCTTCGCAACAACCAAACACACAGTAACAAAGCCAATGATGACACCTAAAATGCCGAAAAACCAACGTAGATCCGTGCTTTCGCCTCCCGGGATCGGAACATTCATGCCAAACAAGCCGCATATCAGATTCAGTGGGACCAGTACCGTAGCGATGAGCGTCACCTTCCCCAGCGTCACGTTGACGGCATTGCCTTGGGTCAAGTTGTCCACTTGGATCTGCGCCAAGTAGTTAGAATGGCTGCGGCTCAGCATCTTCTCAAAGTGGCCCAGATTCCCCATCATCGTCACCACATGATCCTGAATATCGCTGAGGTACAGCCCGACATCTCCGCGGGGCGCGACGCTGTACTGCTCGTTGCAGCGTTTCGCGAAACCCTTGATGACGTCTGCTTTCCCGCCCAGCAGGCGCAGCAGCGACATTACCTTTTTGCGGCAGTCGCCGATGCTGCGCAGGATGGTGCGCGAGTCTTCGGCGCGCGCGGTGAAGACTTGGTCTTCGATGCTGTCGGTTTGGTGCTCGATGTCGCGGATTGGGTGGGCGAAGGTGTCGACAATGTCATCGCTGAGATGGGGTTAGTCGGCCAGAAGAATAGCTTGTGGGAAGCACGGAGGAGCTAGGGGGGAACTTACATCAGGGCATAGCAGAGCCAGTCTGAACTCAAAGAGCCGTGGTAGTCGCTTATCTTGGCCAGCCTCTTGCGCACATTCGCCATGTGCGGGTTCTGATTGAACGTGAAGGTGATGATTCCTTCACGAAACACAACCGCATAGACGTTGACTGGCTCAAGATAGTCCTCGCTCGTCTTGTCCATCTGGTAGAAGGACCGGAAGCAAACGAAGTAGTATGATTTGAAGAGCTCCACCTTCTCCCGAGTCTCTTGAACACGAATATCCTCGGCCGTAAGCGGATGAACTCCGAAAGCCTTGCAGATAACATCGACTTCCTCTTTCGTGGGGTGGAGCATGTCAAGCCACCAAACGCCGCCATCGGGATCGAGCTCGAAAAGGTCGCGGAAGCTTTCGCCAGGCATGAGAAGGTCTCCGAGCTCAGTCGCATGAACGGTGTCGTCCATATTCGACGAGAAAAAGGTCCACCGGTTCTGCGGCGGCTCGAGCTGGCCACCTAGGCATTCGGACGACAGAACCGCGGCAAAGGTCTCGTCCAGCTCTGAGCTTTCCGTTTCGATCTTCTCGGCCTTTTGTTCATCTGGTGTTGGAGCTTCGGTGACAATCCTTGGAATGGTTGGGGTTGCTGACTTCGGCCGCAGGTCATCAAAGATCCGAGGCTTCGAAGCGACCGAGAGCGAGCTCTTCTTGTGCTTCAAGGGATGCGTGACTGGCGTGTGCTCTTGGATTTTGGCAACGAACTCTTCCAGTTCTTCGAAGTCAATGGTGAAAGTCTTGCCGCTCTTCTCTGGCTGCGGAAGGCACACATCATCCTCGACGAAGCTGTGACAAGACGCGATTTCGGGATCAAGATTACCGTCTTTACCTTCGCTGAAAGTGGGGCGTCTGATGTGAGTACCACCAGAGATCGTCCGAGTCAGACCCAGCCGCACATCGGAAGAGATGCTGTTGATGGTTCCTGCTCTCTCGCGGCGGCGGACGGGATCGGCGAAAGCGTCAACGGAATTGGGCGGTGACATAGAGCGAGACGTGGTGGAAGATGTTCTGGACCTGGGGACCTTTTCAGGCTGGTCCCTGTTGGGGCGCCGGACGGTGTTCCTTCTGCAGCCGGGGACACGACTACCAGCAGAACCTCGTCTGCCGTATCTCTCTGCTTCTAGGGAGAATCCATTGACGCTAGCATCATCGTCTGCTATTGCCTGCTCGAAATCCCTGGACTTCATGCCCTCTTGTCGGAGCAGCTCATTCAGCTGAAAGAAATTCGGCTGTTCGGCCCGGGCCTCCCCAATAGCGTTTGCCTTGCGTGGGCTGTTGGGATTGGTAGCGCTCATAGTGGCGTCCGGCGGAGGCACAGATATTGCTTGAAAGCGATGGTCATCGAGTTCGGCGACCGGAGTGGTGATTGTCGCGGCAAAGGGATCTGACCGCGGTGTGTCCGTCATCGTGCAATCCTTTTAATGCTGTGCTCTGATATTTAAAATCGGCGGAATGCACTTTGCGTCGTTTGTTGGCGCGTTCGCTTTTCAGTACCCTTCGAACGATAGAGGATGCAATATCCAGTACTGGCGAGCCGCTTGTGAGCGCTCACCGCGCGAAGTCGCTCAACTTGACGAAGGGGCTTCGCGTAGGGACCGCCCTACACTAAGCCGGAGGAAGTTCTTTGTGCAAGATGCTCCGCCTCTTGCTGACGACGGCGCACCGAGTGAAACCAGAGTCTCTCAGTCTATGTATAGTGTAGTTCTGTTGATTTGCGGATGGCCAGTTATGGAGGCTTCTTGTCGCCTCCAATGACCCAAATCTTTGGGCCTAGAAGGGGACGGATGGAGGAGAACTTGTGGATAGTGGTGCCCGCCAACTTGATGGTGTTGACTGTAAAGACGCCGCGGCGTCGGAGGTGCCGAAGAGAATGGTGAAGTGGAAGCCGGTGAATCTGAGGAGCGATCAGACGGAGGTGGGCGCAGCGGTCAGGAGCGTCCTGAATCAACGGTATTTATGGCGTTCAACCAGCGAGTGTCTAGCGAGACCAAGCCGATCGCGGGAGCTCTTCAAGAAGAGTTAAGTCTAGAGGCGTAGGTGCCGCAGCAGTGTAAACAAAGTCCTGAGGACGATGGTGGGACGAAAGGGTAAGCTTAGGAGGTTGCAGGCGTGGTGAAAGAAAATCGGCTAGACGAGGCCCTAGCACTGCCGACGGGGCCATGCCGCTTGGGTTTGCTGCCGAATGAGCGAACAAGGCAGAGAAAACAGCCTTGGAGTTTGTCCTCCGCTTAAGGCAGCACCGGCGTAGTTACCTAAGTACCGCTTTTATCAGGCTTGCAAGAGAGACGGGGACGGTCTGGCTCCCCGACGGGAAGCAATTAGCTACGCAACAGTGGTGATAGGGCGTGTAACTCTCTGCAATCATGACGATCGCGGGCGCCCACCTGCATCAAGGCATGTTCGCATCGGATGCCGACTGCACGACATGGGAGCCGCCGCAAATCCCCGCTGCCGCGGCGTCCGCCTCACTAAGCCTGAAGGAGACGGCACGTGTAGCGCCCCTGCATCTTGCTTGGCAGGCGTCCGGTATGACTGTCATCTCTGTCAGTTTGGCCTACCTGTCTAACCTCAATACCACTCGAGAGCTCCAGGAACAGCCGGCCCGCCCTGGAGACTACCCGTGCCTGCACTAGCCAATCATCTTGCCCTACGCCGCTAGACCGGCTCTTCCGGACTCTGCGAATTCCACTTCTAGACCCATCGGATCACTACCATGGCGGACGCCTTCCTGGAGAGCGCGCGCGACGTTCTGGAGGGACAAATTGTACGACTTTCGCGGGCCTAGAGCCGTCCGTTTGCTGAGACTTGACGCAGGACTTCGAGGGACAGCGCCTGGCAGAGCTCCTCAGCACCGCCATGCTGGCTACCGCTGGTGTAGGTCACCAACCTTACAACTCATATGTAATTGGGGAAAATAACATGCCGTAGTTCCTCTCGTTCGTTGTCGGCTACATGACGCAAAACATCCAGCTCACCCTCTGGATCGGGTTGATCGGCGCTGCCCTCACCCTTCTCGCTGTCGTCCCACCCTGGCCTTCCTTCAACAAGAACCCCATTGACTGGCTTCCGCCACAGCAAGGTGTATCACAGCTAAACATTGAGGTCGATGGTAAAAAAGTCAGATGAAATTTTGTTTGACACAAGCTTGGGTTTACAGGGGCAAAAGAGGCGTATCAAGTGTCTTGGTCGTACTTCGTTGTACAGGGCTATGGGTGTTTGTTTTTTCGAATGGTTCAAGAAGCTCGAACGTGTCGTCCTTCTGTTCTGGTCGTGCTACGCCTTGTTCCTGAACTCCTCAATGAAACAGGACCCGTATGCAGGTATCATTATGAAGAGCCCCCTGGCAAGCCACCTAGCCGTTCTTCCCAGCACTGAGTGTCTTACGCTCGCTTCGCAATGACTGATCCGCCGTACCCCAAGCGCACTGGGACTGCACTGCAGCTCCCCTATCGACCGTATTTCTGGAACTCCCAGTCGCGGTTGTCGAGGGGGCACACTTGGCGAGTCTTGAGCCAGCGCGAGATGCAGTGGAAGTGGAAAGCGTGCTACGGAGACTGTCAACGCGATTCCCGTCTGGATAAGGGGCAGGAGCTGCTACTCACGTTGCAGATACCCCAGGCGACGGTGCACTCCTCGCTTGTTGCGGACGCCTGGTTGGCTTGACACTCAATACCTTGTACCTATCAGCAGCTGCCCAACACCATTTCCAAGGTACAAGTGAACCTACACAGGTCCATGATGTGATTTCGGCAAATGGCGCAGTTGTCGACAACAATGTCCCACGCCCACAGCGCAACAGCATTCCACTAAACCCATGTCAGCCTCATCTCCAAGGCCCCCAGGGTGTCCTTTGCACCATCCCCACCTTCTTCACCTCGAATTTCTTCTTTCCGTCCGTCGAGCCTTCGGCGGCGGCTTTGGAAGTCTTGGTCTTGGCCGGCGCTATTGGCGCATCCGCCATGTCTACGTCTGCCATGGCGCCTGTTACAGTAGGTCTGCGGTGAGCACGTGGAGGAGAACGTTAAGGAATTCGCAAACTGTAGGCGGTGGCGGTCGTGGAGGGTGCTGCCTGATGGATTGCGGGAAGCCCTGGGTGGAGGATGGGAAATCTGGACGGAGGTCAACGCCGAAGTATCTGCGGGCGCTTCACAGATCAACCGGCGCGGCGAGGAGCAGAGAGCTATGGGTGTGTTCGCGTCGTGGGTCTTTCTACTGAAGAAAGCTCAAGCCGGAGTTCGTGATAGAAGTTACCCAGGTAGGGATCAGCCCTGCGGGAGGCACGGTTCAGCTGGCGTCGATTCTGCCGCTAACCTTTTGCTCGTTAGCGCTGGGTTTCGTCAGCCACAGCAGAGCCGCCCCAAGCGCTCACGTGATGCTGCCACGGCTTTGGGTCCCATCACGCACCCCCGTGGCAACACGATAACTACCAGGAACATCTTCACCGCGTAACACAACTTCACCAACGCCTCTCGCTCCCACCAGAGCCGTCCGCACGTATTCATATCCGAAATTCACTTGCATCCTGCTCATCAAACACCCCACCATCAACACCACAATTGAAGCGCATTGTCTAAGCTCTGACCACCGCGATAACGGCTTTCGACATCAACTCCATCCGTTTCTTTTCCTGCTCCGCTTCGTTGGGCCCGCCGGCCGCACTGTTGTTACCTCACTAGAGGACGGCACCAAAGTCTCACTGCAACCGACATAGCATCCTGCCGCTCATAAACCACCATGTCTGCACCTGCCAGCACCCCACCTTCAAAGAGCCACCGGCCCAGGCGCCAGACACCAAACGGCGCTCTACCGCAACCGATGGCGGCTGGGGAGCTCTTCATGGGTGCTGAAACGCATCGCCCGGCCGGCTCTTCGAGAACCAAGAGGCAACATCCACGGCGTCCCAAGGATGATTCGCTAGCCATCGCAACTCCACCCGCAACGGACGGCAGATCCTCCCCACTGAAGGACGCGCATCGCCAAAGCCAGTCAAGCTCTCGAAGGCCGAGCGCAACACCAGCGCGCAGGCCCGAGTATGCTGGCCCGACGTTTCACGCTTCGCCTGCACCTTCCGCGCTCCCAATACCAAAGTTTTTCTCCAAATCGGTCCCTACATCGTCCTCTCAGAAGGACCCGCAGTCACAGCTGGAATCCGAGTCAGATATTTCAGACAAGTCCCAGTCACCGCCCTCTTCAGATGTAGCGCCTGCCAGGCTAGAACCCCCACCTCGCGAAGAATCTCCTCTCGATATTTTCTTCAAGGCCGATCGGGAGGAGAAGGCGAAGCGGCTTGGTAGCAATGGCTTCTTTACACCCTCCACCAAGCCTTCTCCGATGGTTTCTTCATCCGAGCCCCCGAGGCCAAGCATGTCAGTCGTTCCAGGCAGAGACCAGCGGCATCACTCTCGGCACTCCTCCACCCACTCCGGCAAAGGCATATTCATGATGGAGCTGGACGGCAGTGGCACTGAAGCAGACTTGAGCGGAACTTTTTCGAACTTACACTCCAGCTCCCGCTTGCCATCTTCTCGGTCGGTTACTGCTCCTTCTAGTGTACCCTACACTTCCACAACCTCTCAGGATAAGGGGGCAACTGCACAGGCATTGAAAGACATGCTGTTCTCCATGCAGCCTGAAAACAGCCAACGCACGATACCGCCTCCAGCGGCACGCACGCCATCCAACCATGCGTCCGGTGATCAGTCGCCTTCTCCTTTCTATCGCCCCGCTTCGGCGCAGCATAGCGCTCGAGGGCCAAGTACACCGGCGCCGCAAAACAATCAAGCTACTGATCCATCCTTCCATTACGGCAATCGCAACCTCTCGCCCTTATTCCACGCCGCCATGGCCGATCCAGTCAGGCGGCCTTCCAGCCTTCGCAAGGAGCTTGATCCCTCCTCGCCAACAGCACCTCAAAACAGTTCTACACAGCCCCACATAGCACAATCAACACCACCTCCAACAACTCTACCCAACCCCACCTCTAAACAATCCGCCTCCGCCATCTCTCTCAACTGTCTTAACTCCCACATCCAGGCAGCCGCCGGCGGTCTGCCCGATCATCCTCTATTCCAACAGCCTCAACATCATCAACATCCTCCATCACCTTTCCGCGAAACGCATAGCGCCGCGACATCTCAATCTCACGACATCAAGGCCATGGAAGCCGATCTCAAGCGGTTACTCAATCTGAGCGTTTTGGGCGGGGCTACTGCGGCGAGTGTGCGGTGATCTTTGCACGACTTTGATGCATCTGCATGGAGTTTTTGCGGGCTTTTGGGTGGGTGGGGACTACGTCGGCGTCGGCGTTTGGGTGGCGTCTGGGCACGTACCTGGTTTGGCTTGGTGGGGATGTTTGGGTGGTGTGATGCCGTTGGACTTCTTGGGGGGACAAAGGCGTTTTTGGAAGGGATTTGGATACCGCTGCAGCGTCTTTTTTTTGACAAGATTGAGTGACACTCTCTATCACTATTCTGTTCATTCTCTCTCGGTGCATGGGCGGCTGTGGAGTGTCTCCTGGTCTGTCACTTGCCATTGCTGGCTGGGATTTGCATGCCATGGGACTTTTGGTCATCCGCTCTCTACGAACCACGGCACCTCTACAGGGTCTCCTTTGTCTCTTTCAGCAAAGCTGGGAGCTTCTACTTGGAAGGATACTGTGTTCGGCTTTTGTGGTTCAACGATCGGTGCCACAGTCCAACAGTCATTTAGTAGCGCTCGTCGACTACTCCGACGCCTCGACACGCATGAATTGGTGGATGGGAGCATTTGCACGGGTTTGTGAACTGTCCATGGACGTCTTCACTCTGTCGGTGACGACGTTCAGCTTCTCGGAGGGTATGAAACAAGGTCTTACTGTCACTCGCGCCGTCACCGGATTGAGGAAGGACGTATCATTAGCGGAGGTGAAATGGCAAGGGATTGTTGCCGACAATCGAGAGGGACGGAAGGCCGTACGCCTCTGTGGCGTTCTGGCAAAGTGTTAAAAAAAGATGAAAGACTGGACGTAGAGCTTTAAATAAAGCTATTGCATTCCTCCATACCTGTCTACCTGACCATGCATTGCCGTGATCTTTTGCATTACTACCTTCTGTAGAGTAACTGGTTGATGCGCTCCGGTGCAACACTGAAAGGGTTTCGGCGCTGTTCCTTAAGGGTAATAATATAAGTGAAAAGCGCAGCTGGTGTATCAACCGATCAACTTGCATGACTGTGATATCCTACTTGATCTCGAGAGTGCCTCGAGAGTGACATTCTATTGCCTGTTCCATTCACGCTCACAGCAAGTCAATATCTTCGAACGCTGCCATGGAATCTTTCACAGAGGGAGTAGCCTTGCGATGCATGATGCCATGAAAATACGCTTCACCAATAATTTGAAGGGTTCGACGAACGTTGTCCGCAAAGTGTTGTTCGTCCGCTTTAACAGGCCTGAGAATGAATGGTACATACTCTTGCCTCGGGAAGCACGAAGACAGAATCGCCCTTTTACAACGATGCCGGGCCAAGACCGATGTACTTCTTACATGTTACGAATAGCCGCTTTCCACCGTAAGTTCAACTGTAGGCTAATCCGAAAGGGGCTGCAACGTGTGCAAAGACCTAGCTGTCTGGGACTGTTCATCGACATTCCTTGTTCCTATGACACAGTTTCCCCTGCCTTCCCTTTGATCCAAGCCTACTGAGACCTCTGGCAAGGGGTGTGTCTCGATGCTCTGGAATTCCTCAATCTCAGGAAGTGCCGGGGTATGGCTGTCAGGGATTGAGGCATCCGCAGAACCTGGCTCGCTGTTCCACGACGTAGTCCGCACGGGATTCAACTTCGCGTAACTCGGTCCGCACCCGACGTATCCGCTGCGCGACACTATCGCGCGCCTCGCTCGAGGACGGATTCCTAAACGTTGACTTGGGCCAATTCTGCAAAGACAGAGACGGTGGATCCAAGTCGCTTTTCAGCACTCTCGCATACCATTGCACATATCAAGCTTTTGAACGAGTTTCTGAGTTCAGAAGGGGCCGGATGTGCCCTGTGGATATTTTGATCAGCACAGAGAGTCCGCCCAAGGGCTTCTTCTGTACGGCTCTTTCCCGTATGGCACTTTGTGCTCAAGTGAAGAATGAGATCAACCCAGTTGGGATCCACTTTAAACTTAGGTTCCTTCAAATCTGCAACTAGCTCGATAGTGTCCCACTCGAATCCAGGGGTTCCCAACGCCAAATCCTTGGGCATCCTAGGGAGCCTTTGGCGCGAAGGATTTGCTGCTGTGCCGACGTTGTAGCAGTGTGAAGGAAACGGTCCCGTGCCCCGAAGGCTGTATACTTTTTGTAAAGGATATATAGTGACTTACCCTATTCTGGGCCTATTCGGTCCAGATTGGTGCCTTTTTAGATGCATTGGTGCGGTAGTAAGTCCCGTACCTCTGACACACTATAGCTAACTAAGATTGAAGGTTTAGCAAGATTGAAGCACGCAGATTCTCTTTCGCAACTCGACTACGAAGAAGCGCCGATCTGTGCAAGACCTGTAGCGGTAGATGCAGGTAACCTTGCAAATGCGTTTCCCCGCGTGTCTTCTTGTCCATCCTGGATTCTCTTAGATAATACTTCTCTTTGACTTTGCCATATCCCCGAGGTTGCTTGCATTCAAACGATAGATGACGCGGCAAACACTTCATCCTTCCTAGCTACCTTTCCGAGGCTTCCGAGTCACACGGCAAGTACAAAACCTAGATATATAACCGTCCTGCGCACATGTCCTAGTGGAAGCGATATTTGTTTAGACCTCCTCGCTACATAGTCAATCATGTACATTCCAGACGCCGCTATCCTGGTCCTTACCGCTCTCACCGTCCGTATCGCCGCTCAAGACGTAGACTACAACGACTTGCCCTCCCAATGCCAGAGCGTTTGCGCCCCTGTGGTTGAACTGACGCAACGCTGCGACCAGCAACACAGCAGCGACGACGCCGGCCAGCTCAACTGTGTCTGCGCGGCCAACAATGCAACCGCTGTCATTCCAGTCTGCGAAGCGTGCTATGCAATGTTTGATCCTGACGGACATGATAACGGTAAGCTCGCTTTCGTTTAGCAATTTAGTCTTTGTTCCTATCCTCACCGACAATAATTACTTTGCTTCGGTTCGTCCCAAACTAACCGTCGTCTGGATGGCAGACGTCCACGATCTAATAACGAGGTGTTCCTTCACCACTACAAGCTATAACCCTACCTCCGCCACAGCGGCGGGTGCAGTTACGACCACGACGACTGGCGTGCTAGAGTCTACATCTCTGGCAGCGGCTACGAGCGTAACAATCACGCCAGGCAGGACTACAACGGCCGCTACGGGTACGCAGACACCGGCGGAGTTTACAGGCGCTGCCGTGAAGGGTGCGGGATTAGAGAAAGCAGTTAGCTTTGCTTTGGGATCGTTCGGCTTTATAGGTGCTTTAGTTACCTAATCTGATCTTAAGCTTGAGAAGCAAACGATGTTAGCGGAGTCGGGCTACTTACCTGCCGCTACCTAGAGTAGCTAGGAAATCTCACACGTGTTTAGATGCTGCATATTAGGCTTATATAGTATTGTTGAAAGTTCGTTTGAATCTAGAGTTAGTCCACTCGATCTAACTGTAGAGTCGTGAATTGTATTAGATTTATAAGATATAAAGAAAGCTTTAGGCTAGTTCTAGACTCTCTACTAGCAAAGTGCTAGCTAAGTAAAAGTATATATTAGTTGCTTCTATATAATAGAAGCCTAATAGAATTTAGTCTTTTACTAAACTAATAAGTTTATTCTAGCTATATATACCTTATTATTATATTATTATATTAACTCTAAGAATCTATATTTTCTAATAGTTCTAAACTCTCTACTCTTACTAGAGTAGTAATCTAGTAACTTATTGTATAGTATTAATATAACTATAAAGTACAGATACTTTAACTAAGAAGTTACTCTAATAAAATATAATAAAATTAGATACTAACTCTTTATTAGTAGAAAAATTTAAGTAGTAATTAATATATAAGCTTAAAACTAAGTATATATAATTTCTAAAGAAGAAATGACTATATATTCTTTAAAAGAAGATTAATATTCTCTATTAGTATAATAGTAGATAAGTAATAACTTTTACTATTTCTTCTCTTCTAAATACATATCTAATAGAAAAGCTGAATATATATAAAGCTTTAGTTTTACTATTAATCTATAGTATTTTTAAAGCTATAATAGTTTAAGATAATACTATTCTTAAACTAAGTGCTTTAGTGTTACTATAAAAGTGTAATAGTAGTAGTATAGTAGTAGAGCTATAGTCTTCTAAATAAGCTACTATTATTATAAAGATTCTCTTATACTTAAAAAAGAATATTAAAATATATTAAGACTTCTATAATAGTATAGAGCTAGCGTTCCGCCTAGTCTTTAATATCTTTTAGAATAATAAAACTAAGATTACCTATATGAATCAATATATTAAGAGTAATACTTTATTAGGAAAAATTTAGATACTTAAAAAGTTAGTATTAGTCTAAGGTATTTAAGATACTTAGAGTATACTTAAAGTATACTTAAAGCGCTTATAATCATTTATAAGTACTCTAAATATCTAAAATATTTAAATTATTTAAATTATTTCAAGTCTCTAAAATATCTTAAATAATAAAAATATATAGAGTATTAAGAATAGTTAGTACTACTTAGTAAGTAGAAAATCTTAGAGTTTCTAATCTTATCTAACTTTTACCCTCTAGTAAAAAGAGCTAAAATAGTAATAATTTAAAAAGTAAGTAAATAATAATTTTTTTAAAAGTTTGCCCTCTAAACTAGCTCTATTATATACCCTCTTTATTCTACCAGTTAAATTAAATTTAAAGCTTTTTTTAAAAGATTTTTAGATACTAAGTAAGACTTAGTATACTAAGCCTACTAAGCTATACTTTTAAATATTTTAAGTATATTGGATATTTTAAATAGTTTAAATAATTTAAACATTTCAGATATTTTAAATATTTAGAGCACTCTAAGTAGTTTAATATACTTATAAGCTACTTATAAGTAGAGAGAGTTACTTAAAGGCTTTAAGCACTTTAAATAGGCTCCAAGCGCTCTAAGTAGCTCTAAGTATTAAATTTTTTTTCTAATATAAATTCTATACATATAGCTGCTCAATTCTAATACAGTAGCTTATTCTTTACCTTAAAGGTAAATAACCTATTGACTTTTAAGCTAACTAAAATATTAAGACATATTTACCTATAATATAATCTATAGAACTATACTTACTAAGTTCTATATAATAAATGTATAAGGCTATACTAAGTATTTCTATTAGAACTTTCCTATATACTATATATAGAGTAAAAATTGTAAGTGGTAGACTTTTTAGTAAAAAGACTTTATAGTTAGCTATATAATATAGCTTTCTATTATAATAGATAAAATATACTACTTATATTTACTACTAGTAAATATTACTAGCTAGTATTTCTTTAAAAATACTTATACTTTTAAAAGCTAGATATCTTTAATTCTCTAGACTATCTACTTTACCTATAGGCTATTATAAAATAATAAAAAGTACTTAAAAATACTAGTAAAGACTATAGAATTCTAGCTTAAGTAGTAGCTATATAAGCTCTTTATAACTATACTAGTAAGCTATAGGCCTATAGATTCTATAGTACTATAGAACTACTTCTATAGTAATCTTATAGATAACTACTACTATTAGCTATAGACTATATATAGTATCTAGAAGCTAACTTAAAAGTAGGCTAAGAATCTTATACTTTACTTACTTTATATAAATCTTATTTATTATAGTTAAATGCTAGAGAGCTATAGTTTCTTATAGCTCTAGTATAGCTAGCTTAATAACTTTATAGACTACTATAATTATCTTCTATATAAGTAGCTTATATTTAATATAAAGGAGATATAGACTAGTTTTACTAATAGTCTTCTACACCTAAATACTAAGTAGTAGCTTATGTTTAATCTACTTAACTAGATAGTAGAATCTAATTAGGGTAGCCTCTTCTTTATTAATAGCCCTAGTAGTACTAGTAAGACCTTTTTATAGAATACTATACCATTCTACTAGTAGCTATAAAATAGAGTAGTACTTATAGTAGTAATATTTAATATTACTATAACTCTACTTACTAAAGGTACTACTATATACTTCTACTTTAAGATTTTAATTAATATTAATAAGCACTTAATTTATAATATATCTAAGTAGTTCTACCTTATAGAACTACTATAGAAGATGCGCCTAATCTTCTAGAATAAGGTAGTAATATACTATTACTATATAATAGAGATACTTTTATAAATACTATAAAACCTCTATAATAAGAGTAATAATTAGTATTAGCTCCCTTCTAGCGGTATTATAGTATACTTCTATAGAGACTTTTACTAGATTCTACTTATAATTAAGTATAGAACCTATAGCTAGATTATTAATATAGTACTTAAGTATTCTATTCTATAGTACTATATATATACCTTCTATTTTATACAAAATATATATCTATATCGCCTAAACCTCGCTCTTGGTAAGTACTAGAAGATTATAGTATTTATAGAGTAGCTACTCTATATTAGTAAGTATGTAGATCTAGATAGAAGGGTCTATTAGAATATATAGAACTAGGTGATTAATAATAGTATAGAGGCTCTTACTACTACTATCTTTCCTAGCTTTAAGTAGTAGTAGTTATCTACAGATTAGCTAAAAAAAAAATACTATAATTCTCGCGCTATAGAATAATATAATAAATAGTATAAACTAGCTACTACTTAATACAATACTAAGCCTAGAGGTAATAACTTACTCTATAGACTACTATAAGAATATTATTAGAGCTATAGCTCTTTCTAAGAAATTTCTATATTCTATTAATATTTAATAGCTACCTTTATATACACTCTACCTTAAGTCTAGCTATCTAATAATACTACTCTATAACCTTAATCTAGATAATAGTCTTTATAATAATATATAATTAGTGGTTCTCTCTATATTTTATACCTTATTATACTACTTAACTCTAGGAATATAAGGGTATAGTGTAGTTATATAGCTACTATATATACCCTTAAATACACCTAGCTCTAATTAAGGGCTTAAGTTGATATAATATTAGTTTCCTATTAGGCTCGCCTTGATAATAACTATTAACAAGGTGTAGGGCTAGAGTCTATCTAGTATTAGCCTACTTTTTAGTCTAAAAGTATTTAGCTATAGCTAGTTATATGTTACTCTTAGCTATATTACCTATTCTAATAGTATTTATATAGTACTACCTAATATAGATATTGCCTATAGTAGACGCCTAAAGAATATAATATATAGTAAGATATTTTAAATGTAGCTAGACATAGAGGCTAGTAAGAAAGAATTAGTAGTATATTAAGTATATAGATTACTTTATTATATATTACGCCTAGGCCTATTAGTTAAGTATTACTAGTAATAGGTTTAGGGAACTTAATATAGATAAAAGATAGAAATATAAGTATTTTATAGTATTATAATATTACTAGTATAGAAGTTAGGTGTAAAAGTAGAAACAGTTTTAATTAATACCATTAAAAGCTATTAGGTAATGTACTATCTATACGTCTATAAATACTATACCCCTATTATATACTAGGTGTAATATAGTATTAATATACTTAATAAAATATGATTTTCCACCGCGCGCGGCCTTAGTAAAAACTATAACTCCCTCTAAAATCTCTATAGCAAAAACGTTTGTAACGCGATAATAAACGCTATAGGTTAAAATCGAAAAATCCGCTTCCTATCTTTCTAAGTCTACCCTTACGCTATTGATATATCCACTTTATAGCGCTCCGCGACCGCTGGTGCAAAAGCCTTAGGGATTTAAAATTTTAGCTGAGGCTTAATTACAACCGTGTTTGCGACCGTGGAGCTATAAGACCTAGTAGTTACAGCTAGTGCGCTGCGGTTGTGGCTGGTGCTGCGGCTTAGCTACTAAAACGCTGACCGCCAACCGCACCGACTACGCCGATTCTACGTATAACTTAGGTCGCTAGTTTAACCCCTAGCGGGA